TAATGTCTGTAAGCATGCTCGCTGATGTGGAGGGTGAGGAGCTGGAGCTGGAGGATGGGTGGGATCGCATTATCATCAAGTAGCTACTACATTTGTGTGTATCTCGTAGTTTTTTGACAATTGACAGTACCCACCCATGGGTATACCCTCAGTGGGTGATACCCTGGGTGGGTTTGGCCTCATACCCACCAAAAAACCCACACCCACGACGTGGGTGTGGGTATATCGCGGGGTACAGGTGGGGGTTGCGCCGCTCGTACCCCGGGGTTTACCCGTGCTATTCCCTAGTACCTGCTGTTATTACACTGTCGCGGCTAGTGATGTTCCGGCCCGGCTTGGGCTCAAAGCCCTGGCTTAGGCTCGGCCTGGGGGGGGCTTAGGCTCACCAGATTTCAAGCCTGAGCCGTGAGCCCAAGCCGGCCCAAAGCCGGGGCTTAGGCCCATGCAAGCCGCGGCCCAAACCGATGTCCGAGCTCCACCATGCTGTTCCCAACACCACGAACACCATGCGCAAACGCCCAGCACACGTCAGCAACTGCTGACGTGGATCAGACGAATACGGACGATGGACGAGAGCAGGTGAAGGGAAGAAGACAAGGAGGAGAACGTTCGGACAGGGATGGAAGGGTGTGTGGAGGAGTGGCGTAAGAAGTGATATAGGCCGGAAGACAGCTGTTGAACTCAAATGGTTGTCCGACCCAGTCGAGGATGGTGATGTCTGTAGGTGGACATGGACACTGAAGATACCAAATAATGAATACGCGACGACTTCTTGCAATGTGGTGACACGAGATGACGCCCATTGAAGTCTCCGTCGAGTGTCACTCATCCCAGGACGAAAGGAGATCAGACGTGCGTATGTAGTTGAAGTTGAGAGGAATCGCTGTTGACATCTAAACCCTCCGAGTCGAACGTTGCCGATGAGACCGAAGGCGAGGAACGACATGGTGAATAGATCGTCCGAGCGCAAGGGAAAAGAGGCGCAGGGACGAGAGATGTGACGTCAGGGCCGAAATCTTCCAAGTATCAATGTTTCGTTTCAATATAGATTAGAAAAGGACTTACCGTATAAAAGGCAGCATCCAGCCACCCGAGCGTCTCAGTTCTGACCAAGATACTGAGACGTGAGTTAGCTTTTACTTTACACTTCGAGTAGCCGTACTGATGCGACGTAGGAGACTTACCTGTTAGGTACATACGTCGTCAATAAAGAGTTCTGACCAAGATACTGAGATGAGACTTACCTGTTAGATCCTGCTGCGCCTTTACGAGTTCTAGAATCGCGTCATAGTAAGAGTCAGTAATGAGAACATGCCAAACACATACTTGTGGGGCGTGACCACTGACGTGACAAGGTGTCATATACTCTATGTACCAAAGCTGCGGCTTGGGCCGCCGGCTTAGGCTTTTCTAAATTCAAGCCCAGGCCTAAGCCCTGCTCAGGCTGTGACTTAGGCCTGGGCTAGGCCCGGCCTATTTGGGCCTGGCTTGGGCCGGCCCAGGGCTTCAAGCCGGGCCTTGCACATCACTAGTCGCGGCCGTTGAGTGTTGCAAGAGCAGCCTCCAGTTGAAACTCTCGTGGCACGATCAAAGTTGCTGTAAGGATGTACACAAGCAAGCAAGCACGAAGTGCATCTGTTCTTATAGGAAGCTAGACACACGGAGTAAGTCTCAGCGGACGGTGAAGCAACGCTATCATTAACTACCTAGACACACGGAGTAAGTCTAGAACAAATGTTAACGTTAACAAGATGATAAGTGAGACAAGAATGTGATCATACCTCAGCGGACGGTGAAGCAACGCTGAGGTAGAGTGGAAACGGGGAAGGGATTAAATACAGGAATGTCAAGAAGTCCGAGACGGAGAGAAGCGAGTCCGAGACGGAAAGAAGCGACTGATACACGAGGGTGATATAAGATGTCGAAGGTGCTACGAGTCGATAAGAGTCAAGAAAGGAAATAAGAATTCATAGCATGTCCCGGAGGTTAATCCTCCGGGACTCGTACCGTGTGGGCGCACTCTTCTGTCCTCTTTCATCCTCTTTCGTCCTTATCGCCAATACACCCCCTCACCTAGACATCAGGTGAAGACTCGGTAAGTGTTTCTTAAAAAGGGGACGTGGCAGCGCCTTCGTAAAAATATCTGCAGTGTTTTTGTGGGAGGGGACCCACTTGAGCAGGAACGTACCCTTCTCGATATGCTCACGTATGAAGTGATAGCGCACATCTATATGCTTGGATCGAATATGATTCCGGGCTTCGGTCGACAATGAAATGGCGCCTGTGTTGTCCATGAATACGTGGATGGGGGAAGGGATGTGAATGTGTAGTTCGATGATGAGTGATTTGATCCAAAGGCCTTCCTGAAGGACGTGAGTCACCGCCATATACTCAGCTTCGGTGGAGGAGAGAGCGTGGGTTGATTGTTTCTTAGAGACGTGAGCAATGACCCCACCGGCGTAAAACCACACATAACCCGAAATCGACAAATGATCAATGGGGGAGCCTGCCCAGTCAGCGTCACAAAACACGTGTAAGCCCTTGTTTACATTGACACCCCCATAGTGCAAGCGGAGATTGATGGTTCCGGAAAGGTAACGAAGCAGTCGCTTTGCGGCGGCGTAATGAGCAGGCAACGGTTTGGCGTTATGTTGTGCAAGCGAGTTCACGGCGAAGGATATGTCAGGGCGAGTGCAGATTGCGAGGTAGAGTAGCTCTCCGACGAGCTTGCGGAAAAGTGTTGGGAGGTTGGGGATGATGGTATGTGAGTCGTCAGGTTTTCCAAACAGATGATGTGGGTCAAGTGGGAGGCGGACGGGATTACAGTCGAGCAGGTTATATTCTTCGAGCAAGTAGGTGATGTACTCGCCTTGGTGCAGCCAAAGCTCACGGCTGCTTCGACTGCGTTCGAACTGAATGCCGATGAACTTGGTGACTGGCCCCATGTCCTTGATACCAAAGCGGTGGTGAATCTTCTGCTTGACCCAGGTCAGGAAAGCAGGATTGTTGGATGTACCCAGCCCATCGTCTACGTGGAAGCCGATTATGCAGACTATGTGAGTCCCAGAAGTGCTGCTGTCAAAAAGGAATACTGCGTAATCGACAGCGCAGCGAGAGAAGCCCAACTCCTCCATGATGTCCCAAACCTGTTCGTACCATTCCATCGCGGACTGCTTCAATCCGTAGATCGTCCGAAGCATTCGCCAAACCAACACCCTCCAGTCTCCTTCTTCAAATCCTTTGGGCTGACGCATGTATATTTCCTCCTTGAGTACCCCCCAGAGAAAGGCATGTGTGGCGTCGAATGAGTGAAGCTCCCAGTCGTTCTTGCAAGCCAGAGCAGCTATGAGGCGTAGTGAAGCGGTTTTCAGCACCGGTGCAAACGTTGCACCGAAATCGACCCCAGGTATTTGAGAAAATCCTTGTGCGACAAGACATGCCTTATAAACTGATCCTCCCTTATTATCTTCTTTAAACTCTAGAACCCATTGATTACCAATAGCCTTGCGTCCTTCTGGAAGGGGAGAGAGCTTGTAGACACGCATCTCGTCCATTATGCCGAGTTCTTTCTTCATGGCGGCAAACCATTCGTCTCGATCAGTACATAGCATGGCCTCATCGTATGTAGCTGGGGGAATGGCCATGTCATAGCCAGGATCGTTGGGATTCCGTTTACGGTCGCTGCGAATGGTAATGTGCGCATGTTCTTCTATCATGATGTTTGCGTAGGCTTCGGGGATGTCGACATTCGGCTCTATATCTTCTAAATTCTCCTCTACCACCTTCTGACCCATTTCTCCTTCCTCCTCTGGCACCCCCTCACTCGACAGCAGAGCGGGCTCAGCAGCTCGTGACGCGCGAGACTCGCGCAGTTGTGCGAGCCGTGCCTTGGTAATGGCAATCCCTTCGGCAAAGGCCTGTCCGGCTGGTGTCTTGACTGTCGCCCTGCCTGAACGACGAGGAACAATGGCTGAGTCCTGCGGAGGGAGAGTGATGAGAGGAGGCACGGCGGAAGGGGGGAGGGAACGTGGGGACGTTGAAGGCACATGAGGCTGTGAGTCGTCCTCGTCGGAGTCAGAATCAGCCGAGGGTTGAATGCTGGGCAAACGCTCGTCGAAGATAACATCCCTAGCCACAAAGAAAGTGTCATTAGCGTCTCGCAACCGGTAGCCCTTGGTACCTTCTGGGTACCCGACGAACATGGCAGGACGTGAGTGTGGGCCAAGTTTGGTCTGCAACTCGGAGGGAATTCGGGCGAAGCATCGTGAGCCGAACACTCGGATATGAGAAAGGTCCGGCTTACGGCCGTTTGCCATTTCGAATGATGTGACGTCAGACGGTAAGGCATGCGAAGCACTGCGATTCCACAAATAGCATGCCGTCAACGCAGCTTCCCCCCATAGATTCGCTGGAAGACCTGCTGCCTCCAACATGGCAAACAATCGTCCCTCGATAGTACGAATGGCCCGTTCGGCCTTTCCATTCTGCTGGTGCACATATGGCGCTGAGAGTTGGCGTTCTACGCCCGAGTCCACGAGTGCTTTAGTGAAGGCAACACTTAAGAACTCCCCACCGTTATCTGAACGAAAAACCTTGACCGTACGTCCGGAGTGATTTTCCCAACGGGCCTTGATCAAATGCCATGCATCTAGGGCCTGATCCTTGGTGGCCAGAAGCTGAATGTTCAGTAAGTTCGTGTGATCGTCGAGAAAGAGTATGAAGTGACGTTTTCCATGAGGAGTGGCTATGCGAACACCTGTCTTAGGGTTTGTCTTTCCGTCCGAGAATGACTTAAACGACGTGACGTTGGCGTATTCGGATCCTGGACCATTTAACTTATGTTCTCCCCGCAGACGATTGGCCTCTTCAGAGAGGGACGTCAGTACTGTGGAGAAAGTCATCTTCGTAGTGGTAGCAGCAACTGAGGCTGTGGTGGAGGAAGTAGACGCCACAGGTGAGGGAGTGCTGTACAAACTCATTGTCATACGTTTGAAGATGAGCCAGTCTGGAGTGTGCGGGAGGCCGTGAAGAAGGAGGAATACTAGCTCGTCTTCAGTCACTATGATGGCCATCTCCGCGAATCGACGTCTGGCATTTTCGAACGTGCTGATGTAGCAGGGTGCGTCGTCAGGGTCCTTAAGTTTTTCAGCGAACAATTGTGCACGAAGCTCAAATTGAGACGTGACGTCAAGCCGTCCAAAATGAGTCGCCAAGGTGTTCCACTGTTCCCTCGCAGTCCAAGACTCGCTGAGCATACCTTGGACAACGGCAGAAAGCTTTCTGCATATGATGCCCTTGGCCTGCGCATCCTCCTTGATCCATTCAATCGCGCTTTGCTTTTCAGCGGCTGTGGGAGAACCAGCGACAGCTGGTGAAGGCATGACTAACGCAAATTCTGCATAGTTATTGGGGTCGGTGCCGGAACTGCAATGGTTCCAAAGTCCGTCTCCTTGGAGGGCGAGAGTAACTGCACGACGCCAAGCAGGATAGTCGTCGGCACCAGACAATTCAGTGATGAAGTCGTATTTCCCCATGGTGGATGTGGCTGTATATGTTTATCCGCAGTGAGCGTTGGAGTTCGTACGTGAGCGGTCGGCTTCCTGGATCTGAGCTTGTTCAGAGCTCAGGGCTCATAACCTATAGGAAGCTAGACACACGGAGTAAGTCTCAGCGGACGGTGAAGCAACGCTATCATTAACTACCTAGACACACGGAGTAAGTCTAGAACAAATGTTAACGTTAACAAGATGATAAGTGAGACAAGAATGTGATCATACCTCAGCGGACGGTGAAGCAACGCTGAGGTAGAGTGGAAACGGGGAAGGGATTAAATACAGGAATGTCAAGAAGTCCGAGACGGAGAGAAGCGAGTCCGAGACGGAAAGAAGCGACTGATACACGAGGGTGATATAAGATGTCGAAGGTGCTACGAGTCGATAAGAGTCAAGAAAGGAAATAAGAATTCATAGCATGTCCCGGAGGTTAATCCTCCGGGACTCGTACCGTGTGGGCGCACTCTTCTGTCCTCTTTCATCCTCTTTCGTCCTTATCGCCAATAGTTCTGTCTGTGTTACTGAGTGATTGAATGTAGTTGGTAGGAAGCCGTTCTCCTATCAGCGAGCGAGCGAGCGAAGGAATCTAGACCATCTAATGATGCTTGTCGCACTGCTTGAATGACAGCATTCACATCCATTGAAGTTGTAGCGCAGATACATGCATTTGACGCGACGCGTCGCGTCAAATTTCAAAATTTCAAACAATAATTTTAGTATTCACGTCAAAAATTTCAGTTTTCCCATTGGCTACAGATCACGTTACCTGACGAACCCGCGCACTATCCAAATTCAAACCCAGATTTACCAGTCTGTCTAATCGACGGCTTGCCTCATTAGACAGACTGGCCACGAGTCTACGTCCAAGTTACATTCAGAATCACTGGCTTCCTATACGTTGTACTCATGTACGTCATACTCCAATATTCAATTCCGAAGACAGTCAATTATCCTGTGTTCTCTCTTTGTTTCCTCTATCCGATGACCTCACGATATCCGAGTTGCAGAAGACCAGCCCTGTCCTCGTCAAGTATTTATCGAGCCCCTCCTCCTTTCCCTTCCCGTTCATTGCGATATCAACTTTTCTGTTCCCCGCAGGCCATGCGGAGCATTTTCTGCTGACTTTGCTCAGATCTTTTCCTTGACCGTCGTCTGCGCTCTCTATTACCCGCACTCGTAAGTCTCTTTTTCTCCTCCGTTAAATTTACTCTCTCAAAATTAGTTACCGTCGCTGGCAGACGACAGCAAACGCCACTGCCGTCGACCCATCATCAATCCTCCGTTCCACCCTCTCAAGTCTCAACTCCTCCGCATAGCACGAGAATCTCTTCAGAGCTCTAGGAATGGCATGGCAAACTGAGGAATCGGACTGTATCATCTATGGATGATACTTGTACATCACCACTTGCAAAGTACATGATCAGCTTGGGTATGTACATATAAACTCTGGTAGTTCTATTAATCACACAGTTTTTCACCATCTAGATCTAGGCGTGTGACTGGTAACAGCACCAGCAAGGGCGATCACTGTAAGCACATAGTAAGGCCGATCTCACCTCACTTCACCTTTCTTTTCACTCATGTTACGCATCTTCTCGCGTTTCTACTTCCACTTCCACCCTTGCAAACGACTGAATCTATCCTGCAGTTCTTCAAGCTCGGCCCGTGGTACCCACAGTCAGTACCGTACTTGAATACCGCATTCTCCCACTAAATCATCACGCTACAGTACAATTCTGACCTCCGAGCTTCAAGTAATATTCGCGTAAGCACCTCCGGCACCCAGGTCATCGACCAGAGCATTCGAGACGCATATCACGCGCCACTGGAAAGGTCACTGTTCTCTCTGAAGAGTTCCGACCCCGCAAAAAGTGCCGCACGCTTGATCCAGAGTACTGCTCCATTGCTACAAGAGCATGCATGTCGCTCGCGGAAATACTGGTCTGATGAAAGACTTGCTCCAATGCAGTGCACAAGGCGTACTTCACACAGTGTATGCATCGTTTCCGTGCTGCTATTGATGAATATGGCTGATGCCTTGACGTAGGGGATAGATCGTATTGACAGAGCATATGGACAGAGCATTACTTGCGTTGTCTGTCGCTCCCCAGGTATCCGTGTTAGTACAGGTGGACAAGCCTCCGGGATGGGCAAGGCAATGATGTCAGAGGAGTGCATTTAGTACCTCGTCGCCTTGAAGCGAGAGTACTCTACTATCTGTGCATCCGGGTGCATGCACGGTGTCTTCAGCAAAATATTTACATTCGACCAACCGCCCCAGCACGCGGGACCATGTAATCAATACGTCCACTTCCGTTGTCAGAGTATCCACCTCATAACGAGTACGACAGTCCCTTGGGCATGCATCTCCGTAGTTCTCCTTATGACCACTGTTCTCCACACGGCGTCGTGCCAACTACGGTTATCTAGATCTCGAGTCTTTCTGATCTTCGAGTTCTCCCGTTCTCCTGCATTCGCACATCTTGAATGCGCTGTCCAATCGTGCTTGCATTCATTGTTTCCAAATCTGACGTGTCTTGGCACTTCATCGTCGGAAGCACAGGCCTTGTCTCATCCATTCACAAGCGAAACCCGCACGTTTGCATGTATGAAGCACATGTTTATTCCTACAGATGATAATTGTCGTCATCCCCGCCGTCCCCCGGCCTTCAGCCTGAAAGATGTGGATTCTCAGGCAATGGTCGATTCAAAAACGATAACGATCTTGACTGGTACCAAAGTGGTACGATTTATGTTCCATTGTGCCGTTTCATGTAGGCGTGGTCGCGTTGTTCATTTGATTAATTCCGACCCATGAACGTGCGGTCGGGACTAAATAACCTACACCTTATGCCCCAAGGAAGATTCTGAACGGATGGATTGAATCATTGATGTATTTGTATTTGGGAACGGCAGTCTGCAATTCTCACCTCGCGGGCCCGCAGTTGAATTCCTGCGAGAGCTCATCCCGCTGTCTTTTCCATCGATGAATAACGTTCTCAGTTCAGTGGTAGCTATACTACGAGAGTTCAGGGAATGCACACGTGTTGGAACCTCCCACATTTGAGAGATGCACATGAACGCGCAAATGGGGTGATGCAAATGCAATCAAGCGATATATATGACAGTATTGGCGCATCTAAATGTCTGTGATCGCGAGGACAACTGGCAAGAAATGAGATGTGGGTAGTAGCAGTACGTCGCGCACGGTATGAAAAACATCCAGATTTCAATGATTGTATTTGCAGTGGCTTGTCGCCGAAACCCCCTCCCCTCTGATGCTACACTCCCTCGTTGATGTCTGCCGCTCACTTGGGTTGAGGATTGCAGGGAAAATTCTTGCATGGGGAGGTCGAAGCAACTGAAACGAGGATAGCGCCCGCAGGCAGGAAGAGAGTAGAGGAAGAGCAAGCGAGGTTGCGAGCTGAATGCAAGTCTGTTGGGCTACCGTACACTGCGAAAGAAGGCTATGATAACAAGCTTACCTCAATCTTCAAGTTCCTAGATCTGAGTGTCCTCGTTCGTCAGGTGAGGGTCTGAGTCTGAGTTTGATGGTGTTTGATGACACGATGGTACCTAGCGATGAACCCAAGATTAGGATTGTGATGCAAAACGTAGTCGAATATGTCCAAGAAGAAGCACAGCGAGAATTGATAGAAGTGGTTGACCAAGTGTGAAGTCGGAAGTTCGGAACTCTCCTTGAGCCTTCATCAAATCAGTTCTCTTGCGTTCAGTGTCCGGACGTTCGACTTTGAGAACTTGGTCTAGCGACTGACTATGGAGACTACGCCTCGTCAGGGTGAAGTTGACAAACATTACCCTGCTGGAGATATCTGGAGAGAACTCGACGGAGCTCGGGGTCGCGAATGGACAAAAACATTACGCTATTTTGCACACGGCACATCATGGCACGAGTGTCGGATGTACTAGGAGGCAGTGTTGTCTTCGCGATAAAGATCTATGGGTCACACCATGGGCATGTTACAGTACTTTGTTAGTTGACTGAAGATAGTGATTACATAATTTACACAGGTATCATACAACGCATATTTGCCAATTGTTGCGGTGCTTCATTATGACTTCATTCGTTCTGTACTATTTCACTGTACCACAGACTCGGAATGCTTGCAACGTCCGAATAGATTATGTTCCATCGTTACTTATCTCTAGACACGCTTGCCCGTTGATTGTCTGCTAACACTCGACTGCGCAGGTCTAGTGAACTTGAACTGCACCTCTCAACAACGGTCATTTTGCCTGAATCAGATCCATCCTCACCATTTCTAATCTCGTATAAATCAGTGGCTCGCCAGCCCTTGAATGCACTAACAGCATAGTTGTGATCCAGCTACCCGAACGACACTGGACGAAGGCTGGTCACGAGAAGCTTATTTTGATCATGCTATGCGCCCTCGAGAGCGGGTGGGAGTGAGAGGTGCTTGGATGGTGGGGATCGAGGGAAGTAGGCGAGGCGCAATGAAAGGCCGCGTGCCATGAGTATTGGAGTTGGAGACGGAGAGGACAATGCAGATGTTGGGTGGGGAATAGGGATGGTGATTTTGGGCGTCGACTAGTGCTTGAAGGTTCGTTCCTGTAAGAGTAGTCATAATAGGTGTTCCTTGACGTTTCATCAAGTCTAGCTTCTCCTAACTTGCGACTTTACTCCTTCCAGTCCAGTCATCGCCATAATACTATCAATCGCGTCATTTTGCTCACCCAAGAGCCTCTTCTGCGATTCCCAGTCGTCACGAGCAGCAGACCTCTTTTGGCTACCAGGAGGTTGCGAAGGAGTCGATGAGGGATCTGAGGATTGCTGTGAGGGAGAATCATGCGTTTACACTGCCGTCTTTCAAGAAACTTGCTGTTTTCTGCGCGCGGACTTTTGCCTCTTGGATCTCTCGTTCCTTCTGCTTGAGCATAGCCTCTCTTTGCTTCGCAGTATTGGCATCTGCAATAAATGTAACACGTAGAACAGATAAGAAGGAAGGCAATGAGCAAAACCGCGGACGGACGAATAGTCATCATACATGGGAGGTCCGCTATAGTCCCGGTCCGCTCTTTTCATCACATCAATTATTACCTTACGAGCCTCTCTTGTATATCTATGTTGTCAAACTCGAACAGGCTAACATGATCAGAGTCACGGTGAACCTCCAAAAAAGTCATAAGTGCGTGCATGGTATTTGATATCGAGAAATGATGGATGTTCTTGGGAGCGTGCTGCGAGGGCGCGTCCTCTTCGACAGAAACCGGACTCATGTTTTGAAGCTGGAGTGTTTGAAGGCGAGGTCTGTTGAGAGGAGTATCTGGAGAATCCGCGGAGACCACATTTTCTTGGTATATCTTTGGGACCGAATTTACCGCACATTGATCATTGTTTGATCGAGCACACATTTTGATGTGAGTAAACCAAAGTCTGATGGAGATTGAGATTGACTTGGCATTGCAAGGTTCATGATGGCGATGGCAGTGAAGTGCACTGATGGAAAACGGACCAAATGATGTGATCCCCACTGTGGCGGCACTAGCTTCTATTCCACGCAGCAAGGCAAATTCAAACATGCACATTCATAAGTTATAACGTCTTGTCAGTTCCGTGCCTTCTCGCACAACATGTTATCTGACAGCAGCACTATAGTAGGATGGCCTATCCATGTCAATGACGGTGATAACCAAGCAGTGCGAAGTTCGTAATATAAATTCTTCTGAAAGTGTGGAATGCCCTGCTCTTCTTCAGCCTTGCAGCCTTCTCGTCTCAGTTGCTTTAATCAATATCGCACCCTTACTACGTGCCTATGCTGTATTCAACTAAACCTCCAAGCGGAAGTCACATTTACGCATCCAACCTGGTCGCAGGTAGCGGCAGCCATCCGGTTTAGCCCTATAAACGATAAACGATCTTTAATTGGCTGACTACGCTACTGATGTAACTCAGGTACTACATATAGAAGTGCCTCGTCAGCTCTTCGAAATAAATAGTCACTATGAATGTGACTGCAACTTGCAGACGCTATGAGATCCAGCAGGTTCTAGCCAATACGTTGATTGAAGCACGCGCATGATTTGAATATATCTGGGAGGGATGAGCGATGAACATAGGAAGGTGATGTTGGCGGTGGGCATAACATGACGACTCGACTCGATCAACACGGTTTATACCCATACATGTTCTACACATGGAAACCGGACTAGCTAGTTGTACAACAAAAACATGAAAGTACGTACGAGAACAAAATGTGTGATACAAACATATCATACTTTCATTTTGATACGTACAGAGCGACGAGGACCCGTAGCTAATGACGCCATGTTGTTTGAGCCCGAAGGATGAGCTATTCTCGACGATGATGCTATTATAGGTAGGGGTGATGCTGTAGCAGGCGGGACGTAGTATTCGGGCACCTCCTGTGGGAGCTGAGAGAGCCACTTATAGAGGAGTGTAGCGAGCTCCTTGTGAGATACGCCGGAGGGAAGACCGTTTGTCTTGCATGCGGCCTCGGCGGCCGCGAGAATTAAATGGCGCCACTCTTGAATGATTGGACCGAATGACTGAAAGAACGACGTTGTCTGTGACATTAGTGACGTGTCGCCGGGGTTTGAGAGCACAAATCCTTGCTTGGTAGTCCAGGACTTGTGACCCATGAGGAGCCAGTATTGGTACCACATGGGCTTCTTGGCCTCGTCTTTCTTCATGGCGCATGGCCCGTCGAACGTAGTCGCAAATTCGACGAAGATGTAGAATAGAGATTCTAGATCATCACCAGCTGTATGCGAGACCGTCTCCTGGCTCTCGCTGTCGTCAAGACTTTCTCGCAGAAGGCGAATAGACATATAGGGCCTGGTACCCTTCAGACAATGCGATCAGTTATGTGTGCGCAGCAAAAATTCCAACCGTACCGTGCCCTCCGATTGAATACTGTGGCTATCAGTCGTGATCCCGGCGTGATCGAAATCAATAAAGTACACTTGACCGTCGTAGAGTATGAAGTTATTCGGGCTCAGATCTCCGTGCAGGACGTGGCAGTCGAGCATTAAGCCATGAGCTACAAGTTGATTGTTAATTTCAGGCTTCGATTCATATGGACTCGAAACTCACCAACTACTATGTCGTGGAAGGCTTTTACCAGCTCTGTCCTGGAGGAATAGGTCAAGAGCAGCTCTCCACACGGGCTCAAAAGAAGGCGCCGGTGGTACCTGCGGATGAACCCAGCGCTACTCGTACCATAAGAGGCTCGAATGCGATCTGTGCAGTCCGGCACCCCATCGTAAAGGACGTCCCACTCATCCACGAGCCTCACTACGTTCGGGACGCCCGCAACCATCCGAAGAACGTTTCCCTCGTGATATCTCCTGTTTTCAGGGACCCAACAGTCTTTCAGTGCGTACTCATCTCCGCCTGGAGTCTGAACGCGGTAGCAAGTGGTGCCACGGGAGAAGAAACCTTGGCTTCGCCAAAGAATGCTCATGATTGACAAGTGAGTCCCGTCTTTACCCTCTATCCAACCTATCGCTTTCTCCCTCAGATCATGGTGCGTGTTCTTGCAGGTACAATCGCACATGTGCATCGTGGGATCGAAACCGAGGGTGTTGGTGTGCGCGAGAGTGACAGTATTTAAGACGTCGAGAAGACGTACCGGGTTTTTGGTGATGGAGATGGGGCGGGAAATGATAAGACCCGAGCGGTCGAAGTAATGTAAGCGAAGTTGGTTGTGGGCGATAGAGAAGATGAAGACGAATCGGCGCCAGGGTTGCTCACGCATTAAAAGATACCCTTTGGTGGCGGAACCCCGATACAAAGGTATCTGCGTGTTTAGTTCGCTGTCCGTAAGCTCGACGCATGTGATGATATTGCACCATCGTAACGAGGAGTCACGTAGGCTGCAATCTACCAGAATGATGTCTGGCTTTTGCGCATTGGTATCGTCCGGGACGACGATAGTAGAAAATTTGGAAGACCAGATACGCTTTGGCTGGCCACAGACAAGATCCATGGGCCGGAAGGGGAATGATTTTGAGGGATTTGGGAAACATTTCGCGTACAACGAATGCATGACTGCTTGCACGGTATTGAAAAGCAGGGTCCATCTGCCTTCTGCTGTCGCCGATGTCTTGACTCGCTTGTTGTTCGGATTCTTGTCGTTGTATTCTTGAGCGTTGAAGCTCTTGTCGGTATCAGGTGCTGTCAGGGAAGAATCCGACCCCTCCACTTCTGTGTCGGTCAGCGCGGACACCGCCGTGCTTGTCTGCGAACGCAGCTTCGTCTTCTTGTGCGGCATCTGCTTCCTGCTAGCCGAAGTCCTCGCCAAACTCCTTGGTTGGACGTTCTTCCTATCCAATTGCCACGTGCCGCCCGCGCCCCTGGTAGCAGGTATGAACACAGGCACTACGGTACTTTTCCTCCCTGAGCTAGACTCAATTGGTTGATACAGAATGGTACCGATACTCTCTGGTGTGAAATCTGATTGTATGAAGATGGCGTCCATGACGGACTCAACATTTCGGGGGAGCGACTTTTCTTCCCACATAACGTTACCGTCGAGTTCTTCATCGAGGACCTTGTTCATCTCGTTCTGGTTGCGAGGTGCGGGAACTACATTTGTCGTCGTGATCGATGCAAGGAGGCATCGGCGATACGACGTTGTGCTTACTACCTGTTGCATGATGGTTGATGGTTAGTTCTGAAAGGTAACCCTGCTGGCAATCGATTAGTTTGCAAATTAAATCTAATCTACTGATCTGTGATTTCGCGTTTCGGTCACGACTCACAAGGAAACTCACGGCCGCAGGCATCAGCCTTCCCGAAAGGGAATAAGCCACCTTGCGCCCTCATCCCATCCGATCATTTCAGCTTCACTCAAGGGTGATCGTCCGGCGGTATTTTTTATATCAATTAGATCAGCCCCAGTAAAGTGAACCAACTTCTGCGCTACTTCGAGATGCTGGTTCAGCGCTGCTTGGTGAAGGGCAGTCGGGCCGGCGCTATTGTGTGCAGACAGGGCGGAAGGGGTGACAAGAGGAAGAAGATAATCCAGCACGTCTACGATATGCCTTACGCGAATCGGTTCTCGTGGTATGGAGATTGTGATACGATGAGATCGCATCTCACCTATGTGTCCATTTCTGCATGTCATGTGTAGCGCAGTGTTTCCGTTGTCGTCTCGAACACGGGAGAGGACGTCTGAGCCGAATTTTGTCACTCGAGCGAATGGGTGAGTGAATCCTCTCGCGTGCTTCAGATAAGCATTCGCGCATGACCGAATCTAGTGCTTGAGAATCTGGAGAATAAGTTGGGCGCGCATAGTACGAGACGAAACGTACTTGATGCATACATAAGTTCACGTCACACTAAGCTTCTCTACAATAGACGGTCCCGACTGACTGATGTGCAAATCAATCTATCATCTCCAAGACGAATTAGAGTGCGAGTCGTCAATGATGATTGTTATTCATGATAGCGGAAAACACTGAGAGATAACAGAAGGAGGATATCAAAATGAATCTTCTAACATCATGAATTTGACTACCATCGGTGGACGGAGATGCCCAGAAGAGGAACAGCACAACACGAGCCCACCACTTTGGGTTCTTCATGTGTTTGCCCTTGTCGTCAGCTCGGAAATAGAGGGTTGTGTAGAGGGTTGTGCAGACGGAATAGAAGGAATAACTGATTTCGGGGCGAACCTGGCTGTTCCAACCCAGGTTGAACCAGAACCACCTTCATGATCTTCGAACAGTCGAAGGGGTGCGGAGTGTAGAATGAGCTGAGCCAATTTCTGAAGGTTGATGATTTTGAGGACGATCGAACTTGAAGCGAACTTTGCGGTCTTTGCTGTTGTTTTACTGCTCTACAACGTCAGGCGTGTATTAATATCGTGGGCGCGCCTTGCTACTAATGTATCGGTACCTTTAGATTTCAAATTTCAATTGTAAGAAGTGGACAACCAGATACGTCTGCACCAACCGAACAGTGAGGAGCTACTAGGCTGTCATTTCTTCATGACTGTTCTGGGTGTTATTCTGCGACTCGGAAACCTTAGATTGTGACACGTGGGGATGTGATTACAGCGTCAGGTATCAGAAACAAGCTGCAACGCTGTCGGGAAACCAGGCTCCAGTCCGAGCTACGTCAGGGCCCAATCGAAGACTCGTGATGAATTATGCAGTTGCACAAAGTTGTCCCAGGAGCTCCAATGGCTTTGCGATCTGAGAAACACGTTGCTTGTCTCCACTTGATGCGCGTTTGTGTATAGGCGTTCCTAAACAAGGCTATTCTGCGCGTGTTGCGTGGTGCAGTACCCTGATCAGCATGTTGGCGATATACCATGATTGAATTTCTCGCGAAGCTCGTCGGTGAAATGCGTAAGTGGTGCACCTGGTTTCAGTTGAAGCCGATAGAATAAGAGTCTAGGACTGACTTGGAGTTTTGTGCGTACTACAGAAGAGATTGGAGACGGTAAACGGCAGAACAAGTGCCGTGCTGGTCATCATTATGAAAGGCATTAGTCATTGTTTGTTCAAGTTCCCGGACCTCGGTGGCTGCTACTAGATATCGACGGTCTCTTCTCTTCCATCCCAGACAAAACAATGAAGCCTATGCAGAGTTCAGATATAGTATATGAGCCGAAAGGACTCAGCTCATATGATCCTTCACTCGCACTAATACACAACCCTGTTCTGCAGTTGCTTGCCCTCTCCTAGTAGACTATGTTGACACTCACCAACGTCACTTGGCTCGACATACTACTATGCCTTGCTTGTGCCGGAGTATATTTTCTAATGTGGGTCTTCAACAGGAAGAATCCTGCGCCATATCCTCCTGGTCCCCCGGGGTGGCCTCTCATCGGCAACATCTTAAACGCGCCTCACATCCGAGTCAGGCCCTGGCTCACCTTCACTACGTGGGGCAAGAAGTATGGTGAGTACCTACCGTTTCGCCGACATCATGTGTTCCAAAGTCTTGTCTGCAGGTAATATCTCGCACATCGAAGTTATGGGCCAACACATCGTGGCGCTGAACTCCGTCAAGACTGCGATGGACACGCTGGACAAAAAGGTTGCTCTCTACTCTGAACGTCTTATCGTTTCCTATTGGCGATGAAGTTGTTGGCTGGAAACACAGCCTGGCCCTTCTCCCTGACGGTGTCCGCTTTTGCTGGTCTCGCAGGAACCTCCACTGCGTGATTGGCAGTCGAGCCGCAGTAGGCATATACAGCCGGATCGAAGAGGTCGAGACTTGCCGATTCCTTAAGCGTGTGCTCACGAAACCCGGTCAACTACAGGCACACATCCGACAGTACGTATTATTTGTCTTTACATCGACGTGATCTTGATTTTTATAGCACCACTGGTGCCATCATCCTGCGCATCTCTTATTGTTATTAAGTGAAGAAGAACGACGATCCTTTCGTTGACCTTGCGGATCGCGGTTTAGATCTATTCTCATCCAGATGTTTGCTTCTATTTCTCTCACCATTTGTAGTGGTCAAAGCCCCCGAACGGTTCCCTGGTGCTGGCTTCAAGCGCCTAGTCCGTGAATGGCGTGAGACCCTCGAAGATATGGTTTTTACACCGTACAATTTCGTCAAGGATCAGATGGTGATCAACATCTGTTGTTTTGCGATCATGTACAGAAGTTTAATTTTCACAGGCAGCTGGAATTGCCCCGGAGTCTTTTACTTCGAATCTGTTGGAAAACCGTACTTTGTCCGTAGAAGACAATAATGTTCTGAAGTGGTCTGCCGCATCTCTATACGCCGGCGGTGCCGACACGGTTAGTCCATCCCTATCTATTGCTAATCATTAGTTCTAAGAGTACTACCCTGCTTTTCCTCAGACTGTTTCTGTGATCTACTCGTTCTTCCTGGAATAGTGTCCCGAAATAGATGCTGTCATCGGTCCTGATCGTCTTCCCTCCTTCGCCGACAGAGGGTCTCTCCCCTATACCGAGGTGCTTGCTAAAGAAGTACTGCGATGGAATGTTGTCGCCCCTACCGGTCCGTGTATCTTGTTTATCACATTCTTTCGTTGCCGAACGGTATCTGAACGACAGGTTTACCCCACCGTGTCACTGAGGATGACATCCATGATGGGTATTTCATTCCAAAATGTTCCTTGGTAATACCTAACATTTGGTTGGTACACCCGTTCTCTGCATTTGATATTCTAATAGAACGTATGTCATGACAGGTTCATGCTCAATAACCCCGCAAACATATCCTAGTCCCTTGCAATTCAATCCTGAATGATTTTTGTCTAATGACGAAAAGAAGCTCGAGACCGACCACCGGACAATCTGCTTTGGCTTTGGAAGACGGTGAGCATAGAGTTGGTTGCCTGTGAAATGCTAACTTTCTGCTTTGCAGCATCTGTCCAGGTATACTCAACTCGCAGAAAGCGCCGATCAACATTCTGATGCTTCTTGTTTTTGATATATAGGTATCCACCTCGCTGAAGCCGCTATCAGAACTCCGAGAATTGGTACGACGAGGTACGTCGACGCAGAATTACCTCATTTGAGTTCGACGATGACTTTATTGCGCAATGGCTACCAGCCCGCAGTGCAGAAATGACTCTAGGAGCTCTGTCGAATGCACTCGATCCAGCCTCCTGACAATAACTTCCATTGGGCACGCGTTTTCGCCCGTCATATGTAACCGCCAGATCGCAGCGGGAGAATGCAGCGATTGTAGCACTCGCCGGTGCAGTGCAAGAAATGAGCAAGCATTTATCTTTTGCGCAAGTCGATCTCTTCAAAAATTGGCATACTCGCAGATGCTTACGAACGAACTCGCAGTCAACTCTTCTGTGCTTTGCTATAAAGCACTGCGCCGCAGGGATACCAGCGGAAAAACTTCTGGTGACGAAGAAGGAAGTGCTGACCTTTGAAAAATTGCGAATCTCGCGCAGTGCGAGTTATAGTCTCCTGTGAATGAGAATGATTCAATCCACCTTGAAGAGGCGATGCGTATGCTGTCGCTCAACGACTTTGGGATTTTGCCGCAATCTTCTCGTCTCCTCTACGGCTCGTGATAGCGATGGTTTTTCATGCGACACTACAACTGGACATGCAATTCTTATCTTTATAGCTTGTGTATCGATGCAGCGTATTGAGGCGCTCGTCGCGGAGCAAGAGGTTCCTGAATGCGCTTCATCACTGTCGGCAGTGGATACCAGCTCCGAAGCGGATTTCTGAGACATAGGCTTTAATAACGCGACCTTTGAATGTCACGGAGTTCACAAAGAATCGATGACTGAAAATCACTTCCAACTTGGACCTCTGAACATCAAGTTTCCGAAAGGCCAGCTGAGCCTTATCAGTGGTGCTATGCCATGCTTACAGCGTTGCTTGGCGACTTGCGGTCAGAAGTCGGCCCTTAGATGCGTTCATTCTAGAAATGCATTGTTTATCTGGTGATGTATTCATAAACAAGAGGAGGCATCAAGTGGCTTACTGCGCCCAAACACCTTGCAAGTGAATGTCATCATAGCGCAGCTTAGTCGCCCACTCAAATTGATGTGCAGGGTTTGGACGCGCAACCATAAGGGATGACATCATTTTCGGCTCCAAGCTTGGCTTCGATGAGGCGCGATACCACGCAGTCGTTGAGGCATGTGCTCTTGAACGCGAGCTTGTTGTTTTCGAAGCTGGTGACATGGCTGGTAAGGGTTCTCTTATCCATCCATCATTGCCAAGGCGTTACTTTGAACCTCAGAAATCGGCGAGAAAAGCATCACGCTATCCGGTGGACAGAGAGCTCGTATTGCCTTGGCACGCAGTGTGTGCTCGGAAGCTGACGCGAGTCTTCTGCCAGTCTATTGTTTCCGTTATCTTAACCGACCTCGTTACTGGATAGTGCATCCTTGATGATCTGTAGGCATTTTCTGTCAAGGTCACTGTTTTTTCTAAATATTCTTCAGCGTCGATATGCATACTGCACAACACGTTGTGCAGCACTGCTTGTTCGGGGAACTGGCTCGTGATCGGACAATTATCCTGGTAACTAGTTTATGTTTACCGACTGAGCTGTCTCGCGGCAGCATTGCCCGTGCTGGCGATGAAGAGGCGTTCCAGGATATCGGAGATTTTGATGTTCTTAACGAGGTTGTCGATGAAGAAACAGAGGTCGCTACTTCGGGAATCCAAACTCCAGATGACAACATAGCCAAAGATGCTCTTCCAAAGCAATGGCCGTCTCGATCTGTTAGAAACTTAGTGGAGGCCGAAGTTCGAGCGGAAGGCCGGGTGCCTTTCAGGACGTATTGCATTTACATCAAGGCTGTAGGTTCAGTGTCCTGGGCATTGACTGTTGTCTTGATGCTCATGATCCGCATGATTAACATCGGGAATCAGGTGCGGTTGCAGGTCTTGACCACATACATATTGCCAACTTTTTGGTGGATCTTACGACGCCTCCGCTCCGGTTTTCCTTCCAAACGTCAAATATCCTTGGGATCATTTACCCCCTCCTGACGCCAATGTCAAACCATGGCTTTTGATTTACCTCTATATCTCTATCGCAGGGGGATGACAATGGTATCATCACGCCGGGACAAGATGGTATGATCAGTAAATGAACGCGAAACGCAAGTGTTGATGTTCTTGGACTCTAGCTGACCATCTGAGCCAGAACCAGAATCATTGGCAATGGGTAGAGCTCCTCGATGCAGGGAAGGAGGAGTCCATCAGCTTCACCTACAACAGGGATCGCCTTGCTGTTGCATTTCCTTGCTTCGGTGTGAGGGTGTGGCTATGAATCAAAGATTTGTATTTCTCTCGAGTTTCAGCAAGCATAATGAGATCTGTCACAGGCGCATTGCAACCACAGCGGTCCATTTTTTTGACAAGATGTGACGTGTATATCAAGTTCGTCGAGGACGGTGATGTTACGGACTAGGATAGTTCGAGCTCTCCTTAGGCGGATTGCCTAATCTGATAGCGGGCTCGCTATTGGAGAGACGGGGATCTTCTCTCGAATGAGAGGTTCGGGGGTTCCACTTAAGGTAGCGTCGGCTTTCCTTAAGGTGCGGTTCAGACTGAAGGACTGGGACTGTCTTTCAGAGGAAGTTCTGGATAAAACCTAGTAGATTAAAGTAAAGTCTACAACAGTGGGTAGGTAGGTTTATATATCAATGTTCAAGCGGAGCTTGTAAATGCGTTATCAAGATAGAAGCAAGAATAGGCGGACAGCCCGCTTGGTGAGATAAGAGATAAGCATGATAAGAGATAAGCGTGGTACGGACGGCCCGTTTGTAAGCATGACTCTTCTATCTGTCCTCAAGGCGTAACATGCGGCTTCTCTTCTAACTGCGCATGCTAAGGCATGCGGCTTCTCTTCTGACCATGAAGCAGAGCTTCTCCATGATCCGGGTCAAAGACCATCTAGGTCCGATCAGATGTAGCCTAGGCTGGTCTAGGTCATCTAACGGCATCCAGGCCGTTCTAGGTGTCTCTACGAATCTTCGTTGAGTCGGTAAGTCTTTCCAAGACGGTGCATATGGTGGGATAGGGGCTAAGGTCATGATGACCTCCGTAGGAGGGGTTCTCGGTTACATGTTATTGTAACATTACCTCCGTTTCTGGGTCGAAGTCACCGACTACGACAAAACTCTCTCCCGGGTTTCTTCGTCTGGAGTGGCAGTAGTACTGCGGGTATCAAAGGGAGTGGGTGAACGCGGCGCGGGGTGGTGCTTGATTAACTTTTCTAGTGCGACGTGGTTCTTCTCCCAATCTACGAGGAGTTCGTAGTATTCCTCGTCGTCTCGAAACTCTGGGAGGTATGATACTTCTCCGAGTTGAGGGCAGTGGACCGACAAGTGGTCGGGTCCGATTTCGTTGCAGATGCAACACACAGCGTTTGGACACTTTCTAAAGTTGTGTCCGTATCCTCCGCATCGTCGACAGATGCAGGTGCGTTTTACTCGCGCTTTCTTGGTAGGGCGCGGGGGTCTTTCTATCTTTTCTCCAACGCGTTTCTTTGCGATGTCTATAAGGTCGCTGAAGTTGTCGGGGAGTAAGTGGAGCGCCAATGCGCGGATTTTCTTCTGGTCTTCCAGCACTAGGAGGGCTCTAGTTGCTGGGTCTAAGTCTTCACGGTTCACCGATATTTCTAGGTGTCGCGTGGTGCGGATAATGTCTATCACCAATGATGTAGAGGCGGCGATGTTGACATCTGACTGTCCTAGGATGTCGCTGATCTCTAGGAAGTGATCTGGGGAGAGGATGGCCGTTTCGGCGACGGCGCCTTTCTCGAGGTGTTCGAGGATTTTGGAAAATCCCGAGTTCTTTAGGGGAACGATGGCAGAGGCTTCGATGTTGTTAGGCATGATTGTTGCGAGAGTTTCTGGCGAGTATATCGTTGTAGAGGTTTTATATAGGCCTCCAAGAGTGCTCTAAGCTCCGCTTTAATCAGTTAACTTATCTTTTTAATCTCTTTATCAAAGTTCAATCATGAAGGCGTGGAGTGCCTCATGGTTCTTTTTATCAAAGTTCAATCATGAAGGCGTGGAGTGCCTCATGGTTCTCTTTATCAAAGTTCAATCATGAAGGCGTGGAGTGCCTCATGGTTCTCTTGGCAGAGGGGAAGTTACCATGCCAGTGCGTTCGAGGGATAGTTTCGAGTTATTTCGGACTATCAGAAGCGGAAGTTTTGCGTCATTGCGGACGTGCGTGTCTTGATCTTTCGTTTTAGTCGAATTCTGTCAAGATCTGGGGTATGTCGTTCTGAGATGTTCTTTTTGTTGAATTCTCGGTCGGCGTTCTAGAGGGTTCCATGGGCTTGCAGGAGTTTCCGTGGAGTTCGTCTCGTGATAGTTTAGCGTCTTTCCGGACAGGGGATAGTTTAAGGTCTTTCCGGACAGGGGATAGTTTAAGGTCTTTCCGGACCGGGGATAGTTTAAGGTCTTTCCGGACCGAGGATAGTTTCAAGTCATTTCGGACTTCTGCGCAGTTTATAGTCGTGCCGGACTCAGGTACAGTTTATAGTCATGCCGGACTCGTGTACAGTTTATAGTCATGCCGGACTCGTGTACAGTTTATAGTCATGCCGGACTCGTGGCGATTGTCGATATTTATAGATAAGGGTGCGGCCGGGGTGAGGGGAATTAAGAGTAAAATGAGTTTTTAAATGAGAATTTCACCCCCCAAGTAGGCCGTTTGATCACCGATCAAATCTAGAAGTCTAAATCAGGGTTTCCGCAGTCAGGGTCAGACTGATCCGTGACTGGTGCGATCTCTCCCTGGAATAACCTAACATTCACAGGGTCGTCCTGGCGGGGACAGTGTCTTGCGATACGCTTTATCGTTCGCTGAAAGTAGTTCTGCTGTTTAATCCGATCTACTTCCATCGGAGTCGTCGCGGGTTCTTCTGCTATGGCAGGGGCCACGGGGGCAGTATTAACGACTATCTCGTCGTTATCTTCATCGTCAGTTTCTTCCATCATTTCCTTATCGGCTGGTGTGGGCACGAGGAATGGGCGAGTGACTGGTGCGGTTCTTGATCGTTCTGGGAAAGAAACGATCGGCTCGGCCTGGTTGATCCATTGATCAGCGGCCGGTTCTTCTTCTACTAGTTTATACTCTTGGCGGAGTTTCTTCGGTGACGGCGCTTCTGCCGTGACTACCGATCTTCCTTTTCCAAGAACCGAAGCAGGTTCTGCGGAAAAGATGTACTTCTGAGTTTTCTCCGGTTCAGGGGCCGGTCTAGGGATCTTTGCACGAGGGGGTTCCTCGTCGAAAGTGGCTCTGCCTTTTCCTAAGATCTGGGCAGGTACTGCAGAAAATCTATATTTATCTGCGGGTGGTGAGGTGACAACTAAGTCCGACTGTCTCATGGACTTCTTTTCGACGTTCTGGGAAGTCGAGGCGTGGGGTTCCAACGGCTTGGTAGCCGGTGCGTACTCGAGGATTTCGTGAAGTTTCTCGATCGGGGTCAATGTGGGAATGAATATCTGTTTTCCCGAAGTTAGTTTCGACTCGTTTCGGAGATCTTCCATCGGCGAATCAGCCGGTTCTGGTAGTTTAGCCTCATTTCGGAGGTTCTGCGTGACAGGTGCTTCTGTCAGATCTAGTTTATACTCTTCTCGGAGTTCTTCTTTCTTCTTCGTCAGGGTGCCTATCTCCCTTCTTTGGCGCGTGTTTCGCGTCCTCTTTTCTCTACGGAAGAGCGGCTTCAACCCGTTCCTCTTCCTACCTCTCTCAATCATTCTCTCAAGTCCTTTTGACTTGTCAGTGGCAGGGATGGTTACCGTACCTTTCTTCCAGTCTATGGAAGGCTTCACAGCGGCCAGCCATGTGAATCCGAGTAAGATGTCGTCTAAGCGCGGCATTATGAGGAATCGTCCGTTCATTACTCGGTCGTCGATCTTTATGATGAGTTGGCAAAATCTTTTGACGTCGCCTCCTCTCGTTCCGTCTCCGTTCATTACCCTTTTTGGTTCTTGAAGGAGGTGCGTTCTAATGCGATATTTCTTGCAGAGTTCTCTGCTTATAAATGAGTCGCATGCGCCCGAGTCTATGACCATGGTGGTTGTAATGGGTGGCTTAGTGGTGGACATGAGGGTGGCGGCAACCCGTAGTTCCTTCTTCTTGGATACGCTTTTCTTGTTAATTATTAGCAGCGGTCCAGTCTTCTCCTTACCAGCCGCTGTCTTGCGGACTGTTTCTTCTTCGATAATCTTTCTCCTCAACGGGCACTTGTGGTCGTTGGCTTTGTGTCCAACGTGATGGCAAGAAAAGCATCGTCGTTGTTTCAGGTGGTGTCTTGTTTCCATTCCTGAAAGGTTGGCGGCGGCATCGGTATTTCTTCTGATCATCATGATCTGTGTCGGTGCGTTCATGGTAGAGGGAGTGGTGCGAAGGGACAGTGAGGGTTTTTAAGGATTCAAAGCTTCGTACGTCTGTCTTGACAATTTGTGGATAGCTTTACGCCGGTCTCGGCGGTTTGGTCACGAGAGTAGAGGTCTACGCTTGTCTCAGCGGTGCGGTCAGTATCGATTCAATCGGCGGTGCGTGATGAGCAGGGCCGGGAATGTGAAACTTTAATCTTTTGTTACGGACTAGGATAGTTCGAGCTCTCCTTAGGCGGATTGCCTAATCTGATAGCGGGCTCGCTATTGGAGAGACGGGGATCTTCTCTCGAATGAGAGGTTCGGGGGTTCCACTTAAGGTAGCGTCGGCTTTCCTTAAGGTGCGGTTCAGACTGAAGGACTGGGACTGTCTTTCAGAGGAAGTTCTGGATAAAACCTAGTAGATTAAAGTAAAGTCTACAACAGTGGGTAGGTAGGTTTATATATCAATGTTCAAGCGGAGCTTGTAAATGCGTTATCAAGATAGAAGCAAGAATAGGCGGACAGCCCGCTTGGTGAGATAAGAGATAAGCATGATAAGAGATAAGCGTGGTACGGACGGCCCGTTTGTAAGCATGACTCTTCTATCTGTCCTCAAGGCGTAACATGCGGCTTCTCTTCTAACTGCGCATGCTAAGGCATGCGGCTTCTCTTCTGACCATGAAGCAGAGCTTCTCCATGATCCGGGTCAAAGACCATCTAGGTCCGATCAGATGTAGCCTAGGCTGGTCTAGGTCATCTAACGGCATCCAGGCCGTTCTAGGTGTCTCTACGAATCTTCGTTGAGTCGGTAAGTCTTTCCAAGACGGTGCATATGGTGGGATAGGGGCTAAGGTCATGATGACCTCCGTAGGAGGGGTTCTCGGTTACATGTTATTGTAACAGGTGAGGCATCGCTTGGAGGCACTAGTGACGGCGTATTGTAAGGGCATCTTACAAATGTTGCACCGGTGATCTCTGATAACCGATCGCAATAGATGGCATTGTCAAGTGCCCACTGGGTTCCTCCGAGCCTACGCATTTCTCAAAGCTAAAATGCATGGATCTATTCCTGATCGCCTCACCTCACGACTGACATGGGTATGTGCGACAGACGACACCTGGATGTCAGTCCGAACGAAACGCAGGCCCTTGTGTCTCAAGTGGGCGCTCGTGCTCATCTTGTAGGCATTCAAGGGATAGGGATGGATCGCAAAGGCAAAATTGAGCAGGTATATGCGATGAACGGAGATTCCACAAGTGACGCGAAACAATCCACCCCTGCGGTGTTCGTCAATGGTGGTCGTTCTGTAGTATTCCATAGCAGAGAGTCTTCTTGTTTGGTCTGGAACAAAATGAAAGACGAGGTCTGGATCTTGGAGATAGTGAGTCGATTGTAATTATTGCTCGGCTTCTCGCTGACTTGATGGCTTCTGCATGTAGATGAGCAAACCCAGGCCGTCGCAGTCAGTATACTTGGTTTCGTTTGCGATTTGCGATATTGAATTGCGTTATAGGGCTCTGACCATGCATCTCATTCATACATCGTCACGGGAACCGCACAAGGCCTTTTGTCGTGGTGCAACTCCCCTCCCGATCAGTGACTTTAGGTAAGAATTTATGGTACTACTTTTAGCGCACTTGCTCATCAAGTACATTGTCTCCGTGTCAAGCAGCCTTATTGATTAATTGGGCGAAACATGCTAATCATTCCTAAATTCACTCTGGAAGGATGCGATGTACCGGTGCTTTAAATATGACATGAGCGTTCCATAATTTTTGTATGCAGCTACTATCCGTTGTGGGATAATTAATTCGGAATCCTTTTCATCAGTCAAGCATTTCTTATACCAGTAACCACACAGTGGGTATATGCATATTTCTCTTCACGGACTGACAAGGATATGAGACTGACCTTGTTGCAGGAATCCCACAGCCCCGGGCCAGATGACAACAGTATGTTGGGCTCGAAACTCTTCACCACAGGTTGCCCAGACTAACATCGTCGCGCAGGATGCGATCTCCGTCCTTTTATATATCCCTCACGGTTCCCGCGGCAGTTCAAGAAAATAGACGAAGTAGCTGCAGATAAGACCAAGACTGACTGAATAACATACGGACAAGGTCCATGCAGACGACATTCAGCCACGATGAAACGGCAATTTTCATTCCAATATGGCAGATATCATGCGAGTACGGGAAATAAATAACAATGTTGGTCGGATGACAAGACTTTAAAAGTATCGATGAACGAGATGGTTAATGATATACGGCTACAATTCATTTCTGGGTGTGGAGGGCGGGCGAAAATGCGTGAGCGAACGACAGTATTGTGAAAGGAGCGCGCGAATTGAGTAATGTAATGCGTCGTGATGAAGGAAATTCGGTAAGAGGAAGGGAAATGCTTGGCGCTCAGCTGGATGTGTGCCGGATCCTTCCGGGTGTTCAACGTTCAGGAACTACCATGGGAATATACCAGTACTATGTTACTCATGACTCGATTCACCTCACCCACCACACGAGCAAGGATAGCTCCTTGGCCACTTTCTGTCGCTGCCATCGACATATTGGTTCACCATCTGGAACGGGATAACACCGCCCTGCATGTCATAGAGTCCGTCCCTGTCCACCTGGTCCGAGCGCGTGACAAACTCCTGAATCTCTGTCTTCATTAGGTTCGCAGGCCACTCATCGAGCTTCAAATACGACTCGGCCGAGAGATCAGGCCCGCAATGAGGGCAGATGCATACAAGGCCAGGTCGAGATGATCAAATGTTGAAGACATGGAAACCTGGGAATGCCCAGAGCGTTACCGCATGTCTTTGTGGACAATCCCCAGCTTCCCAGTGACACACTACTACATGCGCTTATTTGATGAATTTAGGCATTTTTACGTCTTGAATCAGAGTACATTGGCTTCTTTCTCATTCACGATCCATACTCTGGCATTCAACGCCGCCTAGCCCCATAATACAGGGCTTTGCAAGATGCCCGTGGCGCAGTGAGTTATCAATAAAATATTACATTAAAATCGATTTTACGATTCATCATGTTCATATCATACAGGCTCAGTACATAGTCGGTCTAGGAGAGTTGTTAAGCTAAACAGGCATTCCTTCTTTTCCATCCCCAGGTCATGCATGCAGCCTTGCGAAATCTCGAAGTGATACACGTCGTTAGCTCACATACAGAACACGGAACCCTACCTGCACTTGCATCCGCGTGCCGCGCATTCCAGAGCCCAGCACTCAATGTCCTCTGGAGGGATTTACACTCCGTGGATCCGCTCTTGAGATGTTTACCAGCAGACCTGTTTGGCTTCGATCGCGGATGTACGGTGCGTCTCAATTTTGGCACTTGTTGCGAGTTTCAGGCTAAGTTCACTTGGACAGGCATTGCAGAAACCTCTTGACAACAAGATGTGGGATACTCTATTCAAATATACATTCCGCGTCCGCTCTATCACTGCAAAACAAACAAGCTACCCCTCGGCAATTATCGGATCCCTCAGCGTGATAATGCTGTCTTATCCGTCAGCATCCGCGCCCTTGTTTCCAAACCTTCGCGAATTAACATGGTATGCTGGTGGATCTCACTTCGCCGCAGAGTTCCTGCGCATGACTCTTGTACCCTCCCTACGGGTCTTGACCTTGCGGTTTACCTCAGCTTCCTCCGCTTTCCTCTCCGTCCTTTCGTCTCTTGGGACCTTGTGCCCTCACCTCCAAAGCATGACATTGAGATATCGCCCTGCAACGGAAGACTTGTCCAGTAAACTTTCCCCTTTCATCGCACAGTCTATTTCCCAGCTTCGCAATCTCCACACGCTGATGCTGTGGGACCTAGCAAATCCAGGCATGGATCACATCATGCAGCTTCAAGTCCTGCGGACGCTGGACTTGGACCTAAGGACATCGTCAGTCGGGGAGAGGCAGTCGCTTTTGCCATTCCCTGGCTTTCATCATTTGCATTATTTGTGCCTTAGATGTGGTGCATTTGAGCGAGCCGCGGAGCTCTTGAGTTCACTCCAGGTTATCAGAAGCAAAGAAATCAAGATCGCCTTCACATCCTGGATTGCGGAATCCTCCGAAAGTCCATCTGCGTCACTATCGCAGTTCCTTGCCATCCTCCCAGAGATATGCGACACCAAGGAACTTCAGCGTTTCAGCCTGATAGGATCGAGAGTCATCATCATGCACACAGAATTAGCCGTCTTCGCGCCATTGCGCGCATTTCGCAATTTAACCGTGCTACAGATTGAGAGGGGGTGTTCCACCTCTATTTCGGATGGGGAGCTGTGCCAGATGGTAGCAGCCTGGCCTATGCTTCAAGTACTCAAAATTAGCTGCTATATTGCAATCGATACTACCGCAGTGCCAACGTTCTGCGGGCTGCTAGGCGTGCTTCGACTCTGCCCCTCTCTAACTTCGCTCGCTCTTGCCATTGATACCACGAAGCTGGAAGGCATCAATCTCAGAAGCCCCGGCGGTGAAAACCTTAACGCGCATCTCAATGACCTCACCCTCGGCAATTCATTGATAGCTTCCCCGCTAAACGTAGCTCTCATCCTCAGCGGTATCTTTCCCTGCCTCGAGCAGGTCGATCTTGATTGTTGGAACACAGCTCCGATGAATCTCTTATTTTCAGCAGACGACAAGAATTCAGCGATGGAGAAGTGGGCGTCCGTGAATAGCCTTCTTGATGGTTTTAGCGTAGTAAGAGAGCGTGTTGCAACTTCATGATGGCGGGTGGGTACAAGCACTGCAGTGATGTAATTCCTAATGTTGGTTTGTCTTGCGCGCGCGGAATCAGATGTCTCGTCGCTGGTCTGATGTCCCATGCTCGCATAGGCGTTGACCAGTCGCTCAATCAGCACAATAACTTTGGTCAGAAAATCCAAGGGATGTCGCCTTCCGGCACCGCGGCCTCAGTCACCCACTCAATATAAGCTCGCCGGTCTCGGCCATATGTAAACTGCGCGCCCCACCGCGACATAGGAAAGGCAGACGACGCAGGTTCCCCGCGGATTGTCCGAAGTTTGATGGTTGAATAATGAAGCGGAATGAATTCAGCGGTCCCATGGCTTGAAGGATGCTGGTGAGCTAGTAAAGGTGGAAGAGTTTAGAGGCATGCCAGTGGCAAGCATATAAAGCATCCTCACGCACCAGGCACCCATTGACCCGCGCATGAAGCCTCGGCACAGACTGAGGGAAAGCACCGAGACCAAGGGCAGATGAAGGTGAGGAGGGTAGAGCTACAAGCATCGGCCGATAACCATTCCCAACTTCTAGAGTCTAGAGGATTTATCATTGTTGTTGCGTAAGGCGAAGAATGAGCGCTCATTACAATACCACTTACACCTACTATGGCCCCAGTGGGAGGCGAAAAATTCAGTCTTGTACGTAATTTGAATAACGGTACATCATGCGATGAAGTTTTCAGTGATGCGGTCCTATCTATTGCCTCGGGAGGTAGTTGACAATGATTTTGCACTGCCATTACATCTACATACGACAAGGACAATAGCATCCCCCTTCTTTGCTTTGATGTTGACTGTTTGACGTGCCAGGTAGTAGGGGGACACGTGTAGAAGATAATGCAGCCCTACAAAACCAGGCCATACTGTAAGAATGATACATTAAGTATTTACCATGGTAGTACATTCCTCATACAACTATCGCTATAGGCTATAGATACCTACTATCCATAGGGCTGATATATCAGTGGAGGATCCTGGTCCAGTACTTGATCCACGGTTCCCTGGACCTGGTACCTGGCCTTCGTTTGATGGTATCACGCTTCTTTGTGCTTCCCCTTGATAGCTGGGCCTGGATCGTGGGATTCTTTTGTCTGATCGGTATTTGTGTGATCTGGCTGAATTTGGCCCAAGATATCAAAATTCCTCTAAGTCCCGCAAATGAGTTTTGTATCTCAGATTACTTAGAGCTAGTTCGGTAACCCAAGGTAAAGTAAATTTGCCAACTTCAAGGATGATGTAAGGCCGGCACAGTAGCTTCCGGTTTGGAGACCGACATCGGAGCTTGAACTTCCTTTGATCCATGTCTAGCTATCACACACCCCAGCATACGACTCAAGATCTATGCAATCGGAACAACATCTGGGCTAGTGTCATATCGATAGTGTTATCAGCTCAAGTCCACATCCTCTCCATGGCTCAGGAGTCATCTCATACTACTACAGAGAGGGCTGTTTGGACCGACACAGAGGTTGATCAGTTTCTCCTCTACCTATCCAACAATCGGGACAAGATCGGTGATGCTGGCAACTTCAAAGATGCGACGTACAATGGCGCTGCAGAGGCTATTGCTGAGTACCTGGAGCATGGTCCAGCAAAGAGTGGGGCAATGTGTAAGACAAAATGGGCGTCAGTAAGTCATATCAATATATCATTTTATAGACTTGATAAGAGATCGTGTAGTTAAAGCAGACTTTCAACGCTATTCAGAAGTACCGCCAGCAGTCTGGTGTCCACTGGGACAATATTAGAGGGGCAAATGTCGAGGGCGAGGCTTCAACCTCAGTATGGAATGAATATGTTTCCAAGAAGGTACGTCAAGTTCGCTAATGCTATTTCATGCGTCTCACTGTTTGATAATAGGGAAATTCAGTCATGCGCCCTTTTCGTGCATCAGGATGGAGACACTACGAGCAAATGGACGGCATAATACCACGAGGCAGTGGCGCCCGAGGGCGCACAGGGTACCAACCCAATATAGCTCTCCCCCCTCCCTTAAGCTCAAGCTCCAGTCCTAGCGTACCCGCAGGTGAACACAATACCATGATTGGTCCCGTTATTGCCACGTCTAGTGCTGGTGTTGCTGGTCCTAGCACCGCCCCTGCAGCAGCTGCCCTCACTTCTACACCTGCTTCTCCATCCTTCATGCCTCCTCCTACTTCTCCGTCCTTCATGCCTCCTCCTGCTTCTCCGTCCTTCATGCCTCCTCCTGGCAAACGTTCTCACACTGACATGGAGCTGACCGCCTCATCTGCATCTACCTCAGTTTCTCAAATGCAAATGCCGCCTCCCTCCGAGTCGAGCTCTATCAAAAGAGCGAAGACAGTATCAGGCCGCGCATCAGGCCGCGCATCAGGCCGTGGATCAGGAGGCCATGCACAGACTCCGTTGGACACCAAGATATCGAAGGCCACCACAGCTGTAGCCGTGATGGGATTCCAGAGCTCTGTCAATCGCTTGACAGATGTAATTGCTGAGCGCATGGTCTATCCTGAGGATCGGGTAATGGACCAGCGCTCGAGGGCCATGCAGATGTTGCAGGTTGAGGATGCAGAGCTGCCGTTCGCAGAGCGGCTTATAATACAACAGGTTTTTTCTATGGACCCTGCAGCTACTGACATATACACACAGACCGCTGACAAGGAGATGCGCCGTGCTTTTATTCTTTCCACAGCCCAGCGGTTGGGACTTCAACTTCCTGCGCCTGGTAGTTAGTATACTCATGTAAAATGCGCTATTGACACAACATATGATGATAATGCAGTAGTTGAAGCATGGTAATGCAAACATCTTGTGCTTTGATGGCGGCGGATACATGAGAGTCGTGCTACAGTGCTACGTATCATTGTCAGAATCTTCAAAGGAGTCATCTAGCAGGCCCCGCTGCTGCAAAACGGTCTGATAATCTTCCCATATGGAGCGCGCAATACGATTGCGCACTTCCTTCATGCCTCCCGCTCCGTCAAACACCTCCTCATCATCGGGGATCCCTTGGTGCTCCGGGTTGTCGTAATCGAAGTGTTCGTCGTCGTCGTCGTCCGGGAGCACGTTGTCGTCAGGGTTGTGAGTTGATATGAAATTGTGAATCGCGCATAGCGCGGCAGGTATACGTGCCTGGATGGTCATAGGATATTCAGGTGAGAGCAAAAGAATACGAAAACGGCGTTTTAACACGCCAAAGATCCGCTCAATCACATTTCGAGCGGATGAGTGTCGCAGATTGAAGAGCTCTTCTTTGGTTGTTGGTCTGCAAACATAGAATAGTTATTAAAAAACCTAAAATATAAAATAAATAAAACATACCTAAGATTAGCGCGTCCCCATTCAGCCAAATGATAACGGACACTGCGGTAGGGGACTAAGAGCTCGTCACACAAAGGGAATCCCGCATCCGCTAAGAAATATTTGCCGGGAGGGACATACAAACTGCCTGAACGAGCCTCGTCATAGAGGCGTGCGTCTGTGGCGGATCCCTCCCAGCCAGTGAGAGCGTATGAGAACTTGAGGTTGAAGGTGCAGGCGAATAGACAGTTTTGAGAAACAAAACCTTTGCGATTACGATATGAGGGGCGGTCAGATGATGAGGGGCGAGCATGGATGTGGCTGCCGTCAATCGCACCAATAGCGTCCTTGAAGTAAGGCCAGAATTTTGGGTTGTTACGGATGTTGCTGGAGACGTCATCAGTGTCATTGGGAGAACGTACGTAGGTTGTGTAGAACGGGGGGGACGCAAAGATAAACAAGATCTTCCGGAAATACCTGGAATTATTTGTGAGCTCATCATAAATAACATTAAAAACAAACTTACTTTGAGATGGTGTCGTTTGACCGTTGAAAACGCTCCCCGACATGACGGATTGTTAGCCCTGTAACGCACGTATATAAAAAGATGGCAAGTTGCTCTTCGAGCGAAACGTGGCGTGAGCTAGCATAACCCAAAACACGAAGTTCGGCTATGAGCGCGTGAAAGACATCTGCATGCATGCCAAGTTCGCATTGCATACGATCCGGGTGACCAACGATGAGTTCCATGACCCATTCTTCACCTGAGAGGGCCGATGTGTGGTATGCCTCAGGTACAGAGTCCTGAAGCAATGAGTGCGTAGCAGTCAGAAGGACACTGACGAGTAGTGCAATGTGACGTAGGATTCGCATATGATTCTGCCGACGGCCTGCAGCTGGCGGCTGAACAGCCTGGGCTTGAGCGAGTTGTTGGAGCAAGGGGTCAATGGTATCCATAATCTATCGATATCTATCCCTAAAGCAATGAGCGCAATGGATAACAAGTCCTACTAATATTGATATCATAAGGTTGAAACTCAGCTATCGGCACCTACTGTGCCGGCCTTACATCATCCTTGAAGTTGGCAAATTTACTTTACCTTGGGTTACCGAACTAGCTCTTAGCCTTAAGGTGGTTAAGGAAAATAAGTTATTATTATCTTTATCCTTTGTTCAATTTATTCTAAGGGCCGAGTCATTACAAAGTAAGTCTAATGCAGTCAAGCAGCGAAGGCAAAGGAATCATAAGTCCAACATTTGTATATATTTGTTCACGTGACAGTGCGCTCAACATAAACATGTTCATTTTCTTTGCGTCCTGGTTCCAACTTCCCACCTCTAATAATCAGCACCTGTATGTGTGTCTTGCTCGCTTGAAATACACTTGCTAACTGCCACCTGTACCACCACAGCTCATTAACGACTCTGTTCATAAACGGACATATGGACTGACCTGTGGCACTCAGCTGGGCCGTCCTGCCCATCCACCAGCCTAAGCCAACGTCGCATGCAACTCTTGCTGTCACTGCAGTTGTATTTTCTTTGATGCTCGTCATTCTGGCTTCGGTGTGCGCGCCTTCATTCATGATTCATCATCCGTCTTGTTCGTTGACCTTATTTTTGATAGGTTTCATGTGCTTCAATTATTTCTGATATGTTCGTGTTGTCATGCAGCCTGCCGGAATGTCCCGGCACCACGGGTCCAGCTGAGCGGCTGCGCCGACTCTTCCCTTCATTCGTTTTCATTCCGTACTCACCGTCGAGCTCGTCGTATTCTACACCTCCTCACTCGTTCCTTCAAAGTCTTCGAATCCCGCCCGCCACTCCCTTTTATCTTAAGCATCTATCAGTTTAGTGTCCCACACACCATAGTTCTTCGTTTTCTTTACCGAATTATCGTCACATTAGTAGTTCCTTTCGTTACATATTTCATTGAATAAACGCTTATCGGTCCTTGACATGTTCGAATTTCGTGAGCAGGTATCCCGCCCTCCCAGCGGCTCCACCCGGAGCTAACGCTCGGCCCAGCCCAACCTGTTAGAACGTGTCAGCGACCCTAGAGCTAGACGAAGCTGGATTCCCTTTCATCTGTAGCTAATGGATGGCTGCCCGTTATATCTCATATGACTACGTACATTGCAATGAATTCAGAGTGTCTACTTAGCCATCAATGTTGTGTCTTGGGTGCGATGAAATTTTACAAGGCCAAAACAAATTCAGCGCGCGGCCGGGTGAATTCATTGCAGCACAAACAGATCTTCATTGTGTGACACGCGCAAATTGAATATGTATGTTAAAATATTCAGATTACAAGACTGATGGAGACGCTACTTATTTCTTTCGACTCATGAATGGTGCACCGATATTGTTAGCTTCTGCGGCGCGTTTCGACTGGACCCGTAGACGTTTACCTCGACCAACTTCAAGATTTGTGGGTATTGTTTTATCAGTGGTGCGGTGTCTGGTGCCAGCATCAGCTTTCCGGCCCTTCGTCGGAACATCCGACTCAGCATTAGCCTTCTGGCGCTTCGTGGAGACATCTGACTGCTCTCCTTGAGGTTCACATGCACGCTTCTCACCACCAGTACTGACTGGAGCAATTGGTGAAGCCTCCGCACCACCAGTACCGACTGGAACAATGGATGAAGCCTCCGCACCAGGTGGGATTTGACTAAGACGCATCCAAGAAGGGGATCTACCCGGAGATGCCGGAGTTTGGGTGGGAAGTGTGCCTGATGGGAGGTGGCTTGTAGAAGAATGCGGCTGTGTGAGTGGTGGAGAGGAGGGAAGAAATATGAAGGTGGGCTCAGGTGGGTAATAAGGATTGGGCTGTGCTACCGCTTGCTTTGGGCTAGCAATGGGGACATCGCTAGTCAGACTCGAAACCGGCGCATCTGGGAATTGATAAGTGACGTTTGGTAATGAGAGAGGTCCTTGTTCGAGTGGGTGTTCATGAGACAGGCCCTGCAGAAGCTCCCTCAAACTGTATATCGCGTCGTGAGGTTGCGGGGGCATTGGGAGAATGGGAAGTGATAAGTTGTCATCCATTGGCGACAGGGATACATCAGCGCCAGAGAAGGAATGAAAGGCGTCATTGCCTTGTGGGATAGAAAGAAGCTCCGATGCAAGCAGCAGATCGGATCCGGAAGTTGAGACTGCGATATTTGAAGGGACGGACGTTGATGTATTAGAAGCTGTAATGTCGGGGGTGGAGGAGGGTCCAGGAGTGATAGCCAGAGTAGATGACATAGTAGAACCGGGCAGCAAGTCTTTTCCTCTCGACAGCGTGGCTGCCTCAGCTGTTGAAAGACATGTTAGACTATGTATTGTTGTACTGAGCTCTAACTTACGAAAGACGCGTTCAACAAACTGTGTGTAAGGCACCATGACATTCTGCGAAAAATGTGGGTAGGCCTGACTGAACCGATTGCCCAGTTTTGTTGTTCCAACATGGAAGCTATTGACATCGAGCGCTCCGTCCATATCAGGATGTGGCCCGCCCATGAGAACTGTAAATACCCAATCCGTCATCTCATGTAACTCCTCGAAGAATTGTGTTAGAATCGTCGCGATTTTGGATATATATCTAAGCACGCTATATGTAAGGGAACACAGTTTACAGAAACAATTACAAAGGTGACTCACACATCCTTATCATGACATTGGTTCTTCACTGCCTCTATTGCCGCACGCTTCGTCTCTTTCATTGTCTCAACAGCAGCAAGCACCTCCGCCTTCACTTCTTCAGACTCATTGTTGAAGGCCTCTTTAAGGTGCTGCTTGACAATATTGAGAGCGGTCTTATTCGCTGGCCCAGCAGATGGTACGTTTTTCAGTTCTTCCTGCTCTTTTTTGACAGCATCCTTGATTTTTCCGTAGTGCGTTTTCGAGTACATCTCCCACAGTTTCAAAATGCGAGAAGTTTTTGGTTTCGAGCCCGTCATGACGCGCGTCATCATCTGGTTGACTGTGGCAGTATGCTGTGCATTGGCCCGCCGACCCGCTTTTGACCCACCCAAATCATTACGGAACTTCTGCATAAGGCGCTGTTAATGTGTTGTTAGTCGAGCACCACATTTAATATTGGGTAAGTCTATACGTACCTGTTGACGCAATGTCCACGCAGTTGCTACTTCAGCAGATTGTTCGTCGGTTAAGCTGACATCAAGCGGTATGTCTTTGAAGATGACAGCACGCTCCGGGAACTTGATTCCCCATGCCTCAAAAAATGGACTCCAGAAAGACTGGTAATTTTTGTTTACTTTGCATTCTAAAAATTGATCATGGTATGTTTCCATGAACTCGATCTGCTCGGCTGAATATATAGTCGGTGGTGCCATTGGTGGGATTATTTGTTAGAGTAGGACTTTTTGTTGCAAGTAGTACGAGTAATGTAAAACGAAAATTTCAATGAGCGTATGATTGGGAACCACGTGAATGGTTTTGGTCCGACCACAAGATGAGGGACTAATTCAGTGATTATGGTGGTAGGATCTTTACATATCTTCATCGATTGACTCAAACACGTTGACGCGTTGACGCTCGTAATTAATACATACACTGATTGACATTCCCACTCCCTACAAAACATGAATCTTTAGTTGAACTGAATACTAGCCTCGCAAGTATTGTGAGATTCACATATGAGTTTTGGTCCTATCATTGGACTCTGAATCGTGGTTTCGAAGGTTCCTTGCTTCTTTTTCAACCAAGACTACCACCACTACTACCAAGTCTCTAGTCAACATGCCCCGTCCAATTATTCATAAAACACCGGAGGCCAAATTAGCAGCTGCACGTGAAAAGCGTAGTCGCTATTATGCTAGGTATGTCATACATTAATTAAATGATCCCGATGGTTCCTGACTGATTACGGTGAAGAAACAGAGACAGGATTTTAAAGAGCCGGAGAGAGCTTCGTAGCTCTAACAGCAAGGAATCACGGGCAGCTAGAAAGCTCTCAAGAGACATATCAAAGGCTGTTAAAAAAGCCTTGTGTCGTGATGACGAAGATGAGTCTGAGTCTGACACAGGCAGTAAGGATTCCCAGGACTCGGACGATGACGATGACGAAAGTAAACTGTATGTTACTTTAATTATAAATAGTCTAAATTTTAAAATGAAATCAAACACATCCAACAGATACGACCTTCCGGAATGCTTACGCATCATTAAAGAAATCAAGGATGAAATGTTGGTGAAGATCAACGACCCCTGCAACTTTGCCCATGGCATCTTATGTGCCTATGCCAAGAGTATGCTGGACGACTCCTTAACCAAAGCCGATATCTCCATCATTGAAACACCCATGGCCGACATCCAAAAACTACTCGATCACACTATTCCCGCGCAAGACCAGATACTTAATTTTTGTGGAGTCTCACCCGAATGGCATGCCGCAGACACTCTCAGTCGTTTCTTGAGGACTGTTCTTGCGTATCTAGAGGACATCCAATTTCTCGCGCTTTATGGTGGAACTCCTGATCTCACACTTGCTCACTCTATGGGGGAGTTAATGTACCAGAAAGGCATGAAGGTTTGACCTTAATTGGAGTATCTGCCGCGAGTCCACGAGTTCAATTTATATCAAAAGTACTTGCCCTGTTATCTTAGTTAACACATCATCCAATGGGCTGGTACTACGATCATTATTATTAAAAATGCGGTGAACAATGTACATAGCATACAGGTAGTGATACTTGAAAGCATTGCGAGGTCGGACAGCAAGTGTGCGTCGTGAAGTGACAGAGTCGCAGTCTGATTCCTCAAGAGGAAGAGGAGCGGGAGATGCATTGTGATCGTGAGGACGGAAACGGCGTAGACTGAAGGGAGATGACGAACGAGCACGAAGCAGCGTTCTGTGGGGAAGTTTGTTCATATTGCTGTAGATGAGAAACAGAGGAGTGAGGGGATGAATGAAAGGGAAGTAAATGAAACACCCGCACCTGGGTCTACAGGATGGAAGGTGTGTTCGCCCTGCTTGCATTCCTCTCTTGGGGACGCCAACCCTGTGTCCAAATGAAGTGTTGGTCTGCGCACTTCCTTGGCAGCGTCCTTCTGCGGACCGTACCATGCCACCCAACGATCAAGGTGGTTCGAATCAAACAAAGGGTAGCGCCGCTTACCTGAGCTGCAAGGAGTTTTCTGAAATTGGTGGGTACTTCGTTCGAGACTGATGGCTAGAAAAAACGATGGGGTTCGTTAGGGTGAAATGGACACAAGAGCATTTGAGCTTCTTGGCAGACCTATTTGTCATGTCTGCTTCCGCACATCACGTGCATAAACGGTTGAGAACAAGACACATTACCTCAGTTTGCTGAAACTCGTCCTATCATCTAGCACGCCTTCTCAAGCAAGCTGTTTGGGTCGGAACTTACAATAATGGTGTGTTATCAGCTTACTGGAATCAGTACTGCTGATGCGCATTCAAGGTATGATACGAAGTGAGCGTGTGATCTATTCGAAGTCAAGGAAGCCTTACACGTAACTTTCAGAATGATTCGCCATGTTGACAATTTTGGGCGGCCATTGTACCCTACCATGACACGCGCTGCTAAGAAACGAAAGCTCCAATTTGAGCGGTTCATTCAACCATCTCTCGCGTCAACACTGGCAGTTCAACAAATACGGGAATATGCATTCACTAATGGCCGAACTACTCAACAAACAGTTTGTGTTTCGCTCACTGGCAGCAACAACACGATCGAAAGTGAGCTATCTGCCGGTTCGCTATGTGCACCACACACCATTCAGGACTGTTTGGACTATGATGACTGGGATGAAGTGTCTCCGTGTTGTGATCCTGTGGTCATCATGGATGATGTTCTCCCAGATAAGCGCAAACGGCACGCTGCAGTAAGTGATGTGTAGGAATATGAATGATCTATAGTATGCTCACAGATTTTCATAGGATAATCCGCTCCTTGTCTGGCTCCCAGAACGTCAATCCTTCCTTGATGAGACCATCTTCTTGGAGGGCCGTGGTCATGAAGCCCAGCGAACGCACTGCCACTGTGGCGGCGATGGACCCAAATACCGCTGTAGGGACTGTTTTGGGATGGAGATGTTTTGCCATTATTGTGTTGTCGACCGCCATAAATGCAACCCATTGCATACGATTGAGGTATGTGTTGCCTAGATATAACAGTATGTATGATAACAAACTACACAGGAGTGGAACGGCTCGTTCTTTCAACGCATCAAACTCAAGACGCTTGGTTTGCGCATACAATTGGGCCACGCGCCCAGTGCCTGCTGTTATAACCCACGTCCCTCGACGGCTGACGACTTTGTCGTCATCGACATTAATGGAATCCATGAAGTTGGATTGGACTTTTGTGGCTGCGAGACTGTGCAAGTGCGCTACAAACAGTTGTTACGAGCACGATGGTATCCAGCGACTACAACAGACCCACAAACAGCCGCCACATTTAACGTGCTGGAACACTTCCACCTTCTATCGTATGAGTCCAAGATTTCTGCCTATGAATTTTTCCATAGCTTGGCCAGGCGCACTGACAATACTGGATTGTCACCCATCAGGGTAAGTCTCAGATTCAAATGGTAACATAACCGTACTCAGACTTGGGCCATGCAGGACCGTTATTCTGCGTTCATGCGTATGGTCCACGAATGGCGGAACCTTCGACAACTCAGACGTGGTGGGCGAGGTCACGACCCTGACGGCATTGCGGAAACAAAAGCTGGCGAGCTTGCGGTGCTGTGTCCAGCATGCCCGCATCCAGGCAAAAATTTACCCAGCGGTTGGGAGAATTCACTTCCAGGAACGAGGCAAGTTTAGATTTGGTAGTTAGAGGGGGTTATTTAGCTTACCCTGGTTAACAGATGGTTGTATGCCCTTTTCATCGCTATAGATGCGAATTTCCGTCTCAAACGGAAGGCTATCTCCTCCGACCAAATGGATCCTGGTTTGAATGCAGGATGGGCCTACTTCGTGGAGGAGCGCGCATACAAGACTTACTTATCTGAGCGAGCTAGCGAAAGACAAGAAGTATGTTGTATATGGTCTACTATTTTATAGGACAACGCACTCAATGCTTCCCAATGTTTCCTTAGCGCAGCACGTGTGTCAGTCATAATGCCGTCAACATGGCTGATACTAAATCTTCACGAGGCCTGGCAGCAACCGGCATAGGAACCGTCGACTGTGCTCGACACGAATTTAAATTGCCGAATGGGGTAGGTGATCTACAGAAGGGCGAAAAGTATGTTTTTCACATTTTTTCTATTCAGCTGGTTGACGGTGTTATAAGGTACCTTAATATGGATTACCTTGTCTTCTCGGCGCTGGTCGGATTCACGGTGACAATGCTAAATATTTCGTACGATATTGCGTGCCAATGGTCGAAGAAGCTGTGGAACAGAATGGATTGCATGCCGACTCACCTTCACATACCGCACGACAACATGGTAGTTCGATATTTTGTGCCAAAATTTCACATCGCAGCCCACGTCCAAGCCTGTCAGGTCAATTTCTCATGGAACCTCACTAAGTGGGTGGGTAGGACAGACGGGGAGGCGCCTGAAAGGGGTTGGGCAAATGCTAATCGCGTTGCATCGAGCACAAAGGAGATGGGGCCAGGAACACGCCGTGATACATTGGATGATCACTTTGGCGATTGGAATTGGAAGAAGACGACGACCCTCGGTGAGTTTTTTGCTATTGACAGTGGTCTTCCTGACTGATACCTTGACTTTGAAGGTCGTATGTTGAAGCGCAGGATGGAAGAGGCCATAAAATGGGAGCAGGAACATTGTGCTGCATTGTACGATCTGGAAGTAACTGTTCAACCTGCGCTACTGGAAGAATGGGGGTTAGAAGTTCGGATGTGGGAGGAGGACAACACTCATCCGAATCCTTTCAAAAGCAAGGTTGCTCGTAAGTCACTGCCTATTCATTCCGTCAACTTGTGCCGATGAGTAGATGTCTAGCTATCACACAGGCTGGAGTAAGGTCGCAGCTCGCAGAATTAGAAGCACAAGAGCTGCAGGCTGGGATCAATCACTCACTCGACATTGATGTCTCGCCCAGTGTGTTTATTAGCAGCGGCATTGAGTTAGAAGACATGCAGTATGTGATGTGTCTCTTTTGCGTCATGTTCATCATTCACATCATGTTATCATAGAGAACGGCTCAAACACGATATCGCAAACCTCTCGCTTCATCCCACGGACAAACAAAGAGAGGTCGTTATTCACAGGACCAATGCATTACAGAGACGTATTGATTCTTGGACGCGCTATCAACAACTCTACATGCCCATCGTCTCAACGCTACGTTCGTCGGCTGATACAAGTGTGAGCGCTCCCCAAGCAGCACTCAAGCCTCAAGACTTTCCACTCTATCTTCCATCAGCTCCCAACCATCTTGATTGTGATCACCGTTTGATGGAGTACGAGTGGGAACTTCGGTGGGCACAAGCTCATGATGCCCTCAATGAACTCCGTTCCCACCTTCGTCTATGCTCACACATGTACAAATTCAAGGACAAGCACTTACGTGGCCAAGCAGCATCCACCCGTGCTCAGAATATGATCACAGGTGTCGAGGCGAAGAAAGATTCAGCAGCGGACAAATACAGACGCGCACACCGAGCGCTGGAGTCGCTAAGCTCTCAGGTGGGTAAGAGGGGCTGGCAGGACAGCCTTCGACCTCTCAGACGCGAGGATGTTCGACTGATGGGTGACTTCGCGGGTGGCCGCACTCAGGGCACCGGGACAATATCGTGGATCTGGCTGGTATCAGACGGAAACATTACTAGTCACACCGAGAACGAACGTGTCCAAGACTGTAAGTGTTTTAAATGGGTAGCATGATCTCTGACTTGGTTTGATTTAGGCGTCCGCGTAGAGTGGTGTAAGGCACGCGCTCGCGCAGCTCGATGGTCCGAGGAAGTGGAGTTACTGGCCGAAGAAATGAGAAGAGTACTGGCCTTTCTGGAGTGGCAAAGCAACTGGTGGTGTGAACGCGCAGTTCTGCGCCCGTTGGAAAAGATCACCGAACAAGAGGGTTTACGCGCATATGCCTACCGTCAAGCTGCCCTCCGTTCTGCAATGCGGAACTCATTCCAAACTCGTTGGAGCTTCGTTCCTCAGCTCAATCCTGTCATCTTGGAGTCTGTAGTAGTTTGTAATGATGACAGCGGTCCCTCGATTGACGCACTTCCTGTGGCCGTGGACTTCGAAGAGTAGCACAGTTAGGTATACCCTATGTACTAGGTAGAATATGCTCCAGAATTTTAGCGTGTCCATTCTTAGCTTAATGATCGTGATCTGGCGATCTCAATGATGGTGTCCTGACTTTGTAATGATCTCAGATGCTGATCGATCTCGATCTCATAATCTCATCAACAAACGGGTAACATAGCAGGGGAACACATAGCACTACTATACGCGGACACGGCTAAGAAATGTAGTAGAGCCATAGGGAACCTACAGTCTACAATACAGTGATGTATCACACCATCTACAGCCCTCAGCAATTATTGTATTCAGAATCACTTGTAGTTATAGGTAGTGATACATCAAACCTACAGGTACAGGTGACAAAACATACTAGCAAAAAAAAGAAAAGAACACATGGCAAGGGTCCAATCCCCTTTCAGCTCTCGCGGTGCGGGTGATAGCAGTGAAGAGGAGACTCAAGGTCCCTTAGAGGTCGTCGAGAACGATCCATTCAGTCAATCCAAACACTTGACATCAGGGAAAACCTCCCGCGAAGATTTCATTAGATTTTCTGAAATTTTGTGATTTTCTGAAAATACATAGAAATACTCTAAGTCCCTCTGCGGATGGGTGAAAATTTACGAAAATCCACATGAATACAACAAAATGATTATAATGTGATTAAAGCAGGGTATATACTAGAATATTGCAAATCACAGGATACGAAAATGAGGAAATGGGACAAAAGTTGTAACGCAAAGTCCTTGTGCTATCAGGAATGCCCTAGTCGATGCTCATCCATCAGCAAAACCCTGAGTGGCTGTACGGCACCGCACAGTGCCGCACAGTGCCGTACATCCACTCAGGGTTCACAGGGAAGTCCCCCCATGCACAGCCGAGCCACAATACAACATAGTGCGCTTCGGATTTGTCATGCTGTGTGTCGGTTACCCAATATGGTACAGGGCAGGTAGCACTAGGTAGTGATGTTCCGGCCCGGCTTGGCCCAAAAGCTGCGGCTTTGGCCTGGCTTCAGACGGCTCTGGCCTGCAAAAAATCCAAGCCGGGCCAAAGCTGCAAATGACGGCTGGCTTTGGCCCGGCTCTGGCCTGAGCCGCGGCTCGAGTAGTGCTGCCGTGGTTCAGTCCAGAACCACGGTCCGAACCTGACCAACGGTCAGGTTCTTCCTTGGTTCGGTCCGTGGTCCATGAATTGGGGCGGACCGGACCTGAGTGAGGTTCACGGTCCACCATTTGCCTGAACGGTTCTATGTTGGTTCGAACCTTCCCCGAACCGGTCCGAACCCCGAACCGCGAGAAGTTCTGTCGCATTGTCGAAGCGTGTTTTGACACTGCCTTTGATGATTCGCCTTGGCCTCAAGGATTCTCGAGCTTCGATACTTACTTGTTTCCGTCAAATGCAGAGGCTCATTGACAAGGTAAGTCATGATATGCACTGTTCAAACTGAACAGTGTGAGTGTTGTGCTCATAATGACCATGTCCTCGCCCAGATCCTTATCATACCAACACCCTACGATGCTATTACGATCCTCCACCGGCTGTTTGTCCACCGGCTGTCTGATTTGCTTGCACATAAAATGTGCAAGCCTCAGCAGGTAAGCACTATATTCAACATGGCTCATTCAGACTCATGCGCTGTCAATGCTGACGGTTCTCTCAAGGATGCCAAGGACATCGTCTTCTACCACGATCCCGATGATTCTGTCCCCCTTGACACCACGTCCTCTGCCCCCCAGCCATCATCATCTACTAATCCTCCTCAGGATGCCTTCTCTATGCTACTGAATACTGGGCGCAAACCAACACCAGTTACAGCTGGTGCTCGACGATCCATTCGGACCTCTAAGCCATCTGCTCGCCTCCGGGATGCTGAGAACATTTATTCAACCTCGACCTCCACCAGCTCAACAAACCGCAAACGTGCATTGTCTAGCGCTACTGAACTTCAACTTCAACCAGCTCACAAAAAGGTTTTATCATGTCTATTATCAGACGAGGATAGCCTTGATGACGACGACGCTGGTCATGACACCGATCCTTTGGAGGACCAGCCCGTGGAGGACCAGCCCGTGGAGGACCAGCCCGAAGCCGAACCTGAAGCCGAAGCCGAACCTGAGGACGCCATCCAAGCCACTTTGCCGAAGACTGAACGTACCGCTGACATTCGCACTGTCTTCACTCGCCATGAAACACACTGGGTATGCAACCCTTGCAAGTATGTAATTAGAACTGCGTGTATTGTGTTCTGCTAATGTTTGGTAGGGACGCTGGTGAACCTGAGAGTAAGCATGTCTTTCGAGGAGGTATCTCTACACTCCGCACACACATCAGTCGGTATGTTCTTTCAATGTCATCTCTTACTTTTGCTGATATCTATTAGTAAAAAAAAATCACTTTCAATTCTACAAGGCTCGCTGCCAAGCGGCAGGGATTACTATGCACCCTCGTGCCATTCCGACTAGCGAGGATCAGGCTCTGTAAGTTTCAGCTAACGTTTTGCATCAAGTGTTGCTGAATCATTGACAGTTCCAGACAATCCACCCTTGATACGATCCTCGTCACCAAGGTGCCTATATTTACCAAGGAAGGACTCCTGGAGTACATAATGGAACTTATTGTGACTGAAGACGAAGCGCTGCAGCTGGTCGACAAACCAGCCTTCCAAAACTTACTTCGCTATGTTCGGCCTGGCCTTACTGAGAGAGACATACCTCACCGCACCAAGCTTACTGAGACCAGCAAGGCACGCACATTAGCTATAGTCGATGTCATACGTGAACGTCTCGCAAAGGTCGATAGCAAAGTTTCCATGATGTTCGACTCTTGGACTTCGATTATCGGCGACCCATTTTTCTCCGTCACTGGCCATTACATTTGGAACCTGGATGATAAACCCCTGCAATGGGAGTTACGTCATGAGCAGCTCAGTTTCGAACACATTGAGGGCGATCACAGCGGGCAAAATATAGCTCGTATGCTTATTAACTCAATTGACACATATGATGTCCGAGCTAAGGTAAGGTCTGGCCTCTTCTATCTAATGGTAAAGCTAATGGTTTGCTTCGTGCAGGTTGGATGGATGACTTCCGACAATGCCAGCAACAACGATACGGCAATGAAGGAAGTTGCTCGCGAAATCGATCCAGAAGGTGTCCGATGGATACCTGCCACACACCGCATTAGATGCCAGGAACACATCCTGAACCTTGCGGCACGACACTTTGTAGATGCAGTTACGAAGAAGACCCATCAGGCGCTTGATAAGGGAGATGATGCTGAACTCGACATCTTAAACAAGGAGCTTGCAACCTTGGAAGTTAACAGTGACCGTGACCGCGAAGATGAGTTCAATACTGGTGATTCGCTTGGCAAAGCGCTTGCACTTATAGAGCAGGTACGTTATTATCCTTATCCTTATCCTATGCTCTTACTGATTGAGATTGTTAGATATGAAAATCGCCTCAAGCTCGTGCCTTCTTCAAGAAGGCCTGCAAAGAGGAGAACGTACCCGAGCTGGAGTTATTGCAGTGGATCAGAACTCGTTGGGCTTCCTTATACAAATGTCTTGACCGCATGCTACTCTTACGTCGGGTACGTTTTTTTTCTATTCAGTGTTTGTGAATCTGATATTTATATTTTAAACAGGCCGTCAACCGTTTCACCAATCTCGCTGACGAAAGCAAAGAAGTGCCAAATCTTTGTAACAAGTCTTACAATGATTTCAAGCTCGGCCGGAGTGACTGGAGACACCTCGGACTCGTTCATCAAGTCCTGAAGGAGCCGGCTACCGCCCAGCAAACTTTCTCCTCCGCGAAACACCCTACTGCGTGGCAAACAATACCTACATTGGAGTGCCTGGCTCACCGGTGGCAAGAGATGGCCAATGATATACAGTATGCACCAATCGCCGATGCAATCAAGCAAGGACTCAAGAACGTCAACAAATACTACAAGAAAACAAGCGACTCGGATGTATATTTTATTTGTCTCGGTGAGCATTCATAAAAACTTCACTTTCCTCCCATCTTTCCCTCCCCACCATACCTACTTCACTGCCTCGTATGAAAAACTTCACTTCCCTCCCATCTTTCCCTCCCCACCATACCTACTTCGCCGCCTCGTATGAAAAACTTCACTTTCACTTCCCTCCCATTCTCCCTCCTATTATATAACATGTGCCCGCCTCTCATATAACTATTAACTACAGTCCTTGACCCCAACTATAAGCTTGCTTATGTTGAAGAACGGTGGGACAGTCAAGATGTTGCGGATGGGAGGGCTCACCTCGAGACTGTTGTAAGTATTTGTTCAGACTCATCATTGTCCTTCGGCTTACATTCTTCTACAGTTTGATGAGTACTATAAACCACCAACTCGGACGCCTGTCGATGAACCTGCTCCGCCAACAAGACCCTCGCTGGAAAACCGGTATGGTGATGCATGGATGCGCGAGGCCATTAAGGCGCGTCAAGCTGCAGACCAACTTACTCGCAATCCTCATCAAGAACTCACGGCGTATCTGTCTTCACCACTAGAGGAGGCCAATGATGTTGTTGCCTGGTGGGGGCTTCATTCTTTACAATTCCCTACGCTTGCACGTATTGCGCGCGATTATTTGCCCATCCAGGGCAGCTCCGTCCCCTCCGAACAGGCTTTCTCAAGCGGAGGGATCACCTCCACCGTGCGACGCAATGCACTCGCATCGTCCACGTTTGGCTCATTACAGTTGTTAAAGGCGGCGTATAGGAATGGCCATGTTTCTGCGACAGTCGAGGCAGAAGCTGTGTAGTTGGATGTGTAGCTATGAGTACCTACTTATGTTTTTTTTTGCTCATTGTAAATAAATTTGGTTCGGTTCACGTTCGAACCTGAAATTAACCGGACCTGACCATTCTGAACCGTTCGCCAAGGTCCAGTTCGAGGTTCGTTGAGTCTGGTAGAACCAGACCTAGGTCCAGTTCTTGGTTCTCGCTCGACCCTCTGTGAACCGGACCGAACTGGACCACGGCAGCACTAATTGATGAAATAAGGACAGGATCAATGTGTTATCACTTTTGCATCTTCTTGGTGACTATCTGACTCAAATGCTCGATGAGGTTGAAATGGGTCGCATGACCAGGCCCATTGTTCCCACTTTCTCGTTCGGCTGGTCTTGCTCACTTGGTACCTTCTAAATGTTTGCTTAATCCCACTGAAAATGTTGCGTTACAACTATAGCCCCTTGCCAAGGCAGAAAATGCACTGATTTGGAACGCTCATGCATATTTTTTTCCCGCGCCACGGGCATCTTGCAAAGCCCTGTATGGGACTAGGCGGCGTTGAATACCGGAACATGGATCGTGAATGAGAAAGAAGTCAATAATATTAATGTACCCTGATTCAAGACGTAAAAATGCGCAGAAATGAATTTCTTCGGCGAATGACTCACCAGGCCAAAATTAGCGAGAGATTCATCGATGCTTCTCATACCCATGGGTTTTTGCTGATGTGTTTCGTCACCAACCTACGTTTTGTAAGGGATAGAAGCTCATTTCCTGGACCGCCTTGTGACACGCACTAAATAGACGTATGTAGTGTCACTAGGAGGCTGGGGATTATCCACAAAGACACATGTGGTGACGCTCTGGGCATTCCCTTGTTTTGTGGGACGTTTCATGTCTTCGACATTTGGTCATCTCGACCTGACTTTGTATCATCTGCCCTCATTGCTGGCCTGATCGGTCGACCGAGTCGTATGTGGCATCGCGTTCGCATGCACCTCTGAACTGGATCTGGAGTCTGTTACCGTCGACCGTCTTGATAAACGGTACCGCAAGTCAGTATACGTGTCTCTTAGATTACCACTCTGAGTCAATCACAACGCTCGACCTCATGCAAATCATTGCTCCATACTCTGCTGACAGTTCAGCTGATGAATGCGAGTCCGCATGGCACGTCCGGGAGTTCCGGTGCATCAGTAGCACCAACGAGTTCGCAAAGGGTGTAAATTACCGAACCAGTTTATCGCCACGGTTCCTAATTATATCATCGCGGTATACACCCAACTAGCCCCCTGCGCATTCATTTGCAAAATGGCAATAAAAGCTTCCCCTCTCTCAGGATTCCAAGAACAGTGCGAAAGGGATCGGTCCACTCCTTCCACGGCTAGGCCTCGCGAGTGCCTATCGCACAGAATTTGGAAAGGCGGGCCGGATTTGATGCATCGGACGTTCTTGCCAGAGGATTTAACCGTCAAACATCGAGGCGATCTTGCTGATGAGCTTGACCTTTTCCAATTGGGCCTCACCTGCATGATGATTAGCACACGACTAGATCAGGGGAGAGTGAAACTGTACTGTGCTTCATACACTTCCTCTTGCAGTCGATAATGCTGATATCTTCCTTCGTTGGATTGCGAACCGTCTTGTCAGCTACTTCCCAAAGCTCCTCAGCAACTTGGATGAGCAAACGGAAGACGTGTAACACGATCACCACGCTACGTTCAAAGTTCTCGATCGCGAGCGCATCGATATCCAAATGGTTCGTCTGCTCATCTGTCTCATCGTTGATGAAGAGAATGTCAGAAAACGAGTGACAATAGAACAAATCAAGAAGTAGGATATGAGGATGTTCAATCGCGAACTGCGCGAATAGCATTCATATTGGACTGCTTACCGGTTTCTCGACCTGTCTGACAAATTGCTGATGATGCTCATTTGGTGCGCACCGCTCGAGCCAAACAGCCGAGTTGTTGCCTCCACCCCATAGCGTCCTTCTCGGAGTACTTCTTGTGAAAAGCGATTGGAAGTAATCAATCGGACTTTTGTCGTATGGTAGCTGGTCCGCACTGTGTTGGCTGTACTTGGCAAGTTTGAGCGCAGCATGGTTGGAAATAGTGTCGTGAGAGGGTTGTAGGACGCCAGTGATGAGGTTGAGGAGTGTCGATTGTCCGGCACCGTTTGCACCGAGGATGGTTACACGAAAGTCCATACTGCATACGAGGATAAGACTTAAGATAGGAAGAGAAGACACATTCTGTACTAAATGTCAATTTTTTGTACAAGTAATCTAGGCTTGCCCGGAAGACGGCCACCTGAAAAAGCCTGCTCAGCGTCAACCGAGGAAGCTAATTGGTCTCCGTCAGATTTCATCAATCAACAAGCGAGGAAAATACCTGGAGCAGACAAAAAACGACACCACTGTGCGCTTATGGCTGCGTGTGTTCTTGGCCGGTGATGCATCAAGTTCGAAATCGCTTGTTGGTGTATTGGGAGAGGCGTCCGACTCGGACATGGGACCTCTTGACAACAAGGATACTCTATTCAAATATACATTCCGAGTACGCTCCATTTAACTGTACTATTGTAAAATTACAGTAGTGGGTTCCCTCATCAGGCATATGCGAATTTCCACGTGGTCTAAGAGACCCACATGTAGCAAAAGGCGATTGGGGAGATTTTAAGTGCGCCGCCTTCAAGTTGTTTGCAGCGTTTGTAAGGGTGCAACTTCTGTCGAACGTGGCCACCCCTGAAGGATTTCTCCCACCGAGACACTGGTTTACAGCTGGTGACAGTGGTGGTGGCTATCAAGTCCGAGAGCGGGGTCATAGTAAAGGAAGGATGGTGCAGATGTGTGATTGAATAGCAGTGATGATATACCAACGCCGAGGCAATAAATATCACAGCCATGCGCTAGTAACAGGATGACACACAGACAGGTCTTGGTTAGATCAGGACCGGATTTACGAGAGGATGACCGTAATGAGGTCGGGTAAATCGGTGTAGCCGCATCAGGGAGTTGGGGCGCAATCGCAACGTTGTGAAGCAATTCCAAGTTATTTGCATATTAACGAGTCGCCAATTACTCGGGATTTTCGGCCTCAATAGACATCATCCATGCAGCACGTAATACTTTATGGTACATTGTTATCTATGAGACAGTCGAAATTTCCTGTGTCGTACAAATGTATTAGCAAGTAAGTTGATAATGAAAGGAATAACAGTCGGTCAAGCTTGATGGTACTGGTAAGTAGTATCACCCGTCACACTACCTGCCCCTTTTGCGGCCTGTTAACACACGATTGACTTCAAGTTGATTGCATCGACTTAGTCTACGTGTAACATGTCTGCTTTGTTGAGTAGGCACATACGTGTGTAGCGGAATATTTCCAAAATTAGCTTAGCTAGATGATCAGTTATCCGTTGCCAGCAGCGTGCTTTCCTAACACCAACCATCAACAATGCAAGCAGTGGTGAGCACAACGTCGTATCGCCAGCGCCTTTATGCATCGGTCAGTACCACCAATGCGCTACCCGCACCTTGCAACCAGAGCCAGATAAATGAGATTTTAGAGGAAGAACTCAACGGCAATGTTCTGTGGGAAGAAAAATTGCTCCCCCAAGATGTTGAATCCGTCATGGACGCCATTTTCATCCAATCCGATTTTACCCCAGAAGATATCAGTCGTATTCATTATCAATCATTCGAGTCTAGCTCAGGGAGGAGAAGTACCGGAGTGCCTGTTTTCATACCTGCTGGCAGGGGCGCGAGTGGGACGTGGCAACCTGATACGAGGAACGTTCAACCAAGGACGTTGGCGAACACCAGGGCTACCAAAAGGCAGAGGGCGCAGAAACAGAGGGAAAAGACGCAAAATACACGACCGCGTTCGCAGATGAGCGCGGTGGCGTCCGCGGTGATCGATACAGAAGTGGAGGGGTGGAATTCTTTGACAGCATCTCATGCCGATAAGAGCTTCAGCACCCAAGAATACGACTACAAGAATTCGAACAAAAAGCGGATCAAAATATCGGCGATGGCAGAGGGCAGGTGGACCCTGCTCTTCAATACCGTGCAAGCCATCATGTATTCGTTGTATGCGAAATGTTTCCCAAATCCCTCAAAATCATTCCCCTTCCGGCCCATGGATCTTGTCTGTGGCCAGCCAAAGCGTATCTGGTCTTCCAAATTTTCTACTATTGTCGTCCCGGACGATACCAACGCACAAAAGCCAGACATTGTCCTCGTCAATTGCAGCCTAGGTGACTCCTCGTTACGATGGTGCAACATCATCACATGCGTGGAGCTTACGGACAGCGAACTAAGCACGCAAATACCTTTATATCGGGGTTCCGCCACCAAAGGGTATCTTTTAATGCGAGAGCAACCCTGGCGCCGATTCGTCTTCATCTTCTCTATCGCCCACAACCAACTTCGCTTACATTACTTCGACCGCTCGGGTCTTATCATTTCCCGCCCCATCTCCATCACCAAAAACCCGGTACGTCTTCTCGACGTCTTAAATACTGTCACTCTCGCGCACACCAACACCCTCGGTTTCGATCCCACGATGCACATGTGCGATTGTACCTGCAAGAACACGCACCATGATCTGAGGGAGAAAGCGATAGGTTGGATAGAGGGTAAAGACGGGACTCACTTGTCAATCATGAGCATTCTTTGGCGAAGCCAAGGTTTCTTCTCCCGTGGCACCATTTGCTACCGCGTTCAGACTCCAGGCGGAGATGAGTACGCACTGAAAGACTGTTGGGTTCCTGAAGACAGGAGATATCACGAGGGAAACGTACTTCGGATGGTTGCGGGCGTCCCCAACGTAGTGAGGCTCGTGGATGAGTGGGACGTCCTTTACGATGGGATGCCGGACTGCACAGATCGCATTCGAGCATCTCGTGGTATGAGTAGTGCTGGGTTCATCCGCAGGTACCACCGGCGCCTTCTTTTGAGCCCGTGTGGAGAGCCCCTCATGACCTATTCCTCAAGGACAGAGCTATTAAAAGCCTTCCATGACATAGTCGTTGGTGAGTTTTGAGTGCATTTGAATAGAAGCCTCAAATTGACCATTAGGTTATAGCTCATAGCTTAATGCTCAAATGCAATGTCCTCCATGGAGACCTGAGCCCGAATAATTTCATAATTTACGACGGTCAAGGGTATTTTATCGATTTTGATCATGCCGGGATCACCACTGATAGCAACAGTATTCGATCGGAAGGCACGGTAAGATTGGAATTATCGCTGTGTACACATGGCTGATCGTATTGTCTGAAGGGTACCAGGCCTTATATGTCGATCCGCCTGCTGCGAGAGGGTAGTAATAACAATGGGAACGAAGTGACGGTCTTTCACACAGCTGGTGATGACCTGGAGTCGCTATTCTACATCTTCGTCGAATTTGCGACTACCTTCGATGGGCCACACGCCATGACCAAAGACAATGCCCGAAAGCCCATGTGGTATGACTACTGGCTCCTCATGGGTGACAATTCCTGGGCTCCAAAGCAAGGATTGGTGCTCTCGCATTCCGGCGACAGGTCGCTAATGTCACAAACAACGTCGTTCTTTGGGCCATTCGGTCCAATTATTCAAGAGTGGCGTCTTTTGATTCGCGCGGCCGCCGAGGCCGCAAGCCAAACAAATGGCCCTCCCTCCGGCGTATCTCATGAGGAGCTTGCTACGCTCCTCCATAAATGGCTCTCTCAGCTCCCCCCAGAGATACCCGAAGATGTTCCGTCCGCTACAGCATCACCCCTCTCTGTAGCATCATCATCGAGAATAACTCGACCTTCGGGCCCAAACAACATAATGCAACCGGCTACGGCTCTTCGTCGTTCTGCACGCATCCAAATGAAATTATGACATGATTGTCTCACACATCCTTTCCTCGCACGTACTTTATGTTTTTTTTGTTGTGATTTGTGAAACGTATGGAATTCATAGTAGTTGTACAACTGGCTAGTACATTACATGTGCAAATTCGCATCGGCCTCCTAGTGATGAGGGAACACCTGCTCGAGGTAGGGAAAGATACCGCTGAGGATGAGAGCTACGTTTAGCGGGGAAGCTATCAATGAATTGCCGAGGGTGATGTCATTGAGATACGTGTTAAGGTTTTCACCGCTGGGACTTCTGAGATTGATGCCTTCCAGTTTCGTGGTATCAATGGCAAGAGCGAGCGAAGTCAGAAAGGGGCAGAGTCGAAGCACGCCTAGCAGCCCGTGGAACGTTGGCACTGCGGTAGTATCGATTGCAATATAGCAGCTAATTTTGAGTACTTGAAGCATAGGCCAGGCTGCTACCATCTGGCACAGCTCCCCATCGGAAATAGACGTGGAACACAATTAAATTGCGGAATGCGCGCAATGGCGTGAAGACGGCTGACTCTGTGTGTATGACCTTCGATCCCATTAGGCTGGGGCGTTGAAGTTTCTTGTTGTCGCATATCTCTGGGAGGATGGCAAGAAACTGCGATAGTGACATAGACGGACTTTCGGAGGATTCCGCAATACAGGACGCGAAGACGATCTTGATTTCTTTGCTCCTGATGACTTGGAGTGAACTCAAGAGGTCCATGGCTCGCTCAAATGCGCCAAATCTAAGGCACAAATAATGCAAATGATGAAAGCCAGGGAATGGCAAAAGCGACTGCCTCTCCCCGACTGACGATGTCCTTAGGTCCAAGTCCAGTGACCGCAGGGCTTGAAGCTGCATGATGTGATCCATGCCTGTGTTTGCTAGGTCCCATAGCATCAACGTGTGGAGTTTGTGAAGCTGGGAAATAGGCTGTGCGATGAAAGGGGAAAGTTTACTGGACGAGTCTTCCGTTGTAGGACGATATCTCAAGGTCATGCTTCGGAGGTGAGGACACAAGGTCCCAAGAGACGAATGGACGGAGAGGAAAGTCGAGGAAGCTGAGGCAAACCGCAAGGTCAAGACCCGTAGGGAGGGTACAAGAGTCATGCGCAGGAACTCTGCAGCGAAGTGAGATCCACCAGCATACCATGTTAATTCACAAAGGTTTGGAAACAAGGATGCAGGTGCTGAAGGATAAGACAGCATTATCACATTGAGGGATACGATAAGTGCCGAGGGGTGGCTTGTTTGTTTTACGGTGATGGAGCGTACGCGAAATGTATATTTGACCAGAGTATCCCACATCTTGTTGTCAAGAGGTTTCCGCAATGCCTGCCCATACGAACTTAGCCTGAAACTCACAACAAGTGTCAAAATTGGGACACACCGTACATCCACGATCGAAGCTAAACAGGTCTGTTGGTAAACATCTAACAAGCGGCTCCACGGAGTGTAAATCCCTCCAAAGGACGTTGAGCGCTGGGCCCTGGAATGCAAGACACGCGGATGCAAGTGCAGGAAGGGTTCCACGTTCTGTATGCGAGCTGACGACGTGTATTACTTCAAGATTTCGCAAGGCTGCATGCATGACCTGCGGATGGAAAAGAAGGAGTGACTGTTTAGCTTAACAACCTTCCTAGACCGACCATGTAGTACTGACCTTGATCAGCTGAGGGTACTTATTTGTATAAGATCTTGAATTGTCAAATCGAATCGCTCTTGTCAAATGAAGACAATCTCCGTCAGGCTGAGAAAGATCGCCATTGTATCCGTAAGAGGGCAGTAGGATGTTATAGCGTGCTCCCAAATAAAGACATGTTTCTCTCGAGCGCACGTCCTTTTTTGCACATCCTTTCATGAATATAGTTTTTCTTGCAATGTGATTCATGACTGCGATCAGAATGTTTGTAAGCGAGCGTCTCTTGAATTACAAAATCAACGTACATGAAACTTTGAAGCCCGAAGCCCGAGGCCGCCTTGTGAATGCAACATGTTGCGATGCTATTGCGAACGCGCGCCATGGAAAAAATGAATTTCAAGATTCGAAGAAAGCCACATTTAGCTCTAATCTGATGCAGAAAAATTTCACTTTACCTGCGGTCGAGTCCATCAAGTTGCTCATCTCTTCGGGTTAAAATCATACAATTGCCAAGTGTTGATACCCGATGCCTCCTAGCGTTGCTGGTTTACGGAACGAACCTAAACAGCCAATACAAATTCAGCTTGAAAGATGAACAGACGATAGTACCTGACCATTTTTTAACTGACCACCGAAGGTGCACTGAATCCCGACTATAGATCTTCTTTGATAAAAGGAGACGCACGGCTAATTTGAAACGCCAATAGAATGTATTTTGCCAGCACCACAGGAATCTTCCTTCAACCCTGTGTGACTAGGTGGCGCGCTGAGTGCCAGAGTACGGGTCGTCATGGATGAGAAACAAGTCAATATACGCGCCAGCCTAATTCAGGACGTAACGCAGCATGAATTATGTAATGATTAAATCAAAAGCTTATTCGATATATTCCAAGGTCAATGTTGGAAGTTCATTTTCTTGTTCGGACACGCACTATGCAATAAACACATGCAAACATGCAATGTGTCATTCAATAGAGGCTGGGGATTATCCAGAGAGGCGTCTGGTAAGACTCTGGGTATTCACTCATTCTATGAGCCTGAGATATTGAATGGTCCTCGACGTCTGATCAGCTGCTGACTTCAGCTTATGTTACAGAGTCTGCCCTCATTAATATCGAGGCTGGTCTCAACGCTCGTCCTTGTGCAAAATTATGGCTCCACACTCTACTGACAGGTAAGCTACTGGCTGCAAGTCGGCTACATGATACATTTCTGATGTCCAGGCGCTCCGGCGCATCAGTAGCATCGACGACTCGGATGACTCTGATATTCTAGATGATGGATTGCTGTCTAATGCGATAGACGAAAGCACTCCGTTTAATCTTGACGATGTTCCTCCGGCTGTGGAATCCGACGATCCTGTGTCACAGGAAGAGGTCTTTCACAGCATGTTCATTGCTCGTGAAGGTCAGGAGACAACTGGCCGTACTTGGGAACAGACTTCCGTTTGTACCCTGCCTCTGTCAGTCAGCCTTCAAGAAAATCTTTCGCAGGAAGGACAAGGCCACCGCAGCAAATTTATTACTGCGTCGCACGAACCTCCGCATCGATCCGCATCTAACATTTGCTCCTGATCACCCCATGTTGTTGTGGGACGCGTCGAAGCATTTCCTTGACTTTGTCCTCGTCGTATCGGGTGCGATCGGTTTGCATGCATTCCTCCCGAACACTATCTCCGACCACACGTTTTCTGTCTCTTTGGATTTCCGCCTCCAGAACAAACAGTTCAAGCCCAAGTTCGGTAAGCTCGGGTTTGATCCTATGGGTTCGATGATGGCAATCGGGACCGGCGGTTCTTGCGAGCTGTGGCTTGCATTTTGTCCCTTGACACACATCGAGGATCTTTCTATTGCCGATGAGACTCCTTTGCTAAACGCCATGAAGCATGGCGAGACTCGTCTGTCACCCCGTCACTATCGCATGGCGGTTATGTTTATTGCCTCGGCGTTGGCACAAATATCGTCGCTGCCTGTTCACGTCATGCATACATATGGAACCGACGAGGATTTTTCTCTCTGGAGAGTCAAGGAGGTCACTAACCTGTAGTAAGTCTTGAGTGCGACACATCCCTGCCACGATATCCAATAGCTGATGGACGGTTTTCCTTTCAGTGATCAACCGACCATCAACCTCCGTTTGGAGGACTTGAAGGCCCTCCACGCATACATCGTGTCGGATTGGGATGACTGGGTTCACAATGCACCAGCGTCTTGGAAGGACGACGGTTGGCTCCAATCCCGTGCACCTTTATCCATAGCCTGTAGGTATGGACAAAACCAAGCAATCGCGAGCTTAAACCCGACCGCTCGACGTGTGGAAGCGGCGAATTGGCAAGCGGAGCGTGAATATTCCAATATTCGTTACATGTCGATGGCTATCGCCACCGATCTTACGTGCGTGCCGTTTTTCCTTTACTATGAGCCGCTCTCTCACTTGACAACCACCACCGTCGCCGTCAGCTGTAAACCAGTGTCTCGATGGGAGAAAATCCCTGAGGATGAGTTGCTGGACGCCCACGACATCATATATGATTCGCCGAACTCTTCCATCCGGCAGCCGGTGAATTTGGACTTTCCTCCCCGTGATCCTGATACGCAGAAAGAAAACAACATCTACGACGAAGATGGTCGTCGAATTCCCCGCTTTGATGGTCTCTGCAGTCCTAACGTGAACCCTTGTGGCGTTCTTATCAACCTCGAGACTATCACCGAGTTGTTTTCTGCAATTATTGCGGAAGATGATGACTTGGCCTTTGATCCTGATGTCATCATGGACGATGAAAATCTTGGCATTCCTCGCGTCAGTGTTTATCCTCAGGCTTTCCTCAAGAAGTATGGTCATGTTCAATGCAACACCGTTTTACCCCATTTCGCTCCATTCATATCGAAAATTTGCAATGCCGTATCTCGCGACACAGTCGGTCAAGACGACTTGGATGATGAGGCTTTGGACGACGATCTCTTCAACGACTTTCCACATGGGTTGCCACCTGTACTCTTGGCTAGCGGCTGCCAGTTCTACAATGAGATCTCGCATCGCATCAGACCGTCCGCCGCCTTGCATGATGTTCAGCAAGGTCGCGTCACTTCCGCTCTCTCAGATGCTTACGCCACTACCCGCAACGCTCAGACTGCGCACAAGGTGAGACATTACATGAACGTGGAAGAGGGCAACAGGATTGTCACTGCATGGTACATGCGAGACAGCATCCACAATTTTGTTGGGACTCCGAGCACGGAGTATGCAAAATATGACCGTGTAGATATTTAGCAACTCCATGTATTGGGCCACATATATTGCTTGTCAATCTCGTTTGATATCATAGACGTACTGTATGGGTATAGACCCGGATGTATATATGAGACGGACCGGATGTTTATTCCCGGTTAATATACTTTGTATGCACCGGATGAGGCATCATTCCACCCACATCATATATTCACCCTATCCCCCGGCCCACTCGTCTCCGGTTAGTATACTCTGTATGCACCAGATACCCCCTCCATCCCACAACGCTCTTCCGGCTCATCTGTATCATCCATCTCACCTGCACCTCTATCACGCAGCGGACATCCGGCTCATCTGTATCATCCATCTCGCCTTCACCTCTCGCACACCGGACGCCCGGCTCATCTGTATCATCCATCTCACCTTCACCTCTGTCCCACAACGCTCTTCCGGCTCATCTGTATCATCCATACCGGCAAATATTTCCATTGTCCACCGGGTGGAATATCATGAGGCCCACCTGTCTCCATTTCACCCGGTACCCCCGGCCCACTCGTCTTCCATTATACCCCATACCCCCGGCTCACTCGTCTTCCATTATACCCCATACCCCTGGCTCACTTGTCTTCCATTGTGCTTCACATACCGGCCCACTCGTCTCCATTGCACCCTTACCCCTGGCCCACTTGTCTTCCATTATACCCCATACCCCCGGCCCACTCGTCTTCCATTGTGCTTCACATACCGGCCCACTCGTCTCCATTGCACCCTTACCCCCGGCCCACTCGTCTTCAATTGTACTTCTCATCCCAGCCCACCCGTCTCTATTGTACTTCGCATACCGGCCCACCCATCTCCATTGCACCCCATACCCCCAGCCCACTCGTCTTCAATTGTACTTCTCATCCCAGCCCACCCGTCTCTATTGTACTTTGCATACCGGCCCACCCGTCTCCATTGCACTTCATACCCCCGGCCCACTCGTCCCCATCATACCCATCTCCCTGGCCCACTCATTTACATTGCACACCATTCAGCCGGCCCACTCGTCTCTATAGCTCATTGCATTCACTACTATTTACATAGATATCCTATATAGTACATTCCTATACTACCATCTACACTATATACCACCGGCCCATCCGTTTGCAACAGGTACACACAACCCTGCAGCCCACTCGTCTACCATGGTACAATTGTTGCCATGGGCCCACATGGGCTGGCCCGCCTCTATTGCTACATTGTCACCCTCAGCTGTCCGTCTAATACGGGTGAATTCACTGAAGGGGCTCCCATACCATCTGGCATCAACCGATGAAGACCGTATTTGCTGATACTCAATAGCTCACTATTACTTGGCGAAGTTGAGCTTCCTGTCAGATTGGCACAGACAAGTTCTATCAATAAACAATATATATACATATAGATGCTGAGAAAAGCCCACCTGCGCTTGGAGACGCTCAGTTTCTTCTTCAAGTCGTTGAATCTGCAAAGACTGACACCATCAGTGAAGGAAGACCATATTTGAAAACAATAGCCCACCAGAGCTACCTGACGGAGCATTTCATACTGGAGCATCTCTGACACGTTCTGCCACTCCTGCTCATAAGCTGCAACTACAGCCTTGACACTCTCCTCTATCGTACTAGTATTGGTGTTGTGGGTGCGCCCCTGCAAGCGTCACCCCATCCAACTATATATAGGGACAAGCTCAGCTTAAGCAAACACATACTGCTTGTCGAGAACAAGGATGGACTGATCTCCTCAGACAACTCTGAAATGACAATGTGGTAGTAGGAAGTCGAACCTGAAACATCAAATTAAATCAACAGGACCATTTAGGGACAGATAAACTATTACACGGGCCACTTCTTTGTTTCATGGGCGGGGATATCAACGCTGCCAGCCTGACGACCACAACCCATAGCGAAGAAAGCATCGAGGGCAGAGAGCCCAAGACCCTGTTCAAGCTTAGGGATGGCATTGAATAGACACCGTTGATCTCGAAGGAGACGCTAACCTGGGGATCAAGTCGACACCTCGTTCTTTGAGGCTACTCCAGCTGGACTTTTTGACATCGGAAGCAGCCTTTATCAACTCCTCTGCGGAGAGGTTGCCAGTCCAGTTGACTTCAACAGCCTTTTTCACCTCACGGTTTGCACCTGTCAATCGGTATCAGATATTCATCTGGCTTATGATCAAGATAAACTATGCACCGATGCGGGGAAAACCAAGAACACTTAACAGGACCATTCTGAGTGAGTTATGGAGGTAGGAGGGAAGGAATGAAGGGACCATTGATTGAGTTGCGTGATTATGTGTTATAACTGATCTGAGGCGGTATCAGGAGATGGTCGATGGGTTGTCATCGCTGCAGGTGGATATCGCGGGAAGCTGAAAGCCTGTGAGTTTGAGATGGGGATTGTGCAAACAGATCAGAAGACCTGATATCACTGCAGACAGCGAGCTGCTTATGAGCGGGTATATAGATGGAGCTGGAAAACTCCAAATCGTATTCAAGACCGAGGTGGCAAACTTTGAGTCGTATTGGAGACCATCGATTACAAAAATCGGATGGGGGATAGGGGGGAAATTGGTCATGGCAAGGGGTAAATTACCCCTTGCCATAGCAAAGCTGCCACTGTGGATTGGTACATACTTTTAACAACTTCAGGCTGCGACTCTCTTCTGGGCTTTTGACATACTCAGTACTGGACTGTTTGCAGTCCCTATCGAGAATATCAAGGAACTTCGTTTCTCATCCGACGCTCGCTATTATCGCCAACAATTCCAACTCGCGCAGGATTATGAAGACAGATGGATTACCATCATCTACATTTTCAATGGCGCCTACAAAACCCTTCATTTGATCGCTTCAACTAGAAATGTATTCAGAAATGAAGATATCAGACATGCGATCTGGGAGAAGCAGTACTAGACGGCATCGGATGAGTCGAGCGACCAGAAGTTGCATTTTGATGAAGCGGAGAAGCCCTTCAGACGCCTAAATGTCAACACTTCGACAGAGGAGCTAAAGCGAATGTTTCAGGTGGAGCAAAATCATTTTTCCTCGCACAAAAAGCCCACAATTGCACAGCAAGCAGACATGAAGTGCCATTGTTTTCTTGACTTCTCTGACTTCCAGCGCTTCATCAAATTGCTCAAGGCCCGCCCAGATATCAAGAAACTATGCTGCAGCCACGACGGGTGATTTGATCTTAGTATCTTTGGGCATTTCGTGCGTCACACTCAGAAGGTATGTTCTTCGGTTTGATCTAGTTTTGCGAAACTGATTGTCATTTAGTTTACATTGTCCCACCCTGTGCTGTTAGAACTGTTCATGCATGGCATTACGAAACCAGATGTTCATCGGATGCCAGTCCGCCACCCTCTCCACCCTCGTCCAAGGACCCGCATCTCCGCCCGCATGATTGCTTGCTGCTCCATTGTCTACTTCTCCCAATCAGATACTGTGTTCTTACAGTCCCCTCACAGCTCTAATTGATGTATCAGCGACCTACATAGCTCACAAACTTTGCGCATCTTCTCAGTCTCTGGAATTGGTCATGTCACCTGATGGTCTTACCTCGTTTCTTTTGTCTTCCATCATTCATAGAGCAACAAGGCAAAGTGTGGCATGATATGATGCGCCCACTTTAGGAGTGTCTTATCTCTTCCTCGCACAATACATATCTTATCAGCCACCAACTCGTTGGTTCTAGTACGATCAAAGGCTACATCCGGGCTTTTCTGCACAGTTGCCATAGCGTCGAGAGTAAGTGCGATTTTGTCTAGAGTTTCTTTGACTCATTTCACCTATGTCTGTTACAGTTGATGTTTACGATGGCGACAGTGAGCCGATGACATATCATGGAAAGACAATCACTTGTAAAGTTCCAGTGAGAGAAGTATGCGAAGCCATCGCAAAGTACGCTTTCTGGAGCACTTGAAGGGGAAGGTGCTGTTTTATTTCTTCTTCATGTGTGGAGTCGTGTTCACAACATCACCACCTCTAGGCAAAGAGCCTCTGTGTCTCGGAGAACAAATCTCTTCATATGACAGAAGTCAGTGTCAACCCAGTGTCCTCTTCTACCGAAACATCCACAGACTCAGATGTTGTTCAAGACATCAGGGACAAACAGATCAAGCCAAGGGTCTTTGAAATGGATGCTATCAACGGTGAGATATGTGCAGCAAGTCTATCTTTTTGGGGCTCATGGATACGATAGAGGTCAAGGACAAATTGAGGAAGGCCCACAGTCTATTCGATCGTGTTCGCGGTGGACGTTTCCACAACATGTCTGGTGTAGCTGCTCTTGCTGTGCTGACCGTGGCCTCTTTAGCAACGTCAGCAAAGTTAAGATGTCAACCACTATTGCGAGCCTTCTTGTGTACACCATTGGTGTGAAGTGTCGAGGTATTAACAAGAAAGAGTACTACTCACCGGAACACACATTCTCTCTCTCAGAGAAGACAGCTAACAAAATGATAAAGTAAGGAATGGTGGATCTTATCAAGCACACTCGGACACATCTGGTTCAAACATATCCAAATGCAGCAACGATTGAAGTGCTGTTGAACCGACAATCAGAATATTGTTGTGAAAAGGCGAGTACTTTGAATCTTATTGGACACATATGTAACTCACAATCTACTAGGCTATTCTTTGGGAAATTACAGCAAAGACTTACTCGAGTCCCTGCCCAGCGGCGTCCCAAAACTTCTACACACGAAAAAGAAGACCTCTTCTCGCATCTTTCTGTGAATGTGACTGATAACGGCTTTGATATTCACGATGGCTTAAGCAGATACTTTGACGATGTCATTGGTTATGAAGGTGAGAAAGCCAGAATGGAGGTACCTGACACTGGTTGATCTACCACTGTTGTTACAGATTCAACTTCAGGTAAATCCTGGCCAGATGTTAAGACTGTGCACAAAGGGTAGGACTGATTCCGAGGGGCTTGGCTTCAGCTCGTGCGCTGCGCCCCTTACCCGAGTATGTGCCCTTAATTTTCAGAATGATGTCCGAAGGACGTCCGAAGCGCGGGAAAGTTCGGAAGGACTTTCCGGACGAGTGCAAGTAACTTCCGGACGAGTGCGGGAAAGTTCCGGAGGAACTTCCAGAAATTACGATGAGGTTTCGTCCTGATACGGATACGTGTAATGGCTACTTAGGACAAGTCCTAAGTAGAAGCAAACAGAGGAAAGGCTGCAAGGACAAAGTCCGAAGCAGAATAGGTCCGGAGGACCGCGGGAAAGTTTCGGACGAACGTTCGGAAACTTCGGAGGATCGGATGAGCGGATAAGTGGAGCTCTGGCCTAGGGAATTTCTCCCTAGGCCCGAGATGGATATTGACTAAGTCGATAGACTAGAACTGATGTGAGGACTTAGAGTGAGATCTAGTGCGAGGACTAATATGATATTCAGACTGAGGAACTACAGGACATATACAAGAGTTTATATACTAAGGAAATAACGGAAAGATCAGTAAGCAAGCGTCCGAGGCTATGTATGAAGCATAAGCAAAGTTATCAAGCGCGAGTCGGAAATGAAGCATAGGTTAACGGATCAGTAAGCGTACCGGTAGTAAGTATAACCGAGATACCGAGGACAAGGAATACCGAACAGAGGAATAGGCTGTGTTAACGTTATATGCACAGGAATGAATTAGGAAGCTTATTGTATATCGGATCGGATCGGATCGGATCGGACCGGACGTCCGGATGAGACGCGTGGATATATGGGATATGACATTAGGGTGATGGGACAAAGGATGACTGATGCAGGCTAGCTGAGGTATGGAGGTAAAGGGATGTGGATGTGCAGGGGTGCGGGGATCCGGATGGATAGAGGACTGGAGACATGGATAGGGTGTCCGAAGGTCCGGATGAGGCGTGGGAATATTGTTGGATGTAGGTCCGGAATACGGGATATGACACCAGATAGCTCAGCAATATATATTAAACAAGTCAATAGCAAGTACAATTCAACAGAGAGACCCTCACAACCATACAAATCGCAAGCTTTTGTCAAGTTTGGCGAGACTATATATAGGGCCGGTTCCTTGATACCACAGATCCAGTCAAGAGGGCTAGGCCAAAGGAAGCACAGGCGGAATTGAACACGCGATGCGAACGTATGCGCTTGCTGACACAGGATGAGGTAAAGCCCCCATGTGTATGTTTGTGAATTAACCGCGTAGAGCACCTCAGCACGCACCTTTCCCTACATCGCTTAAAAACACCCTTGATTTCTTGTCAAAGCAAGAAACACTTATTCTCCTGGATGTTGATGAAGAGCTCGTCGCGAATATCAGCAGCGAACAGGATATCATTGAGGCTGAGATTGTCGAACTCAAGATTTGGAGAACATTTAGAAAGATGATACCTCGGTTGCATATGAGCTGACCTCCATCTTCATACATCGCGGCTCATCATTGTCATTTGGAAACCACTTCTTCTATGCCCGACATGTACCGGAACAACCTAATAACTGGTTCAAGTACAATGACTGCCAGGCTACGGAGGTGTCAAAAACTGAGGTCTTGGCTGATACTGCAGCCTGGGTCTACTGTGATGCTGTAAGTATGTCATTTATACGTTTTAGCACTCTGCTTGCTAATACTTTTCAGTCTCGGACTGACGTCATACCATCCTTGTTGACATAAGATCGGCTTTCCCTCTCCCTGTAGTCGCTGGGTTGTTTGACCTGTACGGGGTTGTAGTCATGCGTTTAACCCAGTGTACTGTTAAGAGAAATGATCTCAAGATATGTAATGAGCACCAGTGCTATCCAACGCAAGCCGAAATACTAAGAGAACCGAAGTGAAGGCGAACCCATTGATTGCTTTTGACAAACACGTTAAATTGACCACCCTCATCTCCCACTGCACTCCCCACTACGGGGTCTCCCACAGTAGCTGCTGCGGCCTTGTCCATACCTGATGGGACTTCGGTAATAGTTTCAGCTGTGCTTGATGCAGCCCCAAGCAGGTCTCCTAGGGCGCCTCCATTATCTCTCACTGTACCATCAGTGGTGCATCCTGCTCTACTTTCTGATGTACCTTCTACAGCTTCTGCTACAACACCTGACATCGAGCCCGTACATGCAGCGAGCCCAAACATGGCAGATCCCCTAAATGCCGAGCATGTGCATGAATGCCGCAGGACAAGCCGTTAATGTGCCTGGTTGGCTTCGATCTCGATGATGATTCTCTGCTTACTAATCTACGCAATTGGTGGTAAACACTACCGCTGGCATCATGGCAGCATGTCTCAGTTGAACGAACAACCTTGTTCTCGCAATTTCAAATTGTCTAGCCTTAATCAAATGAGTCGTAGTGTTTGTCATTGCCTTAGGAAATACATTGATTCTATCCCATGGCACGAATCCAGGAGTAGCAACCGTATCACAAAACACTCCGAGACTCGTGTTTCCCCTCTGACCTTGCAAATGACCGGCCATGTTCGCCTTTGACTGACCATCAGTTTGTCTACACTTCATTAGCACAAATTCTTCTGCTAATCCTAGTTGCAGTGATCCCTATTCTCAGCGTTTAGTGCAATCATGCCAGCGTCTATCGTGCCGAACAGCCCTCAACAATGTGGAATTACACGTGCAGCATGACCTGGGCCTAAACCCTCAACCTCTTCTTTCCCTCTCAGCTGAACTTTATCCATAGTCCCCATATCTCTACCCCACGTCTTCCACTCCCACCCATCCCGCCCACCACGCATATCATCCTCGATCCTCATCATTTTGCTTCATCGCACTATCATGTCTGTTAGCTCAGAAAACCGATGCATCAGACTTGATGGTGAGTCGCTCCATATCATCTCCGTATCCGTTTTCTAATCCTCATGCTCTATCTACAGTCGTCAGCGGAAGTAATCTTCAAGTCCCCTCCTGGCGCATACCTGCAGGTGTTTACGTATCAATCAATGTTGACTCTCAGAGGCGCTGGAAATCGGCAATCGGCGTCTTATCATCCGACAGATCTGTATTGTGGGGGGATACTGTGACTCTGTAAGTCCTTGTTAACTTCCAGGTACGATTCGAGAACTGACCTTCAGTTTAGATAATCAGATGCCTCACCTGAATTGTTTGTGGAGATCTGGGCGTCCTATGAGGCCGATCGAATGTTAGGCAGTGGAGAGGTCATCAGTAAACTTCATAAGTCGTGGGATGAGCTACTCAATCATGGAGATGAACCTTTTGGTGAGTGATTTGCTCGTCATTCATGCACGTATACTAACATCTCTTAGATCTATCCTTCCCACCTGTGCGCGGCGTCCACCCATCCCTCACGCTGAAGGCTGCCGTTGTACAGGCTTGCGACGATCAGGATGGCGCACTGTCTGATGTGAGTGACGCTGGCTTCAGCTGCTAGCTTTTCTGATGGAGGGCCATCTGCAGTCCCTCGTAGACTGCAAGATTACTCGACTCACAGATGCAGGCCACGCGCAATTTGCCGAATACATTGCAAGCGGGACGGTCTCTCACCTGAACGCTGCTGTAGAGCACTTTCAGTTTGTTTTGGACCAGTGTCCAGCCAGCCATCCTGACCATGCAGCAGCTCTCACCAACCTCGCGTCGGCCCGCCTTCTAGGCTACATCCGAAATCATCTGCAAGACATAGATACCACCATTTCCCTCTTCCGCGACGCCCTTGCATTGCGTCCGCAGCACCATCCCGATCGTCCCTTCTCTCTCTATATTCTCTCCCGAGCGCTGAATTGGCGCCACAGCAAGAAAAGTACTGCTGCCGACATCCGCGAAGCCGCCCAACTCTATCATGAGCTACTGCCTCTCTGTCCAGAGGGCACCTACCTTCGTAGCATTGCGTCAGGGACTGGTGCCGATCATATGATCGGTGAATGCAACAATATTCCAACAGACGCATCTGATGAAGGCATCTGCCTTCGACGAGTCGTCCTCGAGCTCTGTCCTGTGGGTCATCAACGCCGTCCAAGAGCACTTGACGAGCTTTCAAATGCTCTCGAATCACGGTTTGTACAAAGCGGCAACATTGATGATTTAGACGAATGCATACAATTTCGTCGTGAAGCCGTGTCTCTGTGCCCCGAGGGACATACTGGCTGTGATGGCTACTTGAATAACTTGGCTGTTTGACTCGGTGTCTATCGCTTCAATCACCAAGGCAATCCTAATGACCTCGATGAGGCCATCTCTTTGCACGAAGAAACGCTGCGCCTGCGCCCTGTTGGGTATGAATTTCGTGATGTCTCATTGGACACCCTAGGGGGCGCTCTTGTCACCCGTTTCAACAAACGCGGTGCCAGAGATGACATCACCCGAGCTATCAGCCTCCGTTGCGAGGCACTGATGTTGCACCCATATGGGCATCCAACTCGTGACATCACACTTTACAACCTTGCCACCGCGCTCAAGATCAGATATGTCAAGTTGGATGTCAGCGAGGATCTTAACGAGGCCATTGATCTGTATCGTGAATCCCTTCGCATAATGCGACTTGACCATCCAGAGCGCCATAGAACTCTTTTCAATTTGAGCTCGGCGCTTCGCTCTCGTTTCACGGATACTCGAAAGAATGAAGATGTCGAGGAGGCCATTGTTCTCTCCCAAAGCGACAGCCAACCGTACTACTATTTCCGGAGATGCAGCCACACGGGCAGGTGCACTTGAAGCTTTGGGATTGAACACCTGGGTGCACCTTGCTTGCCATGGCAAGCAGGACCCTGTGCAGCCTTACCACTCCCATTTCGTCATGAGAGACGAACATCTGACGCTGCTTGATATCATGGACAAAGGGTTTCCTCATGCCGAGTTCGCATTCTTATCCACTTGTCATACCGCGGTCGGGGATAAAGAGACACCCGACGAAGTCATTCACCTCGCAGCTGGTCTCCAGTTTTCAAGGTTCAAGAGCGTTGTTGGCACGCTGTGGGAGGTTGACAATTTCGTCGCAAAACACATCGTTGAGGCTTTCTACAAATATATGTTCCACCCGAAGGAGGAAGGTGTCATGGACTGCACGAAGGCGGCCTGGGCACTCAACTGTGCTACACACGCAGTGAAGACGAAAGTGCCGCTTGAGCAGAGGATGGTTTTCGTTCATATCGGTGTGTAGTTCTATCATGTCGGATTGCTTTCATCTGTCAGTACATCTTTATTTTGCTCTGGATTCTTTTATTCCATTGTACCACCCATCAATTGTAAGATCACCTTCCGAGTCACTGGCATACTGCTCATGTTTTGCATTCTCTATTGTGCTATTGTCTACTCTAGAATTTTATTCGATGCTCCGAGTATATGTCCTTCGTGCGTTGTGCGGGGGAGTACTGTCGATCGAAAGAACTAGTGAGTTTGAAGTGACTTCAAAACTTATGCTTTCTACTATGTATCTATCATCAAAGTATGGCTGTCCAATATCACTGTCAGCCATGCACTCACGTCTCACGTCTCAAAAATTGATCTGCCATCCAGTAAGTCCTCACTGCACTTAGTGCTGCCAGGGTAATAGGGCGGAATGTGACGCTGATCTCCTTCTATCCCTTTCGGCATGCCCTACTCTGCAATTGTTTGCAGTTGAAGAGACCGAGGTAGTTCAAGTTCCTGCACATGATAGCACTACGATTTGCCACACTGGAATTGTCGTTGGAGTTGCATTTCGAGTGGACGCGTCAGACGGAAATGAAGACAAGAAATCATAGAGGTGGGAGAAGGCGGAGGCATGGGATACCGACCGATGATCATGGGCGTAGTGTCGTGAGTAGAAGAACATGTCGTGTAGACTACGACCAAAAGGTAATGGCATGCACGGGTATATTTTCTGCTGTTTATCGAGTCTACTACTCTCGCTCTCTGAACCGAACAACTCTAGGTTATTCGCAAGATGCGAAGGAATGGACTCTCGACAGAGCTGGCCGGCAAGAGGTTGAACTTTACTTGGGCCAAGATCAGCGGTGCATTCGGCGTGTAGCCTCGTATCCGTGCTTCTTCATTATTTTTTGTACGAAAAGCTAGAAAGTGAGATCAGCTGGTTATGAGATTGGGATGTGCATGTTCCATCCCTCGTGACCAATCACAAGCCAAGTCGTCTGTTGACCAAAGCAAACGACAACGCGTTCTCCTCGGGCCATATCTTGAATACAGACTTGTCGTCCAGAAGAACTTTACCTTCGCACCCGTCCTCTTGACGATCAGGCTAGCGAGATAATCGAATTGCCTGTGTGTGATGAGGAGGGTTGCATGCCGAAGTCCTTGCCGTGAGGCCTCAACATGAAGTCAGACTTTTATTTTATTTCTACTCGCCTTTGACGGACGAGTAGATGCCTGCATGGTGTAGAAGGAATTGGAGATGTTTCTGGAATGAATTGCTCGTATGTTGGGCAGCCCACCCTTCGAGTCTGATATAAGTAGTCACGTGGCCACGATCACCAAAAATTATGCTCATCATCACAAACGATGAGCAACCTCATCTCCTGTGTATCATGGTAACTAATCCCCGTCCCGCACATCCCACATATCTTACCCGAATTTTAGGGTAAAATGCGGCATTTCAGCCAACCAGCCCTCCAAATTTGTCCTCAATGAGAAGGAACTCGAGCGCGTCACACGTATCGAGCTTGAGGATGCGTGGATAGAGGTGGAGCGCGCGCGGAATACTGTTAAAAGTATGAGAAGGTGCTGAGGCGCATGATGCGGATGATAATGGTGATGAAGATGCATGGGTCGAGTGCGTGATTTTGATTCGGCTCTTTGTTATGTTTGCTGATGGTATTGTGAAGTGAGGAGGATGCGTCGATGAAGGTGGACTGGGATGTACAGGTCGATGTGCCTGAGAAGGCGGACGATCTTGCGCAGCACAAGTTGGATGAATACGACGATTGCGATGTCAAAGAAGATGGTACGTCTGTCGACACGGCCTCTTCAGTGATGCTGATGTTTCACAGGCATGGGTCCATTCAGCAATATTAGAGGACTTGCATTTTATAGAAATAACTAGGACGATCCATATATCACACTCAAAGACGTACGGTTGCCTTGTCTCTCTTTTACTTGCATCTAACACCGTGCAGGACCCCGAAGATGACGAGCGCTCAGAACTCGAGATCCTCCCAACAGACAACCTCCTAGCCATCGCAAACACAGAAGATGACATTTCCCAACTCGAGATATCTATGTCTACGACGGATCCCAAGACAACCTCTACGTCCACCACGACCTCATGCTCCCAAACTTCCCCCTCTGCCTCGAATGGCTAGACTTTCCACACCTCACTCTCGTTTCTCTCCCTCCCACACCAATCCTCTTTCCGCGTTATATCGCGTCGATCTCTTTCCTACTCCTTCTCGCAGTTACTTCCTCCCAAACCAAATGGACCAAAGTTCAAGGTATACCGCTGGAACTACCTGTATCCATTCATTGTTCGCTCCAGGCATAGACCCAACTTCAGAACTTTCTTTCCTTATATTCCAAACGAGGTCAAGCATAGAAAGCGTACATCTCGTATACAGCTCAAGGTCCTGGAAGATATATTTCGTAAAGATACGAAACCAAATGCTGCCCTGCGTAAAAAGTTAGCAGCAGAACTTGATATGCTTCCATGTGCGGTCCAGGTGTGTTCTAAACGTCAATTCGTCGCGTCCTCACTGCTCAATCTCGCGTGCCACCGAAAGGTGTGGTTTCAAAACAGGTATGTTGCGCTCTCTTCTCACTCGCTTTTCTAATTCAACTCATTCATTCATTCTTAGGCGTGCAAAGGACAAGGCTCTTCGTAAAAGAGTTCAGGACTCGACTCAGCAGGATTCTCCTTCGGCTCACTCTCCTCAAAAGTCTCAGTCTTCCAGGGACACCTTCCCCAATGACTCTTCCAATTCTTCCACCCCCACGGAAAAACCCACGCCCCTGCAGAAGACGATCAACCACCCTCACCAAAGTCACACCCAGTGGAGCGATCACCAATAGCTGAAAGTCCTCTTACAAAGTTTTCCTTTTCTCTTCCTGCGCCCCCTACAGAAGCTTGGCACAGTAACCTAGCCACTCCTGCCGAAATTCCCCCACATGTTCGCCATTTGCCAGTGGACTTGACTTGGCAGGACAATAATGACCTTCTGAACACACGTAGAGGGTCGCTGCCAATCACCGCGTCCACGCCAAGTACAGACACCAACCAGCCACCTTCCCACTTCCCAGATAGACGCAAGTCTATGGACGTCAGTCTCCTTAGGCTCATGCATCATCCGTTCGCACGCGTTGCAAAGGAGAAGAATGACGCGAACTTTCTCAGGCCGCCCATATCTCCTGCAGGGTCAGGTCAGTCCATGGCCCGTCCACCGTCTGGCCTCGGTGGGCCAAGCATACGTGCAACAAGTTACAGCTCTTCTACTTCCTACAGCCCTTACACCCGCCCTTCTTCGGCTCATAGAGTGTCAGAGCCCCATGTCTTCTCGCCTACTCGCTCCTCCCTTGTACCGGAGATTCGTCCACCGTTTCCGTCCTCGCACGTGCCACGCCGGCTCTCGGACAACCACTTTACAATGAGCTCTAGAGCGCTCCCGTCGCCTATTCCTGGCCCCCTGCCAAAGCCTGATTTCCAGTTTGGCGCTCCGACTTCTGGGTCCCCTCCACATGTCTCACCGGATGCAGAATCTCCCGGGAACCTGCACGCATGGGCATTTCCTCACAACGAGGCAGATCAGGACACGGAGGATTCGTACAGTTCTACTGGATTATCTAGATTCGGCTCGATTGCTAGCATCTGTGGGAGCGACACCAGCGCGACCAGTGCAATTTATTCGGACGTCAGCAGTTGTGTTGGCGTCGATCATTTCGATTCTAATGGCAGGAAAGGGTCTTGGTACGCTGCGCTTTTATGATCGACACGTTCGTTCGCTGATGTTTTTTACGTTACAGTGCATCCAACCTCGAAACGCGTATGTCCGGTTTGAACATGCGGTCCAGCCAGGGATCGCTCAATGAGGCTCACTTAAACGCCGCGTCTTCATTTTCCTACCAACACAGGGAACACCTGTTATCACAGGAACCAGGGTACTCTTCCCCTACTTCCACTGTTTCACCCGGCAGAAGTCCACACTCTGGATACAGCAAGGACCCTGGCCCTTCGGGTCTGCGAACGAGCGAGGTTTTGTTTGGTTACAATCCTGTAATTAGTCATTTTACCTCGAACGTTTCTGACGAGATGCTGACGTGTGGCTACGCAGCTCCCACCTGAAACTAGCGCCAACACCTATCTAGGTCCCATGGAGCCCACCACAGCAAGCCGCAGGCTCAGTATACCCACCATGCAAGAAGGAGTGCCGCACAATCATATTCAGAACAACATCGAACACAACTCCTCATATCCCACGCCCGTAGACACGACGGCCCCGTCCAACGTATATCATTTCGCCCCAAAATCCAACCAATACTCCCACACAGGAAACTATCCATCATTTCCGCGGGATGGCACGTTTCCTCCCACGGAGACCTCATACGCCCAACCTGGATTGCAGCACCCAGCATAGAGCAGTTTTGCGTTGAGCTCTGCTCCGTCTGCTAATATTGGAATCGGTGGCGGTATGAACTCGTATGTGTTGCCTCCGGCTGAATACACATTTGCTGTACCTCCTTCGAATAGCGTGGGGCATGGTGGGGAGCGGTTTAGTGCATATAGCTGAGGCGGCCGTCGACCTTCCTGGACCGCTGTCTATATCTACATATTTGGTGCGTCCGGCCCACCCCTGCAAGTGTCACCCTATCACCCCTATCAACAGGTTAGGTGTGCAGAAATGACTTCCGCGCAAAGGTCTAATCGATAGGGTTGTCATACATTCAGAGTTTAGCATCTATTAATGTCCCCGAGTTGCGCATGTATGTTTCCTCCATTTTATTGCTCTTATTGGAGGGAGCTATGGGTCGAGGATCGAGGCTGATCGGCTTGTTGGTAGGTCTGTGTGGGTTTCCTTTGGGCGCTTTGCACACATATCTTCCATGCTAGGACCTCGCCAAGTGCTGCTCAGCACGTTTGGACACGTTTCACAAGTGGGTTGGTGTGGTGATATTGCGAAGTCTTGGGATAGCGTTGGTGCCCGAGGAACTGCAGGCTGAACAACTTAGCTGTAGGTTTTACCCGTCGTCTGAAAAACAAGTGATGTGTTGACAATTCTCCAGCTCTTGTGCTACGCGTTATCTATCATCTGCGATCGCTATCAGAACAAACTCCGTTTGATGCTGCAACCTTTTCCTATGCATTCCCACTCCTTGCACAGGTGTTACTGAAGGGTGGTGTAGACACCGGCCAAGATGATGGCGATGAAGCACTCGAGCAAATAACTCTCGTGCTTAACATCATTAAGTTTCACTGCAGCGAATGTATGTCTTTGGTGTAAGAGTTGATGCACTTATAATATTCTTGCAGTTTTGGATGCAGCATTTCCCCGAACAGCAACCATGGGGCAGGTCCCCCACGCCATAAGGCATCAGCCGCGGCTTAGCAAGTAAGCATTATCTGTTCTCATTGACCTCGGAGAGGCTGTGCAGTCGAATGCGACCCGTGATGAGGTCGGTGTGCTCATTGATGGCACACTATTGCAAGAGGTCTACGTCAGGAACACATGTCTACAAGCCATCCAGGTCAGCATCATTTTCTCGCAGTTTGCATTACTTGTGTTTATCGTTTTCGTAGCCATTCGATTTGACCGATCTTGATTGGTCTCCGCAACTTTGAATAGCCTGCCATGACGATGACGAGCAGAATGCCCGTCTCGCTAATCACGCATGGGAGGATAATGGCTTGGATGTGCCAGAAGACTTCCTTGACAAGCTCATGAGCTATCTCGGTATGTAGTTCGTGTTTCTATACTTAAATTCCAATGTTTCTATTAGAGCACAACAATGCGTATGTTCGAACCAGCACGGCATCGTCCATCGCGGAGGTTGTAATTTATTGGCCTCGAAAGAGTGCACTGACCATAGCTGCTCTACAAGACTTTTACCGGGAATTGGTATGATTCTTCATCCTTCTTTACGTGCTCAGCTCTAATCAGTTTGAAGGCTAAAATTCTTGCACCCGAGTTCGACCAATACATTAGTTCCGATTATGATCCTCACTTGATGCCCAGGGCATGGTTATTGCTTCTAGCCTCGATTGCTCCGATCCATGGGCTACCCGAGTGGCAGTGGCTACTAGTGTTGTGGGCAGAAGTCTGCCATTCTGCCAGCCGGTTTGGCAGAACCGGTTCTGCCCAGCAGATGGCAGAACTCTGCTGGCAGAATCCGGCAGAATGTCAAACTGCAGCCTGCAGGGGATCACAGCGAGAGATGTTCTGATAGCTTTCCTCACCTTATATGGCCATAGTAACCTTTCTCGATCAACTCAGCAACTGCACTTCCTTACCTGTAGAGCAACTGTAGAGTAGAGAAAGATTTCAGTTGTACTACGTGTCGTTGTACTATGTACGTCGCTGCCAGTGGCCCTTACATTTGAGCACTTGGCTCCATCATTCACGGAGGACCAGGTTAAACCGTTCTTCGTATTCTTGATTAAGGACGAAGCATTAGGTGACAGGTCATCGGACGTGCGCCGCGGCATGCTTAAAGCTGGAACTGCCATGATCAATATCCATGGCTCAAAGTGGCTTGCGGAGCTACTCTCCACTTTTGAAGAACATCTAGGCGGCCCAAGTACTGCGAATGAAACTGGGGATCAAATCAAGGAAGCCGTTCTCATTCTGTTTGGACGCGTTGCCAGGCATCTCGATGCCTCGGACACACGCATTCCCAGCATTGTCAACAGACTGGTCGAAGCTCTCAAGACTCCGGCAGAACAAGTTCAAATAGCTGTGTCCGACTGTCTTATCCCCCTAGTCAAACTCATGGGCCCGGGTGTTCGCACGCCCGTTCATAACTTATTTGAGAAATTCTTGATGTATTTCCCGTCCAGTATAGGGCTAAACTGAACGGTGGTGGTCAGCCGCCACTAGGTGACCGGTCAGACCTATAATCAGGTTAGCCCGAGGTGCGCGGGTGTGAAGATTTAGGATAGACCTATAAAATTGAGATCGCTAAATAAGTACAAGTGACTACACTAGTGACTGCTGATAAAAGAGATGAGAAACCTCGAAACAGACAATAAAAATCATGGATACTAGCCAAAATCATGATCATAACCAGGTACTGGTACATGCCATGGCAAATATAAATACCTCACAGCATATACAGGAGCATGAGTAGACAGCCGATGAGAAAGTGATCGGAAGTGGAAGTCGGGAACTTGGTGCCCATGCATCGCTACCTATTACTATAGCAGATACTCATATGTGGCTCGGGGCTTTGTATCATTGTCTTCGTCAAATGAATGTCAGATCTAACACTCTGTCTGTTTTCTCGTCATCCGTCTTCTCCACTTTGTTAAGCACCACTCACTCAAGGCACAGCCAAAGAAGGGTGCGGGATCCTCAATGTTCTTGATGACGACCTTAGTGACACGAGGAAGCGATTAGACATTAAAAAGCAGTAGCAGCAATGAGAGTACCTCTCATTCATGTGTTCTCGAAGTTCCTCAAGGGCCTTGATGACCTGATTGACGTCTTTGGCAGTGGATATTCGAGTGAGGAACGTCACTCTCCGACTTGAAGAACGTTCAGAATATTTCGAAGAAGTCTCGTTCGAAGGGTAGCTTAGATTATCGTCATGAGTGGGCGAAACATGGCCTGTTGTCGTTTGCATTGACGTTGTTAATGCATTTGCATCATTGATCGTCATAATGGTAAGCGGCCAAGTTGTGCGAGTTTTGCATTTCATGGGAATCGTTGCGTCACACTATGTCACACCGCCGTTTGTCCTCTCTGTTCAAGCGTTGAATGAATCTGGGCAATTGACGAGCGCTATTCAAGGATTTGTGCAGGGCTGAGACTCGAACTTCAAATATGTGTTACATGTACTGTACATAAGACTATCTAGGTAAACCTGACTTTCGCGCAAGAATTCTAACATTAATCAAGATTCAATAGCAATAGATGTGCTTACACCTCACGCCTTCTGTTCACGGATTGTACCGTGCAGTCACTTCTACTCTCTACCCCTGGACTCTCAATGGCACCTTCTTTCCGAGTCCCTCCAGTCCCTTGTCGCAACTCCCGTTGGCTCATCCTTTACAGCTTCCCGGAGATCGCTCCGTCTTTTATGATCCATCTCCGTCATGACTCATTTCGTCGCCTCTTGTCTTTCGACATTCGAGTTCGCATTCATCACCAAGAAACGCGCACCCCCACCCCTGACAGCAGCTGCCAAATGCCTTGCACTTTGCATCAAGGTATGTCTTTCCTCACCCTGTTTTTTCAATACACCTCAAGCCTTCCCAGCTGTCACTTGGTGACGACACCATCATGTTCAACATGTACTCTCTCCTCAATTACATCGCTGCGACCTCCAAAGAAATAAGTGAATCATCCTCTTCCAACCAACTCCTTTCTAACCCCCTCTACGCTTCTTCGATCACCTCTCCCAATGATAATGTGACCTTCCAAAGCGATTAAACAGGGTTACACGGTCGCTCAGACGAAGAGAAGCGGGACATTGGGATCACGACTATATCCGTTTTCATGCGCCTTGCACTCGAGTTCCGTACTGCGGGCCAGGAAGAAATCTTATGATCTCGATATTGTTGCAGCGCTTACAGACTTTGAAGCCGACTCACGAGGCTGCGATCGTGTATAACCTTGTGGATCTTGCGCTCGTAGCTCCTGAAGAATCGTATATAGACGTTGCGCGTGCGTTTTTGCCAATCAATCGCGCTACGAACCTGGAAGACTCGAGATTCTCTAATAATATGGTATGTAGGAAATTATATGTCAATGGTGTGCATGCTGATGGATAGCAGGTGTTGGCCGCCCAGACCAGGCTTGCACGTGAACTGGACCAAAGGCCTGATTTGTATGACATATACTTGGTCGAGCTGCTCACTCTCTTCGGAGACAAAGGCGTTGCTATCCAGAACGTGGCGACGTATGACAGACACGTCAAGGTAAGTTTGCTCACATATTGCAATATTGTGCTGAATGTTCGATTCAGACAGAAGAGATGATCGAGCAGCTGGTCCCTTCGTTGTTGCCGATTGAAGCGCTTATTACCCATCCAGATTACTCTCCACACCTGGTCGTTCCGCAAGAGCTTACAGGCCTCTTCCGGAACATGTGATTCCTCTGCGTCCTCTTCCACTTTACATCTGGCGAGGAGAAGGGCGCGATGACGTGGCTCATGCCTGCACTGGCGAAAATCGCAACAAAGACGCCAACTCTGGTGCTCGAGAATGCTCATCATGCAGCGAGCGAAATCGAGTATAGCACTCTCATCCGGTATGAACATGCGCATTCTGTTAGTGCTCTGCGTCATTTCGAAAGGGAGGATACTTAGAGATTTTGACAGGTTATCTCGAAACACCGGTCGTTCCTTGCACGCCATATTCCACATCGCGCAAGCGCGATACGCTCCTTGTCCCCGGGACAGGCGATCTTCTTGTTGATGATGCTAGACGTCGAGAGTATGCGATCTGCTGCTGGTCTCCCGTCTTCCCTAGTGTCATACTTCATGAATGGCAGCCTGAATCGACAGAGCTATCTTATTGTATGCATGGAATCTATAGCTGACAAGGTAATATTCGACTTCAGATATGATGCGCTGAGCTAAATTGTCAACAGGTTATGCGTGGATGTATGGGAGAGATGGATTCCCAAGCTGTGGAGCAGGCACTACCGGCCCATCTATCAGAGGAACTTCACAAACTGCTTGTAGCCAGCACTCATCGCATATCTTGTGCTTGGAACATCGCTGCCAAATACCTATTCAACCTGATTACATCGTTTCCCTCTCTCATGTGCGACCCGCCACTGGTGTATGCAATCCTTGAGCGCCTTACTCTTCTCCGCCATGCATGCAAGAATGAGTTTACGGACGAGGTAACAGAAACATGATTCTATTAAGCGAGTAGCTGACGTTTAATTCAATTACAGTACAACCCAGTGTACGAATTCCACTCTGAGTGTACTGGCATCACGTTACAGCTCATGGACGACTACAAAGTATGAAATGACATCCTTGGACAGCTGCAGCGCAATGCCAACATGTGGTTTGAACTCACACTCAGCCGGGCTCCCATTAAGCTCCAGTCGACGCTTCAGGTTCGTTTTGTTATTGTCATCTGCAACTCTTTTCCTTCATGTCCTCCGTACAGAAATATCTCGTAGCTACGCAACCACTGATTGGTGCGGACTCTGCTGAGTTAGGAGCTTCTGTTACCGAAACGTTTGCTAAGGCACTTGGTCCTGTACACCGACAACTTTGTAGGTGCTCGGTTTTAATTAACGTACAAGTATTCTGATCATTTTACATCGTAGCTTCTCTGTGTAGCCTATCAAACTGGAAGTCTGATCGTGCACCCGCTCTTGCTAGCCAATTTGCGAACAAATGTTATTTTTCAGGGGAGGTTGCTGGTTTGCGGTTTGCGGCTTGCGGCTCGTAAAAGTAAGTTGGTCTATCTGATAGATGGCCGGGTACCTTAACGTTTGCAAGATCAAGATTCGCTGGATAAAGTAGCTCCTCAGATGCAATGCACTGGCGTTCAGCCTTTCAAGGACAAGATGGCCGATACGATGAACGACATTTGGAATAAACGCAGCTCTTTAACTGTTCAAGATCTGCAGCGTCTATTATTCCGTTGTGCAGCGACTCTTATATCGTTGGAGAAGCTTAGACCAAGCTTTATGTGTTTCTGGCATCCGTTCTGACAATTTCTAGTGCGACTACACCTTGGTACATTTTTTGGTAGTTCTACCGTTTGAAGTTTTCACCCCCTCTGTGGTCGCTGCGGGTATTGAAACGTGGACGTGGGTCATCGCGGAACGTCCTAACATGGAAGTGGTCATCATGTGTAAAGTGCTCGCATCTTGGTTTGGGACTGTGAAGGAGGGGAAGGGCGTGTTCTCGGCCTCATCAAAGTTTGTCGATTTCTTTTGCATTCTAAATTCCCGAGTGATTAACAACCAACAGCTGTGATGATCCCTTTTACCATCCCATCGGTTATAGTCCGACCAACAAGGACGAAATCGATCGAGCAACGACTCATGCTCATTGGCTGCTCTTGCCGCATACCTTAGTTCTACAGATGCTATTCAGTCGATTGCAAGCAGCCAGATATTGTCGCTCGACTGTGATGTTCCTCATCCAAAGACTCGTTTTGCGATCTGCGCGAGCGCACAAGTTGTTTAGGTGTGTTCGTCAAGTCAACAGTTCGAATCTATATTGACAATTCGTCCAGTACTCATCCGCTAGCTCGAGAGTTACCCTACACGTTCCTTCTTTTTGGACTGGAGACGTTGAAGAGCTCGCATCTAGATGCTGTTGATCGGTTAGAGTCTCACTCCTTCCGCCCACCCTCTGTTTTCACTTAGTTCGAACCCCGGAGTCTTATGCGTTCAAGCCACAATGCTTTGAATGACATTTATTTCAGCGTATGCCCTGGTCAACATGTCACGAACAGGTGAAGCAGTCCTGCAAGCATGCGGTCTTCCAAACTCATTTCAGTTGATACAGACCGGTGTTCATAGGGACGCAAGGGCAGCATTTGATGTTGCATTCATGTGATCGAGATTCAGAAACTGTTCATTTTCTACTCTTCATCAAGGTACGTTACAGTTGCCTCGCATGCAATCTACTTCACTCTGTGTTTCAGGCCATCGCTCTCTTCAGTGCAGATCAACATGACGAGGCAAACCTGCTCCTCAAAGAACTCGGTTGTCCGAATGCCGATGATCGCACATGTTGTATTGTGGAAGTAAGTATCATGCAGCCACGCTGGGTCATCAACACTAAGATTCCTTCCAGCTCGCACATTAGGCATGAACTCGAAATAAAGGCCTTGGATGGCGCACGTCATGACGAGGCTGGTGACTATTTCACTGCCGGTCTATGATGACAAGTTTCTCGAGCAATACACTGTTGACATGGAGTATCTTGTTTGTAGGTTAGGGTTGTAGGTTACGTTTAGCATGCTTATCTTTGATTCATTTGGAAACTGATTTTAGGGTTAGGGTCCGTCCTGGGACGGATTCCCTTATATGGATAAGCCCTAACCCTAAACTTGCATCATGCCTTCGCAGTCTACCGTTCTCTAGGGCAGTGCTTCATACTCGCAGTGGTCGTGGTCTGGTACACTGACCAATGTTTCAGATGGAATTTTGGAAAATAATCATTTTGGAAATAATCTACTCTTTATTAAGGTACGTCAATGGTGTCTCATTTACTTGCTACTTACAAGATAGCTGTCAGGCCATCGCACTTCTCAAATGAGGCAAAATTCTGCGCGTCTAAGAGCTAGCTACCACTCATCCCAATCCGAATTCTCTTGCCTGCGGTATCGTGAAAGTGAGTGCTCCTGACACAGTTAACTCCAAGTTTATGCGTCAATACTGATTTTGCGAACCTCGCACTTCAGGCTTATCTACACGTCCAAGTGGGAATACTCCTCGACGCGGAAAAAGTGCGATGACGATTATCGTTTCGTATTGGACGCTCATTTTGGTGATACGCAGGCCATCGAACTCAACCCTCCACCTTACTTTGGATATCAATCGAAGCATGCACCCGCATCCTACAAAACTCAACTCATGGCACACAAAGCAAAGATCTACGTCCGTCGCGGCGGTCCCAACTGGCAAGAAGGTTTCCAAGCCACGCGTCTACTTGGTAAGTCCATCCCACATATAAATTGACATTGACATCGCCACTAACACCAACACACAGGCGAGTCCCTCGGCGTCCCCATCCGCGTCTTCGGCCCCGACACCCACATCACCAAAATCATGCCTGGCCACCCACCTTCGTGCGCTCGGCTCTGGGGCAATCGCAGATCTACAACTGCAAGGCACCACACAGAGAGGTTAATGTCGCACATCACCCACAACCTTGTTGCTTTCTCCACTTCTTTGGAGCTGTGCCTTCGGCGCTCATCCAAGGCTAGTTATGAGCCTCGGGCTGCGCGAACGTCGCAAATCTCGATACAGCCGTTTGCACCGAAGCTGAGCATGCGTGCCACAGCCTCGCACCAGCGCCATTCGCCGTCGCGGTAGCTCGGTACGGCCGTTTGCCCCGAAGCTGAGCGTGCATGCCACAGCCTTGCACCAGGGCCTTTCGCCGTTGCAGTAGCTCATTATGGCCTAACAGTCGGGGCAGAAGAAATCATTCCGATACCAAATCTCAGCCACCCGCAGCACCTATTCACTCTTATCTCACCAATGCTCGGGCAATTTCACGACAATGCAAGAAAACAGTTACTTGAAGTAATCATGGCAGACAGTAAGTAATGAGATCATCTTAATGTTATTGACTTGATCTGTGGTGTATGCAGAAATGTCGTCGTATTATAAGTGAGTAATATCTGCAGGTGCTCTAACGCCTCACTCTGCATTGCTCGAATCGATGGAGAAAGATAATGAGGAAGAGCTCAGGAAGCTAGACGAGAGACTAGCAGAGGCGGAGAAGCAAGAGGGGGAATCTGAGATATCAGACGCTTTGAAAGCCAGAGCCAATCATCTAACTCAAATTGGTGGCAAGGTATGTCTTTCCTATGCCAAGTCATACAGGTACTGAATATTATTTATACGTAAAGGAAGGCGCAGTCGCAGCGCAAAAACTTGCCCTTGTGAAAACACCTGGCCTAGGCTCGAGGATAGATATGGTGCTCACTCTCATCCGACTAGGATTTTTCTTCGGTAATAATGGCCCAATCACTGAGAACCTCCCCAAAGCAAAAAGGTGCGCTATCGCAAAACTTTGCCGCGAATTGAATTGACATATCATACAGATTCATCAAGGAGGGTGGTGACTGGGATAGGCGTAATCATCTAAAAGTCTACCGCGGGCTCCGCATGACATCCATCCGCCAGCTTAAGGCTGGTAGCGCACTTCTCCTCAATGCACTATCGACATTCACTGCCACTGAACTCAACGTACAACGACTTTGTCGCTCTCACCATCATCATAAACGCTCTCTCTCAAACGAGTGGATCTCAAGAAACGGGTATGCTTGTTCTCCTAGTATTTCTCACTGCTGATCATATTTTCTGTAGCTCATTACCGCACCAGAGGTTATCTCCGTTTTGCCCGAAATTCCGATCCTTGGAGACCTCTTAAACAACCTTTACGACTGTCATTCTTCATCGCACTCCGTACGTTTTTCATACTTACAATCCACTTCCGAGGCCCTTGTCTAGCCTCACATCATACTTGTTTGACGTCGACTGACATGCCGTACAGCGACCCTTGGGCAGACATATCTTCTACCCTTGCGACTCCTTTTGCCTCATGCCTGCTACTATGTATGAGAGATGCGCATCTTGGCATACAGCCAACTTCTGGAGTCCTACTGCAGTCTTACTCTTGAAAGTCTTAGTGGTTCACTGCAAATAACAGAACGTCCTCATAGTTGAACCTGTCTTCTCGTATATTTTTCATGGTTGCCCATGTACCTTGATAAATGTGTAAGTTCATGTTCGTTCTTATTGAAACCCCCGGTGGGCTATGCTATATATATTGCCCGTCTACAGGCCTACAAACGCCTGAACAGAGATATAGGGTTTGCTCATCTTCTGGCATCAACGACTTTAGATATGGCACGATTGCCGTTGCGCCATACACCAGCTCATAGCCCGGACCACCTGGTTGCAACTTATATGGCTTGTCGTCCACCTTCAAGAAATGATGTGCGATGGACATAAGAGATGTCTTCAGAGCAGCCGAGCGCACATAGACGGCAGCATTGTGAATCCCGTACACCTGTAAAACACAGTATCAGATGTGAAATCGAGAGAATCGCGGGTATCGAGACCTTGTATACAGAAAACACGCAGTAATCGATATCCCACTGTCGCACGTCCATTTTTCTATGTGGTGCGTATGCAACACAATCTACAGACATTTCGACCTTTCTTGCGCCCTGTTCTTTTGCACGCTGGCGAAGTGCCTTCACTGCTTCTTCCACAGGAACCAACGATCCCAAAATATTGGAACATGCGGTGATGGCGACCAGCCTGGTTCGTGAAGAAACGAGTGGCAGCAGTTCTTCGACTTTGTATGCGACTGAGTAAGGGTTTTCCGCAGATACTGGCGTAGGTTGCCAGTATTTGACCACGGCGTTGCGCCGCTCAGCCAGACGCTTCCAAGGACCGTTGTTTGCTAAGACGAGCGTTGAGTTGTTTTTTACAAAGCAATACAGGAAGATAATGTCAGAAACCTTCATGTTCATAGCTAATGATGAATTCATCTCCGGGTTGGATATCGGTTTCGAGCGCTCTAGCGATCTTCTCCAAAATCATCGTCGAACTCGGTCCAAACCCGACCTCATCGATGGAAGCAGCATTGAATAACTCTGCAGCAGTGAAAGAGCCCTCATCCACGCGCTTGTTACTCAGCGCGCCGACGAAATAGTCAGCTCCCAACTGTACGTTAGTGTTGGTCAGATAATCTACAATCCGATCAATCACTCCTTGAGTAGTCTGCGATTATCGGCGTAGATGTACCCTGATTGCAAGGATGGGAAGCAAGCGCGAACTTCATCGATGTCGAGGGAAGCCATCTGATCACTATTGCCAAGGAAGTGTAGTCCAAGAGAAAAGGATGACTGGTTGAGTATCGCTCGATGATAACCATTCCATTATGTATTCATATCGATATCCAGGTTACCTGTCGGAGTTTTATGTAAACATGTGCAAATAAATGAAGGCGGGTTCATGACATAGTGCTTTCATATGATCACCATATGAGTCTTATGATTATTCAGGAAAGTGAGGATCCTTGACAACTCACAGAAATTTTGTTAGACAAATTCTTAACCTTCCCTAGAAACTTCAAACCTACGTACTTTGCCGCGGCGTCTCAGGCTGTCCTAGACGAAATTAACACTTCGAGGGAAATGCAAAGTGGTCCTCATCGATCGTACCGAATTTTCACCAGCACTTGCTTCGCTGGATGTGCGGGTTTCTGGAGAAGGAATTGGCCTCGAATCCCCCAACTGATTAAGTTCACTCATTGATGTTTGAGCAAGGTGGGTACTAGGATAGCGCTTCGTTTGTCTAACTGGTAATAGGCCATTTGCAGGCCACGGACCGGAAGCCGGGAGGGAATATTTGCTGCTGTGTTGACCTCAAGCGCTACTAGAGCATTGGATGAGCGTTGCTGAACTTCGGGAAATGCCAGGAAGTCGAAGGAATGGTTATCTTCAATCGTCTAACATTGGGAACATTCTTTTTCTTGCGCAAGCACACAAAACGCAGCACCACAGGTCATTTCTTTGCGACCCTTGCTTACCAGCTTGCAAGCAATTTTCCTAACGTCAAGGAGGACGTGAACAGAGCTATCCGCGACAATCCTACAGTTCTAGACTCCAGCAAGTCTCTTTGCGGCCAGATGATGGTGTTATTTCGCCGACCTCTCTGGCACCTGCAACTCAGGCTGCGCAATCATCCGCCTCCGGTGTTTGTTGTTGATGCCCTCGATGCATCGGATGAATGCCAACCTGAAACAGTCGCCGACCTGATCTCCTCCTCAGGGAAGCATTTCGTGATCCTGAACTTCCCGTGATCCACATTCTGCTCACCAGTCGCTTTGAAGAGCATATCCGTAAAGCCATTCAAAAAGAAGAGATGCGCACACTGGTGCATGAGATACCAGTGAACACTTCTGGGGAGGGCGTTGCTGGCATTACCACTCCCCTGCGAGGATTCAAAGGCCATGAATGACACATAAATGCAGTCGCAGTTTTCCCCGATAAACGACGTACGGTTATTGGCTCGGACGACAACACGCTTCGTCTGTGGGACTTGAAGACAGGTGTTGTCTTGAAGAAGATGGAAGGGCATTGCACTGCTATGCGGGCATGGCTGTATTACGAAATGGGCATTTGATAGCAAGCGGTGATTACTTTGGAGAGGTCATCGTCCGGCGCGGAGAAACTGGCGAATCACTCGCCCGCATGAAGGCCCACTCCAATTCGGTCACCTCGCTGAACCTTTCTCCTGATGGGACAGTGCTGGTCACTGGTTCATATTTTTTTTTTTTTTGGTCAGTGTTTATTGTCCGTTGGGGCATAGCCCTATGGTAGACAAAACATGCGAGTATTTACTGTAGCGTACTATTTGTTTATGTGTGTCCGGTGGTGTACAATCATTGGGGGGCTGGTTCATATGACGGAATGAAACTGTAGAATACCCAAACCTGGCAGCAGCAGGAAAATCCAATCGTGTGTGGTGATCATGTCCGCTGCATACGGTATTCACCGTCTGGAGAACTTCTTGCCATCACAACAAGAAGCGATATCTAAATCGACAATTCAGGCACGAGGAAATGCGTTGCATCCCTCAAGGATCCCACATTATACAACTCGTCACCCGCATGGACGCCCGATGGCACACGCCTTCTCACAGGCGGCAATACGGAAGATCCTACTATACGTGAATGGGATGCAAAAACCTGGGAGCAAGTCGGTGCTCCTTGGACGGGCCACTCTGACCATATCAATGTCATTCCTATTCATCCTGCTGGTACATTTGTCGCATCCGCATCTGGTGGCTCTCAGATCGACAAACTGTTGCCGTCTTCGAGCTCTCATCCTACACGACATGCATCACTTTCTCTGTGGACGGCAATCATATCTTCAGCGGAGGTGAAGACAACATGATCTTGGAGTGGACAGTACCTCAGGGTATACATCCAAAGGTATGTTTCCGTCTGACTCATATACCACAAATCGAGTATAGTTCTTGCAGACTATCACCACCACGCCAGTCCGCGATGCATGCATAGATGGAGACGACGCGGACAACCATACTTCCTACGTCCATCGTTCAAAGGCGTGTTTCCATCCTTGACTCATATACCACGATTCGAGCATGTTTCGTGCAGATCCTAGCCATTACGACCTCCCGTATTGCATGTGTAAACAGAGACTTATCTACCGCCGAAGATCTACTCACTCGAGATATCAACACCAATCCAAACAACCATACTTCCTACGCCCATCGCTCATTTGTTATGACACGATGACACGAAAACACGATTGGGACCACGCCCTTCAGGATGCGATCAGGGTGAGATTCGCTGACCCATCATCGCCCTTACAAAGGACTAACATGACGGTGACGTAGCCCATCAGGATTCAACCCTCACTGACAGGCTATATATCCAAGGGCATAGCCCTCTGCGGAAAAGACCAAGTCTTGTATGCGAGGGCAGTATTTGATGTGGCATCCATGTACACGGACCAGGATTCAGAAGTCGTTCATTTTTTGCTATTGAACAAGGTATGTCACAGTTGCCTCGCATACTCCTCCCTTCATCGCGTATTTCAGGCCATCGCGCTCTTCAATGCAGATCAACATGACGAAGCAAACCTGCTCCTCAAAGAGCTCGCTGCCAGTTGTCCGAATACCGATGCTCTCGCATGTGATATCGTGCAAGTAAGTGTCATCCATGGGTTCAACTCGGAATAAAGGCCTTGGATGGCGCACGCTACGACGAAGCCGCCGACCATTTCACTGCCGCTATCGACCCAGGATTTGTGCCTGATGCGCGCTGTTGAGTGCAGCCGCATTCGAGATTAGCTTGATGTACTCTCGGAACCCACAAGTAAATTTGGTCACCTTAAAGGCAGCCGAAATTGCGGGATCTGGTTCTTCCTCTCTCGATGCGCAACACTCTCTGTAGAACGATTCCACCTTATCCAAATTCCACCAATCTTCCGTTTCGTTCAGACCAATAGAGTTACCTCGGACAACTCCGCTGCGTCTCTCCGCTTCTCTCTCTTCAATTGCCCGCTTCTCATCTTTGAGCGTCGGTGTTGACGGAGAGTTGGTAGAGGATATAGGGTAAACTGTGATGAGTTTAGGAAGTATAAAATGGGCACGCTTGAGAGGTTTGATGTCGTCGCTAGCAAAAGCGGGAGATTGTGTTGGCAGAAAACTACTATTGTGCTGTACGCACTTTTCCCCCATGAATTGCAGATGGGCCATACAGTATTCAATGTTCGAGCATTCAATCGTCGAACCGAATGTCAACCGAACGCAATGTTCGGTTCAGTGGTCCAACTCTAAGGCATAACTTATCCTCGAGGTTTATGCACATGGAGGACAACCATCGTAAATATGGTGAGGTCTAGATTTAGATGTGCATCCGAGCGCTTCGGGGCCTACACACAAATTCGGACATTCGTCAACAACCAAGATGATCAGATCAATGTCGGGGAATTGGTGCGACAGCACCGTCACAATTAGTGTGTTATGGCATGTTGATAGACGTGAGGACAAACTAGTACTTAGCGGCATTGTTGACGGTCAGATTATGAACCATAAATTGCTGCTAAGCGGCGCTGGTTACCGACTTGAATCCCGTACTTTCATAGGACTATGGATTGTCCTCCCTCAACCTGTACCGTCAATACAATATTCACAATAACTAAAGCAGATCCTTCAGACCTGCCGACTAATTTATTCCCGAAGTCCGTTTACCATTTGCTTGGCGATGGCTCCCTCGTAGCACCCCCATTCTTTGACGACCTTTCCACTACTCACCTTGCTCTCGTCATCATGGCGTCCCTCTTTACTGTATTTGTAAGGAATACAACTCTATCAGCTGCATTCTTATGGTCAGGTGGAGTTCGCAAGAAAAGTCTCTTGTACACTCTATTCCTCAGTCAACTTCTCGCACCTATCTCCATCCTGCCTATGCTTATCGCCCAATTTCACCCTAATTTCGATTGCAAAATGTTTGTCAATCCTATCTTTCAAATACTAACACCTCGTTGATTTTATATGTAATCAGAATCATGCGCATCGCAGTCGCTAGCGCAGGAATATCCTTTTCTTTATTGGTACGCTTCAAAAATTTTATTCATTATTGATTCATGCCCAATCTCTACATAACATAGATATCCGGCACTCTGGGCGTAAAGGCTTACCGATGCCTAGACAACTCTCGCTTAGTTCTAGTCATCTTGGTCATACTAAGGACTGCTGCAATCGTTTTCCTTGCTCTTGATCTGGCATTGCTCAACAGTTATCGCAGTCTTGCAGGTGCCTCTTCTGACTCTCATCCACTTTCATTTGCTAATTTTTTAAAAAAAACAGGCCGCTGCTACCGAACATCTAATTCCATGTCATATACTTTCATAATACTTTTATTTGTCGAATCGCTATTCGTCTGTCTGTGCTGTGAGTCCAAACTTATTACATTACCCAATGAGACTCATCATCACAGTTCTCTATGCTGTTCGGAAGTCACTCGGTTCCGTCCAGGGCAGAATTACTGTATCACTCTCTCTTGACGATGTCGCAGATTCCCATCTAGACATCCAAAAAGAGAGCATCAAGCATTACGAGACCGCTCACAGCCGCCGTGACAGGTGGGATTATGTTCCTACTGTAAATTATCCTGCTCTATTTACCCGCAGATTCCGTAGAACTCAGTCTCTCTCCTATGACCCAAGTATTCCCATGGGTGGTCTTTCCAGGAGTGAAAGAGTGCGTGATCCGGAGAATGTGCCCTCTAGATTGCCCATCCCACCGCTGGCTACAAAATCCCCTCTCGCTGGCACATCCCCAATTCCTCGCCGGCCATCTTCTCCTGCCGTCTCATCCATAAGTCGCATGAGTCAATATATGCCTCGAGTAGCGTTGCTTAGAGAAGTGATGAGAGATGAAGTAAGCGAGTCTCTTTGGTTCAAGTGTTCCGGCCTCACGCACTTATTCAGTTATTCTACACCACCTTTATCACTGCTTCCACCGTCGTTTCCGTCATAATGACTATAGTCGGTGTTAATAGCGTGGGCCCGGCTGATCATGTAGCTTGGATGGCCTTTGACTGTGAGTTATCTCCACTAAATTAACATCCAGTGTTTTGGAAACTCACATTGATGTAGGGGCCTTCATTTCGTGTCTTGTAATGCACAGTTTTGGTCGTGTCATCCGCCGCCACGAAAACGAAGCTTTGTTACAGCAGCCTAGCGTTTGGCATCGCAGTTTGCGTATGGACCACAGTACTGCAGATATTTCAGCGGAGGGAAGGGTAAGATCTCCTAGGCCTTCGTTTGCTGATGATGGTTTACCTCCACGTCCGGATCCAAAGGATCAACCTGCATATGACAAGGCAAGTTTGTCTGATGCGGAATTCGCAATTAACCCTCCCTCCCGCACCTGCTTTCCTCACTGCAATCGACACAGTGCATGACCCACACTCGTTCCTGCCTCTTGATCAAACCAACTTGGACTTTTAAGACACATATTATATCGCGGACTGACGAATAATATAGCATATATCGCACATATTGTACATACCAAGTATCTGCATTTGAAGACAATTATTTTGGGAAATCGAGTCTTTTCAGCACTGCACTTTCTAGATGTTGCCCGCACAAATCAAGCATTCACTCAAGTATTCAAAATAACGTTTATTTTTCCCTCGACATGTGGAGTTAGGGTTGTTCCGCGTGGATGTGGGGGAGGTGACAGGTCATTCGTGGCGAGAGTCTGCAGTTGAGTGCTGGGAGGCCGGATGTGGGGGAGGTTGTACCCTCCATCGGGTGTAGAGCTGCAAATGGATCATCTGGTGCCGTTACTACGTCGAGTCTTGAACCCATGCTAATGCGGTCGCGCCTCGTTTGCCAGCCTCGCAAATTGGATCTTGGATGTCAAATATAGCACCGGTTGCGTACTCGGGCACAAAACCAACGTTCGAAGTAGACTGTAAATTGTGTGACTTTTACCAGTCCGACGTTGCCATTATCGGTGGAGAAGGCCAGTAAGGATTTGCCTTCGCTGCGTTAAGGAGCCCGTTCGTGCGATAGACACGAGAAAGCTTACAATGACCGGCAGCGTGGGTAATCCAAGGTCCCCAGCTCAAATGCGTGATCCAGTGATCGCTCAATGGTTCTGTATGCATATGGATGTACGAGAGGGAGGTATGGACCAAGAACGTTCATTCCCTTCTCGACATGACCCTTGTAGACCCTTGTAAATGGCGCTGAGGGCGGCCTAGTTGGGCGCCAAACCGAGCCGTTCAATGTTTTCGCGAAGGAACACATCGGAAGTTGTTCCAGCGCGCGTGAAGGCGTTCTGCAGAGTCGCCGCGGTATGATGCATAGACGTCCGGGCTTCGAGAACGTTCTGGCGGCAGAATATTGACAATGTTTAAATCTACCATAAGAATACTTACCTTCGTGTTCCTCAGAATTAGCATATCCACTTTATTGTTGCGCTTCTAGAATTCCAAGTATAGTTTGGTAGACTCTTTCTCACCCAAGAGTTTGCTGCATACGTCTTGCATTTCCTAGAGAACGCGCTTAATGTATCATTGGCATGTATATGGTGATACTTACCTCCTTGCCCTCAGGTAAGTCGGCCCTCTTCCCCTGCCAGAATTCCCAAGCACCTCCCTCAGCAAAGTCGAATGCAAATCAGAGGAACTGTCTTTTGACGATTCCTTGGACCCGAAACCTAATAAGACTTCCCGAGGGGTAGCGGGCATGCTCCTCGAGAAAATAAACTGACTCTTGTTATCGGTAGCGCGCGCGCTTGATTTTGTCGCATCTGTGATCGCGCCTGGTTGGGTTGTATACAGGATCTGCGCACCGCAGAAATGGGCTGTTTTGCATGTTGTACTCGGCGCAGAGACCTGAAAAGTCGTTTGGGGGGGTAGGTTCGAATACAGCGCGTATGAAGGCAGTATTTGACGCCTGAGATGGTTATCTCTGCCAGAGAAAAATGATTAGCTTGAAGGCGGAAATAAGGTAGACTTTATTATGCCAAGCAAGGTCAGCTTGACTATCTGGGCAAAAACCAGTACAAGGTCAGGCTTTGAGCGTTGATGACGCACGGTTTGGGGAATCTCGCTGCAGTGTAGAAGTATCTGAGTGCGAGGCGTGCGCGAGAGCACTGGCAATTTGGACTACGGGGGAGAGAGAAAGAATGTGGAAGATGATAGCGCTTTGGTTCCGACTGGACATTTAATGTTCTGCATCATCTCACGCCTAGTACACGACTTATCTATTTTTGTTTGTTGTCCCAACCTTGGAGTGTCGACACAAGAACCCGCAAAGTTACCTAGAACGCAACATCGACTGCCATTCTAGAAGTGTCAGACAGGTCGAGATCTCTATCCGCAAGACGAGACTGATATATTTGGAACTCGCTGAATGCATGAACACAAACTCACATTCACATCATCATCTTCTACACGATCTCCACGAAGCTATTCCCACAAAACAAACACCGATGTACAGCCTCCAACAAATCCCTCACAGCACCTTTGATGTCGAGAGTATGAACGAGGTGACCGTACAGCAAGCTAATATGAAAGAAAACTTGAGATGGGCTTTTCTAGCTTCGCAAAAGAGGGAGGCGTACCCCAGGCATGACTATTTGGACAAGTTGCGCGGGTGATGTCATGCAGTGGGACTTCGGTGTGGCAAGCGGGACAGTGTTCGTGCAGCGCGGCAATTGCAGGATCGATGGAGAATGATGCAGTGAGAACATCTGATAAAGCTTGAGCCTCATGTGATAGATCCTGTGGCGAACCAGGCAGTAACGACTGTACTACCTCACGGAGAACAAATGGGATATCAGGCGCTGTGACAAGGGCTCAGCAAATAAGAAGAGAAAGTGGACTATCGGCGCACTAGTGATGACGGGGATGATGGTTCTCAAGTGACGAACCAGCACCCGCAGCATGCAGTGTGAGATGGCAGCCAGCAGGCGTTGTGCAATTTGACCGCACTGTGCTTGCATCTCCGGGTCCTTGCATAGTTTCTATCTATCTGAGTTGTTAGCTATGGTCCCCTATCAAACAGACCTTCGCGCGGAAGTCACTTCCGCACACCTAACCTATTGATAGGGGACCATAGCTAACAACTCAGATAGATAGAAACCAGTGCCACGATTTGTATCGTATTGGCCTGTACTATGTGGCCCGTCGGTCGTACTGACCAGTGATATCTTAGCAGTAAACAAAAGCACGCTTGAACGTTGAGCAGGAGCATCAAAACCAGTTCGATGGTGAATCTAAGGATAAAAGTTGAGGAGAGAAATAGCGAGACTAAGACTTCTTGATGCGATTCTGAACGGTGAACTTAGGAAACACGTAGAGAGAACCTTTCGGACAAATGGTAGCGGACGATTACTGAAAGGAATTGATTTCAATGGCTACACAAGAAGTACATGCGAACTTATAAGTCGCACTCCTCGAAGTCCTCGATGTTGCGGGCGTTCAACGCTAATCGCAGAGCTTTGCTTACAGCGGCGCGATAAGACGTCACACTGCATGGTCTGCAGGTGATATATCAGACAGAGAAATCACGAGGGCTTCATAGCCGCCATGTACGCCCCGTTCAATATGCCAGAGATGGAGATGAATGCGCGTGGCGAAGATAGCAAGTAAAGACCTGAAACCTGTAAGTGTGTTTGTTGGTGTCGTTAGTAGGAGGTTGCAGCAGAATTTAGAGGCACATACTCTTCGAACACAACTGGTATGCGTACTGGGTGTGTGGAAGATCAATCACTCAATAATATTGAAGGGTATCGGGAGGTTCAAAAACATCAGAAAACAGCACTGGCACCAGGAAGTAACTAACCCAAGCAGTTTTAAGGTTCGCGTTTGCATAGCCAAGGACGACTTCATCGTCTCCAGCAAACCTCTATAGTCAACGATTTCCTCCTTTACAGGAACCGCTGTCGGCGCGGATGATTCCACCCGACGACGTTTCAAATCTAGCGATCGCGACAATGCCTTGTGCCCATGTTCAGCGGCTGCTGCTACATTCTCTCCATCGTCACCAACTGAAGTATCCTTCAACTCCAATGGCTCGCCTATCTCCACCCAGGATTGGTCCTGCACCTTCCGTTTGAGCAAGAGTGGGCTGTAAGATCGAACATATGACTGCAGAGCCGCATCCGTTTCCCCACGCAACAATGCGATGGCGCGCTCCAAGTTGAGGTGTCACCTGCGACGCATCTGGAAGGTCTTTGCCGTGGCGACTGGCGCTCTCGGGATTGTCACCCGAGTCCATAACTGAGGACCGGATTACATGCTGACATGCGTCAGATTAGATCTTGTCGTCCGTAGAGTCGAAATGGAATACTGACCCCCTCAGTTTTCTTAGAGCGCTTTGAAGGATATGATCCCCTCTCTTCGTCAGCCCGCTCCCGGGAAGACCGGCGGTGCCTTCGGTGAAGTTTGGTCGAGTAACAAAAAGACGACAGAGTGATGTACGCACCTTGGCGTGGCTTTGAAGCGGGCGACCAGACTTCTTGTCGATGTCAATAACAATACCGTCTGGGTTACTGGGCAGGTAGACTCCGACGTCGACAACTATCTTGGCCATCTCTTCATCAATTTTTGCCTGTGAAAATACATTAAATTATATCCAGGATGATCACCGAGGGTCTCACCTTTTTCTCGGGTTTCTGACTTTTTGATGAAAGGCTTCAGTTTCCCAGAAATCGAGGTGACCTCGTTGAAAAATCCGAATTCCCGATCGTAAAAGGCACGAGCATCACCAGAAAGTGACTCCACCACCATATCAGTCATCCGATCTAGCGCAGGTTTCATAGGATCCTCCTGATCCAGCGTCAGCAGAGCAGAAATGAAAATAAGTGTCGAACTCACGATCTCGGCAGCATCATCCTTGTAGCAATTGGCTTTCATATTCCATATGATCTGGTGGCAGAAGAGCTGAATAATATACTGACAAAAGCGTGAACTCTCGAATCACAACATAGCAGATAGGAAATCACCTACTTAGTAACCTCCTCCTGGCCCGCTGTGTAGAACTCGAGCGCAAGGCGCGTGACAACGGAGATAGTCGTGATGCCGATGAGCCGCTTCTCTTCGTCTGAGCGGCCGTGCAGCCCTGTTTCGTCGCTCTGGAAAGTGATGTTATCATTGGGAAAGGTGATCGAGAAGGTGTAGAGGGGGTTGGAAAGGAGTTGGTTGGAAGAAGAAGATTCGGTTATTTCTTTGGAGGTCGCAGCGATGTAATTGAGCAGAGAGTACATGTTGGACATGATGGAGTCATCACCAGGTGATAGCTGGGAAGGCTTGAGCGTATTGGCAGAACCGGGTAAGAAAAGGCATACCTTAATACAAAGCGCAAGGCATTTGGCAGCCGCTGTCAGAGGTGGGGGTGCGCGCTTCTCGGTATTGAATGCAAACTCGAATATTGAAAGAGGCGAAGTGACGAAGCGGCGGAGATGTATTGCAAAAGATGGAGCGATCTCCGGGAAGCTGCAAAAGATGAGCTAGGGAAGCGCTGCACGTTTCATAACCTGACCAACCTTCGTACAAGTACTGTAGTAGCTTTGAGCGCCGATTCCTATCCAATGTCTCGCCCATCTACAGGCCTCCAAGCATCGGTCATGTCTGCACTCCTGTAAATGTTGACAACAGATACCTAGAATGTAAAGAGAGAAAATGAAGAAATGAAGTACTCATGCTGCCTGATGTACGAAGCTGTGAGAGACGTTCTGAAGAATAATAGTCGCAAGATAGGTTTGCTTTCGCTTGAGCCTAACCGTACATGTGAGCTGCTTGAGAAAATAATTGCGGTACAATTCTTACCCGGCGAATGGAGTCGTGGTCAAACTTGTCGATATCGGCCGGAGTAGTAAGTCCCATTTGTCTGCTGCAGTTCTTGGACGGTTCCTCAGACTTGACACGCGAGTCTCCATTCATTGAAAGATATCTGTTGCCATTCACCATGACATTGACACCATTGACGGGTGGCTGACGGGGGAGGAAAGAAGTGGGATTGGCTACCAATGATTCACATCAATGTATGACTAGCTGCAAGCACAGGACAATTTAAGGATCTGGGTCTAGAGATGCTCGGGTTGATTCCTCAACCCAGTCTCTGACTCTCGTTTTCAAGTCGACTGTCCTCTGTCGCTTTTTCAGGTGTAAGACTGCATGACTGGTGAGAGTGACTCCACTTAAACCGGGTGACAATTTGCGCTTGCAACTACCCAGTAGAGGCTGATCTTTGGGTTGATCAGACTTTGGGGTATGACCGCGTGTAGAATGCTGTTGCGACCGCATGGCGCGTTTACTTCCGCGAGAAAGTCTCTCGATGTCCTCGTCGTCTTGGTCTCTCTTCCTCTTCCCCCTCTTTTCTAGCTCCCAAGCCCTCGCAGCCTCCTTCGCAGCCTTGAAAAGAGCCCAAGTATCGCACAAGAGTGTAAGTCGTTGTGTAAGTTCCACAGACTCGCTTGTTTGTGGCGGATAATGGTCAAGTGTAATTTGTTCGATATGAGCTCTTGTGCATTTAGGACCTGCATTGATGACTGCAAACGGAGGCGCTACGTGACATTCAAGTGATGGGAGGTTTAGATAAGGATAACTGTGATGATTCCAACTTCCATCATCAGTTTTGCGCGAGATGAGCGGGTGCTCTCTGCTGGGTAGTGGCACAAGCGTGTATCTTGTTTTAGTTTTGAGGTTCCACTGCATGATTTTTTGCTCTAGGTTAGCGATATTATGAGTAAAACGAGATTAAGTACCTTCGATCTGAAATGATCAATGCCACTAGGCTCGGACCTTTTCCTCGATGTGATTGCCTCAGCGACATAGCCATGAACTTTCACCAGCGCATCTGCATCCGGCAATAGAAACCAACGATTAGCATCAAATGCATAGTGCCAGTCGCGTGATACTGCAAATTAACATCAGTGTCAACACCGTGTGAGAGATGCAATTTGTCGCACAGTAGAAAAGGTTTCTTCTGCTATCTACATGGAATGATCCGAAATCTAAGCCAAGGCAGAATTCATAGAGCGTCAACTGAAGAAACATCACGATTAACAATGCACATTCCATAGATAATAAAATTGCCCACACGATCAGGCTTGCTCGCACGTTGAACAGCATGTGCGATAGTGGGCGGGATGATCGCTGACTGTGTGACAAGACAGCGGCGGCCATCGTAGATGCGGCCATATAATGCATCGAGTGCTGTACGAGTCTTTGAAGAGAGGCCACCAGAGTCCGAGCGATGTGTAGGGGTTGCGAAGATGTTGGATTCCCTGGTGGATGCGCGAGTGGGGGTATAATCGTCGTGACTGCTTTCTTGGAGATCTGGACTTGGGGTGAAGCGGTCATCCTTCACAGACTCGGCAGAGGAACTGAGATAGGACGATTCTGGATCCCAACCGCTAGCTAGAGAGTCTGCATAGACAGACATTAGATTAGTTTTGCTAAACGACGCCTAGGATGGTATGCAGATTATCGATATGATGTTGAAATGAAGTTCTGATGCCACCAACGGTCATGGGAAAGTGGCATGCAGGGGTGTTCGAACGATCGAACTTCGGCCCCCGCCGAGACTGATTGCCAGCCTGGGTTACTCTCACATCGGCGGTTTCCGAATTTTTCTGCAAGCCAGACTTGAATCCAAACGACATTGATAAATAAAGGATTTTCAATTCAAATTTCGACGTGGGAACGATGACAAATTTAGATGTTGGTGAAATTGTAGAGCAAAGTAACACATTTTGACAAAGATTTCAAGTCCTGTATAAATAGATAAAGGTATTTGAAGTTTTCCGCCAGGAAAATGACAAAGCAGATACGAAATTTTGTAATCCAATTTTGTCTGTAAGTAAATGTATAATTTGAGGTGCAGAAAATGTTCTGTAAAATATTATATAATGACTGACATTCATATCCCGTTGAAAAACTCAAATTTTCTTAATGGTAAAATGTGATTACAGAAAATGCAAAGTTTTATGCATGGTCAAAAGACCTGTGCATTCAGCGGGTATTCATCGCACACTCGTAAGGGATTCGTCGTGCATTTAGTACACTTGGGCATTTTGGCCATTCAGAACACGGAATGGTGAGAACGAGGTGTTTATTTAGTACAGTAATCGTATGGTATTGTAAATGGTACAGTAATTGGTACAGTAATTGTATCACATAGTTGCACGTGACTTCTCTATAAGACAGATCTGATCGAAGCGTAAATTAATGAAAGTTGAAGGAGCAACTGCAATATCCACAGTGTTCTTCTTAAGGTTACACTTAACTATAGCGGAGATGGAGCCGCGGTGACTCCCATCCAGAACAATGCACAGTTGGTTTTTTTTGCGAGGAGGAGCTGGGCTCAGATCCGTGACAGGTATATGGTAATGCTGAATCGCGGCGCCTGCACCATTTGATGAACAGAACACTGCAACACAACCCTCGGGGGCGGGTCCATTCAGACCGAGAAATGGATCGGGACAAGCCGTTGACACGAATCGATTGTGTAGCCTGCCCCCCATGAAGGAGGGCAAGACTTTCAACATCACGTGATGTGTGGTGAACTTTGAGGAGAATTCTTTCTTCATCAGCCAAGCTAACGGACCTAAGATGAAATAAGGTAAATGTTATGATGCCTCCGTGGAGGGACTCACCCTCTTTGAGTTTTTCCATTCGAGAATTAAAGCTATCCAGTACATCATCAGCATCGACAGTCCAGGCGTCAAGTTTGGCAGCCAAACAGGTGGGATTGACACTGGGCAAAGGATTACCGGCCTGATCCTCAGGACGGGCAGTCCAGGTGGTCCACGATGACGACGCGCCAGGATCTGCGATGGCAACCGATGAGGTAGAGGGAACCTTTTCAGGTGGAGGGGTGACACTTCGAAGTTTTGGGGCTAAGTATGATCTCCCCCACATCTCGCAGAAAGACAACATGTCTATTCCTTCGAGCATCGCACCGTTTAACCTCATTCTAACCATGTTTTTGCAACTACCTTTAGGTTATGCTTGCGTTATGGTATATCAAAGGCCCTCATTTTGCGCAAATATGCACATGTCATATTTGCGTGCAAGACGTGTACCCTCATCTTGCGCAAATATGCACTTTGAATATTTGCGTGGACAATATGTACCCCCCTCATCTTGCGCAAATATGCACTTTGAATATTTGCGTGACAAAACATGTACCCCCTCATCTTGCGCAAATATGCACTTTGAATATTTGTGTGACAAAACATGTACCCCCTCATCTTGCGCAAATATGAACTTTGAATATTTGTGTGACAAAACATGTACCCCCTCATCTTGCGCAAATATGAACTTTGAATATTTGCGTGGACACTATGTACCCCCTCATCTTCAATATAAACTTCTCATATTTGTGTTGAAAAATTGTAACCTGATCTTGCGCAAATTCAAACTTCTCATATTTGCGTGGAATTACCATATAGTGTCAATAAAGTCAGTGTGTCAGTCTGGAGTCTGGACACTCTGATCGCCATATGTAGTCTTTGATAGAGACACGTAGAACCGCAAGGCCGACGGCTCAAGGGGCAGGACCCTAACCCTAGCGTGGGGTTGTCCTTTTGGCGAGATTTGCCATTAATGGTGATCCTAACCCTAGATTCATAGTGGTACCCTCCTTGTCAGCCGTCCGGTACATGTCGCACCGGCTCCCATAGGGGACCGCACGGGTGAGGCATCTGTATTGCTGACCTACGGCCGTCAATGGCTCCCATTGGGGACTGCATCTGCGGTGAGTGCAAGTCCGATCATACACGAACCTGTCAAACGGCACCGATTGGGGACTGCATGTGCATGCTGATTTGCTAGATGGATGGCTCCCATCGGGGACCGCACCTGTTATATCAGTCTCATACTCAGTGAGACTTATCAGAGGTCCGGTCCCCAATGGGAGCCGTCTGTCAAGGAGTGGCTTTTATCACATCCGGCCCACTGAGACGTCCGGCACCCAATGGGAGCTGTCTGATAAGTACGAGGATGATTAACACACTCGGTGAAAGCCAATGCGGTTCCCAGTCGGAGCCGTGACACCATGCGGGCAGATATCATCATGGATGAGATATATATGCAGTCCCCAATGGGTGCCATATCATAGGCCGAGGCATATCATCAATCACCTACCCTCAAGGTCCGGTCCTGAGCTGGAGCCGTCGGATGAGTCCTTCGGATGTACCTACCTTCTGGTGACACGGGTCTCATAGGGGACCGCATATGTAAGCTGTGAGTATATTGCACCTGCAGGAGTCAACGGCTCCCATTGGGGACCGTTACACAGGGGATCTCACCTGTAGTGAGCATAAGTACGTCCTTGTCACACGGCACTCACTGAGGACCGAACCATTTATCTGGCCAGGTATTGGTTGGTTTGTAATCTTACTTGTGAGACGGCTCCCATTGGGGACTGGCCCTCTTATGCCTCTTGGTATACTTACATCTGTTGCTCACCAGACGTCAGATTGTGCACCGGACGTGTCTATGGCTCCGATTGAAAACCGGATACAAGCTTGAGCCAGTGGTACGGCTCCCATTGGGTGCCGGACCTTTGAGTTGCCCTAAAACAAGGCTCTTTGACAGACGGCTCCCGTTGGGGACCGGACCTTTGATAAGCCTCAGATATAATTTCACCTGTACTGACGAGACCTATTCTTCTTGTACTTAGTATGAAACGGCTCCCATTGGGTGCCGGACCGTTAAGTTATCCTAATGTAATAAACCTTACTTCTTGACAAACGGCTCCAATTGGGGACCGGCCCTCTCATAGGTCTCAGTTATGATGTGACCTGTACTTATGAGACATCTCGCACGGTGGACCGGATCTCTTAAAAAGTCTTAGTATAATTTGAACTAGCACATGTTGACGGGTCCGATTGAGGACCGGACCTGTATCAATAAAATATTGTTGCTTCAGACCGCCGGTGCAAAGGCTCCCATTGGGGACCGCACCTCTCTGGGCCTCATTGTTGTGTTTATGCACCTCATGGCTACCATTGGGCACGGTATGTGTGTGGAGGGTGAGTAGTCAATACTGTCCTGCAGGTGGACGGGTCCCATAGGGGACCGCACATATGCGATAAGTGTATTATCCATGATCCATATATTGACAAACCAACCAACCCTGCTTGCTGGACGGCTCCCATTGGGGACCGACGGTCTCTTCGACGAGTTTGCTTATGCGTCATGTGTCGTTGAAGGTAGGGACGCGGCCGCTCAGGCTCCAGTTGGAGGATCCTCACAAATACACCTGTATCACAACTCTTACATTGTCCGTGGACCGCATGCAATTACGGCCGATATCTTATACACTCACACTCACTCACTAAACAGGACACCTGGGTAGTCTAGTCTACAGACGTCAGACTTAGTGAATTTTTTTTGCGAACGCCACGTGACCGTGTGATTGATCCGTAACGCAAGAGGCCGCAGACTTGTGGATCCGTACTGTACAAGCTTACAGGATCACTGTGATGCGGGTGCGTTTGGGGACCACATCCACAAAGCAGCCCTTCACATGTGATATGTATTATTGTGTGAGCTCACAGAATCACCGTGACGCGTGTCCGTTTGTGGACCAATTGAATTAATTCTTGTGATCCACAAGCCGGCGCCCACATGTGGGGCATCCACTGACTTGAGACATTGTCCACGTCACGGGACCGCGTATTTGCCAAATTGAGCATTTAGTGGACATCATCGGTGTTCCCTATATATTCTGTCTTGATTTTGACTCTCGTCTTTTCTCTTTAACTCTAACTACCTCGTACCTACCTCGTACCTACCTCGTACCTACTTTGTACCTACTTTGTACCTACATCGTAACTACTTCCTACTATGTCTGTCGAACTTACCGATTTAGATATCTTTGCCCTCCCTCCTCCTCCGCCGGCCGATAGCGAGGAAACCCTTGCTCTGAGGACTGAGGTGGACGAGCTGTGCGCCCGTCTCACCAATATGATCCAGTCGGCACCCTCTCAAGACGACGAGGAACACCTGTCGGAGAAGGAGGAGTGGTGCTTGAGTTGGAAACAACTCAAATCACTCCTTGCTTTACGCTTGACGTTCGCGCGGGACACCAAGGTAACTATCGACTTGCCCGTCTCTGCCAGGCAAGACGGGCAGAAAGGTGACCTCCTCTGCGCGGCGTTTCAACGCCAAGTCACTGCCTTGAAGGATGCCGCGGCAAAGCAGGTCGAGCCGACCGCGCCCACCACCACCCCCGCTGTAACCACCCCCACCGCTGCAACCACCCCCACCGCTGCAACCACCACCCCCGCTCCAATTACCACCCCCGCTGCAACCACCACCACCGTTGCAACCCCCACCCCCACTCTAATTGACATCCCCACCCCCACCCCCACTCCAATTGACATCCCCACCCCAACCACCACCTCCGCTCCAATTACCATCTCCACTCCAACCACCCCCGCTGCAACCACCACCACCATTGCAACCACCACCACCGTTGCAACCACCACCCCCGCTCCAATTGACATCCCCACCCCAACCACCACCTCCGCTCCAACCACCACCCCCGCCGCAACCACCACCTCCACTCCAATTACCATCCCCACGGCAACCACCACCACCGCGCCAACCGATCCGAAAGAGCAGACGGAGCAGGATGGGGAGGAGGAAAGAGAGCAACCACCCATTGAGAGTTCGGGTGCGGCTGCTGCAAGGTCTATCCCGCATGGTTTTTTTTCTGCACCCCCGCAGGCGTACTGACCCCTCATTCCTTCCCATTTTGGACAGGTGGGGGGGTGTTTTTTATTTTTTAGGGTGGTGTTTTTTTTTTAAGGGGGGGGGGGTCATTCATTCATTCCTGGTTACAAAATAATCATGGCTTGCTGTTGGATTCTAACCCAAGGCATGACTTGATAATTATTGTCCATGGCAGGATTTGAACCAAAGAACAAAATAAATTTCAAACATCATCAACCACTCGGCCATAAGACCATTAGTTCTATATCTAAAGGATTTCAATCTAACATCTTACATTGGGGTGATCACTAATTTCTTTGCATGTTTTCCTTGGGACTATGTGGTAAGGAACAAGTCCCAGAAACTTTCTGTCTTATAAAAACACTTAGATTAATGATAGGAACATATTGTCAAGAGCAATTTTGCATAGCATTAAATTTGAGTGAGATAAATTTTCAGACATGACCCAAATTGGCGGTGACCAGTAAAATCAGTTGAAAGACATGCTACAGTCTCCGGAACATGTCTATGAGACTTAGTAGCAGTATACAGTTGAGTTTGTTGGGCAAGTCTTGCATGAGCCGCTGCCTCTTTATGGTACTTTCGGGCCATTGAATGAAGATTGAAATATAAAACTTTCGTCTGTACATAGTAATATTAGTATACTAATGTCTCGCAACTCACAAAACGACGTTGATGCCTGGTATACTAACATCGAAGCTGTGCCTGCCATTTTGAGCAACAGGTTAGGGTTGGAACTTTTTGGCCATTGATTTGGTGGTTGCCCCAAAGTAGCGGCGCATAAGTGAACAGCACCATAGGTACATATATCTAGTGTCTGTCAGTAGATAGACCTTGCTCATTCCATCAGCTTCTGTTCCTTTTGCTTGGTTTGATGCCACTGACTCATCATCTAACTATCAAATGAGCATCTCATATAGCATTCTTAAATATCTATGTGCGTGCCTATAAAATGTTGGAACTACCATCATCTGCTGTCTACTCATGGATTGATTTGCACTAATATAACCACATCCAGTCCCCATTAAGACACAAACCAAAGATCTCACAGACCTCCCCCCTGAGAACAAACTGTGTAGTGAGGCTGATTTTTGAAAAACATGTACTGCAATGTCATATGCAACACACTATATTGTTGCATAGATTAAATTATTGATGTTATTGCAAATGTATTTCAGGCTCTGGAATAAGATATTATGGATTATTTAGCCTACAGCAAGTCATCTAATAGCTATAGTTTAAATTTCAAATATTTTTTTCACATTTTATACAACATATAAACCTCTCCTTGCAGGTGCAGTTCATCTTAGCAAGGTTATTATTATTATCCTGCCCCTTTGCTGCCTGCTATCTGCCAACTGTCAGGAATACTGCCTCTATGCCCACCTGCCACCACTGGAAGTGATGGAATCCCTCATTTAGACACTGCTCAAACCATGTCTGAGCTGCTCAAATACCTCACACTTGGTGCACTCACTCCTTGTCTTTCTCTCCTAGCTTGCCTTATTCACATCACACTCCTTCCCCATACCTGTGTCCTCTCAATATCACATCCTGCTCCCACCATGTCTTCTCCACTGTCTCGTGCTGACACTGTGTTGCTTGCACAGTTTTTCCTCTACCTGTCTCCCACTGGCCTCATAACTGATGGTACTAATTGTGGTGGTGCAGTCTCTCTGTCAAACTGTCAAACTGATAGGAGCAGTAATGGCAGAAAACCAATGGCAAGGATCCGGGTCCACAATGTCGCCAGACATCTGTGGACCATTGGGTTCAACTTGGCTGGGCTCAAACATGACACCCTCGCCGGACATCTGTGGACCCTCCAGTTCTAATTGGCCAGGCTCAAACATCAGACCCTCAATGGCAGAAGGATCCTTGAGTTTCAGGGGTGGAAGCTCCATCCCTGCCATCAACAGATCAATGAGAGGAGGAAGTGCTGATTTGGGGGGTGACATCGAAGGGAGGATGGGTTGATGAAGCAACAAAGATGTTGCATTGGCAGGGGGGTACAGAAGTGGAAATGATGGGTGCCGGAGGATGATTTCTCGTCGAAGGCCTTCATGGAGGCATTGCAGGGTGTCAATATTACCATCCTGCTCTGCCATACAAGCCTCGAGAATTGCGACTCGAGCTGCACCATCCTGAATAGCCATTGCCATGGTGTGGAGATCAGGTATGGGCACATTGAGTGCTGAACAAGAAACTCCGGAGGTCGATGGTGCAACTCCTACAAGTGGAAAATGAGGTCAAATGGTCATAGAAAATTTGGGTGACATACAAGCTGGTGCAGGTGTAGGTGCCTTGATGGCAGTAACGGTCTTGCTGCGACCCTGTGTCTGCACCTTGGGTGTTTTCACAGCAGATGGACCGGGAGTGCCAGAAGGGCCACGAGATGGACTATGAGTTCAGCCTGTGGATTGTGAGGCGGCTGGAGCTTTGGAGGGAGCTTTGGAAGGAGTCCTGGACCTGGTCCTCTGGGTGGTCCTGGTGGCAAACTGACCTCAAGAGCGTTTTGGCGGGGGTCCCAGACTCACTGAGATACATTTGATCTTCTTGGTGGTGCAGTAGACACAGGACATACAGGGGTTGCCGGTCCTCTTGTCCAACTGAATTGCGCAGGGCCATTCCATCTTGTGGCAAGCCTGGCAAGGGTTGTTCTGTGGGTTCCATTAGTTCATAGACACACAACCTTCAATCAAAGTACTCATGGGTCCGGGAATGAGAATGTCACTTGTGTCAATGACTGGTGGTGCCACCGCCAGGGTGGCCGGAGTTGGTTGAGGAGGCCTAATGACCTCCAGAAGCTTGCTGGAAATTGCCTGATACATTATAAGCATACACCCAAGTTCCGGACATATACATATGCAGAGAGCCGGGGAAGGACAACCATTGGAACCCCACCCGAAACCGGCTACAAACCAAATGAGACAATGAAAAAAGAACCAGACAACATACCTGAGTAAGTGAGTCATCATCATCTTCGGACTTAACAAACTCCTTCAACTTAGCAAGGTGAGTTGTCTTTGCCCGCTTGTGAGTCTCCATCACCGACTTTGGCGGTTGCGAGGGAAGTGCCGGAATCATGGGCGATTTCCTCTTCCTATTTCCATCTGCTTCTGGCTCCGGGTTGGCAACAACCACCTTACCTTTTCCCTTCTCCCAGGACTCGGAGGTAGCCTTGCTGGAAGACCCAGCGACATTGCTGGCGACGATGGGTGGGGAGGGAAGCTCAACCAGAATTGAACCTACTGAAGGACCAGGAGCAACCGGGAGATCAAACGTGTGGTCACCTAATGCCTCCCAGGCAACAATCTTGCTGCACCAGGCATGCTTCAACAAGCGGGGATTGTCATACCCGATGCTGTGCCAGTTGGGCCAAACCTGGGGAGTTATGCCCCTAACTCGAAGTAACTCCTTCACGCACGATAGCAGGAGGCCGGGAATGTGGGGTCCATTCCCATACTCCCGGATGGTCCTAGACTACCCAGATGTTGGACAAAACCAAAGGAAAGAAAAAAGACAATGCTACATGTTACAACCACACTTCGGTCTATTCATTTCTATCATCTTATGCCTTCCTTTCTTGTACTATGAATACTTCTCACGATTGTCTTGGTCTGTGCGCACATATTGGCCTATTTAAGCACATGTATTATCACTAGATTCTTTACTTGAATCTTACTATGTTTTACCCGAAACATCTCTCGCCCAAGTCCCCCAAACTTAGGTCGTCCGATACTTGATTCTTAGTGGAAGCACTCCTTCTACTAAGCCTATAAAGAACTCTCTCTTATCTGAGAGACTGTGAATCTCAACGATTGTAACTCTGTCAAGTTGTCATTGTTAGAACTATCCTAGTTCGTAACAAAAAGTGTGTTGTACTTTCATCTTATATCATGCGCATACTAATTGATTGATTTGCTGTACATAGATATATAAACATGGACTACCTTGTTTTCTCAGCGCTGTTGGCCTTCACAGTCACCATGATCAACATCTCATACAACATTGCCTGTCAATGGCATAAGAAGCTCTGGGCATATATGGAAGGCATGCCATCAAGATTTCACATCCCTTGCGACTCAATGACCATCCGATTTTTTGTGCCAAAGTTTCATCTGAAGGCGCACATCGATGAATGTCAAAGACACTTTTCATTCAATTGGTCAAAACACATGGGATGAACAGATGGTGAGGCTCCCGAGCGTGGTTAGTTGAATATAGACCAGGTTGCTACGAGTACAAAAGAGATGGGTCCAGGATTGCGTTGAGATACCCTTGATGATCATTTCTGGGATTGGAACTGGAAGAAAATTACGGCACTGGGTCTGTGTTTTTTCTCTGGTCGAATATCTTGTACTTATCTGGGAATAGGTCGTACACTCTTGTGCAAGATCCGCAATGCCATTAAGTGGAAAAAGGAGCATGAGGAAGGACTAGCAGAGCTAGAGAGGACCATTCAGCCAATGCTTGTCCTTCAGTGGAGGAAAAAAGTTGAAGCTTGGGAGGAGGACAACTCTCAACCTAATCCGTTCGAGAGCCGCTATGCTTGTGAGTAATGCTATCTTTTAGAATTTGTGAATTAATGTCTGGCAGCTATTACACAAGCCGCAGTTCATCTACAGCTCGCTGAGCTTGAAGCCCATGAACTTCAGGTAGGGATCAATGTCTTCCTGCATACTGACATTTCCCCAAGCAGATTGATCACTGCTGGCATTGATCTTCAAGACCAACAGTGAGTTTTTTGTTCAACAAATCAAGTTCGCTGCAATAACAACATCCCAACAAGACAGCGCCTGAAGACGGACATTGCCAATGCATCTCTTCACTCCACGGACAAGCAGAAGACTACCGTGCAGACCCGCATCACCACCCTTCACCATTGACTGGATGCCTGGGCTCATGTCCAAGCACTATATATGCCCATTGTGTCCCAGCTTCGTCATCAATCTTCAGAAGCTGGCACAACAAACATGGCACAGCTAAAGCCTGAGGCGTTCAAGCTTTGGCTCCCATCTGAACTCCAACCAACAGTAGGATGTGATAACAGGCTGGCTGCACACAAATGGGATCTATGGCACGCACAAGCACTGGATGCCCTTAACGAAGTCTGTTCACATCTCTGCCTTCAGTCTCACATGTATATCTACAAAGATAGAAATGTGTGTGGACAGGCTGCTTCTACCTGTGCACAGGCTCTCATCGAAGGCATGGAGGTGAGGAAATGTGCTAGTGTTGACAAGTACCGGTGTGCTTGTAATGCGCTGTTAGCTCTCAGCCATCGACTCAATAGGTCTGGCTGGGACATATCCCTTCCACCACTCCTGGACTCACAAGTGAGGCCTATGGGTGACATGGAGAGACAGGTCACTGGCTGGACTCACATGTGGACAATAGTAGCTCAGAAAATGAGCGAGTTCAGGATTGTAAGTCTGCTAGCTCTAGTTTGATGTGGTATACTGACTACATCTGATAGCTGTTCGAGTGGAGTGGTGCAAAGCACGCGCACGTGCAAACTGCTGGTCAGAGGAAGTTGAACTCCTCCTCGAGGAGATGTGAAGAGTTATCACATTCTTGAGGTGGCAGGTGGAGTGGTGGAGTGAAAGGCGTAGTTCTCGAGTCCCAGAGTCGCCAGCAGAACAGGAAGGACTGGCTGCATATGCATGTTGACAGGCTGCGCTGCGTCTGTCTCTCGTGGCCTCCTTTCAGGACCTATGGAAAGATGTGCTGATGTTTGTAAGTGCTGCCATGGACATTCCACTGGACAGCAACAGTGAAGATGAACCTACCATTGACACACGGCCTCAGTTGCACAGTTGATACATCACCCATGTACAGACATTAATACATCAATATATTCATCTTGCACTCAACCGTCCAAACATAGCTTGATCATGAGGAACAAGATCAGGATCGCAAGGTACTGACTACATAGAGATCTCCAAGATCAAGAATGTCAGGTATAAACAACATATGAGATCTGTAGGATTGAGAATGCCAAGAATGGCCTTGATTCATGTTCTATGCCCAGCCTATTAAAGGATTATACAGTCCAGTACATTGATGTATTAGTGGTCCTACAGCTCAGAGTGATTTGTGTATCACCCTTTATTACAGGTACAAGTACTTGATACATTACTCCCACAGCTACTTGTGGTTGACGACATTCATGCAATTATCACATCTGACTATACTGACATAGAAGCAATTGATCATGAGGAGCACGGCACAGTGGTGGAGGATATGGCCTACTTTTTTCATTGATTCATTGACTAGTTTACTTGCATCATCCATATTTTTGCATGTAGTTATCACACTTATTTCAATGCATCTTAGGATTTGAGAATTCTTATCTGCTGCTCTGGGTGATCCAATAACCCTCTGAAGTGCATGCTGGTACAACCGCCTTAGCAACAACTTTGGATCAGTGTGGTTTTGAAGGCACACAAAGACCTCGATGGTTCTGGTCACCCACTAAACTATCCCAACATCATCTTCAAGCGCCTTCAAAACCACACCAATCCAAATTTGTTGAAGAACCCGATTTGAGAACCATACTAAGGGTTCTTTAACAACTTTGGATCAGTGTGGTTTTGAAGGTGCTCGAAGACATATGATGTTGGGATAGTTTAGTGGGTGACTCCAAGCTTTCTTGTGGTAGACGTTATAAATGTGATTCATATGAAAACCTACCTTGACCATTGTGTTCTCAAAATCAAGGGAACATGTTTATGATATCACAGTACTTAAATTTGAAATCATTGTTACTGGAAGTTGTTGAAATTTAAATTGATTTGAGATAACTATCTCAAATTGGCAGCAGTGCATCTTGTGCCACATTGCACATTGAGCAGTTTAGTAGTATCCTCCTGCACCCTCAGATCACCCATTCTCAATTCTACAAGCCATTCCAGCACTATCTTCCAACTTAAATGGATTTATCATGGTCAACTGTCCTACATTACATTCGCGAAAGATCTGGCTGTTGGCAAATCCCAAGGTAGAGCCCATGGCAGAATTTGACTTTCGCACATCATGTTATCTAATGCCTTTAGTCCATTTATGTTCAAGTACAACAAATGCTCGCTACCTCTACCACCTGTTTCGTGTCTTCTTCAATGACCATGCCGCTGCAGTCTCAAACTCAAACCCAAATTTCATCTCATTTCACAATGTCTGGACTTGCTGCGCTACATTGTTCAACATTTGCACAAGGCTTTAGCAATAATGAATGCCAGGCTGCTGCCAGGGCATTACTTAGGCATGATTCTCACATTGATGGCACGTATTATCATACCAAGACAGTTGGTGGCCTCCATCCCTCCTACATAGCCTTTCAGTCCGATGGTCAAGAGCTGGAGTCGGGGAGAGCGCTGTCTCACAAAGAACTCATTGAAGCGATGCTCCAAGACATCTTTGACACAGTAAGTTCTTTTTTTAAGCTACAGTAAATCTCACACTCTTTAGATTGCTACACAGGACCGCCTCGATGGTGGTATATCTCTATTCATTCAATGTGTGGGCTCTGGAGTAGGTTCAACTATGTCACCCAAGAAGATTCCTCTTGAACTGTTAAGAACGTGCTCAAGGGTCGGATCCGAAGGGCTTGGCTTCAGCTCGTGCGCTGCGCCCCTTACCCGAGTACGTGCCCCTAACTTCCGAGGGTTGTTGAACGATGTCCGAAGGTTACCTGATGATGTCCGGAGGGCGTCGGGCGATGTCCGGAGTCCGATGTCCGATGCGCGGGAATTCCGGCGGACGTTTGGAAACAAGAGATAAGACTAATCCGGACGAAGTCCGAACTAGAAAGGAAACAGCGGAGGACTACCAGAGGTAGAGGCAGAGGTGACAAGTCTATAGGAGTCGATCCTAAGACAAGCGGAGGTCGATGAGAGAGAAACTCAAGTCGGACGGAGGAGGGAATGAGCAGAGTCTAAGATGATATTCGAACTGAGGAAACTACAGAGATTGTACAGGGGTTTATATACTACTGAGGACATAACGGAGAACAGTAAGTGCAGTGCGAAGCTATGTAAAGCTATGAAGAAAACATATGGGACGACTATCACTAGTCTATCGGAACTTAGTAAAATGAAGATGGAAATGAATAAGGAACGGAAAATAAAGCGTACTAACTGATAAGGGAAATACCAAAGGGATAAGGCACAGAAGTTAGACGCGGGTCGGATCTGGACGATACATAGAAGTCGGCCGGATCCAGAAATCCGGAAATGATGAATGTGATAGGTCTGGGTCCGGAACGTGGGATATGACATGAACTATACATCACGCCATGAGAGCTGCAAGAAGTTCCTCGACAGATTGGAGGAGATGTTGCTGTGCTTGTGCAAGCATTCACTCAAGAGTTTGTGGTACTACATCTCCAACATTTTGCTAAGTGTTGTGCAGTTGAAAATATCAAACTGCCTCAGTCTTGTAAGTCGAATCGAACTTGCCCTTTCCAACATCACTAATGAAGCCATGAAGTCCCTGCCACTCATATCAGTACAGATGGACCACAGCACCTCCCAGGGCCTCTCATAGCTACTGGGGCTCGCATTGTGTGCTCCACACAAGCACCAAGAACCTTTGAGAACAATCTGAAAGCATCATCCGCCCCTGCTGCAGATCTGAAGAAACCGGCATCTGCAGCAATTTCTGAGGGAATCCAACTGGTGACAAGTCTTGCAAAAGACATGTTGACTCCACATTCGCAGTTACGCCGACACCGACCTGCTGATGTCTTTGCTGCCGACAGAGTCCCTGGCCCGATTTTTTTGGTTCAGCCAGAACTTGCTTGCGATGCCATAAATTTTAGTCCTCCGCTCATTAGTATTGGTCCCAATACCAATGCTGTTCTTGATCAGTTCAAACTGGGGGATGCGCTCTTACCCAAACTTCGTGTACTTGTTGGAACTGTGCGAAGCAGTCGTTGGGAGTCGGTACTCAGGTCCCAGACGTGGGACCTGAACTATGAGCAAGCCTCTATCTTGGTGAAGGCCCTTCTCGCAGACTTTCAAGGTGTGCCATTCAGCCCTGAAATCGTGAAGGTTCGTAATTTGATTGTGGCTGCACACCTGTCAAGCTAATAATTTGCTAGCACAAATCTTCTATTCTCTCTGTCATCTTGAAGTGGCTTGGCATTCTAGTGCTTTTATGTGCACTTTACCTCTTTCGGTTGTTTATTATTTTGTAGATCGTTTGAATAATCATTTTTTGACTTTTCACCATGGCGTCATGTCCACAAATGTTTTTAATGTCTCTGAATTTTGTTTACCAATGCTAACTTACTTTCCCTCTCTTCAGACATGGTATCTCCCAACAACAGCAATGCTAGGCGCCGCATCCAGCAACCTCGTGTCTGTCCAAAGGTCATCATGAGTAAGGAGGCCCATGCTCTTCTGACGGCCAACCAACGCACGAAGTCTCGCCAGTTCAAAATAGCCCTTGATGAGGCTTGGTACCAGATTGACAAGGCTACAAAAACTATTGCTTCAGCTCACCATAAAAGTATTCACTGTGTACAGAATGAACTGTACATTGGCCATGGGATCCAGCACTCCAAGCGCTCCAAACTGAATGCTTGGAATGTGTTCTGTTGGAAAAAAAACCAGGACATCAAAAATTGTAAGTTTTGTTTTTCCTTCTTACTATGTATTGTACCTGACAATCTCCTACAGGTGACCAAGGCAGAGGTACACTTCAACAGCTCATTCATGAGCACAAGGAGAAGTACTATGCCCTTTCAAAGGACGAGCAGGAAGAACTACTTAAAGAGTACGCCAAATGGTCATTGACAAAGGCTACAGGTGTGCGCACGTCCACGAAGTCAAAGGTCAACAATATCACTCAAACTCTGAGAGCTGTCGAAAATGAGGTTTGTGTCCCCCCTCTGAATTTTCTTTCGCTCATAAATTTGTTTTTGAAATAGCTTAAAAGTCTGAAATGTCGCACAGGCGCTGAAACCATACTCTATATACACGCGGGTCAACTGATCTTCCCCTTCGGAGCATATACTTTACAACTGAAGGCATCCAGGAATTCATGCACTCTGTGATGAATATCGACAATCAAGATCTAATTAGCAAAATGGAGGGCTTTGCTATTCAGGGTGTGAAAGGTACGAGTTGCTGCTTATTTTTTTCGGTTGAACTCTAACTTATTTCACAACCAAACTAGGTGCTGCACAAAATCACCAACAGCGCATGTCTCAAAAACATGCAGCCATCCACAACATTATCAACAAGAATCTTTGTAAGTTCCCCGCATTTTGTATGCTATATAATTAATTTACTGCTATACTACAGGTGAGATCACTGGTGACCCTCGTGCCAACATGCAATGGGCATACTATTTCCAGAACATTGTCCAATGCTACCAAGTCATGATAGAGGGGTGGCCTGACAATGTTCCATTCGCCAACCTTAGCCAGGCATCCAGTGCCCTCCCAGAGCTTGACAGGCTCTTGCGGCTGTGGAACTCAGGTGCAACATGCTGGAAGACTTTAACAGGCAAGGAATTTGAGAAAATTCCCAAGGAGCACAATGCTAAACTTGACTGTGGCGAGATTGAGGATCATAGCCGACAGACACGATCTGATAAAGGTAAAAAACGAACGAAGTCTGCAGCTACTGATTGTAACTTGCACGGCCGGCACAAGAAATACAAGAGTGCAGACACTGTCAAAGACAGTAAGCATGACCCCGAGGAAGGGGACAATGATGAGCATGAGGCTCGCAGCCAGTCTTCCACACCACCTCCTTATGCCACTTCCAATGCCAGCTCCGCACCTTGTGTGTCTGGTAATACTACTCACTCTAGCAATAATGTCAACACTCGCGATCTCACACCCTTTGGTTCTTCCCTCGACTGCAATGCTATATTGGATAGGTCAGATAAAATCTTTGGCCCTGCGCATCCAGACAGCATGACAGCGCCAATCCATGCACCATCAGCTACTAGTTTCAACCCCCCTACTCTACATGACTTCACTGATTTCAACGTGTTTGGTACTTTCTGACCCTTCAAACTTTTATTGTATCTTTTCGCTACACTTACTTGAATGTGTGTGGCTCTATGATCATCATTTTTACAAGTCTTTTCACTATACTTACTTCTATGATGTTCGGCTCTATGTTGACTCAAACTTTCATTTTATCTTTTGACTACACTTACTTGAATGTATGTGGCTCTATGATCATCATTTTTCAAGTCTTTTCACTATACTTACTTCTATATGTTCGGCTCTATGTTCTGTTCTGACTCTCACACTGTCTTCCAGATGTTGATAATTGATGACATACTATTCAGACATGTTGTAGGGAGGGAATATGCTTCACATGATGTTATTACTTCGTGAAAGGACACAAGTGTGAGGTAAAAACAAGTCTGGTAGTCTACTCAAACTTATGAATGTCTGCTGCTCCATGTTTTCTCGACTGTCTTACAGTGTTAAGCTGACATTGCAAGAAGACAATGGTTTAAGAAGGAGGAACAGCGAGGAAATTTTATACGCACCTTGAAATGAAGGATGAAGACTCGCTGCAGCCAACTTGCGGCACTCAGATTGCTTTCCAGCCATCAACACATGTGACTGGATATGCTGGCCTCTGAAGCTGTGTCAATCTAAAGCTTCACAAAGTGTGTACCCCCCACGCCCTGGACGCCCAGGTTCACCAGCAGGTTTAGGAATCTTCGAGCTTTCCGATAAATCTATGCTCGAAGTTGAGGAGTCGCTATCTGAGAAAGAGCTCAAAGAGCCCGAGGAATCTGAGGGCGAAGGTGTTCGAGAATTGGAATGTGTAGAGGTGGCTCTCTTGGGATATGGAGTGGAAGAGCGATCAGAATACTTGAGCGTCCACTTCAGAAGTTTAGATTCAGGGGCGGGTGCGGACAACGACACCCTTGCAGTGGGAACGATATTAGTTTTAGGACCAAGGATTTCATCGGCAATAAGTGTAGTCGGGCAACGATCAGCATTACCAAACAGCTCCAACTGGTCCGTGAGCATTGGGGGAAGGGGCGGTGGAACACCAGGTTCCGAGTCATAGAAAGGCGGAACAACTGTAGAAGTATTGCGCATGATAGATAGAGAAAGAGCCAAATAGCTACATTGAACTTAAGGGATGGTTCATGATAAGAAGCACTCGGAAAAGCATTCAACAAACTACCATATTGGGCGAAAACAATAAGGGCTACAAAAATGGTAACCATCATATAATAGTACCTAAAGAATAGTGAAGGGGTAGCCGTCAATGTATCTCACAGTACTACACAATGGCGTCAACAATTACTATAGAATTACTATAAAGTTACCATGGAATCAAACAGATACGGGAATGATACAAAAGTACTTGAAACAAATGAGAGGTGCAGATAAATACGCCATGAGCAGGCAACAACAGCAGATCATATCACAATGTCTCTCCTTACTTTGTTTTTCAACAAGTCAACGCAGCTCTGAGGCGAACAGCAAGTTCATCAGAAGAATGCGAGGTACCGGCCCCCCATAAGCTCAGAAGGGCAATGGGAGGTAGACCATGACAAGCAATTGCCACTCATCAGCTTTAATCGTCCCAGCAGATACCTCTCCAAAATTACTGGGAACTGAACCAAGCCAACTGGGGACAGATGTATCCTGGATGACGTCGTGGATATGTCCAAGGACATCTGCCACCACAAATAGATGTTCTTCTCGAGGGGCAGCTAGAGGCTTTGCACAACGCTGTGAAGAAACATTATGAAACTAAAGGCAATGGAAATCATGAAGAGCTTACCCAGTTGAGAAGAGCTTCAACATAGTCGATCTTCAGCGTTCTACTGGATTTCTGTGGGATACAACATAAGGAATTGCACACAAACTTTAACAGTCCGATATTCTTGCAAAGCAGGGAGCTTCTCAGCTTGTTTAAACATTCCTCGTCATCAGAAAGAGTCATCTGGGAAATAAGAAGAGCGTGAATTGCAGATATCTGCGTCATTTCCTTGGATGACATTGTCCCGGGAGGTATTTCGCCAAAGTCATATGCAAATGCTGGAGGGGCCGAAGTTGACGCGGTGGACTCTGAAGTCAAACCGAGCAGACTACGAGTGTGGTGCTGGACCAACCCTTCTAATATGCAGTGCATTGGATCGACCACAAGTTGCCGGGAGGGGTCCCAGTATGGTAGACACCAAAGCTCGGAATAGCGCACGCCATGAGCCTTAAACAGTCTGGCACATTCAGAGGACGTAGCAGCATCTCTCCACTTCTCAGCATATTCTCGTAGTTTTTCTCTGTCACGAGGCTCCCAAGTCTTGAAGTCCACTCTTCCATAAGTAGACTTGTGATAGCATTGGTATGTACTGCAGTAGAAATGACTACTGACTCCAGCTAGAGAAGCGATGTGACGAGCAGCAGGAAGATCACAGACAACAAGGGCAACCGCACTACAAGTAAGCCGTCCGTCGGGATAACAAGCGGTGTTGGAGAACTTGACACCACGTTCCCATGCGTCTACCAGATCATTGATGAGTGGTCGGATATAGTGGTTGAGATTATCCAGAGATGGCTGCTTTGGACCCAGGATGATGCCCGCGAGATATATGTTCTCGGGTTTATATCTGATATCCAACGGTAGATTCAAGCACGCCATAGAAATGATTCCGCATGACGTGCTAGCACCGCGCAAATTCAGACCTTCCGAATTGAAAAAGTCCACATGAAGGGCAAAGACATAGCACCCTTCTTCTCCTCTATCGACGAACAGTGAGCCTGGCTCTGGGCCACGGAATTGACAGAGAAACTGAGCATCAAATGGATTTTTGACGAAGGGGATATGAGGGGAGTCAATGGAATCCATGAGTTCATCACATGCCTGATCCATCACAGCCTCAATATCTCTATGAGAAAGGAGACCAGACAGATAATCCTTGAAATCATGGTACATGAAAGTCCTTCTGGGACGGGGTTCTCCATCAGCGCCAACTATAAGCAAGGTCTTGCCACATTTAGTCCCGGGCGTAGGACAATGTGTGCACCGTTCAGGATATATTGGGGTTGTCGAGCCTGGTGCATAAATCGGGGCGTAGGTGCAATGACAGCTACAGACGGCATACGGGACGATTTTGCCGGTGAGATGGAATTTTGCCTCTGTGCTTTCCGAGGTCATGGGAATCTGCTTGAGGATATTTTCGTGGGAAGAGCTGAGACTGCTGTCTGACTTCCGGAATGCCAGAAACAGTATGATGGAAATTATCTGGATGATTAAATTGCAGCTACTCCTGCTGACCCCCATGATAACCCTACATGTAACACAAAAGAATAGGACGACTTGCGTGATTTTGTCTGACCGATTTACTGAAGCTTGCTGAGGGGTGTCTAGAGAACAATCAACAAAGAATCATGATTACGTGCTCATTGCTTATGGGTATTAATCTTGACAGGTACTTTCAGCGAGTCATCGGACGGTTTTTGGCTGTCGAACTGGGTCGACAGTTCATTCATACATGATACGATGGCCTTCTTTCGCGTGACCACAATATCTGCCTGTTGACTGATAGTCTCCAAAGCTTTGCGAAGTAAAAGTAGCTCGTGACTAATGTCATTGATGCTACCAGAATGCAGCAACAAGCGAAAGCATCGTTGAATCTGGGATTCAATGTTGTCAAGAATTTCTAATGCCTTCATGGTGCGTTGATTATGCTTTTTGGATGATTTATCACCAGCAGCTCTGTGAATTTTCATAGGTGGTGGCAGGGAATCCGACAACGTTGAGTGGTCGAGGTCATGGTCAGCAACAGGTACTGCATGAGTAATGTGCGGTCCTTGACGATAGAGATTATCGGCCATAGAAGAAGTGGATGATGATAACTGTGAAGTGTCCATGGAAAGGGTCAACCGACTAAGATGGCCGGTAATAGCGGAGACGGGACTGGCAACCCTAGTATTACCAGCGATGGTGCACACAGAAAGATTGGAGATGACACAATCCAAGTCAATGTCTCCTGCGGCGTGCTCAGCACGTTCTGCTTTTACACGCCAGATGTGAGACGTAATTGAACGTTCTGCCATGAGCACTCCTTTTGGTGCGCCTTTGTTGTCATATCCGCCTTTACCAATGCACTCCTCACACATGCATTGTTTGAGCATTGCACGAGATGCGGGCATTATATATACAGAGGTGAATGAGTTGGGTGGTGCTGACGACAGTATGTACTGTCGCCTATTGGTGTGGGGATGTGAGACGAATGTCTTGGGAGGCAGAACCAGCTAGGATAATTTTTTAAACAAAAAAGGCATGTCACTAAATAACAATGGCAGCGATTGTTATTGCAATAAGAAGCGGTAGTGACGAAGTACAAGGTGATTACCTACATAGCCACTATTTGAATACAACAGTAACATGGGATGTACCAATGTAGGAATTCAGGTCTTGTACTGGGAAGACCATTAAAATTGGAACGAGAACCAGGGGAAAAGTGGTGGGACTCACAGTAATGGTAAACTTGAACAGTAGAACGTTCCATCATGTAACGACAACGACGAAGAGAAATGACAGCAATGACAAGGACAGATTGAGCTTGGGTAGGAAAGCAGGAGACGAAAGGGTGAAATGACAGTAGTTCCGGAGCGAAGATGCAAAGGCCATCGGGGACGTCGAGCCAGGGAATAACGAAGATCTCCGAATGTTCAAGTTGATGATAAAATCAGGAGAGAAAAGCGGGCATGACCATACATACAGTTATGCCGTGTATGGAGGTGGTAAGGCCATTGTGAACAACGAGCTCGACGGTACAAACCGTCGGGTCCATGTATTGGTAAATTACATTATCGAAGGTGCACGGTCCTGTTGGCACCCCTTTGGTGAAATTGTTGGAAAAGATTTCAAAGTGCCGGTGCTTGAGACTTGAAATATTCATGACGATGACTACAGAACATTTAGAGACACACATGACCGTACATACAGTCGTGCTATGTGAATAGGGAGATGGACACGATGGTACATACTTTGCAGTGCTACTGTATAAGTCTAACCATGTGCAGGATGTGTGAAATCATTACGCACATTATTTATCGTTGCTCTGTGCTCTTTCATCGGGCCGTTCGTCCGTACTAGTAGTAATAGTATACACTTAGTTTACCTTCATCTTTTTCTTCACTTTTCCTTGCACACAGACTCAACGGTTTGTATTGCCGAGCTCGTCGTTGTAGGGGTCCCTCGTTATGCTCGCTTCCTTCCCTATGACATGACTGTTTATACGGTCGTGTCCCTGCATTTCTCTCCCGATTCCATACCTTAATTCACAAGAGTGCGAGACAGACAAAGCAACTGTCCAATTCGCAAAATCAGTAACACCACAACACCGCAACATTGACAAACCCTGCAGTTTCCCTCACAGCATGATCAGGCACTGAACAAGTTGACCTAATTAATGTGATTTTACTTCGCGTCATGGATCTTGGTTTCAGCAACGCGACGCGCTTTCTAATCCAGAACTGAGCGCACCCCACAGAGACAGAAGAAATGTAGCTATTGTTTCTCAGAATGAAGCAACTATGACAACACTAGGCCTATATCACTGCCCGCCTTCCCAAATTACAAAGCCGCTGTAAAAAGCGCTATGACACAAGTCCTGGTAATCTGAACCATATTTTGTTGTTGTTCAACAATAGTGACTGAAGAGTGAGCATCAGGCGACCTTCACATTGGTTGTTCAATGGTCGGAGTACCTGGAAATGAAAAGCAAGTAAAATGCGACGTCGTCAGGACAGAATAGTACAAGATATCCACTCCAGTTTCATTCAATTGCAATTCACTTTCTCTTCAGAAATCCTTGCGAGAGTCGCTTCAAGTTGCAGCTCCAGAGTTCTTCATGACAGACTTCACCAAGTTTGATAGGCCTGCTACTCTCCATGCAGGGTTCCAGGCTGTATCACAATTCAAGGCACGACTTGGACACCAGTGTCTACCTCGGCCCTGAAACGCAGAAGATGCTGCTTCCCTGGTGGCTTTGGCAAAAAAATTAGATGCTGATGCTGATGAGAAGATTATCGCAGAGCTGGCATACCAAGCAACCGGAGATTTACTACCGCCCGTCGCAGCTGTGATTGGTGGTTTCATGGCACAAGAAGTGCTGAAAGCATGCTCTGCGAAGTTCCATCTAATCCTCCAGCACTTGTATTTCGATTCTTTGGAGTCGTTGCCAAATACACTACCGACTGAACAAGATTGCGAACCCCTTGGTAGCCAGTATGACAGGATAAGCTTGCCAATCACCGTCAGTTCCTCGTCAGTGCAGGAGCAATCGGGTGTGAAATGTTGAAGAACTGGAGCATGATGGTTCTCGCTACTGGGCCCGACGCTACGATTCATACCACTGACCTAGACATCATCGAGAAGAGTAACTTACTGAATCGGCAATTCCTCTTTCGTGCCAAAGATCTTGGGAAATTTAAGTCTGAAGTTGCAGCGGTAGCAGTTGCAGACATGAATCCAGCTCTCAAGGACCATATTCTCTGTAGACAAGATCCTGTTGGTCAGGTGACAGAAAGTCAGTTACTACTTATCACCTTCAAGTTTTGTATGGTCCCCATTTTGATTTTTTTTCAAAGATGTCTTCGATGACAACTTTTTTCGGGGATGATGGTGTTATAGATGCATTGGATAACATTGCTGCACGTAAGGCTTCCTCTTTTTCTCTGTGAATTTCATCTGACAACACTTGTTGTAGGTGTATACGTGGATCAGCATTGCATCTTGTATGAAAAACCAGTCCTAGAATCTGGTACCATGGGCACAAAAGGCAATACCCAAGTTGTGATTCCCCATCTCACCAAGTCGTACTCGTCTTCGCAAGATCCCCCAGAGAAGCGGACATTGTTGTGCACAGTCAAAAACTTCCCGAGTGCCATTACACACACACTGATTGAGGTGCGCTCTTTAAGTTTTTTCTTGACTAGCAGGGTCTGATAACAACACAGTGGGCTTGGCAAGAGTTCAACGCAATGTTTGTTAAGCTTGTGGAATCTGTCAATCAATATCTTTCGGAGCCTAACTACCTCGAGAGCTCCCTCAAATACTCTGGGCCTGACCCAGATTGTTTCATATCTGGTTACTTGAACAAGCCTTGACTTTCAAGGCATGTATTATCTGGGCTCGTCTGCAGTTCGAGGAAAAGTTTAACAATGCTATCCACCAGCTTCTCCACAGTCCTCCAAAGGATCATGTTCAACACCAGCACGGGCCAGCTGTTCTGGAGTGGACCGACGGGCACGGGCCAGACCCACTCAGGCTTGTGTTTGACTCTTCAGATGTATGTCACCCAGCATGTTGCTAGCCTAGACCTTTAGTACTGATTGTTTTCCTTAGCCCACACATCTTTCTCTTATCATTGCTGCAGCAAATCTTTGAGTCATGCCCTGCAATCTTCAAGAGAAACTGGAGGATTTTGGGCATTTTCACCTGGGTAAAGATCCCACCTCAAACATACTCTCCTAGGTCGGGAGTGTCACCGATGGTGAAAGTATCTGGTCCCTTCACTGTGACCTTGCAAGGATTACAACCATTCAGTTCAGTCATGTCCTGCACTTCGGTGAACGTGACAAAATCGCCATCTTCAAGACTTTGTCTTGATTCATCGAGGCATGTTACCAGCCATTCCTTGTCTTGTTTAATGATAGTATAGATACTAGGACGTCGGGGTTATAGTTCATAAGACTTACTTTTTCCACTGACACAATTATTCCAGTAAGAGCTTGCTCGCCTGTAGGATCCACACAAGTAAATTTTTGAACCAAAGTCATTAAAGACGGAGCTGATCATGATGATCAATAACATAAAAAAAGGAGCCGTAGCCATCACGTACCCAAAAAGACCACGGGTCTCCGCTGAGATAAAGTGAACACCATTCTGAATCCTGATGTGTCCAATCATTGATCTCAACTTGTTTCTCGTAAGAGACGCCACATAAGACTTGAACAGTGGAGATTAATATGTGCGTATGAAATTAGGTGGTTGTAGTGGTGAAAGATGAGATCGCGGTGTAGCTGAATAGTAATATCGGAGGTGCCTGACCGTTTGCGATTGAAAACTTAAACCTACATTGAAGTCGGAGTCGCTGGCACTTCCGAAGCACTGTTGTGCTGTCACTGATAGAAAATGTATGTGACATACTGAGCATTACCAGAAAGATACGATACTACATGTGAAAAACAGTACAGTGACAGTCACGGTCAAATTACTATGAACAAATGCAAAGTTACCATCTATCGGTGTTGTGCGAGTTCCACAAGACATATCTGGTCCAAATGCAGAGTTGTAGTAATTGTAGTCATCATAAAAACCTCGACGGTCTTTGACTTCATGTTACATTTTGACACAGGTAGGACGAGCCGGCAATACTCCCCCTCCAAAACGAGGCAATGTTGATTCTTTTTGCGTGGATGAGCTGGGCTAAGATCACTGGCGGGAACATGATAGTACTGTATCTGAGCCCCTGCGCCATTGGATGTGCAGAATACTGCAACACAACCCTCAGGTGCTGGTCCATTAGCGCCACAGAAGGGGTCAGGACATGCAGTTGATACGAATCAGTTTGCATAACCTGCCCTGCTCAAACCTCAGCGAGACTTTCAACAATGCATGATGCGTAAGCAATGTCTAAAGAAAACTTCCTTCTTCATTAACCAGGATAGTGGGCCTATGATCATAATAATAAAGTAAGTGAACAGTGAGCCGATGCCTTCATTTTGAAGGTCTCACCGTTGTCTCCATGTTTCTTGGCTCTAGCCTCAATGTTGTCCTGGATGTCACCCTCGTTAACAGTCCAAGGGTCAGATGCTGATGAGTTGAGATTAGCGGTCCGATTGTCTGTTGCTGGCCCGGAGGGGTTGAGCACTAAGTCGATATCCTCGGGGTTGGTGGTCCAGTGGGACAAGACATTAGAGGACGACAAGCTGGCATTTGTGATAGAACTGGAGGGGACTATTTTTTCGGGTGGGGGGGGTTATACTTCTCAGAGGTTGCACTATCAAATATGATTTTTGCCACATATCACAGAAAGAAACCAGGTCATTCCCTTCGAGTATTGCACCATTTAACCTCATGCCATAACTGAACCATCGTAATCAATTGCATTACCACAAATATACTAAGCATTCCACTCACCTGGTAACGACATCGGGGCGTTTGAGTATCGTACGCTTCTGTCCATGTATTGCAACGGTACAATCCTCGCTCCCAATATTGTACAGTGTAGCTCGGTAGCCCTTTAAGGTTACTCCCAACAATGAATACCTCTTTACCGATAACGTGACTGAATGAGTCCACATTCGCATTGCGCAATTTCATCACGAATCTGATGGGTACGTTGGTCTGTAACAATTTAACAGGTGTTCGAGTTGAGCTGCATTGAACTTACGATTGTGTGGTCACGGGTGGACAGTATTGTCAAGCAAGCCTCTGGAACGTTGACACTTTGTACGACCCCCGTCGCCTCATACTCCGGCCCACGAGCGACACTCACCACATCCCCAGGTCTGACATCATAACCCCTGTCTTTCGTAAATTTGATTGTTGGGGGGAGGCGCATCCGTTGAACCATGACTGCAGGAACTTGAATACTTGGGGGTCCTAAGTTTGTATCGTCACCAGTGGTCAGCATAGGATTCACATCCCAGAACCACAGCATGGTCCCTCCCGAAGGAAACCAGTCTACGACACCGCATTTCCCTATATGCTCTCTGAAAAGGACTTGTATAACATCCCCGATTTGAATATCATCGGGGTCGGGGGGAGGCTCAAAAAATTGCTGAGTTGGCAGCTGTGCTTGTAATGTGTGCTTCAAAGAGCGACGATCCAAATGGTACTTTGAAACTTTGACCTATGCATTAAGTTAGTTTTACAAGATTTGTACTGACACCATGGACCCACCTCTTCCTTCGTAGAGGTTTGACAAATGTGAAATATGTCGTCCATCATTTGAACAATGTGACCTTCTAAACCTAAGTATATACCCGCTACGACTCTGACAGTATCGCCAACCCAAAACACGCGCTCGACGTCCTGGAGTCGAACTTCTGATTGTATTTTGTCTCCCTCGATGCTGTATTCCAAACGGACAGAACCAAATGTATGGTCTGTCGAGACTACTTCACCGATCTCTGCGCCAAATTCCCCGATGATGACCCTGGCTGAATCGCCCACGCGCAGGAACTCCAGCGAAAACACCCGCTCAGCGATCTTCATGGAGGGCCTGTCCCATCCAGAGTCAATATGCAGTCAAATTTCGTCAGGATGGGGGGTGTTGACAACGTTTAAGAGATCGTGGTGAAAACTCTTTAGTAACAGCCCCTTGTAATACTCTTCTCCTTTATACGAACATCCCACAACTTCCCCATCACGAATGATATCAGATACTGCATTGCCAGCCGGAAGGCGAGATCGGTCCAGCAATGCCACAGACCCCTTAGGCATAGGATAGGGAAAGTCCCGTAAAGCAACTAAGACCCAGACAAGAGGGTGACCAGATGGCGACTCATTTGCCGACTTCAAATCTGTGACGTAGGCCATGGTGTCCTTGTACTTGCCACGTATGATCCTTACCCACCCTGGACTGGACAGTTGGGATTGTGGATGTTCGACTATCGCACGTTCTTCGTCCGAGATCCGAAGATAATCTTTCACGGAAAGTTTGTGTGATATCGGGAGTGATGATGCAATGGCCCGGGGACTCTCTGAGACTATGTAAAGTTGTCCCGGTACCCAGGGGGACACGATAACGGAGAATTTTTTACTTCGAAGGTGTTCTGTGACGTAGTCCGTGACAGTTCCTACCAAATAATGAGTTAGATGCTATGTGATTTAGATTAAACATACTGTGAACGTTAAGCAAATACATCCTGTTGTCGATCGTGTCGGAGGACCAGGCAGCTCTGTAAGGAATGCGTCCGAGCCTTCCTGGTGGCTTGGAAGCGCGAGCTTGAGCGTCGTATGCGTTGAAGATCTCATCAATCTTCTTAGACAACGTATGTTTAGCTGACTGTCCCGGCAAGGTCATGACTTTTCGTGGACGCGGAGGGAGGTCATACTCATCCCCCTCTTCTTCTTCTTCTTCTTCTTCTTCCTCCTCATCATCGTCACCCTCTCCTGCTTCCCTGTCGATGAAAATACAATGTTTCACCTACATTTCCTTAGTGTAAGCTCATCGAAGTGAATGTTTCACTTACTTGTTTGCGCTTCGATGCAAATGTAGCTACGAGCGTCGAACTCGATACGGAGGGCTCGGGTATGTACCTTCTTTTTAAGGCCATCAAATTATTCATAGCTTCGTAGTCGTCGCCGTCACCAGAGAATACCGCAAGTTTGGCTTCTCTCCAGTCATCCTCGTGGTATCGATCGCCGAGGTATGATATTAATCCCTCTTCCGCCTGTCCGTAGGATAATTCGGACTTGAGGTATCGCTCTAGGAAAGACCACGTCCCTGCATCCTCAAGTGGGGATGGTGCATGGCACGTCCCTGTCACGATTATGCGCATGAGGAATAACTGCGACGAGTATCATCATCACTCACCATTCGAGTCATTCCTTATGCGCTTCGAGGGCGGTTCGTCAATCGGTAGTGCCGCGCGTTTGCCAGTCCGACTCGGAGTCATTACTAGCCTGAGTATTGCCGGGCTTTGCCTGTAACTAGTATAGTAGTCACGGTTGGCACGTACTAGTAGCCTGAGTCGAAGTGAACGTTAATTTCGGTTTGCATAGGTAAAAGCCTCATCGTAACGTACTAATAGTAGTGTTTATTCAAGTTGGTATGCCAAGTTTACTTACTGGAAGTCGATCCCGGTGTAGTTAGCACGGCTTTGATATATCGTATTGAGGCAGTGATCAGTGAGCAGAAAGAAGACTGCAAATGTACAGTGATTGGTATTTATAGTGAATGACTAATTTGGAACCACTACCGTGCTCGGACTAATTTGAAGACTCGTCGGAGTTACTAATACTAGACAATGAGAAATTCGATGATGATTGTGCCAGCCTGAGACTCCTCGGACACCAGCCTGCCAGTGGCGAGTGTGGTGGGTGACTTCTGTGCGCAAACACCTTTCTTTTGTACTACTACCGTGGTGACCATAGTCAATTCTTGAAGTGCCACCGTGGTGCGTGATGCCGCGGTTGCTGAAATTCTCAAGCTTATGCTGTGACTGGGAACTAACTTGAACTTGAATTTTCGGAATTGACTCGGAAGTCCCATTAATAGTATGCACTCACGACTATGACAAACTTCGGCACAGGTCGTGTAAGTGTGACCGACACCATAATACACCGCTGCCTTTGCTAAAGGCCAAATCGCACGAATCGATATCGATATTGAAATTAGTAGCTAAACTACATATGTATGAGGAGGCGGGAAAAACCAACACTATTGATGACATAGCGGTTGATATAGTGAATGACTCTACGTTCAGACCCAGCCAGCAAATGCCGCGTGAATCTGAGTTTGAATATAATCATTCACTATATCAGGACGTCTTTTCTCTAAGTGAACCCCTTTCCAGCTACCACGTCCCCGACTTGCATTGTTATCGCGGATCCACCCAAAAACCATCATCCTCAGGCATACCTTCACAATTGATTGATGATGGTATCATTGTTACTCAAAGTCTGTCGTCCTTTCGGCAAAATTTGTGTATGTCTTTTCTGTTTCTCTGTGTCCTTGTTTTATCGACGAACTTCATTTTCAGATTGCCTGCTAGCGCTGACTTGGGCGTAGCTCGTGTCTGTCTGCTTTGTTGCGAGAGTTTTCGCTGGTCTCAGTACAAGAGAAAAAACTGACGGTGAGCCGAACTCAGCTTTTTCTCGACCTCGTTCTAACGAGGCTCTGCCTGGCATGAAATTTGCAATGGAACAGGTATAACCATTTGGTGGTCGTGTTTTTCGAAGGGACTGACGAAGACCTGAGGCTGGATCAGTACAGAAATGAGGTTGGCGAGTCAGTGTGCTAGGGATAGGGCATCCGGTGAGTGTCGTAGACGAGGAGTCTCTCATACTGATTGAAGGAAGGGGTGTGCAGCGTATCATAATCTCTTTTTGGAAGAGGCTGCCAATGCCTCTCAAACATGTTCATTTGCCTGACCCAGCCGGTACTCACGAGGATGTGTTTTTGGTAGGGAATGTCCACGGGAATTCATCCATGACTGTTGGCGTCGGACTTCGAGACTTCGAGCTGCGTCGCTATGTGTGCCACCTCGGCATACTCTGATCTCAGCGTGTTGCCGTGACTCAGAAATAAAATAAAATAGACAACCTCAATTAGAACATATCTCATTTCTAACTGCCTGGGACTCGTATATTATTTGTGAAAAAAAATAGAAAGGCGCGAAATAAAATGGAACTAAGTGGGGTTAATCGCTATAATGCTGATGAGTGTACTACTACTGGTACCTGCGCACGAGCTTACATCATGCGCACCAGTATTGTAGCACGGGGATTCAATTTCCCTCACAGCATCGATGGCGCTAGGATGGCGAGATTTTTTTATCGATGGCGCTTGATTGGCAAGATTTTTTATTATTACGCTATCGATGGCGCTAGGATGGCGAGATTTTTTTATCGATGGCGCTTGATTGGCAAGATTTTTTATTATTACGCTATCGATGGCACTCGGATGACAAGTCGTTTTCGTGACACTTTGAATTGATATATAAAGTGTCTCATTTCCTATGGCATTTAGACTACTACCACATCGTACAGCTTAGTATGACTATGGGTAACGATGAGAATACTCCCTCTGTTGACGAAGCATCACGCAAGCGCAGTGGTTCGGCGCTTCATATGGGTCCGCGTAAAAAGGCGTGAGTGGTTCAAGTTGCACTCTTGCTAGTGCGTTCCTGAATTTTCCTGAGCAGGACTTCATCAAATCCCCTTGTTCTGCACGGTTGACATTTTGGTTGTACTGTTTTTGCATTATGTAACTATCCTGCTCTCTTGACTGCAGGTATACTCCGGCTCGAAGAATTGCAGGACTCTCCCCTGGAGGATTTTCCAGCTGAGTGAGTTCAGTTGCGTCTATTAGTAGCCGCCACAAGTATTCTCACCCTACCGCTGACGTCAGTGTTCGACGGGAACACAGGGTATTCATAGAGTTACTAGATTCGTATCCTGGTCTGATGGATCGTCTAACAAACGGCGAGGAGGAGGATATTATTTATGTGGGAGAAATGGTAAGTTTTGTATGTTGGAAGTTCATCATACTCACCTTTTGCAGCTGGGTAAAGGGGCTTCTGGTGCACGAGGAGACGATACTAAAACCCTCAAAGCTGCTGTCCTCGATTGGCTTGTGCCCAGAGGACAGGCAGTCATACCACCTCTCTCACAAAACATCAAGTCCAACCGGGGGTTTAATCATGAGGTTACTGGTGCGTTACTCTGTCCCGCAGGCCTCGACTGGTTGAATGCAGAGTAAGTCTCAAATCATATCTTCCCTTAATCTAAATATCATGACGCTACCCAGAACTAAGCAGAGTCTTAAGAGCGGTGAAACCGCAGTTCGTGGTGATCAGTGGCCTATTTTCTTATATTCTGGCTATGTTTACGATTCCGAAGATCCATGGAAGGGATTATTAAGAAGTGAGATACTCGTCTTTGTAAGTTAATTCTACGATAAAGTTCTTACCTTTAACAATTACATTCGACAGGGTTTCAAACATGTATTTACATCTCCCAGCTCAGTGGATAAGGAACCCAAAGCTACGCGCTCCGGCAACGCGTACCTCCATGGCATGAAGAGCGTGACAAAAGGTTCCCTTGCATATATTGCGACGCAGGCGCGTATGAAATCTGATCCTTCGTTCGTCTCGTGGCTGATTATTCCTTCAGATTCGGTTTTCGTTAAGTTCCTCGTCTGTATTCTCATGGACAGACACAGTCACAGATTCCGAAAATTTCTACCATAGTATTCTCGACCTGTTGGAAGATCCTGACGAAAGTGAAGAAGTATGTGACCTGATGATGTGGTGGACTCGGTTCGTAATCATGCATTATATCTCGAGCTCTAAGTTAATATATTTTACAGTCGGGTGTTCCCTAATTCTTCCTCTTCACAACGCAGCGTCAGCAAAAACAGCGCGCTGTCAAAAATCCGGGAAAGACGTGCTGCCCTTCGAGAACGGACTATTGCTGACATTCATTAGTCCATTGTATTTCGTAGCTGTACTGCGCTGTAATGCCTGTGAATCCTAGTAATGCAATCAAAGAATTCTCCATAATGTATAATGCAGCACCATGAGCTAGTAATAATAGCATGGGAACCCCCCTACCCAGAGAGGGTTGTGATTATGGGTGACCAAAATATTGCCAAGTTGCTTTAGTCTGCCAACTCATTGTTGTGCCCTGTCACACTGTCAATGATTGTAGATCTCACCACTGTAGTCTACCTATATAAAGTCAGATGTATTAGTTGGGATGCCAGCAGCTCGTTAACACCAGGCAACCCATTGTTGTGCCCTGTCACACCGTCAATGATTGTAGATTCTGCCACTGTAGTCTACCTATATAAAGTCAGATGTATTAGTTGGGATGCCAGCAGCTTGCTAACATCAGGCGACCCATTATTATCCCCTGTCACACTGTCAATGATTGTGGATCCCACCACTGTAGTCTACCTATATAAAGCTAGGTGTGTTAGGTGGATTTGATAACAGCTTAACAGTGTGTTGATAGATTCTAATAGGTCTAACAATATTGTAGCTTTGGCAGATTCTGCCAATGTAGTCTACCTATCTATTCCTTTATTATTTGGTCTGCAATTATGATATATATTTTCTATATTAGGTATTAGGTAAAGTTAGTTAAATCTTTGTCATACAGAAGTCAGATGCCTGATGGGCTGGAGCCACTGGAGTCGCTGGGGAGGACTTCGACATAACAAACGTACAGGACGGCCTTTTCGAAGGATTCCTCATTGAACGTGTGAGTTTCCGTATACTGGTATTCATGACAGGAACTCACTGGCACATTATTCAAGGTAATGAAACATATACTCACCGGCCCCTCATCTGCACTCGCTGGAGACGACTTTCATGTCTCAAACTCTTGCAATGCGGTACTTCACAGAATGATGGCTGTGGAAGCCGAAAACGTCGCTTATTCAGCTGTCCAGGTGAGTTATTCCCTTGAAGGCGATATACTGATTCATTCATTTTCTATAGGCACGCTCTGCAATTACCTCTCGTGACAAGTGGTCCACGGACGATGGAAATTTCTCATATCGAAAATTCTATTACAGAATTATCGACGTCATTCGCAATCCACCGGACAAAGCATGGGCTATGGCGACTCTGCAACATTATAACCTGTATGTCAAAATTTTATAGTAGTACATGCACTGATTGTTTTACTTTTTAAGGAAACTATTCAAAGACAAGGCTGGACGTGCTGCTGCCCTCTCGACCTCTGCAACCTCTGATGTCGGAGAGCCGGACGAGGACGAGGACGACATTGCGCTGATGCGCAAACAGTTTGCCCTTCGATCTGCGAATCCCTTGAGTGTAGCGAAACCTGTCTCAACTCCTCCTGTTCCAGCAAGTTCTGAGATGCTTCCCCCACGGCTGCGCTTGACCAAGGTCACAAGCCCGCCTGTTTTGCCTTCTCCAGAGCCACCCTCACCTGCTCCACCCACTCCCAAGCCACGTCCCATTCCTAAGCCACGTCCCATTGCGAAGGCGCGACTGGAAGCTCCAAAGTCACCTGCACCAAGTCCACCCACCCCCAAGGAACGTCCTGCTGTGGAGGCACAAGCTCCGAGCTCACCTTCACCTGCTCCAAGTCCACCCACTCCCAAGGCATGTCCTGTTCCCAAGGCACGTCCTGTTCGTAAAGCCCCATCCGAGGAATCCACACCACTTCCCCGCAAAAAGGGAAAGGTGGCCCCACCAGAAAGCCCACTTACAGAATCCGAACCGTCGGATGAGGAGGTTGAGACTCCAGCTCGAAGATTGCCTCGGCAAGCTCGACCAAAGGCCGGCCGCAAGACTGCCGCATCCGCTAGCGCACCAAAGAAAAAGAAGGGAAGAAAATGACCTGTAATGATTTTCCATTGTCTCGTCATTGACACTGATTTTCTCACCTAGTGTGTGTCTCATACTACCGCATCTGCCTCACTCCATGTCACTGTTTGTTGTTGCATGTTTTGCTCTTTTCGCATGTCATCCTACCTCTAGAGTCCTTCTGTCATGGGACGCTTTGGCGCATGGGCGCACTTAGATGTACTTTTAGAACCTGCTCTGTCCTTGTAATACATTACTGCAATGAAATGGTCTTATCAGATTTTCTCGAGTGATCAGAACTTATCAGAACTTTCAACATATCAATGCTTCTAAGGTCACAAACTATGCTAAGGTGCGAGTTACCTACTCAACTTCCGTCATCTGGCCTGAAAAAGCTTTTATCAACCAGACCTTATATGTTTCTTTACCCGCCTTCCGTACGCTGATGCACCTGGTCCACCTTTTCTGACCTTCCGCATCCTGGCCAGCCCTTAGCAGCCCAGATCCGATTTGGGGAATTTTGGTGATGACGTACGAACTATGGGGAAGTGGTAGTTATTTGATAATTATATAATCGATCTTCTTCGGGTGCATCATGTAAACTTTAAAGAATGTCCTCCACGTACGGAACTTCGATACCCCCCAGTATGTCAAGACAAAAAGACGCGATCAGTCAAGATTTTTTTGATCACCTGCAGCTAGTTTCAACGTTGGATGCGACCAGTACTACGGTCATGAAATTTCGAAAACTCAGCACGAGCATGGTCACTAGTGACTAATCAACCAATAGAGAGTTATTGGAGGCTTAGGTCCTGTTTGGACAGCGAATATTATAATTCAATTCAAAATTCGACCATCATGTGACACTGCACGTGATGTATTTGGTGACCTAGATTCCGCCGACTGTTCCGACTGATTCTGATTATTGATTAACTTAATACTACTGAATTAGATCTTGCACTGCAACCATCACCGCAACTAAGCATGGACCTCGAAGCACAAAGTGACTTGCGTCAGAAACACCTCATTCTTCTTGCGATAACAATCGCTATCGCTCAGATCACCTACTACTACAAGTTGCTACTTACATCCCGCGCTGAAAAAGTGCCATACCACACATCAATCTTAACAGGGAAGGCATGGGTGATTGAACTGATTACTGGTCACCCAGATCGTATCAAACATAATTTTGGCGTCCATCTTGAAGTCTTTGAGAGCTTGGTGCAGACTCTTCACAAGCATGGATTTGTTCAGTCGCGCAATGGCATCTCGGTCGACGAGCAACTTGGTATCTTTCTTTACACATGTGTGACTGGACTTTCATCTCGCCTCGTTGGGGAGAGGTTTCAACACTCTCCAGACACCATAACAAGGTAGTACATTCACATCTATTGATCTAATTCATTTAATATGACCATGTTCTAGATATTTCAAGCGGATGCTCTTTTTCTTTTCATCCCATCCGTTCTACACATCGCAAGTTAAGTTTCCTAACGAAAATACACCAATCTCCGCAATGATACATGACAACCCGTCATTCCGGTTCTTTGATCGATGCATCGGTGCCATAGATGGCACCCACATCCGTGCATCCGCATCACTCGACGACCATGTCGTCCTGCGCAACCGAAAGGGATTCTTGTCCCAGAACTGTCTGTTCATCTGCGATTTCCAGTTTCGCTTTACATATTCTCTCTGTGGCTGGGATGGCTCAGTCGCTGACGCATCACTCTGGAATGACGCACGCAAAACCGACTTATACATGCCTGCAGGGAAATATCTTCTCGCAGATGCCGGTTTTGGCACTTGTGACGCACTACTGATCCCTTATCGAGGCGTGCGCTATCATCTGAAGGAGTGGCGTCAGGCGAACCTTGCGTGAGTTTTCTCTGAGTCTCCTTAGTACTTAGTGTGATTAAATTATATGTACAGGCCCAGAGATCCTAAAGAGCTATTCAATCTACGACATGCTTCGCTACGCAACGTTATTGAACGTATTTTCGGAGTCCTGAAGCGTCAGTGGCGGATTTTACAGGTTGCGCCAGAATACAGCATGGAGATTCAAGCACGGATCCCAGCAGCGCTTTGCGCTATCCACAACTTCATTCACCAGCACGATCCCGACTTCTTCGACCCCGAGGAGGATTATGATCTCGCGGAGAATGATGATACTCATGGTGCGGTATTGGGCACACTTTCAGAAGGACAGCCAGATGCTGGGGAGAGAAGGGAGGCAGACAACCGTCAAGATGGAATCGCTGCAGCGATGTGGACCGATTATCTTGCGGAGCGCGCACGTCGGGGGCTGCTGTAACTGTAGAATAGCCTGCTATACAGTTTTCATAGGGATCGAAGTTCAAAGTACTAGTACGTAGTACACAACAGTCTATCATGTAATTTGGTAAACGACAATGAATGTATCATGCATATCCACACAGCTGGCGCCGCTTCTGCTCCAACCAGGCACGTCTTGTCTGCTCATTTAATGAGCAGAAAAGGACCGCCTGGCTCTCATGATCCGCTAAATAGTTAGCGATAGCCAGCTGCTCTTCAACACTTTCAAAAAGATCGCTGTTAGCATATTGGTTGAGGAGGGCGATAGCCTGCACGAGCCCGGCCATTGAAACTTGCTGGGGTGGTGATGGTAACTGCTGGGGGGCTGACAGCCCCATGTTCTTCTGCATCTCACGAACTACAGTGACAAGATCCTTCATACTTTCCGCGCCTTCCTGCTGAACTTTCAGCGTTGCAGATGGAGGACGACTCCGTTTCGAGTGACTGGAGCCTGCAGCGCTTTCAGGAGAGAGTGCGCTATATTTGCGCTTTGCTCCACTAGTATCGCTGACACTTGTCCATGCTCCCACTGAGGAGCCAGCAGAGTGAGAAAGATAGGTGGATGGGACAGATGGTGAGATGGATTCCGGATCCATACCCTGACTTGAATTTGCACTGGCCAGTAAGCCTGTGTCTGGAGTGCGCATGGTGGTGAAATTACGGTTAGGGGTCTGGGGGACGATAAAGCCAGTGGTAGTAGATGTGGTGGGACTTGGTGTGGGATTCAAGTTGAGGGCGGCACTAGTACTGGTGGAATGGGGTCGGAAGACGTATTTGCCTTTCCCCTGACTAGAAACCAGCTGCTCCATAAGGGCGAGGTGGGAGAATCCTTTGTTCCTGAAGGGCTTTGCGGTGGGATGGTGCTGCCAAAAGAGATGACATTGAGTACATGTATTAGAGCTCCTTTGTACGATACTCACCTTGATGTATCTGACCCAGACGTCATCATCTTTCAATGCAATACCTGCCCCATTTTCATCACTCCATGTGAATCCCGATGTATTCTTGATATCAACTACAGCATTATACAATGTTTTCAACTAGAAAGATATTGCACTGATGTTAGTGCCAGCGCCGATAAGAAATTTGAGTTCTTTTATGTAAACATACCGATGTCCATTTGTTCTTGCACACTGTCCCAGTCTTTACTGCACCCCTTTGATCAGGGAATTTCTTCTTCAGATCTTCTGCTGCTGCATTGAAAGCAGGTGCCTTGAAGCCACCATCACCTGAGGAAGAAAGAGCGCCCAGAAGAGACTCAAGCAATGCTGTTTCCTCCTCCTTTGTCCAGATCGCAGCAGCCTTGCAGGATGTGCCAGTCCCCTCAGCTTTCTTATCAGCAGGACCTTGAGACCGAAGGGAGCGTGTAGAACCAGTACCAGACTTATCAGACATTGTGATGGAATTAGTGTGCCACTCGACACGGTGAACCCGAGGTTCACAGCTGGCTTACGTGTAGTGTCACATGATGGTCGAATTTTGAATTGAATTATAATATTCGCTGTCCAAACAGGACCTAAACAACCCTCTTCTGAAATTCAGGAGTCCCAGGCCGAAAATATGAACCAACTGCTGAATGTCACTATAGCAGGCATCAACGCCGTACAAACCATCGTACCTAGTGACCTGGCGAAGGGTATACTCGGAACAGTCGCCAATATCCTGATGGTTGTGCAGGTGCGTCGGTGTCACTCTCTTGAAAATGAGGTTAAAACATCCTCACGTCCATATAGTCAGTGATCAAGAACAAATCCGATTTCCGGGCGATAGTCAATAAATGTAAGACCATCGGGGAAATCCTCGAGAGGGTGACCAAAGACACTACCAACGACAATCTGCCAAGATATTTGGTCCATGCTTTATTGATGCTTAATTCGTAAGCAAACCCAATTCTACTGTCATTAGAAACTGACAACGCTAAGCAGGTCAGTTAACAATATCAATAATAAGGTGGTCTCAAGGAAGGAGCAAGGATTGTTGAAAAGGTTCTTCTCTGCCACGATTGATCGCGACCAGATTGCTAGTTGGGAAAAGGACATAGGCAGTGCCCTCGAACTCTTCAATGTACGTCTCTGTGACTCAACCTGAACTTCTACTGCTGAATGACATCTCAAGACTGAATCGATTGCTGGCATTGCCATGAAGGTGGAAAGGCTTACTTTGGGACTCGACGGCAATACAACTAGTGCCAATGTTCTAAAGTAAGTTGTTATTTTCTGCGGGTTGTGGATATCCTCTAAACGCAGTCAGGTATCACTCAATAGAGCCTCCATCACGACCTTCCATGTTTTATGGCCGCGATGATCTCGTGGCAGAGTTGACAACCCTCGTTGCCAACGGTGAACACATTGCATTGATCGGTCCGGGAGGCATGGGAAAGAGTTCTCTTGCCAAAGCCATCCTTCACGAGCCACTTATCATCAAAAAATTTGCTGATCGGCGCTTCTTTGCGGCTTATGATGATCTAGATCCTTCAACTATCACATTCGAAACTTTCATGACTCATTTCGCGGGAGCCCTTGGCATAGAGATCACCGGGGCTGATCCTTTACGCCCAATATCTACCTTTCTTCATTCCACTAGCGCCCTTGTCGTCCTCGATAATGCCGAGACCTTTGAAGAGGCAAGTACGTCGTCAGCGCTCGAAAAAATACCACCAGCAATCGCGAAGATTGCAGACATCCGTGGCGTCGTCCTGATCCTCACGTCACGCAGTCGAAGGAACGCAACAGATGTATTGTGGAGAACGATGGACATTCCGCCATTGGACTTGAGTTCTGCAGAAAGAGTGTTCTTTCAAACTTATCCTCGCGCCCGTTGCAGTGATGCCGAGGAAGAAATAAAGGACCTGCTCAGGGAGTTGGATTTTCACCCCCTTTCCATTAATTTGCTCACACACACTGCGCGGCATAATGACTGGTCTCTAGCCACACTACTGAAGAGATGGAACGATAGGCACAGTGCCGTGCTCAACCCCGGCAAGGGAAAACTGCAAAGCTTGCCAGACACCATGCAGTTATCACTCGACTCACCATCCATCCAGGGTCTTGGCGAGGATGGTCGTCGTACTTTAGCCATGATTGCCTTCTTACCCCAGGGTCTCAACGACAACCTGGCTGGCGATTTGTTGCCATCGCTCCAAGAAGTCGACACTATATGCGATGTTCTACGCAGGCAATCTCTTGTTTATCATCAAGACAACTTCATCAAAGTACTTGCGCCCATTCGACATTATGTGCAAGATTCGTTGCCACTACCTGACTCCACACGTTTGCGAGAGATACGCACCTTCTACTATCGCACTGTCCAGCAGTGTTCGAAAGAACAAGACGGTCATGCTAATGTCATTATCTCGGATCACTTCAACATTGAGCGTGTCATTGCTTTCGACCTCACCCATATCCCTGAAGAGACTTATCGCGCTTGCTCAAAATTTTTGTTGTGCTTGAGGTGGCATCTTCCTCGCCCAACTACCCTAACCCCCACTATTTTGGACGTCGTCGAGAACTCCTCCACGTATGAGCTCAAAGCAGACTGCTTGTGGAATCTCGGCTACCTCTACTCCACTCTCTCCCAGCTCACAGACGCAATGAAGATTTCCAAAGCTGCTGAGGCACTCTATCTTGCCACCGGCAACCACGAAATGGTGGCCCAATGCGTTACCAGTTGTGCAGACAGATACAGATGTCAAGGCCGCTTCATTCAATCCCAACAGCTTTTAGAGGGCTTTCAACGCTCCGAGTCGTGGGAGTATCTCGATTCTCAGTGAACCAACGAAAGACCAAGTTTGGTATTTCTTGGATGATGCTCGGATGCACAGATTCACAGCACCTGCGGATGAATTATTTGTGAAGTCCTCGGACTCGAAAGATCACTTCTATGGCTTGCAGTCCAAGATTCGGCACTGGCAGGCCAAACTTTACTATGGGGGAGACATTGTCCAGGTGAACGAGCACTTAGAAAACCTTCTCCTACAATGCACATGTACTCGAGTCTGCTTCGCCCGCCGCGAGGCACTCATGGGGCTTTCAGAGGTGGCATTTTGCGAAGGCAGGCTATCCAAAGCCATGGATATCCTACAACAAATCATGGAGATGTCCGAGGGAGAACGTTCGGACAATGTCTTGTGGTATACTGTGTTGAAGGCCATTGTTGCAAGCAAGCAGGGGGATCATGTCCTTGTGAGGGAGCTCATCTACCAAGCCCCAGAATCCTCCCAATTCTTCGAGCTGCGCAGTGCATTCGTATCTCTCCACAGATCTTATGGCGCGGCATGGATCGAGCTCACTGCGGGCGCATACGACAAGGCCGAGTCCCATTTCATAGCTGCCATTGAAGGTTGTGATATCCAAGGACATCTTAGTTTCAAGGCGTATAGCAAACGGGGACTGGGGGAGATTGCCTTTGTGTGTGGTGACTTCGCGTTGGCTGCACGATACTTCACAGAAACACGGCCTTTGTGCACTGAGATGGGAGTGCCTGAGCGATATTTGTACAGCTGCGACCTGTTCTCTGTTCTGCCAGACAGATTTTGTGGATGGACGTTATTTTTAGAGGGTCAGTCACCATTTGCAAACATTATGTAGATCATATATAATAACAGCCTGTCATTGCATCTCGGACGATTGTACGAGTCGTTTCATCATGATATAGTATCTATGTGACGAGACGAACGCGGGAGAGGAGTGAAGCGAAACGCATGGAACTTCAAGTGTGTGCTGAGATTGCTATGACACGCTGTGATAAGTATGATACATAGAGAACGCGTCTGTTCTTCCTATCATCACATATCTCATTTCCACTTTTGTATGGTAGTGCGCGAGCTGGATCTGCGACATCTCCTCAGATCAAAGGTTTATGAAAAAAGATGACAAAAACTCATGATAGGTAATTGCTAGTCTCCCATAAGCTAGATCAATAGAGAAAAATAGTCGAAAGGCGATAACTACGTACAATTAATTGATCTCATCTTCTCCGACTGTGAGCTCAATCTCGCACGCGTCATGTAGGTGCCATCCCATGAATCGCATCAGCTCGTCTGCACCTTTAAGTCGACGATCCTCCAGCCTAAACGGGCACGTAGTTTCGTAAAATGAATTGCCCAGGTTCATATTTGCAATGTTGGTTCACCACTGCAAATGTTTGGGAAAGGTTCAGGATATTGACCTTGCGTTGAACCTAGGAGTCCGGTCGATCGGTGTAGCGTTTGAGTGGGACGGAATAATTCACGTTCGTCGGAACTCGGGACCTTTGCAACTCTGGCAGCGATATGGAGGTGGCGGAAAAATAGGCAAAGCACATATGGCTATCAGATTACCCATGAGAACAAACTCAGTTAATGGTATGAGAGTTCAGAATACGAATGGATTCTCAAAGTTCAAGTTGCAAGAGATTGTGCTACTCAGCGAACGAAGCTTTGAAGATCGTAGTGAGGAATGTGTTGTTCAAGTTGAAATTGCTGTCACAACTCGATGTGACATGCGCGTCTAGTAGCATCACATGATGTGACGAAATACTTTATTGTGCTTTGTCATTTTGCTTACCGCCGGTGTGTTAGGGAGTCGATTTCGGGCCAGCCAATGCTATTAATGTCATTAATATCAACTTCGTCAACTAATATGTCACAACCTCAGCCATTCTGGGGAGAGTGGGTTCCCACCGGGGCTCAACGCTCAGCGCTTAGTTCTTAGATTCGTTGAGCTCCACAGAATGACACGATGTCTACAACAAACCAGAGCAGGAGAAGCTCAGACGACAGACGGCCCTCCGAGTGTGCGTGCACCTACGACACAATACCAACATTTCATTCCACGGTTCATATTGCGAAGATTTGAAGTCAGACCTGTGAAGTGCGTTTTCAGAGTCCTCTGCGTATAGACACTAGACCAGAGCACTGAATGATATTCTTTGCAGGTCCAAAACAGAACGACGAAAAGAATTTCAACACACCGGTGTTCACTACTATGATGTTGCTACAGGTAGTCTTGACATTCGTCCTATTGGAAAGGTTTACGGCCTAGAGAATGCCTACCAGGACGTCCGCAACACTGATGATATCAACGAACTAGAGAAGAAATTAGCTGTCCTCGAAGGTCATGCAGCCTGCATTATCAAGCACTTGCATGAAGCACTTTCTCAGGGTACTTTGACTCTGAAGCGGAGGCCGCTAGAGGACCTGCGGAAGTTCCTATTTATCATGCATTATCGCAATGTATCATGCTCGGACATATACTTTCAAGCGGATCACCCGGATAACGCAAGGAGCCGTCAGTGGATTGAGTCCTTCATGCAGGCGAAGGGTCTTCATTCTGCTGCCGAGATATGGCTATACTTTCTCAGATACTATCTGGATACATCTCATTCAAACATCATGCGAGATGCTGCAGAACTCGTAGAGAAGTACGGCGAAGGTGGTCTTCAAAAAATGATGATTGAATCGCATATCCCACCTGATCTCGAACACTTCCCAGCTTACACTTACTACGTTCAGGCGAATAGCTACTTTCTCAGTATCTGGGAAGCTGCAGAGGGAGAAGAATTCATCATCACATCCCACGCATTTGGTCTGTGGGAAGGTTTGGGATATGGTTGCCCCGGCCTACACTGCATATTCATAGTCAGTCCTCGCATTGCTATCGTCCTGCGTCATGTGCTATCGCGTCCAGAATTGAAAGAAGACGTGAAGCCGGGTACCTTCGTGAGCTCCTTGCTCGACGTGAATCCAGCACCACCAACTCCAATTTACACCTGTGGAGAACACGGTACACATATCGACCAAGTAAATTTCCAATCTGCGATGTCACTTGCACGTTACAGATCCTCCAAGAAAGGGGAGCATGACAGTTTTGTGTTCAAGATCACAAAGCTGTCACGATCCCAAACTTTGGAATTCAATTGCGTTCTATTGGTGAACGTGACGAAGACAGGCTCCTTGACCTTCCTGTCAAGGGGGAGTATGCTCCGCATTGCGTTCCGGAGTTTGCCGGCCAATATCCATGCGAGCGAGCTGCTTATTCCGCTCATCGCGCGATTAATGGATATCACGGAGACAGAAGTGTCGCCTCTTCGCCCACCTTCACAGTCGCCAGCAGCTGTCCTCGACCAGGACGTTGACGCACTTACACACGTTGATGTAGTGCATGTGCTTCTAATGCAGATATGCACAGATATCAAGCGATTTGAAACGGCATACGACAGGGCCCATCTAGTCTTCAGAATCATGGAGAAATCAAAGCCCACTCCATTCGCACACGAAATCAGCTGAGAAGTCGAGAAGGCTTTCAGGGTCTGCAAAGATTCGGAGGATGAAATACCTATCGGAGAGGGCGTCAGTTTCGCTCCCTTACTCTCTTCAATTTCCAACGAGTCGTCTTCTCAACTCTTCCAATTCATGATACCTTGCATGAGCAAACTGGGCGCAGTGATGTCTGGAGGTAAAAGGATTTTGGAAGAGCTCCAAGATGAAGTCACGGTAGTGTGCTTTCTTGCACGTGCGTCGAGCAGCCCAGCAGTGTGGCATGCACTCTCGTGTATCAGCTCACAGGCCCCTGAAATCTTGTCAAAACTGTTCAAGGAAGGCACTCCAGGAGGAGATGCATCTACTGTGGGCTTCGCGCGGTTTGTGTACCGCCAGCGGGCTTCGCAATCATTTTTCTCTTCCGAGTTCCACCTGGCATATTCGTTACGAGCCATGTGCGCAATGTCTGGGCCAACCACTAATTTTGTTAGTCGGAGCTACTACCAGTTAACGGCTTCTATAATACAATGTCTCGGTCGCACAATGCTGGGACCCCTGCCGGAGCCATATGCTTCGCAGCCGCGCAAGAGGCCCAAGGCTCGGCTTGTCTACAAAATCCCAGAAGAACATTCAGACTTACTTTTTTCGAATATGAAGATGATACTGCGGCATTCGCTCCCGGGATATGTGCCGTCGCCAGGAGGGAACACTCCAGAACAGACCCTCATGAGGTGGATAGATGAGATGGCCATCGTCGGTTGTCTTGTGTGGTTGGGGAAGCACAGGAGGAATTATTTGGACTTCATTTTGGATGGGTTTCTGCAGGGTACGAAATTCAAGCTGTTTGAAGATGAAGAAGTCACTGGGAGTACCTAGATCGACTTGTTCGAATTGATCTTCTATATAGTGTTCAAGATCACTTACTGAGACGCATCAGCTGTATATATTTATGTGAATAGAATGAGGATTGATTAAGCAGTGATAATTGCAGAAACTTGAAGGCTTCGCATGGCAGCTAAAGCTTGACGATTACACTGGCAGTGAGTCCATGGCGTGGACTGTCACGGTGATTCTGTGAAATCAAAAGTTATTCAATGTCCGTCTGACTCAGACTCATGCGGCGCGTTGAAACTGTTGTCTCTACGGTAGTAGACCCACCAGTTGTATACGTACAATTGTACTACATCATTAGCTCGCAACCTTCCACACCACAACTATCATGATATTCCTTCCTCGAGATGTCCTCCTCCGATGTCACCATCAGCACCTGTTAACAAAAAGGCTGACGCTTCCAGGACCATTTGAATGAACCTTGACAGCAGTTTCAAAATAACCGCTATGAAGGAAAGGCTCCACTACATGATGATTTGATTGAGACGAGAATAAACGCTAGTATGTAGTATCATCCCCTGCAATTTCCCCAACCGTAACGAGTAGCTTGGCTCTCGAGGCGACGCTTCCACCCACTCGGACCCATGCGCTGGAATAGTCAGGCAAACGACTGAAGGTAACTTAGGGAAGAAGGTGCGTATTCAGGAATCATATTGTGTGTTTCTGACTCTGGCCCAGAATGATTCAAACGTCGAGCAACTCTCACTGTAGCCCTCACTTGAAATAACTAGTAAGTCTTTCAACCATCAAATTTGAAGTTTTCGTAACTCGTAGGAGCACTTCAAGTTTGGCATAAAGTTTGCTGACGCTCCGAGATCCTGCCCACAAAATATTCACCCTTCTTCATTTCGCTAGTGCCCTTGTTGGAGTCCTCAGTGACAGATGCTTTGAAGAGGTCAGTAGACTTATGTTGCCGTAGCACGGGAGTGCCTCCCCACTGTAACATTTGATCATGCTCTCAAGTTCAGGTAGTCGGAGAGATTTGAAGGACGGGCACTAATTTTCGAAGGTCAGTCACCCTCTGCGAATCCGAACTCTTGATATGCGGAAGTCTGATACATGCCGAGCAGGTAGGTCCGATATTCGTGTCATGACATGTACACGAACTAGAGATCTATGTGCAAGTGCCAAGAGGTGCCGAAATTGACATTGACCTGAAATGTACGAATCACTTTACACACTGCCACACTGACTCTCACAGTTTAGCTTGGCCACCATCAGCATTATATCCTTTCATGTGGGGATGTTTGTTGCTGCTCTTGTTGACTCGACGCTCTAACAGGGATGGATCATATGCAGGGCGCGTGTGGGCAGACGTTGCCCTCTCTCAGACTGATTTTGTTGTATAGAAGTGTCATGATATATTGTGCTATGCCATGTAGACATTTGTACGGATCATATTAGGGTGGCTATACAGCGAATACACAATGTGGCAAGACTCAGTTCCTGAGCTTGAACATTTGCCAGATATATCGCCTCATTCAAAATAACGAGACCAGATTTCGATTGCGTGAAGATCATCTGAGCCGAAGTACTGTAAAGACATAGCTTCCTGATGAGTGTTTCTTCGGTGTTCCAGATGTGGGTACCCTCATCGCAACCTGAATAGATATTTCTCGTGGCATCAAACTGAATGCCATTGGGAATACCGGAATCAGAGGCGTTTTGCCTCAGAACCTCATTGCAATCATGATTGATGTAAGAAACTCACACCATAGACAAAAGAGTCTGATTCGTTGCGAGGAAGCCTCTAAAAACACCAATGTCGATGCTGATATGACATTGTCACTCTATCCTTGGATCAAAAGGCAATCCAAGGACAAAACACTTACACAAATGCACATCTGCCGTCGCGGGTGAACGTGATACCATTCGGATGCACAAACTGATCAGCAACAACTCTGACCTGCCCAGTGGACGGATAAAAGCAATATACTTGTGATGGTACCATAGAAAACATTGTAAACATCATTTTGCTACAATCAATTCACGTTGGATCAATGAAGAACATGATGTTCATGCCAGGGAGAAATATGGCATCATTGATCGAGTTAAAGCGTCTGCCTAATAAGCTGTCTAGAATAACAGTGACATGGTAGGGAGGGCTATGATTGATGCATACAACCGAACGAGGAAGCAAAGCGCGACCCAAAGTGATGGTCTCTTTGGTATGAACCTGTGCCCCCATTTACCATTTGGAAATGTCCGGAAGGTTGAGCTGAAAGTTAAGACTGCATTGAGGTCTGGTGCTTTGTGAGCAAAAGCAAAGCTAGTATCCGAAGCAATTGAGGGAATGGTGGCAGATGATCCGGTAACATAGAGGAACGAAGGGTTTGGGAAGACCGGCTCTGACAGGGACGTCCTCGATTTCGACAAGGCCTGGCATTTTGTGGAAGGGGTAGATACCTTGCCAATGAGAGCAGCACGCATGAACGACGATATCTTATCATTGAAAAGAAATACCTGCAGTTGGAGGCCACCTCCTTGTGTAAAGCTCTTCTACTACTATCGTTGCACAGGAGCTTCTAGTAAACGTTTACATAAAAGCTGGTTGAACTTTCAGAGACGAAATGGCGGAGTTTGAGTACCGGTTAACTCTGACTTTCGTGAGCACCACTTATAATAACCTCGCCTGATACCGGGACTATGACCTACTACGACTTTCACGATCTTGAATGGCCTCGTCTGTGACATATGGATACCCAGTAGTCACTGGTTAAAACGAAGTTTGAATTTGAACTTCATCAATCACGTAACTTAATAAGGTATACCCTTTAACGACAACCCCGCCCGCCTCACCGATATGGCATGTTCGTTGCAAGTTAGCGCTCAGTTCTTAAATTCGTTGAACTCTACAGAATGACACGACATCGCAGGAATACGCCAAAACAACAAGCCAGAACAGAGCTTGCAGGAGAAGCTCAGAAGACAGATGGCTCTCCGAGTTCGTGTGCACCTATGACACAATACCAACATTTCATTCCACGGTTCATATTACGAAGATTCCAAGTCGGACCAGTGAAGTGTGTTTTCAGAGTCCTCTTGAGCACTCTGCGTGTAGACACTACATCAGGATGCTGAATTATGTTCTTTGCAGGTCCAAAACAGAACGACAAAAAGAATTTCGACACACCGGTGTTGATCCTGAATACGTCCACTACTATGATATCGCCACGGGTAGCCTTGACATTCGTCCTGTTGGAAAGGTTTACGGCGTACCAGATTTCTACCAGGACGTCCGAAACACTTATAATATCAACGAACTAGAGGGAAAATTGGCGGACCTCGAACGTCATGCGGCTTCCATTATCATGGACTTACATGAAGCGCTTCCTCAGGGCACTTTTACTCTGAAGCGGCGGCCGCTAGAGCTACTGCGGAAGTTCTTGTTTATCATGCACTATCGCAAGGTATCGTGCTCCAATGCCTACTTTTAAGCGGATCACCCGGAGAACGCAGGGGCCCGTCAGTGGATTGAATCTTTCATGAAAGCGAAGGGTATTCAATCCGCTGTCGAGTGTTGGCTATACGTTCTCAGATACTACCTGGACACATCGCATTCAGATATCATGCGAGATGCTGCAGAACTCGTAGAGAAGTACGGCGAAGAAGGTCTTCTAAAGATGATTACTGAATCGCATATCCCACCTGATCTCGAACACTTCCCAGCTCACACTTACCACATTCACGCAGACAACTACTTCTTCAGTATCTGGGAAGCTGCGGAAGGGGAAGAATTCATCCTCACGCACAATGCATTTGGTTTATGAGAAGGCTTGATGGGCGGCTGCCCTGGCCTGCACCGCATATTCGTAGTCAGCCCTCGCATTGCTATCGTCCTGCGGCATGTGGTATTGCGTCCAGGGATGAAAGAATGCATAAAACCAGATTTGTTTGTGAGCTCCTTGCTCCACGTGAATACAGCACCATCAACTCCAATTTACGCCAGCGGAGAACGCGGTACACACATCGACCACGTAAATTTCCAATCTGCGATGTCACTCGCACGTTACAGATCCTCTCAGGAAGGGGCAAATGACAGTTTCGTGTTCAAGATTACAAAACTATCGCGACCCCAGACATTGGAGCTCAATTCTGTTCTATTAGTCAACGTGACGAAGACAGGCTCTTTGACCTTCCTATCAAGGAGGAGTATGCTCCGCACTGTGCGTGCGTTCCGGAGTTTGCCAGTCAATTTCCTTGCGAGTCAGTTGCTCGTTCCGCTCATTGGACGACTGACAGATACCATGGAGACAGAAGTGTCGGCTCTTCACCCACCATCACAGTCGCCAGCGGCTGTCCTCGACCAGGACGTTGACGCACTCACACTCGTTGATGTAGTGCTCTATGTGCTTCTAATGCAGATATGCACGGGTATCAGGCAGTTCGAAACGGCATACGACAGGGCACATCTAGTCTTCAGAATCATGGAGAAATCAAAGCCCACTTTATTCGCAGACGAAATCAGCCGAGAAGTCGAGAAGGCTTTCAAGGTCTGCAAAGATTTGGAGGATGAGATGCCTGTCGGAGAGGGCGTCAGTTTCACCCCCCTACTCTCTTCGATTTCCAACGAGTCGTCTTCTCAGCTCTTCCAATTCATGATACCTTGCATGAGCAGACTGGGCGCAGTGATGTCTGGAGGTGAAGGGATTTTAGAAGAGCTCCAAGATGAAGTCATGGTAGTGTGCTTTCTTGCACGTGCGTCGAGCAGCCCAGCAGTGTGGCATGCACTCTCGTGTATCAGCCAACAAGCCCCAAAAATCTTGCCAAGGCTATTCAAGAAAGACACCCCAACAGATAGATCTGTTATGGATTTCACGCGGTTTATGCACGAGCACGCTTCACCATCAATTTTCTCTTCTGGTTTTCATACGGCATATGCATTACGAGGAATATGCGGCATGTTTGGGCCAACCACCAACCCCATCAGTGAGAGCTATTACCGATTTATGGCAACTATAATCCAATGTTTTGGTCGCGGAACGCTGGGATCCCTGCCAGAACCGTACTCTTCGCAGCCGCGCGAGAGGCCCAAGGCCCGGCTCCTGTACAAGATGTCAGAAGAGCATTCAGAGTTACTTTTCTCGAATATGAAGATGATACTGCGGGAAGCGCTCCCTGGATTTGAGCCTTCGCTAGGAGGGAGTTCTCTGGGTCAAACCCTCAGAAAGTGGATAGACGAGATGGCCATCGTCGGTTGTCTTGCGTGGTTGGGAAAGCACAGGAGGAATTTTTTGGACTACATTTTGGATGGGTTTCCACAGGGTATGAATTTCAAGTTGTTTGAAGATGAAGAAGCCACTGGGAGTACCTAAATCGACTTGTTCGAATTGATCTTCTATGTAAAGCGTTCAAGATCACTTACTGAGACGCATCAGCTGTACATATCTTTGTGAATCAAATGCCAGTGAGAGCAGTGATAATTGGAACTTTCATGTCAGCGGAAGTATCAAAAGAATTGGACGACATTCTATTATCACATATTGCTCCGCTTCAGAAGCTCCTTGACAGTGCGGACTTGAACCAATATAGTGCGGAGGCATACCTGTAATAGACTACATCTTGCGATCGAAGAAGAAGCCAGATGGTGTGGGTGCATACACATACCGTTTTGTGGTGACATCTCATCTCATGAGTATGCCAAAATTGCATGTTGGTTCTCGGAGAATGTTCCTGGTGCTTCTGGTCAAATCAAAAAATGGCTTGGTGGCATGCCTTTGGTGCGTGCTTTCATTCTCGTTGTTGCTCATTGAAAGGCCAGTGATTTCGAAAAAATGCATCAAAGCTCGAAACGAAGAATCCATGGAACGATAGCATGCTATTGAAGATCGCTTGGGCTGATCTCATGATAAGCTATCCTACCAACAGCTTCGTAGCTGACATCGACCTCGAGTGTCTGACCGCAAGGATGTTTGAAGATTCCCTTGTTTTGCACACCACTCTCGCTCACTCACTCATTTTTACCGCCCCCCCCCCTTTCCACTCCCAGATTTATGATCACTATCGCATTGTAATACTCGCTTCATTATTAGTACACATCGACATATTAATATTTATTCGCTATTAATACCAGTTTCATATACCATATGTACATGTACGGCGGGATCTATCGGACATTGGTTGGCGTGTTGAATGGCATCTTCAAGGCCAGCGAGCGCAAATTTCACGTACTCGTACACTCGCTGTACAAGTCTGTCTAGTGAGTTCTATCTTTTTCGACACTTGTCATTGTCTGATTCCATCGTGTTGTAGTGGGTCGAAGCGCAAGACTGAAGAACCTAGCGCAGCCGATAGTCTCATGTTCCTCGATATTGATGGTATGGCGGAGGATTGATACTGGTCACACGTTGTATTGTCTAGATTTCAGATCCAATGGTACTCATTTGATAGCATTGGACAAATTTTAACTGCCTGAAAATCATGTTCTGCTTGACGCAAATTCTGTTCTGATTCGCGAAAAGTGAGATCCAATTGTCGAAAATTCTCAAGGGACTAAAATAATGGATCGAATGTTCAAATCCATCGAATTCTCGCAGATTCACGCAAGTTGTATCATATTTCATCCGATTTGAGAAGGACGTTTTTCCTGATGATGAAATCCATTCATGATTCAGCCCATGTGTCGCATTTCCCGTCCACCTAACGCCAAACTCACCAGCGTTCGAACCGAGCTAATTCTCGGTCCCAGCGCAACCACAGTGCTGTATGTATGATCTGATCGCATTTCACAAGAGATAATTAAGCTTGACTCACATAAGCTCAGGTAGGGTTCTCAAGGGGAGATCACATGACGATGGCTGCGATGGCTAACATCCTGTAATTGTGTAATTATTTGTCCGACTGGGCTGGCGGTTAACTCTGACTTTCGTGAGCACCACTATAACTTTGCCTGATACTGACCTACTTTGACTTTCATGATCTTGAATTGCCTCGTCTGTGACATATATGATATGGATACCCGGTAGTCACTGGTTAAAACGAAGTTTGAATTGAACTTCATCAATCACGTAACTTAATAAGGTATACCCTTTAACGACCCACGCCACCACATGGACATGGTGTGTTCATCGCAAGTTAGCGCTCAGTCCTTAGACTTGTTGAACTCTACAGAATGACACGACGTCGCAGGAATACACCAAAACAACAAGCCAGAACAGAGCTTGCAGGAGAAGCTCAGAAGACAGATGGCTCTCCGAGTTCGTGTGCACCTATGACACAATACCAACATTTCATTCCACGGTTCATATTACGAAGATTCCAAGTCGGACCAGTGAAGTGCGTTTTCAGAGTCCTCTTGAGCACTCTGCGTGTAGACACTAGACCAGAATGCTGAGTTATGTTCTTTGCAGGTCCAAAACAAAACGACAAAAAGAATTTCGACACACCGGTGTTGATCCTGAATACGTCCACTACTATGATATCGCCACAGGAAGCCTCGACATTCGTCCTATTGGAAAGGTGTACGGCGTACCGAATGTCTACCAGGACGTCCGAAACACCCTTAATATCAACGAACTAGAGGAGAAATTAGCGGACCTCGAACGTCATGCAGCCTCCATTATCAAGGACTTGCATGAAGCGCTTCCTCAGGGTACTTTCACTCTGAAGCGGAGGTCGCTAGAGCTCCTGCGGAAGTTCCTGTTTATCATGCATTATCGCAATGTATCATATTCCGGCACTTACTTTCAAGTGGATCACCCAGAGAACGCAGGAGGCCATCAGTGGATCGAGTCCTTCATGAAGGCGAAGGGTATTCATTCTGCTGTCGAGATATGGCTACACTTCCTCAAATACTACCTGGATTCGTCTCATTCAGACATCATGCGAGATGCTGCAGAACTTGTAGAGAAGTATGGTGAAGAAGGTCTTCAAAAAATGATGATGGAATCGCATATCCCACCTGATCTCGAACACTTCCCAGCTTACACTTACCACACTCACGCGAACAACTACTTCTTCAGTATCTGGGAAGCAGCGGAAGGGGAAGAATTTATCCTCACACACAACGCATTTGGCTTGTGGGAAGGTTTGGCAGATGGCCACCCCGACTTGCACCGCATATTCATAGTTAGCCCTCGCGTTGCTCTCATCCTGCGTAACATCGTATTGCGTCCAGAGATGAAAGCATACGTAAAGCGGATTTCGTTCGTGAGCTCCTTGCTCAATGTGAATCCAGCACCACCAACTCCAAGTTACGTCAGTGGAAAAGACGGTACACACATCGGCCATGCAGATTGGAATTCTGCAACGTCACTTGCACGTTACAGATCCTCCCAGGAAGGGGCGAATGACAGTTTTTTGTTCAAGATCACAAAACTGTCGCGACCCCAAACATTGGAGCTCAATTCCGTCCTATTAGTCAACGTGAGGAAGACGGGCTCTTTGACCTTCCTGTCAAGGAGGAGTATGCTCCGCACTGCGCGTGCGTTCCGGAGTTTGCCAGCCAATTTCCATGCGAGCGAGCTGCTTGTTCCGCTCATTGCACGATTAACGGATACCATGGAGACAGAAGTGTCGGCTCTTCGCCCACCATCACAGTCGCCAGCGGCTGTCCTCGGCCAGGACGTTGACGCACTCACACTCGTTGATGTAGTGCTCTATGTGCTTCTAATGCAGATATGCACGGGTATCAGGCAGTTCGAAACGGCATACGACAGGGCACATCTAGTCTTCAGAATCATGGAGAAATCAAAGCCCACTTCATTCGCAGACGAAATCAGCCGAGAAGTCGAGAAGGCTTTCAAGGTCTGCAAAGATTCGGAGGATGAAATGCCTGTCGGAGAGGGCGTCAGTTTCGCCCCCCTACTCTCTTCGATTTCCAACGAGTCGTCTTCTCAGCTCTTCCAATTCATGATACCTTGCATGAGCAGACTGGGCGCAGTGATGTCTGGAGGTGAAGGGATTTTAGAAGAGCTCCAAGATGAAGTCACGGTAGTGTGCTTTCTTGCACGTGCATCGACCAGCCCAGCAGTGTGGCATGCACTCTCGTGTACCAGCCCACAGGCCCCTGAAATCTTGCCAAGGCTATTCAAGAAAGGCACTCCAAGAGATGGAACTGTTGTGAACGTCACTCGGTTTATGCATGAGCGCGTTGCATCATCTGGTTTCTCTTCTGGTTTTCATATGGCATATTCATTACGAGGAATATGCGGCATGGCTGGGCCAACCACCAATCCCGTCAGTCAGAACTATTACCGGTTAACGGCATCTATAATTCAATGTCTTGGTCGCATGACGCTGGGGTCCCTACGAGAACCATACTCTTCGCAGCCGCGCGAGAGGCCTAAGGCCCGGCTCCTGTTTAAGATGTCAGAAGAGCATTCAGAGTTACTTTTCTCGAATATGAAGATGATACTGCGGAAAGCGCTCCCAGGATATGAGCCTTCGCCAGGAGGGAGTACTCTAGGTCAAACCCTCGGAAAGTGGATAGACGAGATGGCCATCGTCGGTTGTCTTTCGTGGTTGGGAAAGCACAGGAGGAATTTTTTGGACTTCATTTTGGATGGGTTTCCGCAGGGTATGAATTTCAAGTTGTTTGAAGATGAAGAAACCACTGGGAGTACCTAAATCGACTTGTTCGAATTAATCTTCGTTCAAGATCACTTACTGAGACGCATCAGTTGTAGTGGTATTGTACATATCTTTGTGGATCAAATGCCAATGCGGATTCATTAAGCAGTGATAATTGCAGGAACTTGATCAAAGGCTATGTATGGTAGCCAAAGCACGACGATTACACTGGCAGTCCATGACATGCACTGTGAAGCTTATTCAAGGTCCGCTGAGAGTGACCCTATGAGCTCATCTTATATACCCATATGACGATAATTTGAAAATTTGATATAGTAGCTCACATCTTTCCACACCATCATGATGTTCTTTCGCTCATCACCCTCGAGATATCCTCCGACGTCCCCGTGCACCTGTTAACTAACGCTTCCAGGACCACAGGTTAAATGGGTCTTGACAGCGGGAGGTTCAAAATTACCACCACCAAGAAAAGGCTTAGAGTCGGACGCACTACATGATTCGATAGACGAGAATAGAAGCTAGCGTGTCGTTTCCCGTGTAGTTTCCCATCCTCAACGAGTGGCTTGAGTCTTGAGGCGACCCTTTCACCATTCGGACCCGTGTGCTGAAAATATTGGACAAATGGCTGAAGGTAAGAGTGCGCCTATTCAGGAATCATTTCTGACTCCAGCACAGAATGATTCGAACGTCGAGCAACCCTCTTTGCAGCCCTAGCCTGAAACAACTAGTAAGTCCTTCAACCATTAAACCGGTGTTATTATAGCAAATAGTGTAAACGTCATTTTCCTATGATTAACTTACGTTGGATCAGTGAGGAACATGACGTCCGTGACAGGAAAAATTTTGATATCATTGAGCGAGTTAAGTTGTCTAGAATAACAGTGACTTTGTAGGAAGGTCTAGGATCGATGCGTACAATCGGAGGAGAAAGAAAAGCGCGACCCGAAGTGACGAACAAAATATCCCCGTTGTATAGACCTGTGCCCCCGTTTAACATTTGGACAGTGCCCCGCGGAAGGTTCAGCTGAAAGTCAAGACGGGCGAGATCAACAATCTGTGCGTAGTAAGTAAGCCGAACCAACCCATTTGAACTTGTATATTAACATGTCCCGTTGTAGAAGCCAGCGCCATGTCAACTTCTGTCATATTGATCATGCTGAGATGCTGTTCTTGTACCAGCCGTTGTACCCGAGTGCACCGCTATAGTTACTTGTAAGGAAGCCTGCGTTGAGGTCCGGGATGCAGATGGGTGCTTCATGAGCAAAAGCAAAGCTAAGATTCGAAGCGATTGAGCGAATGGTGGTGGATGATCCGGTGTCATTGAGGAACGAAGGGTCAAAGACCTGAATGAATGGGGGTGCAGTGTTGGTGGGGTTAAAGCCAACAGTAGACAAGGTGCGCCATACTGTGTAATTGGGTCCTACAACATTGTACATCAGAGGATTAGCGTACTGCAAAGGGACGTTAGGTACAGCACTGCAGCATCACGATCTTTGACACACCGCTTCAGGAGACACGGTAAGGTTAGAATTACTTGCTGAGACTTTCGCGCACGACACAAGAGCTGAAATTGTGACAGTCAAAATCGCACCCTTTGTTGATGCTGTCATCTTTGATTAAGATGCATCTCCCCTATTTCCAGTTTTCAGAGATAGCCGGTGGTCGGACTGTATTATCAGCTAGATTGTCACAAGTGACAGAGGGTGTACGGCACTGAGTGGGGGCTCAGAAGTCAGCCCTTGTTGCATACAGAATTTTCATTGTTCAACAGAACATGATCGCACGTTTGTCGGCGTTTCACGGATAGCTAATTAAGACAGTCATCCGGGTTAAGGAGAGCTGCCCTAAGCTGTCGCATGACCGTCAGTCGTGTAGATAAGGACGAAGAAGACGCAGAACAACCGTACTTGAAAACATTATTGACACCGACTTCGGAGTACCAAAGGTAGCGGACCACGAACAAAAACTTCCAGCTCCCAGTCCCCCCGAAGTGACGAAATGAGATATGCACAAAAGCGTTCTCTGAACCAATGTGGAGGCGGAAGAATCTGGCAACCCTTGGGCTACCTTGGCTTCAGGGACCGTGTCTTCAGCCACAACTAATTCTGAGTTCTGAGGGTAATCAATCTGCAGAGTCACGACGTTTCATACTTCCTGGTTCATCAGGTGTCGTCTGATGAAAGTAAAACCGTCATGGTTTGTGGTAGACTGGTCGTCGCGCATCATTGTATCCGTACGAGCGAGGGACCACCAATGTTCGTTGCCATAACATGCAAACTCAAAACGAACCGATCAAATCACACCTTGACCACAAGTTCGACCTCGAGTGATCTCCTACCAGTGCAGGAACCTTTCTGTGACACCTGTATGAATATGAAAGATTCTTCCAACGAGTGCGGATTCGTCAGAACATTCAATTTTCCCAGCAGTCAGCACTCACTGGCTCGACCGAACCGCTCACCTCGTTGCAAATAAGGGTGCCAAGCTATACTATAGGGAGGTAGGCAAATGCATGAAGGTCATTCTTGGCCAATAGTGAGATCCAACTCGACAAGTCTTTGACAAATTGTGTACGACCTGACGGAAGTGGCCTGTCGTAACAGTTCGAGAATCGAGATTCCCGTACTATCCGGCCAGATTTTTTCAACTCCCGGAATTAACGATTCCCAGGTGCATTACGTTCACGTTCTTCGCTTGACTCTGGCTTGGAAAGTTCCCAACTTACAGAGACGGTAATCCAATACGAATCAACCCTGCAGGGATTTCCGTCAGCACGAACAACATTACTGCACACTTCTGCACCCTGAGTGCTCAGTGCTGTGTTGTTTTGAAGGATTTCGTCATCAGCAAGGATGGGAACGACATCGATAGCTTGCCAGGATCCTGTCTTATTCCAACTTGGCGGCGGCGACTGTTGTGCAGGAAGTGGCACTGGGGCTCATAGTTTTTCTTGTCTGGTTCAGAATACATGAAAGAAGATTCTGGTAGGAGGACGGATGGACTCGGATTCTGCCGCCGCCGAACTGTTTAGTGCAGCGAACGTGATTAGTTCCTGGTTCAAACAGGTCTGAAGCTTCAAGTTGTAGGTCTGCGCGTACAGTGAGCATGCTATTTTCCATTACACATGTTACGAGCTCAGCGCTGTGGCCTTTCCCTTGTCCTCGGATGGTAATTCTGTTCTTCCTTGTGTGGGCAGGGGATGTTGTGCACAGGGCGCGGAAATGTAACTGGTACCTTGATGACCCTAGAGTTCACACTGACCAGGGTCATTCCATAGTGATCCACCGACTCGCAAGTGGATATCTTGCTCTGTTATTTGCTCACGGCTGCATCGAATCAGATAATTGTTTGCTGGCGGTCTTTTCACACCGGTTGCTCTGGACATGCCCACTCGATAACGATGAATGATATTCTCGTCTAGCTCATCACGACACTGTTCTCCTGGTGCCACCACCTAGTTTCTATCGCTCACAGAAGTCGAGATAATTGCGGTGAATCTTAAGGTGGTATCTTGTTTCTACTCTAGATCTCACATTAATCCAAACGTTCACATTCCTGTATCCAGACATCGTGTTCCCTGATATTTTGCAACCTGCTGGCGATTATGACATACGCATACCACGTACTTGATCACAAAACCGATGATCCTTGTCTTACTCTGCCTCTGGTTGCCCCAACTTCACGACGAGTGACGTCGCCCTAACGCTGCGGTTCACTACCATCGATCTCGGCGCATTCTTCTGCTTCTAACAATCACATCTGAGAAATTTTTGATGGAACGATGTTGTCGGTGGGCAACTGACCAAGTCAGCCTCCACGAACACGTTGCATCATGGAACGGGAGTCGAAACCCGCCTCTGGGAGAATTAGTAATTACTGCCAACCTTCGTATCTCAAGATGGATATGTTTACAAGGGTGAGGGTCTTTTTGACCACAAGACCGGTGATACTGACATAGTAATGCTTCAAAATTTCTTTCGTAGGATCATCTTCCGTTATGGCGATCGCATGAGGGCGAGATAGACGTTAGTTTCTCGATAATAGAGTGACCTTCGTTTACGTGGAGGGAGGCAATTATATATTATAAATCCACCAATTGGCAATCGCTCTGTTCTTACAATCGGATGTGGTGGGCGCGACACCAATTGGAAATCGCTCCATTTTTACAATGTGTAGATGAAACCTGGGCCTGAGTCGTATTCAACACATTGTCGTGCTTCGGGGTCAGTGTCGATTTCAAGACATTGCGAATGCGAATACTCAAACAATGAGTTCGACCAGTATATTGCTATTACTAGTGAGACAATCATAATATGGCAATTACGGACGATCGGGTATGTAACTCCATATGCATGGCGCTTTCCGACACGGCATGAAAAATTTGAATCTCTTGTTCTCTGCCTCATCGCCGAAACTGTGACAGAGACCACACTAGGCTCTGCTGGGCTACGCACCGCCAACAATCCAGTTCTTGGCGCCACAGCCCGATACTTTCTCTGAATCCACGGACCTCGAGTTGACCAGGGTCCAGCAGCCAATGAATCATGGTTCGTTCATTCCGACACGACCGGGATGGAAGAATATCTCAGCCCCGAGGCATAAGTACTCCGTGACGACAACATGGCACGAGCCCATCTGGTCATGGCGGAAACCTGTGTGCTAGAGTGCCTATTTGCAAGGCTGTCGTGAAGGTAATAATGATGAGTCTCATTGTCTCGGGTCAAATATCGGCAACAACAACCCGGATCAAGCCTCATGGAAAGTTTCTGCCTTTGTCTTCCACAACTTTTCGCCGCAAGTTACACTAGTCTCTACAAAGACGCTTTTCACGCGACATTCGTCCGAATTTTAACTGCCCGATCGGCTCACCCGGCGTATTATGTCTCAACGGCACATATAATCGAGGACAAATCTTATGGACTAATGTCCCACTGTCGCATGATAAATAAGCCTGGTAACAAGTGCGACATCCTTCTGTTCTTCTTGGCCGTGTCTTCTTCTATCGCCATTCCTGTGGTGGTGACGACTGTCACATAATATGCAGTTTATCAAGAACTTGACACGAGGATTTCCGACCATTACTGGCATACGATGGTTCAACCTTTCTGTCCTCGTTATCACACCGGCCCTTTCCCTGTACGGCTTGCTATATGTTCCCATCCTTCAGAAGACTGTCGTTTGCACTATCCTCTATTACATCTATTCCATGCTCGGTAGGTACTCGGCAATAGTCATTTCTTCTGATTGCTGAATTTGCTTCGCTAGGCATCACTGCTGGTGAGTAGTGAAAATACCTGCAACGAGATAGCATTGAAACGCGTTACTCCAGGGTACCACAGGCTTTGGTCGCACAGATCGTATAATGCTTCGTTCCCTTTGCAGGTATTTCTTATCCTTGCGGGAGCGAGTGCAGTGCAAGGCTCGTGTTACTGGTGGGCACGCCGACATCGTTCCCACCACAGACATACCGACACCGACTTTGACCCTTACAACTCGGAACGTGGCCTCCTCTGGACGCACATCGGATGGATCATTTTCGAGTCGGACTTGAAAACGGGACCAGCCGATATTTCTGACTTGCGTAAGGATTCTCTCGTACAATGGCAGCACCGATGGTACTTTGTTATCTTGACTATTTTTGGCTATTTGCTTCCAATGGTCATTCCTGGCTTGTTATGGGGAGACTGGAAAGGCGGATTCTTTTTCGTTGGTGCCCTTCGCATGACCGCGTGCCATCATGTGAGCTTCATCTTGTTCATCAAAGGCAAAGCTTAACCTTCGTCTTAGAGCACTTTTTGTATCAATTCCGTTGCTCACTATCTCGGCAGCACACCATACGATGACAAGCACTCGCCGCGCGACCACCTTATATCCGCTATCCTTACGATGGGGGAAGGGTACCATAATTTCCACCACCAATTTCCCATGGACTACAGGTAGCAGTTGACTTTCATTGTGTCGTTCTCAGTTCTATTTACGAGTCTGGCCTTTCCACCAGGAATGCATTCCGATGGTACCAGTATGACCCTACCAAGTGGTTCATCGCTATGTGCCATTCCCTCGGGTTCGCCTCCCATCTCCGTGTCTTTCCCAGCAACGAAATTGAAAAGGGTGCACTCACGATGAAGCTCAAGGCTCTCAAGGACGTTCAGGACTCGATTGAATGGCCTGTACCCCCGCAGGAATTGCCCATTGTAACGTGGGAGACATGTGAGCAAACGCTATCCTATACAAAAAAAATTCCTGAAAAAGTACGAATTCCTGTCAATAGTCCAGGAAGAATCCCAGACTCGCACTCTTCTCCTCATCTCGGGTTTTATTCACGACGCATCCTTTTTCCTTGATAGCCATCCGGGAGGACCCGCTCTGCTCACACGAAACTCTGGAAATGACATGACTGCCTCCTTTTTCGGTGGCATCTATGCCCACTCTCACGCAGCGCACAACGTGTGTATCATGCTTCTGTTCGCTTATCTAACGATGCTAATGATTGACTCTCATCCTCGTTGGCCGTTGTGAATACATAATACTCCATTACATAGCTCCTTGCGATGATGCGCGTGGGCATCCTTGCCGGTGGTGTAGAAGTGCCAGCAGAGCATGCCATCCCACCCAGTCAACATCTTGTGATCCGTACTCGTGCCTCTCATTAAAGACACAGCCACTTGACCCAACATGTGTCCAGTTCGTTAGACAACCCATCTGTGTATTAATGTGATCCTTCATCTTAAAACATACGAGTATCTATAGCGTAAATATCCAAATTTGTAGCTTCTATCCCAGTTTTCGACCCCACTAGATCATCATATGTATTTTCTCTTACACTTCGTTACTACTCGCCCCTTGCTTTCCTTCTATTCTGTACATACTAGTCTGGGTCCGATGTTGTGTGACTGTTGTGCACTAAAACATCATGCCATAAATTATTAGACAGTGCTCACTGCGGTAATAATGCCATCTCATTCTCGTCGGAATGGGATGAAATTAGTGTCGCTCAGTGTCCTTCATTATAGGCTTATGGCATTGCAAGTCGCAACGGGGGTAGGTGACATTCGCGATTGCGAAATGGACAGGTTTTAGCGTTGCCCATTTTCAGACTTTTATCGCAGAGCTGAGCCCATGCAGATCGAAGTGATTGATCAAGATCAACATTAATATTGCAATTGCACATGCACGCAGAAACACGTCTCATTAACGTTTTAACACTCGCTGTGTTATGTAAAGTGACATCCTCGTATCGACAAGCCGTAATAATTCATAAACTAACTTTCAAGGGAGGTTTACCGATTGCGTAATGAATGCCCCAGATGCCTCGTGTCGACCAGTTTAAAATCTTCCACCTTGGTCTAAACTCAAACTGTGTCCTTCGTACCACCACACGTCGACTGCTTGAAGTATTTGAAGTATTTTGAAACATGTCGGAACCAACAGCGGTACAACTCAAGGACGAGGGCAACGATTTCTTTAGGAAGCAAGACTACGTCGGGGCATTAGCAAAATACACCGAGGCTATTGCGCTGGATGACAAGAACGCTGTTCTATATGCGAACAGGGCTGCATGCCATCATGGGTTGAATAGGTGAGGTTACAGTTATAGAGCTGCGGTAAAAATAACTGACTGCAATCTTTAAATAGATGCCTAGATGCTGTTGATGACGCAAAGATGGTACTGATGCTCAGTATCGTATACATGGAAAAAATATTAATGCATCTTAGGCTACGCAGATTGATCCAGGCTATGCAAAAGGGTGGTCACGACTGGCAGCATCTCGAGACGCAAGTCCTTTTGCACTCCCTTCTCGTCCGATCTGACGTCGTGTATAGGCCCTCGCGGAGTGGGAGCGAAGTGCTGAAGCGTGGCAGAAGGCATTGGATGCACTCCCCAAAACTAACCTCAGTCGCGCAGAGCAGCGACAGAAAGATCAATATAGTGCCGGTCTGGATGCAGCCAAAACCCGTGACAAGACCGCAGAGAGCCCATCTGTTTCTCGTTTCAAAGCCGAGGATGCCAATCTTCCTTGGAAAATCGCGACGGAGATGCTTCCTGAACTCCGGAAAGCGGGTCCCGAAAAATACTCTAGCAGTGTGAGTTTCACTTTGTAATGTTGCGCACCATCGCTGAATAGTGGTACCTTTCATGTAGGCTTGGGTGATCTCATATGCATACGAGGTATGTTTGCGCCCTTCTATGTAATAAGGTCCTATTGACATTTACTAGGAATTCACGAAAGGGGTGGCATTTATGAATGAATTCAAATCAATTCCTCACCCTCAAGCTCCAGGAGGCTTTGCCTATGGCGGAAATACGATGGTGAGTTCAAGCCGCTTTCTTCAGCTTGCAATATCATGGTACCTAACATGTATAGGGCTTGACGTATTTGACCAATGGTTTGATGCGTGACGAGCGCGCGTTCCATCTAGATGGCCCCGACTGGATTACCAAGTACAATAACCAAGGCAATCTTATTCTAGCATTGCATGAGGAATCACACTGACTGAGCTTCAGTCAAATTCGAAGCTACGGCTCGCCAAGCCTGGCACTCCGATGGGGTCGAAAATATCAAGCAACTGGCACAGAAACGCCTGAAGGAAAAGGGATGGAGTGATGTACGCCCCGCTTTGTCGGTGACAGTTCGGTGCGTCGTATGAGCTTCGTACTGTAATATTCATTGATCGTTCGGTGCAGTGCATGGATAATGAGGGGCATGTTGGACGGCCATCTGAGAAACAAACCTGACACCGGTGTTCAGTTTTTGAAACGGGCTGTCGATTTGCTTGAATGGGGACGAAATGTTTGGAAGAATGTTCACAAGGATGATCGTGGAGCGATTTTCCAGGATACGTTTTTGCGAGGCGTGCGTAGCTTGCACCTTAAGATGTTTATGAACGTGCGTTGCGAGTCATGTTACTTTGGGTACTTGTTTAATCGAATGATAGGCTTACAGCGCCGATCCTGGCTTGAACTCCAAGTTCCCCCTTGAACATCTGAAAGAAGAAGCTGAAGACCTTCTCAAAGAGATTGATATCATGAAAGCATCAAATAACCTTAGTAAGGAGGAACTTGACCCTGGCATGGTATCGTCTTTCTGTATATATCCTGCTGCAGTTGCTTATACGTATGTCTTTGTCTGTTTCCCCGCGCTTCCGTTCCTTTTCTCATGATTACTTAGGATGATAGGATTCTATCATGCACAGACAGCTCGGCACAGCGATGACGTTCTCGCATGTATTAGCTTTGCGAATGGGGCAAGTGCATACTTGCAGGCAGCTGGAACGTACCCCGAGGACGACGAATTCCATGCATGTAAGTGACCAACACAGACTCGCACGCGTGTTTTACAAGTGTTTCCCAGTTTACTTGAGCTGCGCTATGGATTGTATGCGAAATGCCGGTCTCCCTATTCGCGGCTTCAACCTAGCTGCCGTTACTTTACGGGCAGCCGTGCCCAAGATGATGAAGATATGGACGGTCTCTGCTCTGCAGCAAGGTGGACGAGACGAGAAAATACAAGCAAACTTGCGCAGCGCAGATGAGATCATGAAGCTTGTCGCTGAAGGGAAGTTGACACTGGAAGATCCTGTGCCTTTGTGATCATTGGGATTTATGCATTTTTATACATACTAACTCGTGTAATTGTACTCTCTTGTGCTTTCTATCAAAGTATCTTTCACAGAAGATATGGGGACCCCCCTCTGCAGATGCGCAACCCGTGGCAGGGGGATAATAATGATACTCGGGCCGTTACTGGAGCACTTGTAGGATGCAGTGCCTGGCTGAATCCATAGATCCGAAATATGTTCTCATTCAGTAAAAAAAAAGTAACCACAATGCAGATACCCAAAAATCGAGATAACTCAGTCAAGCGTCTTGGTCAAGAATAGTGGTGGCATAACTAATTCGACCACTGTTCGATTCACAAACATCTCGAGATCGACGTTCGCGCGTATTAGATGAGGTCGGCGCCTCATGATACGAGTGACCAATTGGCCCGCCGAATTCCTGATAACACTGAGATATACAGCCAGATTATAATCCATTAGACTATATGTTCGTGATAGAACATAAGAGTATAGAGTAGTCACGTTTGTTGTATGATAATTCAGAAAAGAATTGTTACAATTGCTTTTGGGTCGGCTGCAATATAAGTAACTTTGTACTTTGTATTTACTTCTATTTATTCTAGGTATACGAGTTGGGCGTTGGGCATTTACTCCCCTATTAAATGCCCTGGATGCCTCGTGTCGACCAGTTTAAAATCTGGCCTCCACCTTGGTCTAAACTGCGATCCTTCATACCACACGTCAGATATTTGAAGCCATCGAAGTTTTTGAAACATGTTGAAACCGACAGCAGCTCAGCTCAAGGATGAAGGCAACGAGTTCTTTAGGAAGCAAGACTACGTCGGGGCATTAGCAAAATACACTGAGGCTATTGCTCTGGATGACAATAATGCTATTCTATATGCGAACCGTGCTGCTTGCCAGTATGGGTTGAATAGGTGAGGTCACAGTCATCGAGCTGCAGTAAAAACAACTGACCGTAATTTTCAAATAGATACTTAGACGCTGTCGATGATGCGAAGATGGTACTGATGCCAGCATCGTATACGCAGAGAAAACATTAATACATTTTAGGCTACGCAGATAGATCCAGGCTATGCCAAAGCGTGGTCACGACTAGCGGCATCTCGAGACGTAAGTCCTTGCGCGCGCGGCGCTCCCCTCTTGCCTAATTTTACATCGCGCATAGGCCCTCGCAGACTCCGAGGGAAGTGCTGAAGCGTGGCAGAAGGCACTGGATGCACTCCCAAAAACCAACCTCAGTCCCGCAGAGCAGCGGCAGAAAGATCAGTACGGTGCTGGTCTGAATGCAGCCCAAACCACCCAAACCCGTGGCAAGACCTCAAAGAACCAATGTATCGCCAGTGTCAACCTCGATGATGGCAATCTCCCTTGGAAAATTGCGACAGAGATGCTTCCTGAATTCCGGAAAGCGGGTCTCAAACAATTTTCTAGCAGTGTGAGCTTCATTTATAATGTTGCATGCCGCCGCTAAACAGTGTACTTTTTATGTAGGCTTGGGTGATTTCATATGCATACGAGGTATGTTCGCGCCTTTCTATGCAATGATGTCCTATTGACATTACTAGGAATTCACGAAAGGGGTAGAATCTATGAACCAATTGAAATCAATCCCTCACTCTCAAGCTCCAGGAGGCCTTTCCTATCACGGAAATCTGATGGTAAATTCAAATTGTTTTCTTCGGCTTGCAATGTCATGGTACCTAACATGTATAGGGCTTGACGTATTTGACCAATGGTTTGATGCGTGACGAGCGCGTGTTCCATCTAAATCACCCCGATTGGATTACCAAGTACAATAACCAAGGCAATCTTATTCTAGCATTGCGTGAGTCACACTAACCGAGCTTCAGTCACATTCGAAGCTACGGCTCACCAAGCCTACTCCGGCGGGGTCGAAACCATCAAGGAACTGATACAGAAACGCCTGAAGGAAAAGGGATGGAATGATGTACGCCCCGCTTTGTCGGTGACAGTTCGGTGCGTCGTATGAGCTTCGTATTGTAATATCTATTGATCGTCCAGTGCAGTAAATGGATAATGAAAGGTATGCTGGAAAGCCATCTGGGAGGCAGACCTGACACCGGTGTTCATTTTTTGAAACGAGCTGTTGACTTGCTTGAATGGGGACGACTTGTTTGGAAGGATGTTCACAAAGATGATCGTGGAGTGATTTTCGAGGATACGTTTTTGCGAGGCGTGCGTAGCATGCACCTCATGATGTCTATGAACGTGCGTTGCGAGTCATGTTTCTTTGGGTACCTGTTTAATCGAATGACAGGCTTACAGCAGCAGCCCTAGCTTGAACTCCAAGTTTCCTCTTGAAAATCTGAAGGAAGAAGCTGAAGACCTTCTCAAAGAGATTGATATCATGAAAGCATCAAATAACCTTAGTAAGGAGGAACTTGACCCTGGCATGGTATCGTCTTTTTGTGTTTATCCTGCTGCAATTGCTCATAAGTATGTCTTTGTCTGTTTCCCTGCGCTTCTGTTCCCTTCTCATGGTTGCCTTGCTTTTCAGGACGATAGGATTCTATCACGCACAGAAAGCTCGGTACAGCAATGGTGTTTCCGCGTGTATGAGCTTTATGAATGGGGCAACGGCATACTTGCAAGCAGTTAATACATACCCCGCGGATGACGAATTCCATGCATGTAAGTGACCAACACAGACTCGCACGCGCGGTTTACCACTGTTTCCCAGTTTACTTGAGCTGCGCTATGGATTGTATGCGAAATGCCGGTATGTCTATTGGCGACTTCAACCAAGCTGCCGTTGCTTTACGGGCAGCCGTGCCCAAGATGATGAAGATATGGGCGTTCTCTATTCTGCAGCAAGGCGGGCGAGACGAGAAAATACAAGCACACTTGCGCCGCGCAGATGAGATGATGAAGCTTGTCGCCGGAGGAAAGTTGACACTGGAAGATCCTGTGCCTTTCTGATCATTGGGATTGATGCATTCTTGTACATACTACTCGTGTAATTGTATACTCTTGTGCTTTACATGGCCATCTATATAGGTATCTTTCACTGAAGATACGGGGACCCTTTTGCAGATGCGCCACCCGTGGCGGGGGGATAATGATACTCAGGCCGCTACTAAAGCAGTTGTAAGATGCAGTGCCTGTAGATCTGAGATATGTTCTCATTCAGTAAAAAAGTAAATACTGCAGACGCACCCAAAAATCGAGAGATAACTCAGGTACTAAGTGTCTTCGTCAAGAACAGTCACTAGAGACAGAAGAAATACATAACTAGTTCAACCACTGTCCGATTCATGGACATCTCGAGATTGACGTCCGCGCGTGGATGAGGTCGGAGCCTCATGATACGAGTGACCAATTGACCCGCCGAATTCCTGATAATACTTGGAAGATCATGATAGCCGGATTTGCATATAATCTATTGAACTATTTGTTCGTGATAGAACATAAGAGCATAGAGTGGTCACGTTCTAAGATAAAGTTACGGTTCGATTTTCCGCGACACTTAAATATTTAGAAGTCCGATCAAAGTATTGCAGGTGATGTCACACTCAACACATTCGCTTGCTTGAAACAGTTACTCGAGTACGACTACAAACGAAGAACGACCATTCATCGGCATTCGGGCGACAGTGGATCCCCCGCAGGCCACGAGGTTTTATAGTCACATGCACGGCGGCGATGGTTATCGAGACGGGGAAGTTTGAGGTATCAGCAATACGGACTGTATTGCCTGGTGTCTTGAACGGGTGTTGGGCGAGAAGGCAGTGCGTGAAACGATGCTCAGACTTCGGAACATCAGACAGCAAGCCAGGCGAGGACGTATCAGGCGTGACCCCCCGAAAAAAATATGCTTTTCTATTGACAGTATAATTTTTTCTTCTTTTTGCAATGACGAGGAGAACTAACGCTATCGTCAGATTCATCACCTTTCTGTGAAAGATTGTCGAAAACGCTGGGATCAAGGCCAAAGTTCAAGTTCTTGGCCATCACCTCCTTGGGCATATGAGCCAGCCAGTTTGAAAGGAGGAAGGTCTTGTCCTCTGAGAAGTTTCCGTTAGCATGAACTCGCACCCACCTTTGCTGACACCCTGAATGGAATGAGATTGACCTTTTGGTGCGTCCCAGATATGTCTCTTGGTCAGGTTAGCCTCATAAGCACTTCCATCATCAAGAATCGTGCACCTTCAGCCGCCCATTAAGCCCATTCCATTTCACAATGCCCATGGAGCTCTCGGACGGCTCCCTCATCGAAACGCATATCTACTCCCGCGAGCTCAGTGGAGGTCGGGTAATTTGCGGACTGTAGTCTGACGTGCCCATCTGTCACATGCGAATCTGCGAATGACCATTTGAGCGAAGGGAGAGTGCTGTGATCCGTCGAAGGAGGGTGGATGAGATTAGGAGCTTGCTTTTCATACTCAGGGTTTCGAGGCCCGATGATGTTAGAACCGCAATCACCACGACGGGGCTCCGGAGGATAGTCGACTACGCACGGCTATCTGTGACAACTTGTGCTGGTCACTTTCGTTCAGCCTCTCGGAATTTGTACGTTCGCAGAGATGGTGATGGTGCCATGCGATGACATTTGTATACTAAGTAAGTTAAAGTTACCGCATGCGCCAATGCACATTCATGACTAGATGATAGCTTCTCCTACTATCTCAGGCCTTACTATGATCTTCTGGGTTTGTGAACGGGTCTTCTTCATCATCCTGGTTAACATAGATGAGTTCCACGAGGAGTTGGAGTAGTGGAATGCTCGATTTCGTACCTGCTCCTGCTCTTTCTTCTTCAAAATCCCTGCACGCCGCTCACGCCCATGTTCGACTAGTTCTGGGTTCTTCGTGATCTTTCCCTTGACTTCCTCTTGCAAGCCGCCGAGCTTTTCTCCAAGACCCTACAACGCGACGCGACTTGACTTCGTTCAACTCTGAGATGTGGCAGATGTAAACTTACTGCTCCCTGTCCGTACAAGGGACCGAGCCCGATGGCTCCCGCGTGTCTTTGCGGCGGAAGCTGACTGTCGGTAAGAGGTTCAGACGTTGGTTGAGTTGAGGCTTCGGTGGAAGACGCATTGGACATTCTGGGTTGGGTGTTAGTGCCTATGGCAGACGGGTGTGCGGTAGACGAGGACATCGCGCTTCTCGTAGTTATCCAATTAATTTGAGTTGGGTGGGAGAGTAGAATGTCACGGTTTGCCTGAGCTTTATACCCTTCGAGTGGCTTTGCAGTGTCGATATTAAAATAATCGTGACGTCAATGGACACTAGTAGTTGTCTGACGTCACTCTACAGACCTGGCCGATGGTGGATATCATGTGGTGTAGCGACCATCGATTGGATCTGGACTCGGAAGTACTTCAAGGTCGCCCCATTCCTTCTCCCCCCACTTGAGTCGTGCCTCCGTTGTGTTGCCCTCTCACACCCACTCTGTTAAGAGTATGTTGATACAACTTGCCATCAAAGCTTTTGATGTCACTAGCATCTACTATGGTGCTGCTTCTGGCATCATGTTCGATCACTTCGATTGCGCTTGTGTGGTTATAAAGCAGTTGAGCGGATACAGATGATGATGGGTAGGTTTAGTAGGTTAATTACAATCAGTCGATGCAGACCGTTTCGTCACTAGTCTAAGGATGGGAGTAACGACATCGATTTCGACCGGAGGTTGGATGAGTAGTATTACGACTAAGTTGGGGGATATGAGTTAAGTTAGTAGAGTCTGTCCTAGCCATTTTAGTAATTGCCCAATCGAAGCCCGGGAAGATCATGATGATGTTCCTAATCGTCATAGTTCTTCGATCCATCCAATTGAAGAATCGTAAGAAGCAAAATTAGTGTTTCCTCGACATTACCATACATTCCCATGTGAACGCAGTCAGCAGAATTACAGATTGTTGCGAAGTGACTCCCCCGTTCGACGATATATTGCCTTATATATCAATCTCATCTCTTCACCGCTTCACTGATGGCCAAGGATGGGCGTAACAACATCGATTTCGACCGGAGGTCAAACGAGTACTACGATTAAGTTGGGGATATGATGAAATTCAAGTTAGTAGAGTCTGTCCTAGCCACCCAATCGAAGCCCGGGAAGATGTTCCTAATTGTCATAGGTGCTTCGGGCGCTCAAAGCGTTCACACAGTGACACACTGTTTCCTCCATCATGGATACTTCAAAGATAAGACAGGAATTCCGCCGCTTCCGAATCCTCATTATCGGAAGAGCGAATGCAGGAAAAACCACCATCCTCCAGAGGGTTTGTGATACACGCGAGAACCCAGAAATATATGACAGCGCCGGTGAAAAGGTGGGAAACATGATACCAGTGTACTACTACTAGGACTGATTGACCGATGTACTTTGAAAATCAGATCGATCCCACCGTGTTGATGGCGTCTAGGGAGGTAAGGCATGTTCTTTCATGTTGGTAACATCACTTGACCAGTTTTCCGCGCGGACTGCATGATATCGAAAATGAAATGGTGTTTCCAAGCAACCCTGGATTTGTCTTTCATGATTCACGCGGGTTTGAGGCTGGAGGACAGTCCGAGTTTGACAAAGTGAAGGCTTTTATTACAAGACGTTCTAACAAGAGACTCGGTTTCGATGGTAGAATCCATGTCATATGGTAATTAGTCAATTTTTAGCGTTCGCTATCTCACATCTTTGGCACAGGTACTGCATTCCGATGGATGAGGATGCCAGGTCTTTCACGGAAGCGGAAGTCAAGTTTTTTACTCAGTGTGACACTGGAAATAGTAAGCCTTTGTGTCTGCCGTTCATGTGTCATTGACTCATTCACGATTCTCAGTTGCAGTAATGGTGTTGTTCACTAAGTTCGACGCTCTCTACGACGATGAATTTGCAGAGCTGATAAGTAAGGGAGTATCGAGAAAAGATGCTGAAGCGCTGGCCCCGCAGCATGCTAAAGAAGCATTCGAGAATGGGCCACAACTAAAGCTTTTGTACAACCGCAAGGGCAACCAACGTCCTCCAAGATGTCACATATGCCTGGCAGGTAAGTCCACTAATTCTCGAGTTGCTAATAAGCAATTCACTGCCTATCTTTGCTCTCTGACATTTAGATATGGACAAGGACGACGCAGACTGCGGGATACTTATCGAATGCACGGCCAAAACTCTGGATGATGATACCCTCAAACAGATGTTTATCTCAACTCAGCGGATCAATGTGGAGTTGTCCATGAGATACGCAGTCGAAATGTAACTCCTCAAACCTCACTCATCTGTGACGAGATAACTCACTGTGCATCGAGAGCACTTGCAAAGCATCTTGACTTCTCCAAGACAATCTCGTCACGCATATCTGCGAGATCCGAATTCCAGATTGTAAACAAGTTGGGTCGATGGTTTCCATGGACTTCAGTGAGAATGTAGGAATTTTTGAAAAATCTTCATTTATATTCCATGCTTAGATTTAGACAGTATTAACGTCTGAACATCTCTGTCAGGATACTGACTTAAAGCATCGCTGTTCCCTTGACAGGACGTGAGTGTGTTGATCATCTGTCGAGCCCGAGCCTCGCTGATCCCTTGACAGGGTGTGAGTGTGTTGATCCTGTGTCGAGCTCGAGCCTCGCTGACTGAAGACGTCGCTGATCCCTTGACAGGTTGTGAGTGTGTCGATCCTGTGTCGAGCTCGAGCCTCGCTGACCGAAGATGTTGCTGATCCCTTGACAGTTTGTGAGTGTGTTGATCATCTGTCGATCCCGAGCCTCGCTGATCCCTTGACAGGGTGTGAGTGTGTTGATCCTGTGTCGAGCTCGAGCCTCGCTGACCGAAGACGTCGCTGATTCCTTGACAGTGGGTGAGTGTGTTGATCCTGTGTCGAGCTCGAGCCTCGCTGACTGAAGATGTCGCTGATCCCTTGACAGCCGGTGAGTGTGTTGATCCTGTGTCGAGCTCGAGCCTCGCTGACCGAAGACGTCGCTGATCCCTTGACAGCGAGTGAGTGTGTTGATCCTGTGTCGAGCTCGAGCCTCGTTGACCGAAGACGTCGCTGATCCCTTGACAGGAAGTGAGTGTGTTGATCCTGTGTCGAGCTCGAGCCTCGCTGACTGAAGACGTCGCTGATCCCTTGACAGATGGTGAGTGTGTTGATCCTGCGTCGAGCTCGAGCCTTGCTGACCGAAGACGTCGCTGATCCCTTGACAGCCGGTGAGTGTGTTGATCCTGTGTCGAGCTCGAGCCTCGCTGACCGAAGACGTCGCTGATCCCTTGACAGCGAGTGAGTGTGTTGATCCTGTGTCGAGCTCGAGCCTCGTTGACCGAAGACGTCGCTGATCCCTTGACAGTATGTGAGTATCTTGATCCTCCCTCTGTTGAGCTCGAGCACTGATGTCTTCATGATCATAGTATGTAAGTAGATTTATCCTGGACTGTTTCTGCCTTTTGATCATAATGTCAGTGTTACCGCCCTGAAGAAGATGAGATGTGGTCCACGTTACGACTCGGATTTTCGGCATGTCCCATTACTCACAGCTCATGCACACAATTCTCACCTGAAAGGTTTACTAGCCCTCTGGGTCGTCAACATTGGAGAAGATTATGCACCTTGGTTCTGGTGAGATTCTATACCACATCGCAATGAATTTGCTGATTATTGATCATAAGCTGCTGTCATTATTTTCGAAAACACTTTCTATCTTTGGAGCCAGCAACGCTTTACATCTGGGCAGGAGTCTGTTTACCCCGTTCGTGTTGCTCTTCAGCAGTACATGGCATCTCCCAATGCAGCTGCCGTCAGGGAAGCTCTGAGCTCTGCCGTTCGCACATATGAAGCGGGCTTCTCTCACTTGATACCAGGATCGGCCAAACGCTCTCAGAAGAAGGCGGAGTTAATCGACACAATTATTGAAATTGTTTTACAGCATCGCTTGCGTACGTGATATCCGATGCAGTTCTCACACGTCCCGCTGATATATTCATATTCAGCAAGACCTGAAGACTGAAGTCTAAGCAATTTGACGATATCTGGGAGATCGGGCTCAGTAAATTGCTGTTTCTTAACTGGCTGATGGCATGTCCGTGGATGTGGTTAAAGAGGTGGAACTGTATGAAAGTTGTATGAACAAGCAATTGGGGGTTTTCATGTTATGGTGGACGCGCGCGCGATGGACAACGTCCTACTCATTTCGGACGATGTTGTAATTTTCCTCAAAGAAAATAAATGTATATTTCCATTCAATTGCTTTAGCGTTGGCTGGATCGGCTGTGGCATGGTGCACAACGATGCGATGGGTGGGCTTTCACGTTAAACGTCCCTGGTATAATGTTATGGTTATAAATTTACATGGATGAACAGCAACATTGCTACAAAATGTATCAAAAGTACATTGAATTATCAGCGAGAACCAGCGTGCTGTCGGTAGACCAACCCCGATACTGACAAAAAAATCAGCACAGGGATAGCGATCCAAATAAGAGCGGACACTTACTACCATCGAGAATCTCGAATCAACCCCGGGCGGTTACGAAGCACATGAACTGCATAAGCCTCACTAGGCGAGTGAGCGCCTTTGGAGTGTCAGCTGCTGAGCAGGATATCATCTGATATCTCCATCGCTGTCATCAAAGGATATGATCATTTTCAATGAAGACCAGAAGTATGCCATTAATTTTACTGAGTGGTGATCAGGGCGTCACGGTGGTAAATGATAAGAACTCATTGAGGGATTTCCCCTGATATATGTATTATGTAGTCTGTCGGCTTAAGTTAAGCTCTTGAGCACGTTCACATGTTGGTCGAGAGGAGTACTAGAGGCATTAGGACGTGTTGAAGGCAGTTCAGGATGAATTACCACCACGACACGTTCTTTTTGCGACATCAATGACTGAGCCTGCAATTGCGTGGTGAGACGATAGACGCGATCCCCACTGGAACGATGAGTCTATAGATGTTACCAACTAGATAGACTTATGTGTTTCATCGAAGCCCAATTAGAGAACTGTTCATAACATTTTTAGATTGGTAATTGGATATATTCAATGACTAACGCTGATGGCGACGTGAGGATTATATACTGGTTGGTGATGCTGTCAATGCTAAGTGGAACCGCGGGTCACTATAAAGCTATTATCGTAAAGCGTTAAATGGATAACAAAAGGGGCAGAACAGATCAAGCTGGTTGACCAGCAGCCGTCGTACCAGTCGCCGCGGCCTTAACAAGTACCAGCAACAGGTATCAAGTCCGCGTCCACATCACAGACCTCATGGGTGCCAGTGAATGCACCCATATGGTTAACAGCAAGGTTCCTAGCACCGATGGGCACAATGTCAGCATCATGAACCAGACCAACATTACGAGTCGCTTTGAAGCCATCGGAGGTGCCCTCAACTGCGCCAGAGGCAGGAGAAACTCCCTTGGCGCCCTGTACGCCTGCGGGACTTGCAGAACCACCGGGAGTGAGACGCTCAGTCGCACGATGGACGATGCCAGTGCCATGCCGAATATCACCAATAACATCGCGAGTCTTCAAACCACCGACAGGAGCGATAGCGCTACCCGCACCATGCTTTGGTACGGTAACCTCGCGACGAGAAGACTTGAGACTTTCCGTGCTTCCAGTTGAACCACTAGAGCCAGGAATAGCAGCTCCGCTTTGTTGCTCAGAGCTAGCGGTAGCATGTTCGGACACAGGGATGCATGTATCTGCAGCAGGACTGACGAAGAAGCCCTCTGCGCAGTCTTTCACAATGCAACGCCCGTTACCACAAGAAACAGTGTCAGGAATGACGCCCTTGATATCCTTGCAGTTCACGCCAATGACGGGTGCGTGTCCGAAAGGACATGCCTCAACACATCCACCACCTGTTGATATGAGAGTCTAGTGACGTAACGGCGAAAAGACAACTTACAAGTTGTAGGATCGGTTGTAACATCGACGCACTTCCAAGGTTGACCAGTGCTAGCACCAGGGACCCCACACATGGTGCGGCCAGCGGCACATTGGGGCTCATTGTCACGACGGGACGGAGGTGCTTTGCTGGGGCACACCGTAAAAGAACCGCACTTTCCATCACACTCCATGAAGTTGTCAGGGCATTTACAAGAAGTGGGCCTCTCGGAAGGAAAGGCTAGGTACCCATCAGCGCATTCAAAATCGCACGGATTGGAATCCGTGCAAAGAGCACGAGCGTGATCAGGGTAAGAGCAATGCGAGGCTGTCGGAAGGCCTGTGAACTATTACAAATTCAGTGAATGCAACTGAGAATTATACAGAAAATATTACCATGTCCGAGATCAAGGCCTCCACCTTAGACTCGTCGCAAAGAAGTTCGACAGCTTGCTGTGCAACGGCGTTGGATTCCACGAATTTGCCGACATCTGAGAGGCAAAGGCAAGCTTCGATGTGGCCTGCAACAGTGGGTTTGCCTGATTCAAAGGGTGGTCGGCTCTCGAGTCTCAAAGCGAAAGAAAACTAGCGTACCATAGCTATCGATGACCTCGTTGAGAACCAGGTCAGAGTTGAGAGAACCACAGATATCTTGCATAAGGGCGCGCCTGTGAGGCCTGTGAGGATGCGGTAGCTTAGAGAGAGCGAATGTGGTTGATACAGAGAGGATGGGGACAGCAAATGATGATAACCTCATGATGGTAAAGAACGACTTGGAAAAAGAATGTGAGATAAGATGTAGAAGGTGAGAGAAGTGGGAGGGAAGGGCTAAAGGAGAAAGGACGACGAAAGGCCCATTATATATGCTAGGACTAGCCATTATAGTATTAAAATACACTCGCTTATGAGGCTCTTCACAAAATTCACCACAAAAGTTACAACATACCTGGTGACGTCACGCGTGGTGGCGTAGAGCTATGGCGGACTGTTCACAAACAGTCAACGCGTTGCGATTGGGTGAAGAGCTTGAGCTTGAGACCGTAAATGCCATTTTGCAAGGCGAGCATAACCAGTTCAAGTTGAATCGAGAGGCAACTGAGGACGCGATTTCCAAGTCGGAGCTAATTATAATTACCAATTCAATATTCAATAACGGAGTATATGCTAAATTAGTCTCCGCACGGCGAAAAGAAAACACAAACTCTGTTCACCGGTTGTTCGACCTTACTCATACAGTAGTAATGTTGCAGCTGTTGTTCGTCGTGGTGAAATCGGAATTACTCGGGCTGATCAATCAATGACGCAGTCCCGGTTGCCCGTATCGTTCCGCACTCAAGTCCAAGTCTCCACGCCAGGACGGCTCCCCCCGATCGGGCGTCAGTTACCAAATATAAGTACTGCAGACTGTTTGACTGATTTACAGGCCACCGTCGCGAAAGGCAACAAGAGCAAGCTTTAATACCTCACACTAATACAACAATGAAGATCCTCACCCAGGAAGAAATCGACGGCCACACCAACGCTAGCATCCGCGGTGCAACAGAAGGCGCACTTCTAAGCGCAGCCGTCGCTATCCCCGGTTCACTACTGCTTAACCGTCGATGGGCATCCTACCGGGCACTCCCTCTACCTTTAAAGGTTATGGGTACCGTCATGGTGATCGCGCCTTGCATATCCATTCAGGGTGAAAGACGTGGTCTAGAATTCGATCGTGCACACTGGTGGGTCCCAATTCCTGAACCGAATATCGCCCTCTAACGCCCCGCAGGACTGGCGCAGGTAAAATGGAACTGGACAGAGAAGCAGCAGTGGAAGAAGCACGATGGCAAGCTCTGACAATGAAAGAAAAAATCGGTGACTGGGCAACACGACACCAGTATAGCATCATTCTTGGAAGCTGGGTTCTATCAGTGGCAGTCGCTGGCACCATTATCTCTAGAGATAGGTTTGTGGTCTCCCTTACGTCGACAGTTCTTTCTCGTCTCTGATTGGAGACATGTGCAGACATCAGACGTTACCCCAAAAGATCGTTCAAGTGCGTATGTGGGCACAGGGCTTGACTATTGGCGTCTTGATTGGCGCTGGTATCCTTACGCACAATCAGCGCCAAGCCGCCCTCCAGCGCGTGAGTTCCAAGCTTCATGTATCCATATGGTGTGGATACTAATTCCTTCCAGCGGCCGGTTGACCACTCGTGGCAAGCCTTGGTTCGTGTAATTATCTTATCGCCGACCCGCAATACTCATTACCCTTAAACAGCTTACAGAGCAAGCAAGAGAGAAGGAGGAGCAAACAAGGGCGCATCTCAACGCTCCGAATGCCTCCTACCCTCTATAGAGTGCTCGCACTTGTTACCCACCCATAGACGGATACATTCATCTCATCATCTCATGATTATATATCTACCTTGCAACCAAGGTTTCTGGAGTCAGTTCACAATTACTTCATTTTTCGTTCCTTGGGTCGATGGTTCTAAGTTGGAAATATGTGCTCAGCCGACGCTTGACTCCATGCTTCAAAGTTTGAACTATATATTCCACGTATGGTGCAGATAGTGACAGTGTCATTCGCAGCTTCTACTTGTGGGTTTGCTAGTTCGAATATTCCATGACGCTATCTCACATTCAATTATGACCATGGACAATCGCAGGCCCAGATCTAATCCAAAGCGTTGGTGCGTGTATGTTCTTCGCTTGAGATTTGGCATCCACGGGCGCTGGTGTGTGTCTGTTCTTTTCTTCAAATTACACACAGACTCGTATTGCGAACGATGTTGTCGTGCTCCTGGTGAGGGAATATTGGAACTATGAAATGTGGCTTCAGCACAACATCCACTTTCTGAACGCCTCTTTGTGGCACAATGTGGCTTATATACTCGTTATGTGCTGGCGAAATGCATGTCGCCCATCGTGGTGAGTACGGTCTCTCACGTAAATCGGTGTTCAACATACTACCCTATCTGACGGATTAGACTATAACGTGACCATATGCCTGTTCTCCCGCTGTCCATGCAAGTGAACGGTCAACATCGGTAAATAACCGACGGGTTGTAGTCCGTTTTAGTATTATAGCACCAAAAGACTGATCAGAGACTACGTCCAAATCCCATGTGACAGTGGCAATAGATATGAAAGCAACGATACGGTCCTTAGACTCGAACTTGAGGTCTGAGGACCGAGTCGTCGTGTGGGTAAATAGCGTCCAAGGTATAAGTGTCATTATTTCGTTCGTCCTCTCGTAAAAGCACACCTGCTACGGCCTTCCAGATATAGCGACTCAAACTTCCCAACCGCACTCTCTATTCAGGATGCTGGCACCCCCGGGTACGATATAGCCGCCCCCATTTCGTCCACCAATCCTCCACCGCTTCCCGAGCGTCGAAAGCGAATAAGTCGATATACTCTTCCCATGTGTCACGTAAAAACTCTTCTTCTGCGTCGTCCCAGTCAAGCAACGCACGCGCTCTCGCATCTCGTAAACCGTCGTCGCGAGCTTGCTGTTCAGGACCAATGGGCAAGCATACGAAATCTCGTTTCCGTAGTTCAGAAGCTTGCGTTGCGGCGCAACGTGGCTGCCGCAACTCTTCGTAAGCGGAAAGGAGAACGGAGGTATGCGATTTAGCTGCTGGGAGAGAAAAGAGAGTCGATAGTGTCATGGCATCCTCTATCGACATTGCAGCGTTATGTGACCCGTTGGGCTGTAGAAACCAGCGATCATTGGGTGATGTATATGATGAGGAAGTAAACAAACACACCATCAATGGGTGGGCGGCCTCACCAACTAGCACTACTCTTCCACTTTCATGAACCCAGTTATCAAAGGGTTCGTAAATAGTATGACCAGTTGGAGTCATAGTCTGCGCAAATCGTACTAGCTTTTGTATTCTGTTCACCAACATCAGCAATGTCAGCGGAAATGAACCACGGACGTACCTAGGTTCAAAGCGATCCAGCTTCAAAAACTTCTCATCCAAAGGTTGTGACCGTGCCCATGAGTCTTGTGTTGGTTTTCCATCCGTAGGAACATGCATGACTATGGCATATTCTTGTTTGAATGACTTGGGATCAACCTTTTGGAAAGTTAGGTAGTGTTCTATCGGGCATTCGTGACCAGGGTACACACGGTGAGTAGCCCATGCATTGCGCAGTCATCACCCAGCCATAGTGACCACTAATTAAGCGTTAATATCATATAAAGATGCGATCACCATCTTCAATTTCATACCTCTGGTGAGACCGTTAATTGAAAAAGATCTTTGTGTGGCCGCATCAGGTCTGTGGGCACGGTGATGCTACGAGCGGTAATCCGCATTAGCCGTAAAAAAACAAATAATCGGTAAAAGGAGTGCCTACTTCACCGATACGCGCTTATCCAAAACGCCTTTAATTCCTTCAGGACCAACCACCACAGGACGGACGACGCTCCTGTAACCATCTGCACCAATAATCACGTCCGCAGACAATCTAGCACCCTTGCGCGTGATCACCACGCCCTTCCACGGATCGACCGAGACGACTTCCGTATTATATCGGAACTGAACGCCGGCATTCTTGGCAAACTCGACGAACATCGCGTGCAGCGCTCCATGCTATTACATACTCATCAAAGATCCGGAAATGTCGCATATAATGAACGCGGCGGACCTGCATATATAGAAAATCCGCCGCCAACGCCTTCATAAGCTTCTCGTGCAGTACGAGAGGGCCGAGTTCTTCCCCGGATTTCCCTGCAAGGAAACTTTATGAATACAGACGGATAACGGAGATCTTTTTGGGGCATTATTTACCATCCCTGAATGTAAACCTGTTAGCTTTTATGGAAACCCTGGCGATTGCAGGTCCGAGTCCCCAATGATTCAAGAGGCGGGTCATATTTGGTGGACACCGTATTCCGCCGTGACTCTAGATTGGGTCTAAAATTCATACCGCCCAGGACTGGATGAAATTGATATTACATACATTACATCTCCCGTCGCCCTGCTCCACAACCAACACCTGATGGCCCACTTCTTGTAGCGCATATGCGCAAGCGACGCCTGCGATGCTCCCTCCGACGACTACAAAGCGCAGCATCTGCGAAGTCCTTCTGGGGATGTTCTGCGGTCCTCCCGGCATGATGAACGTCGAGTCCTGCGATGATGAAAAGTGTGGGTACGAGTCCCAGGTAGCAAATGGTTATGGTTATGTAGCCCGGTGAAGGGAACTTAAGTTGACAGCAGTGAGTGACTCCACCACGCGGAGACCGGTGGAGTTGTGGGTGAAAGTGGACTTTGTCGTGCTCAGTAGGTAAAAAAAGACAGTCCTCACTCGAAGAAGGGAAGCGAGCCCATTAATATATGGTTCGCTACATGCACCACAAAAGAAGATTCTCCGGATTCATGATTTTGCTGGTATAAATCCGTGCATTCGTTATCAGATTTTCATCATCGCACGTAGGTCGGTCGGTCGGTCGGTCTAGTCGAAACCGGCCGTCCCACGATGACACTGATTCTTGTTTACTCACTGCGAGAAGAGATTTGGGTTGCTTGTGTGGATCTAGCCATTCTGTGACTTTGTAAACCAAGTAATACCAGTCAGATAATGGGTTATCATGCATGCATATGATAGAACGGAATTTGTTCATTGCTCTCGGTCTGTGGGGAAGCGGTGCACCGAGGAGTGGGTGTCATGCGGGTGTAGTGCTATTCTGGTTGTTTTCTTGTTTTTCTGTGGTCTGATCGATCGCTACAAGTGATTTACGTAAATATCACACATGAGTTTTATTTATGGCTCGTCTGGCACAACCAATAAGAGTCCTAACAAGCGGATCAAGAGACATCGGAGTGGCCTTTGGACGGTCACCGACCGGCGACGGCTGAGGTTTTCATTCTACCGCGAGAAGAATTTAGCATGGGATGGAGTCCATTGCATTTGCAGCAGCAGAGCGGAATCAACTCTAGATAACTATCGACTCAAGAGCCAAGGGCATGTCTCATTAATATCGGGGCAAGATGCATTCAACTTGTTCGCAACCAACACTGCATCGCAAAATACCCGTTAGAATCGCATAATGCTTAAACTTAAGGGCCTTGCTCACACATCGGGGTTATCAATCCTATCACCCGCGAGAGATCACAGATTGACTGGAAGGTAATATGCAGAACGTATTTGCAAAATAATTTACAATTATATATATATTTAGCACGATGGCTGCACCAAAAGTACCAAGAAACCACTCGAGATGACCACAGGAACGACGGCTTTCTGCTGTGCAAATCTAAAACAGGGCCGTTGAATAATAGTCAAACTGTTGATTAATAAATACTCGGTCGTCCTAAGAAGTCATCGAGAGGATACAACCTTCAAAGGCGAAACAAAAACGAGCACCTGGCTCTGAGACTTAAGATTTGCTGCTGGCCGGCTTCGTATTCGAAATAACGTGACCTTCTGTTGAGGAATTTGTGTCGGATGGCGGCGAAACATCAGGATACAACTATAAGATATAATCATATCAAACATCTAGTTCGCAGAGGAATTGCCTACCTTCCCTGGATTAAACAAATTATGGGGATCTAGCGTCTGTTTGATCGTTCTCATAAGGGCTACTGTGCCTTCCCCAAGTTCAGTCAAGAGGTAGTTCCGTTTACCTGCACCAACGCCGTGTTCCCCAGTGCCTAAAGCGTGAACCAGATTATGAACACTAACACTTCACTAACTAAAGACAACACTCACATGTTCCTTCGAGTTCGATGGCTTTGCGATTAATCCTACCAACTGCTTCTCGTACAAGGGCAAGCTCCGCGTCGTCCGCGTAGAGAACGAGAGCATGAAAGTTACCTTCATAGCACAGCATGAGTAAATACGTACACAAGTGTACCAAAGAACGCACCATCGCCAACATGGCCAGCGATCGGTGCAACTAGACCAAGTTCCTCAAAGTCTTGCTTCGCAGCAGAGATAAGATCGGGTAGGCGTGACACTGGGACACTAAACAAATAGCGGGTGAGCAAATGATGTGGTTTCGTTATAGGGTGCCGCCGGATCCACGATCCCAGGAATGTCATCAATTACTTACCATACGTCAGTCATCCATCCTTGACATCCCGGACGATATGCAAGGCACGCGAAAAGCGCATTTCGCCGGTCCTGCCAGATATCCTCGCTTTCTTGCTCGTTTGAAGCAAGTTGGTAGTCGGTCGCACCATGTTTCGTAATCACGCTTTCCACGTAGCGTGACGTTTCCTGAATCACATTATCGGAGCCTTGGAACTTGAAGAAGAGAGTAACTTTCTCTGGCCACTTTCTCGCAGACGTCCCATATCGGTTTAGCGCCTTGATCGTAAGTTCATCGATGATCTCGACACATTCTGTGGGGAAAAGATATGACCCGCTCGGCATTTAGCACCTCTGAAGGGCTTCTGACTTACGTAGTGCTGCGCCGTGGTTCAAGATGTCACACACTGCATTGGTTGCATGCCGAATATCAGAGAATTGCGCGACGGCAACGGTGCTTGGCAGAACGGGGGCAAGACGTAACGTAGCTGTAGCAGAACGACAAGCCACGAAGGAACATGAGTAAGTGTAACCAAATACAGACGGACACACTCCGCCTACCTTCTGTGATAATTCCGAGGGTGCCTTCCGCACCTATGAACAACTTAGTGAGATCAAAACCTGCCGATGACTTGCGGGCGCGCTGTCGCGTCTTGATCACTTCGCCCGACGGAAGTACCACTGTCTTACAAACCTCCTTCATAAGCCAAATGATATTCTCAGCATAACTGACAAGCTCACTCACGATGTTAAGAATCCATTCGCCTCTTGCTGTTCCATATCTGACCGCATTGGCTTGAGAAAGTTTGTGAGATTTCTTGGGATTTCGCGAGGTTCTGACTCACTTCCAGAGCACCCAGTTGAGATCATGCCACCTATCGTGGCACCACGACCAGGATCAAGCTAGCAGATCCTTGTGACTACGGAAAAATGATTTCATTTTACTTGATACATACCGGAAAAAACAACGGAATGCCTGAGAATATGTCAGTCAGGTGGGTAATACCGGCTACACAACGACATACCCTTTTCCTTCAACGTTTCATTCAGATCATTCCAGGTGACCCCAGCTTGGCAAACCACATCTGCATCCGACTCTGTGACCAAACATCACATTAGCATCAACGGAGATTTAAAATCATGTAGGATCACGCCCACCATTGATTGCTATGATCTTGTCAAGAGCAGATAGATCTACGCATATTGATCCAGCGGATGGCTATAAAATGCAGCATGATTCAGTCAGAAAGAGGTATGATGACACTAAGAGTGTATTTTCGTACAGCAGACAAGTTCCCTTCCAAGCTAGTCCCTCCTGAGTATGGCACAATTGGAACTAGATACTTGTTAGATATTTTTACTACCTTTACAACATCTTCGGTGCTTCGAACGTGTACAACAATAGTGTGCGGTGATCCTGTGAAATTTCATGGTTTAGAGTTCGAGGAAAACTGAGAAGCAGACTGACCAACAAATTGAGAGTACGCCGACTGTGCGTAAGCATACAATTCACCGGGGTCGGTAGATACAACAGAGGATTCTGGGAATTCCGCCTGCAAGTCTTCAAGGGCCTTGGCAAAATTGGGTGTCGGCTCAGAACCAGTCTGGAGAGCAGTGGGAACAGCCTCGACGATGGTTTTCGCTGTTGGATTTGAAGAACCAGTATCTCGAGAGTGTGCCAGGGCAAAGAGTGAAGCTCCACCAGCGATTACAGCAACTGCAACTGCAGATCCAAAGGACTTGGCGGTTCTAGCTGCAGTAGTACTGTACAATCGGCGGGAATGGGTCTTAATTGGTCGCGAGAAAGGATGAGTATTGACACATCTTGGGCTTGCGGGGAGAAAGAATCGCAAGGAAGCCTTGCTCGCGCCAGCGGAAAGACCGAGAAAGACGAATCGTGTAACTGCAAAGGTCATAACTAGCACATGAGTCTGATACAAGGGCAGACGTGGAGAAAGCTTCGTGCCCTGTTGTGCCGCATCAGCGGGACTTTAAGTGATTGATGGGCGGCTTGCTCATCGAAAAGACCCCAGACATGTTCGGTTCCACTTCACATTAATGACGGCATCACCTCACCGGCGTTAACGAGTACGTTCAATTACCAATTTAGAAATGTCACTATGAAACACATAAATCTGTCTATAGTTGGTGCACGTCCACCGTTTCAGTCATGAACGCGTCTCACCACGATTTCGCAGTTGCTAGTCATCCGGGTCAATGGCGCAAAAAGGAACGTGTCGCGGGGACAATTCATCCTGAATTGCTGCCTTCCTGTTTCAACGTGTCCTAATCCCACGAGGACTCCTCTCGACCAACTTGTAGGCATATTGAGCTTGACTTGAGCCGACGGATTACATTAGCGGTATTTCATAGATGAGTTCCTGACCTCTGCTATCAATCGCCCTAGTCATCCGAGTCACTCAGGAAAATCAACGCTTCTGATCCAAGTCAGTTGCAAATGATCATATGCTTCGATAGCAGCGATGGAGTTCTCAGATAATGTCCTGCTCAGCAGCTGTAAGGGGGTGACACTCCAAAGACCCACTCGCCTAGTGAGGCTTATGCAGTTGGAAGTTTGAATCGTCATGATAATCCTTTGTAGCCGCCCGGCGTTGGTTCTCGATGGTAAACGTCAGCTTTCAACTTGATCACTGTTTGTGTGCTTACTTTCTACTGGTATCGGTGTCAGTCAGAGAACTACCGACAGCGCTCTAGTTCATGCTGAGAACGTACTTCTGACACATTTTGTAGCGATGTACCACCATGGCATTGTACTAGGGACGTAACTTGAAAGCCCACCCATCGCATTGCTGTGCACTACACCAACGCCGATCCAGCCGATCCGAAAGCAATCGAATGAGTTCTTTTATGTGAGGAAAGTTACAATATCGTACAAACTGGGTAGGACGCTGTCCACCGCGCGTCCTCCATGACATCAAAATCCACCAATTGCTTGATCATACAATGTTTCATACAGTTCCACCTCCTTAACTCAAGGGACATGTCATCAACTCATCAAGAAACCACAATTCACTAAGCCCAATCTTCTGGGTATCATCATATTACTTAGACTGCAGGTGTTGCTGAATACGAACATATCAGTGGGACTGTGACAACTGCACCAGACATCACATACGCAGGCGGTGCTGTAAAACAATTTCAATAATTGTGTCGATTAACTCCTCCTTCTGAGAGCGTTTGGCCGACCCTGGTATCCAGTGAGAGAAGCCTGCTTCATATGTGCGAACGGCAGAACCGATAGTTTCCCTGACGGCAGTTGCATTGGGAGACGCCATGTACCGCTGAAGAGCAACACGAACAGGGTAAACAGACTCCTGCTCTCGTGTAAGGCGGTGCTGGGCCCAAAGATGGAAAGCGTTTTCGAAGATAATGACGGCGGCTTATAATCAATAATCAGCAGATTCATTGCGATGTGGCATAGAATCTCACCAGAACCAAGCTGCATAATCTTCTCCAACGCTGACGACCCAGAGGGCTAGCCTTTCAGGTGAGAATTGCGTGCATGAGCTGTGAGCAATGGGACATGCCGAAAACCCGAGTCGTAACGTGGACCACATCTGATCTTCTTCGGGGCGGTAGAACTGATGAATCATGATCAAAAGACAGAAACAGTCCAACATAAATCGACTTGCATACTGTGATTATCAACATATCAGTGCTCGAGCTCGATGAAGGATCAAAACATTTACGTTCTGTCAAGGAATCAGCGACATGTTCTGTCAGCGAAGCTCGAGCTCGACACAGGATCAACACACTCACGTTCTGTCAAGGGATCAGCGACATCTTCGGTCAGCGAGGCTCGAGCTCGACACAGGATCAACACACTCACATACTGTCAAGGAATCAGCGATGTGTTCGGTCAGCGAGGCTCGACTCGACAGAGGATCAACACTCTCACGTTCTTTCAAGGGGTCAGCGACGTGTTCGGTCAGCGAGGCTCGAGGTCGACAGAGTATCAATACACTCACATACTGTCAAGGAATCACCGATGCATTCAGTCAGCGGGGCTCGAGCTCGACAGAGGATCGACACACTCACCCACTGTCAAGGGATCAGCGATGTGTTCGGTCAGCGAGTCTCAAGCTCGACAGAGGATCCACACACTCACGTCCTGTCAAGGGATCAGCGACGTCTTCGGTCAGCGAGGCTCAAGCTCGACACAGGATCAACACACTCACATACTGTCAAGGGATCAGCGACGCGTTCGGTCAGCGAGACTCGAGCTCGACAGAGGATCAACACACTCACCATCTGTCAAGGGATCAGCGATGCGTTCGGTCAGCGAGGCTCAAGCTCGACAGAGGATCAACACACTCACCAACTGTCAAGGGATCAGCGATGCGTTCGGTCAGCGAGGCTCAAGCTCGACAGAGGATCGACACACTCACCCACTTTCAAGGGATCAGCGACGCGTTCGGTCAGCGAGGCTCAAGCTCAACACAGGATCCACACTCACGTCCTGTCAAGGGATCAGCGACGCGTTCGGTCAGCGAGGCTCAAGCTCGACAGAGGATCAACACACTCACGTTCTTTCAAGGGATCAGCGACGCGTTCGGTCAGCGAGGCTCGAGCTCGACAGAAGATCAATGCACTCACAATCTGTCAAGGGATCAGCGACGCGTTCGGTCAGCGAGGTTCAAGCTCGACAGAGGATCGACACACTCACATCCTGACAAGGGATCAGCGACGCGTTCGGTCAGCGAGGCTCAAGCTCGACAGAGGTTCGACACACTCACATACTGTCAAGGGGATCGGCGACGTCTTCGGTCAGCGAGGCTCGAGGTTGACACAGGATCAACACACTCACCCACTGTCAAGGGATCATCGATGCATTTGGTCAGCAAGGCTCGAGCTCGGCACAGGATCGACACACTCACCCACTGTCAAGGGATCAGCGACGCGTTCGGTCAGCGAGGCTCGAGCTCGACACAGGATCAACACACTCACGATCTGTCAAGGGATCAGTAATGCCTTAAGTCAGTATGCTGGCAGAGATGATCTTAGTACTACTTAAAAGTAAGCGTCGAATATAAATCAGGAGTTTTGAAAAATTCCTACATTCTCACTGGAGTATATGGAAACCATAGACCCAAGTCGTCTACAATCTGGCGGTCGGATGGCTCAGATATGCGCGACGAGATTGTCTTGGAGAGGTCAAGATGCTGTGCAAGTGTTCTCAATGCATAGACATAGTTAGTTGTTTCTCGCCACAGATCAGTGAGGTTTGAGGAGTTACCTTTTGACTGCATATCTGACGCACAGCTCCGAGCTGCTCCGCTGAGTCGAGACAAATATCTGTTTGAGTGTATCATCATCCAGAGTTTCGGCCGTCCGCTCGATCAGTATCCCGCAGTCTGCATCGTCCTTATCCATATCTGAATGCCGGAAAGCAAACACAAGCACTGAATTGATTATTAACAGCTCGAGGATTAGCCGACTTACCAGGCAGGCATATGTGACATCTCGGAGGACATTGGTTGCCCTTTTGGTTGTACAAAAGCTTTAGTTGTGGCCCATTGGTGAATGCTTCTTTGGCATGCTGCGAAGCCAGCGCTTGAGCATCTGTTCTCGATACTCCCTCACTTATCAGCTCTGCAAATTCATCGTCATACAGGGCGTCGAATTTAGTGAACAACGCTATCACTGCAACTAAAGATCAGGAATGAGTTAATGGTACACAACGGCAGATGCGAAGGCTTACTGCTCCCAGTGTCGCACTGAGAGAAAAACTTGACTTCCGCTTCCGTGAAAGACCTCCCATCCTCATCCATCGGAATGCAGTACCTGTGCAAAAGATGTGAGATAACGCACACCATAAATTGACCGATTACCATATGACATGGATTCGATCACTCAAATGTTTCCTCTTAGAACGACTTGCGATAAAAGCCTTCACCTTGTCGAATTCAAACTGTCCTCCTGCCTCAAATCCGCGTGAATCATGAAAGATAAATTTCGGATTGCTTCGAAACACCATTTCATTCTCGATATCGTGCACCCCGCGCTGAAAACCCGTTAGGTGATGTCACCAACAACAAAGAACACGCCCTACCTCTCTGGATGCCATCAGCACGGCGGGATCGATCTGATTTCCAAAGTCAATCGATCAATCAGTGCTACTAGTAGTATGCTGGTATCATGGACCGCACCTTTTTACCGGCGCTGTCATATATTTCTGGGTTCTCGCGTGTATTACAAACCCTCTGCAGGATGGTGGTTTTTCCTGCATTCGCTCTTCCGATAATGAGGATTCGAAAGCGGTAGATTTTCTGTCTTATCTCTGAAGCATCCATAATGGAGGAAGGTAACAGTGTGTGAACTCTTTGAGCGCCTCAGGCTGAAGCAAGTTATTATGTTGTTACGTTGTACGAGGCTGTTCTTGTCAACTTTGGGACTTCGACCCGAGAAGCGTAGTGCCAGTGGGGCACTTATCACTCCTGAAACTGTTAAGGCGCGATACCCTGTAGCCTGCAAGCTGTGCTGTGGTTATTGTAGCGACAAAGTACTAGTCGAACTTAATGCATTACTGCAGTGCTACATAAAAATGGAATGGCATTGCGCCTTCAAATCATCACGTAACTCGGAAAAACATACACTGAAGACTTGTCACAAAACGACCCCTAGAACCCAGCTTGGGCAGCAGCTCTCTCTGTCAAACTTCCTCTTGCTTCCCAGGGATGCTTATGTTCGTCAGTAGTTTCGAACTGGCCTTCGTCAGGCATACCCCAACCTCCGCCACCGGGTGTCTCAATCAATAGGCGATCTCCTTTTCCCATGAACACCGTCGCTTTCCCTCCTATATTTATGTGGCGTGGTCTCATATCTTCCTCAGAGGTTTCCTCGGGTATATCACTGTCTTCTGCGCGGCGCTGCTTGACCCAAGTGTTGCGTCCCATCATGGCAGGCTCCCCACCTGCCATGCCGTATGGTGCACGTGTACGTCTCTGTCGTATGTGTGAGCTTCACCGGAGGAGGGGACACCAAAATGACATACTTCGCTTAGGATGGACACTTGCATTCCTTGCATAACCTCGAACTCTCGGATTACACCATCGCCGCCATTCCATTTACCTTTCCCTCCAGAGCCTGGTCTAAGACCGAAGCGGTGTACGAGAATGGGATAGCGGCGTTCAAGAATTTCGACATCGCCAATGCGGGTGTTTGTGATATGAGTATGTACACCCGATGTGCCATGCCATCCTGGGCCGCTTCCTGATCCACCCGCGATGGTCTAAAGAACGCACGTCAATGTCATCGCCAATTATAATGAAACGTCAGACCTCATAATAACCCCATCCAGCAATGGCTGTACCATTCTTATCTTTACCGCCCGTACCAAAGGTCAAGTTGCTGTAAAACATTCAGAATAAACCTATTTGAAAAGGAACAACGAACTTGGTGCACCCTTGACTAGCAGCACACGCATGGAAAGCCTTAAGGACCACATCTACAATGCGCTGTGAGGTCAATACATTTCCACCACACACGGCAGCGGTCCTGGATGGGGAAAGAAGGCATTTTTTGGGAATCTTGACTGCAGTAATTCATGTCAATACGATCGCTGGAGTTTCGGTTTGTACCAAAGAACGTACTCTCGATGGGGACAAGACAGCCAGCGTTGAGCGGTATGTCGACATTCAACATTGCACGCATACAATAGATCACGGCGGAGTGTACCACTGAAATCGGGGCATTCAGGTTTCCCCTAACTTCGCATCCTGTACCCTCGAAATCTAGAACAGCAGATCCTTCTTCCTCGTTGATCTCTACCTTCAGCTGGATCTTTAAGCAATGACATGATTCTTAGCGCCATGATTTTATGTGAACGGCAATCGGAACTCACTGGAGTTCCATCATCCAGATAGTCCACGGCACTGAGCAAATTAGTTCCCGACTTTTTGACGACGTCGCGTAACAGACTTCGAACCGAGTTCTCGGCATTATTCCTGATATGATACATGTATTCTTGAACAGTTTCTAGACTGTAGTCATCGACGACTGCAAGCAACATGATAGTCAGTGCATAGGGCAGGTAAATGGTCGATATGACAGACTCGCTGTGATTAGCTGAACTCCCTTGTGGTTTGCCGCAATTTGCTTCAAAACATAAGTAAGCAATGAATTCTGGAAGGAGCACTTTTTGAGTGGCCTACCGCCTTGATGTCACTTTCAACGTCCTTGATGTTCCTGCAACCCGAACTCCCCGGATATTGTGCTGGTTTTTCGACCATATACTCGTACAACCCCTTCTTGTCAAACATGCCGTCGTTTACGATCTTCAGGCTCACGATTTCCGCACCCTCTTCGAATATATTCACAGACGTAGGCGGCATAGACCCAGGCAGGATGCCGCCGATATCAGCATGGTGTCCTCGGGAGGCAGTGAAGAATATGATCTCGTTGGTCCCTTTGTCAAAGACTGGAGTGATGATAGTGATGTCCGGCAAGTGACTGCCCCTTGGTGAATATGTGTGCAACTGTGAAGGAAAGCTGCACGTACGATCCCCCAGCATGAGGAGAGTTGGTCATTAGCACATCACCATCTTTCAACTCCTTTCCGTGAAGTTTCATTTGGTACTTCACAGCGCTGGGATCAGATAAGCTGCGCTCCAAAGACGCTCACTAGCAACTGCTTTAAAGACTCACAAGCTCATAGATCCAAGATGAATCGGGATGAAGGGCGCATTTGCGACCAAATCGCCGTCAGGAGCGAAGAGTGCACAGGAGAAGTCCAAGCGTTCCTTTATGTTAGTACTGATAGAGGTTTGTTGCAAAGACCTGCCCATTGCCTCTGCGACGCTCATAAAACGATTCGCGAAGAGCGTGAGCAGAATAGGGTCAGGACCGCTAGATGGTTTAGTGACAGCCATGATTGATTCTGGTGAATAATGCGAGACTTTGGAGGCTTGAAGGCTTAATCTCAGGCTGTTTCATGTAGCACTCTGGGGCGAATGATAATGAATCATGTGTATGATCACAAGACGATCCAAGTTCCGAATAAAGCACGCCGCGGACGAAGACTCCGTGCTGAGATAAGCAACATCCAGCTTACGAGTACTTGCAGTGACCCTCGAGATTACATGGGCACCTTTGATGCACTGTACCAGAGAAATACTTCTCCAGAATGTTCCCAGATAGTTACATATATGTTGACATAATTTTACATTATTGCTCAAGCCAAAACTTCCCTCAAAACGTCCACGATCTTCTCCACTTCCTCGACGGTGTTATAGTGGACAAGTGAGATGCGGACGACCCCATCATTCACGTCTAGTTTTGGCCGTAGATTGTCAATGAGAGAATACGCGTAAAAGTCGCCGTATCGAATTCCGATCTGTGCAACATGCATGATTGAATACAATAAGGTCATTGAAAGTCGGACTTACCCCTCCCTTTTTGTCAAACGCTTCTACGATATCCTTGCTCTTGATCGCGTTCTGTCCGACGACAACAAAGCTGACAGTGGGAACTCTTGAAAGATTGATCTCGCTTGTCCCCACAATGCGAACACCTCTGTCAACTTGTCTTGCATCCGTCAAAAAGCGGAGTAAAGGAGCCAGAAGGTTTTGCTCATGGTCTGCGATTGCGTTGAAAGATGCTACAAGATCATCTTCTGGCGTCAACGACTTGAGATATGGCACGATTGCCGTTGCACCATATACTAGCTCGTAGCCTGGACCACCTGGTTGCAACTTATATGGCTTGTCGTCCACCTTCAGGAAATTATGTGCGAGGGACGTAAGAGATGTCTGCATAGCCGCCGGCCGCACGTAAACAGCAGCATTATGAGCCCCGTACACCTACAAAATAGTGTCAGATGCGAAATCGAAGGGAGTCGCGGGTATCGAAACCTTGTACAAAGAAAACACGCAGTAATCAACATCCCACTGTCGTACGTCCATTTTTCTATGTGGTGCATGTGCAACACAATCTACACACACTTCAACCTTTCTTGCGCCTTGTTCTTTTGCACACTGGCGAAGTGCCTTCACCGCCTCTTCTACAGGAACCAACGATCCCAAGATATTGGAACATGCGGTAATGGCGGCCAGCCTGGTCCGCGAAGAAACCAGTTGCAACAGTTCTTCGACTTTGTATGCAACTGAGTAAGGGTTTTCCGCAGATACTGGCGTAGGTTGCCAGTATTTGACCACGGCATTGCGCCGCTCAGCCAGACGCTTCCAAGGACCGTTATTTGCTGAGACGAGCGTTGAGTTGTTTTTTACAAACGAATACAGGAAAATAATGTCAGAAACCTTCATGTTCATAGGTAATGATAAATTCATCTCCGGGTTGAACATCATTTTCGAGCGCTCTGGCAATGTTCTCCAACATCATCGTCGAACTCGGTCCAAACACGATCTCGTCGATGGAAGCAGCATTGAGCAACTCTGCAATGGCGAAAGGGCCCTCGTCCACGCGCTTGGTACTCAGCACGCTGACAAAATAGTCAGCTCCCAACTGTACGTTGGTGTTGGTCAGATAATCTACAATGCGATCGATCACTCCTTGAGCGGTCTGTGATCCTCCCGCATTATCGGCGTAGATATACCCTGATTCCAGGGACGGAAAGCAGGCGCGAACTTCGTCGATGTCGAGGGAAGCCATCTAGTCACTATTGCCAAGGAAGTGTGGTCCAAGAGAAAAGGATGAGTGTTGTGAGACTGTGAGTATCGTTCAATGATAGTAACTCCATTATGTATTTATGTCCAATAAGACGTCGCAGGTTCAGCCTGATCGTGAGGCGTTGGGTACACATGAGCATCGATCTTAGTCGAACAACTGTGGGCGGTCCGACGTCTGTGCGGTTGGAGGTGAACTACTCATGTGTGAGAAATTAAATCAGTCACCTGATGGAGTTTGAAAACCTGAATCTCCAGGTGCCCGGCCCGCCAATTCTTAGTCTGCCGTTTCGCTGCACCGTTGACGACACACATGACTCCGACTCCATCTTAAGTGTATGTCTTCAGTCTGACTCTCTCACGTTTTTCTCAATATGACCAGGTATCTTCCAGTAAGTGAATACATTGATTTTGAAGTGTTCTAACAGATTTTTATCACCCAGTACCTGCTTTATTGATGGTCATGACAATCTTCATTTGAAGATTTGAAGTTGTGCTTCATTATTCTAGATCTAAAGTGTAATGAAGCTCAGCCAAAATTTTGGTGAATTCCTGCTTTGTTGCATATCCATGTCTTCTTTCTGCTTGCTGCTCGTCCCAGCGCTTCTCATAATTTTTTTAGTAATCTCAAACTTTGCCTCGCCATCTGACACATCCGTCCGTCCTCCCTCATCTTTTCGTACATCTCTGCACCCTCTTTGAATCTTCTTGCAGTGAAGTAAGGTTGGTCAAACTACCAGCTTCTTTGGATACAACGGCTGGCTGCAATGCCGCGCCAAGTCATGGTGCGTGGCTTCCTTTCTGTCTGCTTTGCTCTCCGAGGAAATATGGGTCAGTCATTGGTATTGGTATGTATATACCTCTGCTTGTTTCATCGCTAATATCTTTATTTGCAGACTTTCAAACAACTCATTTGTTGTTCATGTATTGGCATTCACACTAATTTGTGGTCCATAAGGACCGCACCTCTGAACGACTTCTGGATGCACTCACTGACCGTTTTCAGAGAGCACCATGATTCTCACAAAGGAATCTGTCTTAGCACTGCAGGTCCATAGCGTTGGCCCAGTAGATATCTCCTTTTACACCCTGTTAGTTAACCGTATCACAGAAAAATTGAAATAATCATTGCATGAGATCACATACAGGGTCCTGAGAATTTTTTAGACTGTTACATGCAAATTTAGCACCACAATAGTAATCCGCGCGTCGCGATATTGTTGCGCAAGGTTTTGAGCTTTGGACTGATCAGCATGCTAAAAACTTGTGGTGCTATTCCCTCGAATTTATTTCATTTCATTTATTTAATTTCTGAGCGTACTGGCACGTGACAAGTTCGTTTGCATTGTAGAGACGTTCTAAGTTGGCGGCGAGTCTGCAACCATCTCCTGCCTGGGTAAGTACATAGTACCTACCAGGTCCTACAAGTGCCATACAAACCCATTTTATGACCACGAAGTCTGAAAATGACTTCTTTGGGTTCTCTGACGGAATTTGTTGCCTCTCAGGATGAACTTGTCCGAGAAGCAGCTTTGACTCTTCCCCACGAATTCTCTCGCTGCACGTACTCCCTGGGTCCAATCAGGCAAGCTGTATACCTTTGCCTTACTTGTCAGTTGCCCCGCGGCCTGTGTTCTTCGTGCTCCATCGCGTGCCACACGGATCACGAGCAAATAGAATTATTCCCCAAGCGCAATTTCCGATGTGATTGCCCAACGACTGCTATCCCACACGGATGTACTTTGCACCGTAGTCTAGAGGAGGGAAATAGGGAAAATTCATATGGCCAGAATTTTAGGGGCATTTTTTGTCGATGTGGCCGACCATACGATCCGAAATGTGAAAGGGAAACAATGATCCAGTGTCTCGCATGCGAGGTGCGTGGGCATGCGTTAAAGCTATGTCGGTTGTCATTGATACACCTCGTCTGCAAAGGACTGGTTCCACGAGTCGTGTCTACACTTGCGGACACGACCATCCTCACGGGAACCGTCTCCCGTCCCTGAAGCAGAAACCCCAGACCACGGTAATGATACCGAAGACAACCAGTCTGAAGCCTCCTCTTCAGGGCTGCCTCCGCCGCTCGTATCTGCTGAGGACTACGATGCATTCGTCTGCTCCTCTTGCGTTCGCTCGATTAATACCCTTCACCGGTATGCTGGTACACAAGGTGTCATAATGGTGGTTCGTGATACAGAAGATAGCCCATGGAGGAAACTTGGGTGTAACCCTTTATGCGCAGATCCACCGACAAACACGGAAGATGATCTACTAGATATAGATGATTCTTTGACAGCCCCTGGGCAAAAACGAAGCCGATCGCATTCCTTTCACTCAGAGGAACCAGAGCGGAAAAAACAACACATTTCACCAGAGCCATCCTCGCCTTGTCTTGCCCCAGCACCAAATCCGATTGCACACGCTATATTCCAGGGTTCACAGCAACCGTCAGATACAAAAGCACCTCTGAGTGAGGGTGATGTTTTCTTGACTGAAGGTTGGCGCGAACGGTGGTGCTGTTGCAGTCGTGTGAGCTTCTCATACCCACGCTTGCTTACGTTTCCGTTCATCGGCGAATTCTAGTGTTTTCCGTCTCTCAGCGATCGTCCGTATCTCTTGGAGGAAGAAGAAACTTACGAGCCCCCGGAAGATCCTGATTCTGGTGCATACTTCGTTCTTATCTGAAGCAGCTGCATACTAACATGAAAATTCAATGTCAGCTCTTTCTTTGGAGGAACTCGGTATGCGCGCATTGGAGCGTCTTCCCCGCGATAGGGCGATTGACGGGATCCGAGCTTTCAATGATATGCGGTTGGTGTTTTGATCAGATGTCTGACGAATCTTTCATTGTGCATTTTCACAGGGATGACTTACTAGCATATCTCCGGCCGTTCGCGCAGGAAGGCAGAATAGTTGGCGAAGCTGACGTCAGGCAGTTCTTTGAAACATTGCACGAAAGCAAGCACGGTTCTTGATTGTGTTTGCAGTTGTACCAAAATTTGTGTTGTATGAGGTATTTCTTTGTTTTTCCTACGACGTCGAGACCCTCAGCTATAACAGTCTTGTATTATGCCTGAGTTGGCTGAAGAAGTGATTGTATCTTGCTCCGTAACACTATGCACACGGGATCTGTCTGACAATGTGCTTCGATATGGTTCGCTCGGTCCATATAGATAATCTTCACAATCACTCCGCTGTCGATGTCCACCGGACTTGATCGCACGCGTTAGACCGCACGTCACATCTAATTAATGAAAGACTACCTGCCATTATGTCCGACCTCGCCGCGCCCGCCAGCTTGGGCCTCAAAAATCATCGACCACCGGACCCGAGCAGGACGATCGAACCTCAAAGTTACCCATACTTCAAACGATTCAACGCAATTTAGTTTTGTTCTTCTACCACCTTATCTTCGATTTTTCTCGTACGATAGGAAAACAGAAGTCGGGACTCTAGCCGGGAATGAGTACCAGCCAGCCTATCATCAAGCCGCAACACGCTGGGCAATAGAGTTGAGCCAAAACCATCTCAAAAGTTTCCGTGTCAGCGAACCCGAATCCAGTTCCATTGCGCCCCAAGATTGGGCCATGGTCAGGTCAGGCACGTTCTCACAAACGCCTGGATGCAAGTATACGCTATAACACAACCTTATTACCCACAATGTAATCATACCCGGTGGTCATGTGTGCGACGGTAATCTGAGTGTGCCGCAAGAAATATTAATGGGGTACGTGCGTACGTGACAGCATAACCTTGTGAACGATGGGTCAGATCTTAAATAGATAGCATAGGGTTCTTTCGAGGATATACGTTTGACTAATTCACTCGTACCTATTCCTATTGGATCTTCTGTCCGTAAGGGTAGTGATGTGATCTTCGAGCTTGCGTTTCGATTGGAGGAACCCTCCGGTGCTTCAATAAGAACCCAGCTCTCAAGATCATCCATACGCAAGTAAATACGGCGAGACCTGCGTGGGGCTCACACAATGCAAGATGTCTTATCTATGTGGAGTTTGGCGGAATGAATGTGCGATGCAGGGTTTGCCTTGGAAGATAATCCTTTCTCGGAATAAAATTTCAATTACCAATTCATAGCAACGTACATATATATGAAAGAAATACAAGGACAGGAAGTCATTAAGTACATACGGTCCGCAGAAGCTCGTGGTACATCAATTACAACGAACATGCAAAAAATAAAAAAAATCTCAGTAGTAGCTAGTTGATATTACACTATGTATGGCCATCACCGATATCCGAGGGAGTACGCGCGCTGAGATGAATCTCCGGGAATTGCAAAAATAGCGTACGGACAACTTCCAGAAGCCTCGAGGGTTCTCTGAGAACGTCAGTAAAAGAACGATCTCGACTGTAAGAGAAGGAAACGATGTTAACTGCGGAGTTTAGACCGACCATGATTAACACTCACGATACTAGTAGAACAGCCTATAGCATGGCTTGTACCTGATCATAAATGGGAATAGCGTGACCAGTGAAAACGGGCATCTCATCGTGGTACTCCTTCCACGCCTCATCAGATACGATAGGCGCAGAGACATACTCCTCAATGGCCAGATTGTTGAGGTAAGTATCAAGATGGGGAAGGGTTGCTGTAATAGCCTCATCTTCACGAATGCGTTGCAGAATTCGCGTTAAGCCAGCATTCTCCGAATACCATGCTGAATCGCGGCGGATGACGGCACATTCATACACATCAAGGATTGGCTTCGGAAGACCAGATTTCAAACCGGCGGAATAAGCAAGCGCGTGACCCATGGCTTCAACCGCAAGCTCCGCCTGAGGAAGAATGAGAGAGTTGAAGGACTCGCTACGGTGTCCGCCGTGCAAGCTGTTAAGAAGGCTGATATTCTCTTCCAATAGAGAGGCTGCGTGCCGAGCAAGAAGTGACTCGCTTGGGTCTGGAAGAGGTATCTTGTACCGCTGAAGGAGGAGCTCGGAGAATAGGCGGATGCATAAAGTGAGAATATCGCCCTCAGCGATGATCACGCCTTTGCCATCATTCTGAATGAATACGATATGTCAATCGAGCATCATTGAATGAAAATGCCTACGAACCTCAATACGAGCCATATAATTGTGCTCAAAGGTGCCTTGTGCACCGCATCTTTCAGCAACCTCTGGCACGCAGCGCTGGAAGTGTCGACAAACAGTGGTTTTGACGATGACCGCGATACCATGTCTGACACGATGATCCAGAGATTTATCAGCGCCATTTTTGGCTACTATCGGGAACCAATTGCTCATAACGAGGCCAACAGCGGTTGCGTGGGCAATAGGCCATTGTTGAGTCCTGAATGAGATAATGGGTACGGGATTAGCCCCTTTCCCCACGAGGGACCGATGCATAGAATAGCGACCGGCAATGAACGCAGCTGCTTTTATGGAAGATATCCAGGGTGCTGTAACAGCTAGGGTTCCGAGAGGGATGCGCCATACTTCATCCCACCACTTCTCTAGAGGCGAGGCTGGCAGGGAATGGTCATAGATGTTTGACGACACGAGTGCACTGAATGGAACATGGACGTGATTGAAACGCGTTATAGAGAAATCGAGAGGGCAAGTTCCGGGACGAGCACCAAGTCTGATCGACTCGACACCTTCGAACATTTCGTGCTCGTTGCAGACGGGCACAATGAAGAATCGAGGGCCACGGTCTTCGCCGTCGACTATAAGCCTAGCCATAACCAAAGCGATCTTCGAAATACCAAAGGATGGGGTGGAAGCAGGCATGAATCTATATGCAATTCATCAGAGGGTTGCTCATCTTTGATAATAGGTACGTACTTGCATGCCTCTTCGCGAGGTGTATTAATAATGAAGCCCCCAGGGGTCTTCGTAGCTGTTGTCTCGATGTTGAATGCATCTAAACCGTGACCCCTCTCTGTGAGGAGATAGATACCAACGGTGTCGAAACGCAACAAACGGTTTACCAGAGGGCGGAGGTCTGGCCGTTTGTGAAGATGCCGGGAAAGCGTTCCGATGGTGAGACCGACATGAGCTGCCAGTATAGTAAACATGGCAGTATCCAATGACATGATAGGGTCTGTCATCATGGCCCAATACTTTGGAGAACAGACTTGAACATCAAAAGCCGACAGATCTAGATTCAAAGAAGATGCATCTGTGTCATGTGTTTGAGGACCAAGGGGTCAACGTACTGTAGGTGTGCATGAGAAGTCTTGCCCGCTGGTAGGACAGGGACACACGGTCATCAGTGGGAAGAAACTCGACGCGAGTAGTGAAGAGGGGATGGTGAGGGAGATGATCTGCCATGTTCGACGAGGCTGACGGGGAGGGCGCAATAACTTATTCCGACTATCTTGCGGGCTTTTTATAGAGTTTGTCGATCATATCATCAGGTCAGGTTGGGTGAGTACTAACCAATTCGAAACATGATCTCTGCGGTCTGAAAAACGTGGACCCAAGTAAACCATTCTGTCAAATGATATCAATATCATCACAGCCGAACTACCGGATTGAGAATCAGAGGATAACATCGTAGGAAATTAACATCTTTGTATATGACATGAGGTCAGAAAGAGAGCTTAAGTGTCAGGAACCAAGATACACACGGATTTAGGCCATGAGTGCAGATTCTTCCGATAGGAAGCAATTTGGCCGATGTTTGGAAATATGTGGCATGAGTCGTTACAGTTTTCGAGGACATAATTGTGTAGCTGCCAAGTTCAGCGGCTAATGAAAAGAGTAAGGTGAACAAGATGGCGATGAAGTTGGGGTGAGAGAGATATCCGATGTTAGTACTCACACAAGGATGAAATGGAACCATGATTATGATTCTCTGGGAACAGCCTTGCGTAACTGAGCGACAGGAAGTACATCACTAAAACATTTGAGTGAGCTTGCGAATCTGAGGCATTTGCTGGGTGGACATTGATTTTACCAACGCTTGCGGATAAAGGATACCGTGAAGTGACCAAGTGACAGCAAATGGTTCTGGTGTCAAAAGCCACACGGGGTGATAAAAACATATCCGTTTGGAAAGTATTATCTAATCAGATGTCCACGATGTTCTCTTCGACAACTCTCATCTCGCTTATTTTTCCCGGTAAAACTGTCACAAGAAGAGGCACTAACGCCATACGCCGCATCAACGCTACCTGGGACTTGGCTACAAGTATCACTTGAAACATATTATCTTCTCGAGGTCATGCGCTAGTCTGAAATCGGCATTTACCAAACTAGCCTGGCAAGAGTCGGTCACACACCGCTTATTCCCAGCGAATTGAAGATGCACGGAGGGTAGCTCGAGCGTTTCGGTCACAGATCGGGACTATGTTTTTTTCACTTATTTCGGCTCTCCTGCTTGCGGCTGAGCGTCACATGACGACAGATGTCTTGTTTTGGTCAAGCGCTGATTCTCACGCTCCATAGTCTAGCAGTCGGGATGCCCTGAGTCGGAACTTTGCTAAACTGGTTCTCGCACTGCCCGGTGAAAGGGTTTTTCGATAATGGTATATTTAAAATTTATACTTTGTGACCTGGGCCTGAGTCAGCCACAACCGCAAGTAGCCGCCGCATGCGACGCAACTTGAGACGATTTGCGAGATGCGGCGCGATGGCGGCCCAGAAGAATCATGCATGCGTTGATGGCGCAGTCCGGCGTCCGGAAGTTGCTTAGCTGGGATGTTCTCGAGGACTCGACGAAAAGATTAAAATAATAATGAAATCCAGATAAATTTATAGAAAAGATCTCATCTTAGCGCCCATTCTCCATATGCTCTCATGGCGGCGACAAACTTCAGGGAACGTGTTATTACGTAATATATCGGGGCACCGCGTCGCGTTGATCGTTGTGAATCTCCAGATTTCAAGAATTCCGTCTTGAAAATCTATATACACTTGATCAGATCTGGCCATGGGCATCGTGTAAACCAAAGTATGACCGAAGAGAAGCTCTTTTACGATGTGAACCAACATCCTAAAGAACTCACTCACCCATAACACTTCACTTTCATCCCCTCCCAATCATGTCTCTACTTCCAGATGGCGGATTGTCTTTGAACGTCGCTTTGAGCAAGTCAAACCTCGTGCTCACAAAGAGCGAGATCTCTAGTGGTGATGCTGAACTTGCTGCTCATGTCGAAAAGCCCCCAGTTCCACCTCCGAGTCCGTTCCCCGAAGGTGGGCTGCAAGCATGGCTCACAGTGCTTGGTGGGTATGTGCCAAGCTTAGTCCATATGACACTCTCGGACCATCTTCTCACACCGTGTTCAATCAGGTCCA